GATCGGCAGACAGGGTGTTGTCATGTAGCTCGAGATACCATTCTCAAGCGCAGACCTGAGGCTGATGCATACATGTGGCGTAAGCATGACCAGAGGAATGTATTTGAAGCGTTCCGCAATCCTAAGCTCCCGCGCTGTGTTGTCGTTGTCGACAATAACGCAGTCATAGGGCATGTCGGTCCTCTTCGTCGTCTCAGGAACCTCCTCAATCGACTTGACCACCATAGGTACGAGGTCGAGAGTCTTGAGGTGCTCAATGATTTGGTCTGAGAAGCCAGTGTTACCTTGATCGACAAAGAGAACAGCGTGCTGCTTGTATGCCACAAGTTGAGGCTGGATGGCGGTAACCTCCGGCTTGCCAAGACGTACTCTGCATGTGAAGTAGAACACACTGCCTTTGCCGAAGTCTGATTCGACCCACATACGACCGCCCATGAGAGTGACGAGACGTTTGGAGATGGAGAGTCCAAGGCCGGTACCACCGAACTTCCTGGTGGTGGAACCGTCCGCTTGCTGGAATGTGTCGAAGATAAGGTTGAGCTTATCGCCACGGATACCTATTCCAGTGTCGGAAACAGCAAACTGGAACACGTAGTGATCTGGACCGCATTCTTGCTCTTGCGCCATGGAGATGGCCACCTTGACTTCTCCTAGCTCTGTGAACTTGATAGCGTTACCAACCAAGTTGAGGATAATCTGCCTCAACCTGAAGGAATCACCAACAACGTAGTCGGGCACCTTGTAGGACACGTCGTAGGCGAGGTTCAACTTCCGCTCGTTGGCTCTTGACGCCAGAGACTTGAGTGCGTTGAAGATTGTGCCTCGCATTGAGAACGGAATCTCTTCCATGACCATGCGGTTGGCCTCGATCTTGGAGATATCTAGGATGTCGTCGATGATGGTCAATAATTGACCAGCCAGGTTATGAACAATAGTCAACATCTCTCGTTGCGCGTGCGTAAGGTCTGTGTCGAGCGTAAGCTGGGTCATTCCAATGATACCGTTCATGGGCGTTCGGATCTCGTGAGACATGTTGGCGAGGAACTCGGACTTGGTCTTGTTGGCCAACTCGGCGGCTTCCCTGGCTGCTGTGTTCCTTTGGATACTCTCTCGCAAACTGGACACCATCTGGTTGATCTTCCGCTTCAGCTCGTCCATCTCACCGGAAGCTTCAACGGTGATTTGTGTAAACTTGCCCTCCATGGCAGCGTTGGTGATGTCGCCGAAAGCGCGCACTTGGGAGGTAAGATTCTGAGCCATGGTGTTGACGTCTGTGGTGATCTCTTTCCATCTGCCGTCGATGTCTCTTACGTCTGCTTGGCCGCCCATCTTTCCGTCTACTCCCACATCGCGAGCTACGCGCTTCACAGCAAGAGACCATTCGTCTAGTCTCATAACCATGTCGTTGATAGTGTCTTTGAGTAATCGAATCTCTCCTTCGGCGTCCACGTGCACTCTGCGGCTCATATCTCCCTTGGCGATGGCCTGGGTGACCTCTGAGATACTTCGCACTTGCAGCGTCAAGTTCTGGGCCATGGTGTTGACATTATTGGTGAGGTCCTTCCATTTGCCTTCAACGTTGTCGACCTGCGCTTGGCCGCCCAGGATGCCGTCTGTCCCGACCTCACGGGCCACCTTGCTGACCTCTTGTGCGAATGTGTTGAGACGGTCCACCATGGTGTTGATGGTAATCTTGAGGGACAGAATTTCACCCTGGACTTCTGCCTTGACCTTCCTGCTCAAATCTCCTCTTGCGACAGCTGTGGTGACTTCGGCGATTTCTCGCACTTGTGTTGTGAGGTTCATGGCCATACCGTTCACATTCTCAGTGAGGTCTTTCCAGGTTCCCTCAACACCGTGCACAGTAGCTTGACCACCAAGGCGACCCTCAGATCCGACCTCTCTCGCAATCTTGGTGACTTCATGGGCAAATTGCTGCAACTGGTCCACCATGCGATTGATCGTGTTCTTGAGTTCCAAAATCTCACCCTTGCATTCGGCTTCGACCTTCCGGGTGAGATTACCCTGCGCGACGGCCGTTGTCACTTGGGCAATGTCTCGCACTTGTGTAGTAAGATTTTGAGCCATGGCGTTCACATTCACTGTGAGTTCGTTCCACATGCCCTTAACACCAGCGATTTCAGCCTGACCACCGAGCTTTCCTTCGGTACCGACATCTCTGGCCACCTTGGATACCTCAGTCGCAAACGATTGCAGTTGGTCCACCATGCTGTTGATCGTCTGTTGCAGCTGCAGGATTTCTCCGCGGGCCGGACGTTCAATCTTGCGACTGAGATCGCCCATGGCGACTGCGGTGGTGACTACGGCGATCTCTCGCACCTGGTCGGTAAGATTCTTGGCCATCCCATTAACTGCAGGACACGTTAGCATCGGCCCGATAGTGGAACCCTAATCACAACGTACCACTGTCAGTCAGCTCAGCCCAAATACCAGCAACTCCTGGTAGGTTGGCTTGACCGCCCAATCTGCCTTCGGTGCCGACCTCTCGGGCGAGGAATGTGACCTGACTAGCAAACTCCTGGAGTTGATCCACCATGGTGTTGATCGTGCGCTTAAACAGAGTGATTTCAGGGTCCATCTCCTTAGCATGGATCAATACCTTCTTGCTCAAGTCACCCATAGCCACAGCCGTGACAATGGCTCCGATTTCCCGCAGTGCCTTTTGGAAAGCCAAGTTGGCTAAAGATGTCAGCCGTGTCAACGCCTATGTAAGGCTACAGAGCATACCCTGTTGATGTTTGCCAAGTTCTCTCTTGAGTGCGCCGATGTCTTCAATGCCGTGTTCAAATACCATGCTCTGTGTCGTCAACTGTTTGTTCACTTCCTGGCTCAGGTTGTCTGTATGATGTCAGAATGAGCGCATGCGACTTCGTGTGAGCGTCCTTACCAATGTGCTCGCGCTGATTCCTAATCTGATCGGCTTGCTGGTTAAGATGTACGCGCAGATAGTTGAGTTGCTCTTCGGTAAGGGCTGCGGCGGGTTGCTCAGGGTCGCCATTCGACTCCTTGGCTGCGAGCCAGTTAGAAACCCAGATGGCGCGCTCCTTGTTGGACCCCCGACGGCCTTGGACTGGTGGGCCGTTATTGCCGCGTACGACGCCTGCCTGTGTATATAATACGCCCTCCTCCAGTGGCTCTTGTGCGGGTGTCAGAGGGAACTGGCCCTGCTTGGTCGCGGCATGGCTGCTCTTGTGTTCGAGGAAATCTATCCGTGAGCAGAGCGCCGACAGCTCCTGCTCTAGTTGTGTCTTCTCTTCGCTCTCCGGGCCCGGCAGAGCGATAGCGTTGGCTGCCGTCTTGGCTCCATTGGCCGCAACTTGTGCGCTGAAGCTGGGGTCTCGCGTGGGGTCATGTTGGCGGGCGAGGTTGCGGATGATGGCTGAGACGCTCGAGTACGTCTCTGCGGCCATTGTGGCGGCGGGTGGAAGGGTGCGAGGCTCAAAAGGCTGCTATGTGCGCATCTGGAACGGGAAAGAGGACGGAAGTGCGACGGGCCAAGTTTCGATGCGAGGGCAGGCGGAAACGGACAAAGGAGGGACTGAAGAGTCTGCCGGTGCAGACGGCTGCGAGGATACTGATGAATCGCGAGATGAACTTGAGAGGTATCGAGGAAGCGCAAGCAGGGGCCCCGCTGGAATGGATATCCAGTATGGCTCAAACAGGGTTAGCGCGGGATCTAGCAGCTAGGCAGCGTGAAGAATAGCCGCACGCCACACGATGGAGGAGTAGAGTTGAGCGCTACGGAAGAGAGACGGAACACGCCAGCCCAACGAAGCGTGCTACACTATGCTGCCTCACTACCAAAAGGATTGCCCGACATGCTGCCGGGTTGGGAAAGCAGACTGGACGCGAAGATGACAGTTGAGCGCTACGTTGCGAACGACCTAGCGCTGCGCGCTGCAGTGGGGCTACACGTGCACGGGCAACTTCAGAAACGGACATGTCGGACTATGGCTGCCAACGGCCACTTGCTGAACAAACCACCGCAAATTCAGCCCTCCAGCACAACACCACTGCACACCGCCGACGTCATATCTCCCGCCCAGCTTTCGCCGACACCGCGAGATGAAGTGTGACCATGCATTCCCCGTCCGCGTGCCATCTCTTAGCACGTACGAGTTTACGAACAGAGCGACGAATGGCAGTGCGACCGAAGCCACCCAGCACCCACCAATGTGGCAAATTACCCCTATTCGCTGCTAACGGCGCGCGGAACAGGCATCGCCTAGCATAGCACCACGCCGCGGATACGTTGGACTTCAACGCCCACGGCCAACTGTGAAAGCGCCTCTAATTTAGCCACGGCAGCTCTGCGCTGCTCTCCTGTTTGATCTGCATGCCACTGCACCTGCGGTACTCGTGCCGTGGTTTCAGTGCCATCGATCGCAATAGAGAGTGTGGCGATGCTCCTCATATCTTATCGTGCGCAGACTGACAGCTGACAGAGGGGCTCTGTGATGGTGCGTACGGTGGGGTACGCTTGTTCACAAAGGACGTCGCTTCGCTCAGGGTCTCTCCCGGCCGTCCGGCCGACTGCAGTAAGCGTGTCTGAGCGGATGCCGGCACATGCTGGCTAACATGCGAGGACGTGTTCTTGCGCTGTACAAAATTCACTCGCCGTTGCACCAAAGCAAGGAAAGATTGGGGAACCCGGTCGGCGCATCCGAACACTCCCCAGGTCATCGCCCGGAAGCAAGTTCCACCGCAGCGGACAACCCTACAGAAATTAGATTTGCTTTTGCAACATCAAGACATGTCATGACATTCAACACGATATACATGTCTGTGATCAGTCGTCTGGATCGTGACGAATCAGTACGGTTTGTCTGCTATGCATGCGCCTAGGGACCCCTCCACTATTCATGAGAAACCCATCTAAACTTGGAACTTCTCGATTTGATAACGTGTTTGCAGGATGCATGCACCCCACCAGTCGTACTAAATCCTCTGTTGCCACAACGTAGTCTCGTCGCATACTTCTCATAAGCAAGCCATTCAGGCCGAGGATCCTCAACTTCGAAACATGGGCGCAGAGTACATGCACCTCAAAAGGCATCATACAATCTCCATTCCAACAACGTAGTTCCTTGGAAAATCTCAACTTCAAAGCGTGTTTGCAGAATACATACCACTCAAACATCGTCAAACTACCTCCATTCCAACCCCGTAGTCTCATGGAATCTCTCAACTTCAAACCCCATTTACAGAATACACACACCCCAAATCCCCATTCCCATACCTTCCATCCCACCAACGTAGTTGCCCCGCCTTCCCATCAATAATCCAAAGGCGCCTCCTCCACACCCATAGCGTTCTGTTCCCTCCTCCCCCTCGCCTCCCTCCACTCCTCCCACACACTCATCCTCCACCTCGCCACATTATCAATCACCTGCGTCCTAGCACCCGGAGCGCTCTCCACCATCATCAGTAGTTCCAAATCTGGATGCCATCTTTCACGCGGGAGACTGGGTATGCTCCACACGCCACCCCTTCTGTCGTAGAGACCTCGCCGGGGATTTGTACTTTCACTTCCATTTTGAAGGTTGTGGTTTTGATGGTCCATGTTGTTTATGTCGATGTTGCTGAACCTCCTCCTCCATCTTCTCGACGGTGGAGTCAAGATGAAGAGTTCTGCTCTACACATTGGACATGTTGGTGTTTTTGAGGAGTCAAGCCATGTTTTCAAGCATAGGCCATGAAAAACATGTCCACATCTTATAATCTTTGTAGCGGGCTCGGTATCCGCAAATGGTTCGAGACAGATCGAGCAGCTGTCTTGGTGGGGATCGAGGGCGCAGGTGCGGATTTGTTTGAGGCCGAAATTTGTGAATGAGGAGCGGGATGCGTAGGGTGCTTGACGCGAATTGGTCGTCTTCTTGATGGTTGCGATGGACGGCATGGTTGTGGTTGGGGGTTTGGTGGTGGATGTGATTTTGATGGTGAATGTAATTCTGATAGTATTCGTGCTTGCAGTGGACGGATTTTTTGTTGTGACGGCGATATTTGCAGTAGCGGTAGTATGTGCCGAAGTACTAGTATTTGTAGAGGTGGTAGTATGTATAGTGGTAATACTAGTGACAGCGGTGATGATGTCTGGTATAGAAATGTCTCTCGTGGTAGTCGGACTTTTTCTCGAAGGCGATTACGGACACGTATTGTTAGAAGTGTTAGATCAAGACCAGAAGGGATCTTCCACCCTTTTATTGCGAGCATTTTGGCGCTGGAATGTGCGAGCGACATTGCACTGTGGTTCGCTTGACCCAAGAATTGAAGATACGGGCGAATCACACGGGGTCAGATACAAACGACATCTAAAAATCTCGCTGCCTGGGAGGATATTGCAATGGAAATATGATTAAGCTGTATTTCAGAAAATATGGGACTGGCTACCTGAGCTTCTTCGCATGCGCAACCAGACTCTCGATGACTTGCTCAAAGGCGTCCTTGTCGCCTAGTGCACTTTCTAACCTCTTCTGCCAGTACTCGAATACTTCCTTTGCTCTTTCTTGCAGGCCCTTTAGGTGATCGATGTGCATCTTCAACTCCTCATCTGTCAACCCTTGCAGTGCTGCGTCTGTTGTCGCGCAAAGCTGCATTGTACTGCTGATATCCAGTTCCGGTGGCGGCGGCGGCCCTTTGCGTTTTCGCTCTGGTTTTGAACTTGATGAGTCAACTGATGTGGATGATTCGTTCTCACGCTTGATTCGTCCGAGAGGACCACCGTTATTTCGACCATCTGAAGAGGGGCGCGGTGAGCCGCCGGGTATGTGTATTGAAGGGAGAATAAGCTTCTTTTGTTTGGACGCGGGGAGGATCTCGTCAAGGTCCACAGGTACGCCGAGGGAGACCAGGAAAAGCCGCCGTATGCGTGAGCGAACCCAGTCTGGAGGCTGCAGTGGTGGTGGGGCGACTAGTTGTGTCCATAACGAATGACTTCGTTCCGAGAGGAAGATGGACCGTGTCTCTTCGGGATTGGTGGATATTGTGGGTATGCCGTCCTGTGCAGGGTACATGTCATCAAGGTATGGCTGTGTTGCTGAGACGATTGCTTCAATTGATGTGAGTTGGTCAAAGTCTAAGACGGGCTGTACAATGAAAGGTTAGTCAGATTGTCACCACAGCAAGCGGACAAGGCAGTAGTATATGTGGACTAGAATTGCTGCGACTTACAGGACCTGGCGAGGGGACAGGTACAGGAGGCTGTTCTGGGGGCTTATCAAATGATGTCTCTGCATCGTCCTCGCCTTGCTGAAACCCATCGTCAAAGTCCCCAAAATCATCGTCACCCTCTTCGCCTTCTTCAAAATCGTCGAAGTCGCCAAAACCGTCGTCGTCACCGTCGTCGTTGCCGAAGTCGTCTTGCTCGATCGAGGCTTCTGCTTCGGCTTCGGCAAGTGTTTCGGGGACGGCTTCGGTTGCACCGTCACTCGGGCTTATTGGAGACCTGTCATGCGAGGTTGGTGACCCTTCTTCCGTCAATGGTACGCAGGAGGCACCAAGGAAATGCCCTACGTACCTGGATTGCTGCTCTGGGAAGGCTCCTCCGGTGCTCTGACAACTACATCAGGCGTAGCATCAGCCAGACGTTGCTGGTGGGCAAGTGTACCGGGAACATCGCCGTAGCTGGGCTGGTCGGGGTCGATCTTCTCGACAATTGTCTTGGGCACTGGTGTTCCTCCTGGTGTCAGAGGCCTATCGCTTGCGCTGACGCGCGAGGCACTACGACTTCGTGCGCCTTCGGGTACAATCTCCACCTCGTCGGGGACAGCGTCTTGGGTGCGCATATTGTATGCTTCTGTTCCGGGAACCTCGCCGTGAGCAGGCTCATCGTCCACTCGCTCAACTCGTGTGATGGGAATAGGTGAGGTCACATCCGACCGCGCAGGCTGGCCTTCGGTAGCATCGGAGAAGTGCTCGTCGCTTGAGTCGGCTGTCGAGTGTTAGAATAGATTCGCGCGGGGGAGCAAGATGACATACCCAGCTCTTTCGCGCCGGGGTCTTCCAGCTCTACGCTCTTGCGGGGTGGTGCTAGCTCGTCCGGCATGTCGAGGTGCTTGATGTTCCTTTACTTGACGAAAACTGTGTTGTGGGAAGAGTGGCGGAGACTCGGGTTACTGCAACAGAGGTGGAGAAGGCGTGATCTGCGAAGGCGACCAGAAGACTGCGCCTCGTTGCTTGAGCGTGTCGTCGTTCAGGCACGCTCGATTAGCGGGGACGAGCGGTCTGGACGCTCCACCAGCGGGAAGGTGGGAACAACAATTCACCGGAGCTAAGCCCTGACCCTTGCACCTGTTTGTCTAACTTTTGGGCGCGACGTCGATGCGCGTGAGAAGAATACACGACTACGCGCATTCCTTTGACCTCGTCCATTAGCGGCCCGACAATTCCATCCCCGGGCGCGACACGACTAGACTTTCGCGCGTTTTCGATATCTCGCCGACAACAACAGCTCCACCGCCCATCAACAACAAACACCAGAGCTATCCTCCACACCCGCCATCATGAGCGGCTTCACATTCGGCGGCGCTGCCAACAACAGTGGCGGTAGCAACACTCCTCAGAAGTCGCTGTTTGGCGCTACACCCTCTACTGGCAGCGCGACGCCATCTCTCTTCGGCACCGCAAACAACGCTTCCAGCACACCAGCCAGCGGCGGCGGCGGCGGTCTCTTTGGCGGTGGTGCAGCCAATTCAAGCGGCTCAGGCGGTCTTTTCGGCGGCGCATCCAACACACCTGCATCCAAGCCTGGTGGTGGTCTGTTTGGCGGAAGCTCAGCTACACCGGCCGCGTCTTCAACACCAGGTTTCGGCGGAGGTTTCGGTTTTGGACAAAAGAAGGAAGGGGATGCGCCGAAACCAGCTGGTGGGCTTTTCGGCGGAGCTTCAACTGGCGCAGCGCCAGCATCTTCCGGCTCTCCATTTGGTGGATTCGGCGGAGCAGGTAGTGAGTAGCTGGGTATCTGTGACAACCAACACAACTGCTGACATATCTTCTAGGCTCGACGCCAACAGCTACGCCAGCAGCAAACAAGACTTCTTTCCTCCCTTCCACCACTCCAGCCGGCGCACCTCCAGGTGGAAGTCTATTCGGCCAGAACAATCAGTCTAGCGGAGGCACATCCTCTCTGTTCGGCCAAAAGCCAGCAACGACCACTTCGTCTTCCACACCTGGTTTATTCGGCGCTGCGCCTGGGCAATCTGCCGCAAAGCCTTCAGGTGGCTTCAGCCTCGGAGGAAACACAGGCGCCTCGAACGATGCGAACAAGGCCGCCGCTCCTGCGTCTACACCCTCTAGCGGCCTGTTCGGAGGTGGTCCGTCAGCGCCCGCTTCACAAGATGCGCCCGCTTCCAAACCTGCAGGTGGCTTCTTTGGTGGGCTGGGCAGCAGCACCCCCTCCTCGACACCTGCGAAGCCCTTGGGAGGGTTTAGCCTGGGCACAACATCCGCTGCTCCAGCTTCTACGCAGCCTACTGCGACCTCGGGCTTGAGTCTAGGTGGGAATAACGCTGCGTCGTCTGGTTCTGCAGCACCGAGCCTATTCTCTCCTGCGGGAGCTTCCACACCAGCGTCTACGGGCGGTGGCTTCAGCTTTCCCAAGCCTGCTGCTCCTGCCAGTACCGCTGCGACAACCGGAGCTACAACCACTGCAACAAGTGGTGCGCCTACGACAACCGCATCATCCAACACGTCCTTGTTCCCCAGCCTAGGAAGTGGACTGGGAGGCGGAAACACCACGTCCGCTCCTTCTGGTACCGCTGCCACCACAACATCCGGAGCCACTCCCAGCTTGTTCAGCAAGCCTGCAGGAAGCGAAGCACCAGCAGCATCGTCCAACACTACTTCACAGCCAACTCCGGCCCCTGGAGCGACAAGCGGAAACAATGCAGGCCAAAGTGGACTTGCTGCGTCAACTGCCGGACCCGCACCATCAGCGCAATCACGACTGAAGAACAAGTCCATGGACGAGATCATCACCCGCTGGGCTGCCGACCTATCCAAGTACCAGAAGGAGTTTCAATCACAAGCCGAGACAGTCGCATCATGGGACAGGGCGCTCGTCGAGAACTCCGACAAAGTCCGCCAACTATACTCCAAGACCTTCCAAGCCGAGCGTGACGCCGCCGAGGTCGAGAGGCAGCTAACGATGATGGAGGAGAATCAGCAAGAGCTCGACTCCTATCTGGATCGCTACGAAAAGGAGATTGACAACCTGATGAAGATGCACGGTGTCAGCGGCAAGAACGAGACACTACGCGGCCCAGACCAAGAACGCGAGAGGACGTAAGTTGTATCTGTACCCCTAAAAATCTGCACGATGACTAACAACCCCCCCAGCTACAAGCTTGCCGAAAAGCTCCAAGACCGCCTCAACGAACTCAACAAAGACCTCACGGAAATGATTGAAGAAATCAACAACACATCCCAGACGCTCAGCAAGACAGGCAAGCCAGATGATCCCCTCACCAAGGTCGTCCGCGTCCTCAACACGCAGCTTGCTCAGCTCCAGCTCATCGATTCGGGGGCCTCGCAGCTTCAGGAGAAGATTAACAAGGCGCAGAGGGAGGGCCAGCGTGTTGGTGCTAATGGGTGGAATGGATTGGGCAGTGATCCTTCGGCTGATTTCATGAATAGTATGCGTGGGGGCAGGGCGAGCCAGAGGTTCGGTGGTGTGTCATAGGGGGTTGATGTGAGGGATGTAGGATAAGATGGGATAGGGCTTGTGCTCTTGATGGATGGATGGTAGTATGATTGCATACATTGGCGTTGTCAAGGCGTTTGTATTAGCTCCTCGAGCCGCGAAGTAGAAGTACAACAACTCTAAAAACGACTACACTTTCTCTGCCTCCCCTTGACCCCCTGCAAACCTTGCCTCCTCCTCCTCCCCCTTCCCCCTAACAACTTCTCCCTCCACACCCGCATCCACCATCCTCGCCCTGTCACTTCTCCCCTGCCACCAAACACCCCCCGCACACCACACCCCCATCCCAATACTAACCGCAATCATAGCCCACATACCCCTCGTAAAATACGGCGCCATATCCGCGCCATAAAACAAAATGCTCCACCAAGCATTAATCGCATTACTCCCCATATTCATACTCGCAATCACCACTGCCCTGAGACTATCTTCTTCATACCGTAGCACATCGTTCGCCCACGCGAAGAAGGTCGCTTGGCACGCGTATACGCTGCCGGCCCAGTAGTACATTGCGAAGTGGATGGGTGTGGATTCGGGGTACGCGAGTATGAGGGCGGAGGTTATGATGCCGGTTATGGCGATCCAGTAGCCGACTAGATAACGTTTTCCGCCCATGAAATCGGTGAGCGTCGCCCAGAAAAGGGTTGATGCGATGCCGACGGCTGGGACGCCGGTTGGGTAGTTGTTGTTCTGGGCGACGGTGTACGTATTCGTCGGATGAGAGCGCATGTACAATTGCAACAGGGCATTCGTACTGAAGGATTCGGTTTCGCCGGCAAGAATCCAGAGGATGACGAAGAAATACCAGTACCACGTGCTGAAGCAGTGTTTTAAGAAGGAAAAGGAGACTGGGGTTCGTTCGCTGACTTCAGGGACGCGGGATATGGCGAGCGCTTTCTCCGTGGCGGAGAGGTAGGGCGCTCGGGTGTTGCGCGGGGTGTCGGGGAAGAGGAGGAAGCCGTAGAGGGCGACGGGGAGGGTTATTATGCCGTCGATTACTGGGAATGATGTTAATACATGCGTATGTGTATGTTTGAATAGAATTAACTTACTAAACAGCCACCTCCACCCACTCATCCCCCTCAACCCATCCATACTACTATGAATTCCCGTCTGGATAAACCCGCCTATCATCGTGCCTGCCAGACCCGATGCAGTGAAGATACCAGATCGTTTCCCTAGCTCTTTCTCTGTGTACCACGAGCCGAGGATGTAGTGTGTTCCTACAAAGGTGGAGGATTCGAAGAGCGCTTGGAAGAAGCGGATTGCCATGATGTCTTGTGGCTTTTGGGCTGCGGCTGTTACCATTGTTAAGCCCGCCCATGCTACCTGGCGGTGTGTTAGATAGGGTGTTTTTGGGAGGTCGGGTGGGGGGAGAATGTACCATGCATGCTGGGAAGAAGTAGCGGGGTTTGATGTAGTAGAGGGCGATGTTGCAGGGGACTTGGCCTATGGTGTATCTTGGGATGTGATGTTAGTACGTCTCTTCATGTCTTTGTTCTTCATGTTCACTCACCCTACAGTGAAAACGGTATTGATTTGATTGAGCTGATTCCCCTTGAAGCTCAACTCTTCCCTCATGCCAGAAACATACGCATTGTTGAGGTTTGTGCGATCAAGATAGTTCAAAAAGTACATGAGACAGCAGAAAGTAAGGATGAAGAAGTCGAGCTTCTGCACCAACTTGCGCTCGCCTGGCGCATTCTGATCGCCTCGAAGATAGGCGATGAAGCTGTTGGCCATTTTGAAGATCTCAGATGTTGAGATGTTGCCCTCCGTTGGGCAGTGGTGATGCGCCTCGTCGCTGGAGATATGAGGTTATGCGACGAGAGATGGTGCTATCGCGTCTTGAACAATCGCCGTTATCAGTCCTGTATGTAGTCTCGATTCTCTTCGGGTGACATTGTCCGTTCCTGCAGGATAGGACCGATAGACGCTGGGAACGAGATATGAATGATAGTACGCCACTTATGCCTGACTCGGAGCGTTCGCAATCAGTAACTCTCACCGACGATCATGACGCCTGTGGTCAAATAGCTGATTGCCGATATCGGGTGCTTGAGTAGGCGTATCTGAATCTCAAGAGGGCAGGTATATCTTCTTGAGCAACGGCAGTCTATCTCGGCCGACCGAGCGGCATGTCTGCTAGGGGTTAGTCTGGCTCGGGCGCGTCTATAGGTGCGGGGAATGGTATTGTCAACGCCTCCGATGGCTTCGGTTCAGAGCCACCATCACGTATGGACCGCGGCGCAGATGGACCCGAGAGTGGGGAGGATGAAATACGGAACGGCGAAGGATACTCACGGAGATGTTCACAGATTCCTCTTCTGATTTAATAATCTTGAATACCACAATCATCCGAATCACGGTAGCTTGGCGTTGCAAAAGTCCTGAAGCATGACATCTGAAGCGAACTGGGAGAAAGTTGCTGCGGGGAAGCGCGCAGCTCTCGCGGAATCCATTCCGACTCAGTACCGCATACCGCAGGACAAGTTTCCACCGGAATCACAACTCGACGTCACGACATGGCCTAGGGAATCCAAATGGCTTACAGCGTCAGAGCTCGCGATCACTGAGAGCACCGCGTCAAATATCCTCGAGAAGATCGCGTCGAAAGCATGGAGCGCCGAAGATGTCACGCTCGCATTCTGCAAATGCGCCGCAGCAGCGCATCAACTGGTATGGCAGAGTCTTGTAGAGCAGAGTTGAGGTGATTTAATAAGTGCATAGACCAATTGTCTCAGCGATGCCTTCTTCGATGAAGCGGTGCAACAAGCCAAATCCCTCGACGAGCATCTCGAACGGACCGGCAAGACTGTAGGACCGCTCCATGGCCTGCCCATATCACTCAAGGACAACTTCAACGTAAAGGGGAAAGATAGTACCGTAGGCTTCACCTCGCTAGTAAACCAACCGGCCGATTACGATGCGACGCTGGTGGAGATACTGCGTCGACTGGGTGCAGTCCAGTATTGCAAGACAAATGTGCCGACGGCCATGATGATCGTACGTATACGTGCACATGTAACGAGCTGGAAACTGACAAGACACAGGCAGAGTCTGTGAACAACACATTCGGACGTACCGTCAACCCGCTCAACCGCAAAGTCACGTCCGGAGGATCGTCAGGCGGAGAGTCAGCCCTCATCGCATTTGGCGGAAGTCCACTGGGCGTCGGAACAGACATTGTAAGTTTGACACAACACAAGACGTCCCAATCTGACAACACCAGGGCGGCAGCTTGCGTATCCCAGCAGCATGCACCGGCATCTTCACTCTGCGCCCCTCCTTCGGCCGCTTCACCACACAAAGATGCAGATCCGGTCTCGCAGGCCAAGAAGCAGTACAATCCGTCAACGGGCCCATGGGCAAGACACTCTCGGATATCACCATGTACTCCAAAGCCATCATCGACGCAGAGTGTTGGAAGGTAGATCCAAAGATGCTGCCGATACCGTGGCGGCACGTAGATGTCCCGCAGAAGCTCAAGATCGCGGTGCTTTACAACGACGGGGTTTGCTTGCCTACACCGCCTGTAACGCGTGCGTTGAAGGAGACGGCGGTGAAGCTAAAAAAGGCTGGGCATGAGGTTTTGGCTTGGAATCCTAAATTACATGCAAAGGCGCTCGAACTTCTAGGTCGCATGTTCGTTGCAGACGGGGGGAAGAGCGTTGAGGCATTACTCAGCGTAACAGGCGAGCCCTACCGACCAGAGATGATCCAGTACAAAGACGCGAAAGAACTAGGCGTCTACGATATGTGGAAGCTACACTCGGAGCGATCGGAGCTACAGCGGCAATATTTGGAACAGTGGATGGCCATTGAGGGACTCGACGCCATTCTAGGTAGGCAGCAGAGAACTATTGTTTTGTTGAAACATTTTTTTTTTTTGCTAATATCCATCAAGCACCAACAACCCCCTACTCAAGCGTAGCGCACGGCGACTTCAAATACGTCGGATACACTGGCGTGTACAACGTAGTTGACTACTCAGCCACCTCATTCCCTTGTGGAGTCTCGGTCGATAAAGACGTGGATAAGTATGCGAGCGATTATAAGGCGCAGAGCGAGTACTGCCAGGGTGCTCACGATAGCTGTAAGTTACATACCTTACCACAATTGCCATTGTTGGTGACTAATGAATATTAGATAACCCTGAGCTGCTTCATGGCCTACCCGTTAGTCTGCAGTAAGTAACGTTTAGAGTTTACTTGGGATCGTAATGCTAATACTTTGTAGACTTGTTGCGCAACGACTGGAAGAGGAGAAGGTACTTGCTATGACTGAGACGGTGCTTCAAGCTATACGGTCGTGAGTGGCTTGGTGCATGTAAGTATGGAATGCTTTCAAGATGTATTGAAGTTATTTGTTCATTGTAGCGGGGATGCATAGCAAAGAACTGTCCATGCAGCAATACCATGATACTACGACGCAGCAGACAAAGATTTCCACGATACTGTAACGCCCAAACGCTAGAACACCACATAGCACTCCTCCACCACTCCATCGTCATCTCCGTCGTCCGCCGGAACAGCCACTTTACAAACATCATCGCCCATCCCATACGGTTCCAAATCCTGCAACCCAAGATTATACCCGTAAACGCTCTCTATCCTCTCCACAAACGTCCAGAAACTCTCCTTGCCCTTCATTTCTCTCGTATGCATATGCATGTCCCATCCACTCAGACTCCCACTCCCGCCACTACCACTGCTACTCTATAGTATAACCTTCCACGCCTGACCAGGACTACTCTCATTGGGACAATACGGACACTTGAACTTGGTGCCCCTGGACAGCTTCTCCAAGCTCTCCTGCGCAATAACATGGCCACACGGCATCATCATGGGCGGATTCTTATCCGTACTCTGCTCCTTGGACACTGGACACACGAAAATGGAGTGGAAATGGTACTGACTCGGCAGTGGAATCTCCACAGGTAGCTCATCCTGCGTCGTCCATTCCGTTCGTTTCTCCTTCATTATAGATTGCATTTTCAGCAGGTAGGGCAAGGCGATTGCGCCAGCTGTTGCGGCAATGAAGAGGGGGGAGTCGGCGGAGAGACCGAGTAAGGAGCAGAACTCGCGGTTGAAAGACTGTGCGACTTCATCCCAGGCGGTGGTGTTGTAGAAGAGGCGGTGGTAGGGCGATGTGGGTATGTTTTGGTAGAAGGCCATGGCGCCGAGGAGTTGTTGGATTTCGCGGGCGTAGCGCTTTTGGAAGGGGGGGAATTCGCGTCGGGCGTAGGTCCAGGCGGAGAGGGGGCCCGTGGGGGGTTGTTCGTCCGACGAGTCGGACATGAAGGAGTCGTCATTGGTGGCGGTTGATGTGTCGAAGAGACAGACGAATTGCAGGCGGCAGAGCTCGAATTCTAGGTTGCTGCCGCGTTCTTCGAGGAGGGCGCTGCGTTCGCGGGCCCATTGGATGGCGGGGGCCAGGTTCCGCTCGTGCCGGAGTTGGTGCAGGATGTGGTACATGTCGGCGAATTGCTGTTGGAGTTGCTCCGAGTTGAAGGTTCCTTCTGCTAGATCTTTTTCCCAGGCTTCGCGTATGTATGGATTCGGCGTGTTGGGCGTGGGTTCTGGGTGAGGTGGTTGTTTGCGCGCTTCTTCGATGAAGGTGGATGCTACGTCGAATTGGCCTTCACGCAGGAGGTGCATGGCGATGGCGCGGTTGATGAGTGAGGGGTGCGAGGAGAGCGCATCGTTGTCGGCGGAGGGGAGGGGCTTGTCTTTGAATTTCTGTAGATAACTGTTAGGTTGGTGTTGTTGATGCATGTATAGGGAAGCGCACTTTGTCCAGCGTCTTGCCATACTTGTTCAGGCCAGCGTAGATTGGCTTGAGGTCTTTATTTACCGCGTCCAGAGACCTCTTGAATGGGTCCTGGAGTTTCGCGAGGGTCACAGGCGCCGTCTTGGGGTCTGGTTGCGCAAGTTAGCAGGGTCCACGGCGAGATTGTTGACAAAGTCCTCACCAGCTGCGATCTTAGCGCGAGCTGCCGTCAGCATGTCTATCGCATTTTGCACATCGTCGATGCTGGTAGAGAGGTTGGCGCTGCTCTCCAGCAGCTCCACTTGCTCGCGGAGGTCGTCCATGGTGTTGATAGTGATGGTATGCCCGGGGGCGGTGGTTATGATGGTTTGTAGAGAGTAGAGGTAGCAGAGCTCGGGTCAGCTAGCAGTGAATAGCTGTTGTCTGGCCAGCAGAGCTCTCTGCCGCTGTCCATGACCGTCGTGTTGGCTGATTGGAGTTGGCGTCGAGCTCGCGATCGCCGCATGGTCGCTGCAGCCGCGGGCATGACGTGTGGGGGACAAGGCCGACGACCTCCGCGCGCATGATCAGCTCCACCGTATGCACAACCTCCCCTATACCGACGCCCTCTCGCGATCCAGATGCAGCGCCGAGCTCGAGACTGCTCGAACCATGCATAAAGTGCCATTCCATCCGCCTCCCGTCACACTGTCACCGTCTGCCCGGTGGCTCGCGCTCGGGCATCGGCGAGACTCTGCGCCTACCTCTCTACGATGAAGAGCTTGCCTTTACAGCGCCCTGTAGTGTATCCGAAACATACTTCACCGCCTCTAGCCTGACATGGCGCACCCACTGCCCATGTCGCCGTCGCGGACGCACACGGAGAAGGAGCTTCGGGACCAGATGCCGCCCCTGCAGACGACGTCAACCCAGCGCAAGACTTCAGCCCAGTCCCGCCCACAGCCGCTCTCCAAAGCTCCTACCACCGAAATGATACCTGAAGAGGCCAAAATTAAGTCTCCCACGTCGCCTGCAGGACACCAGCGCTTCGTTTTGACCGATGTGGTGGCCGCGCGATACATCGAAGAAGACCCGACCACCTCATGCCAGGTCCTCGCGCGTCGCCAGAAGATCGAGGGCTACGAGATATACCTCGTCGAGCAATGGGCGTGTTCGCGCACCCATCCTACCTTCCTCATCACAACGTATACCGGCAATCCCGAGGACACTGTGCTGGCCACAATCATAAGCGTGCCCAAGAATGAGGAGGAATGGTCGCCGCAGATGCGCCTGTACTTCAGGTCGCTGACCGAGTACCATGCGCGGAGAAAGGATACGCCCTATGGCGCCTTGATGGTTACAAACCTCAGTGGCTTTCCCTCTTCCTTGACTGTCATACCCATCCCCGGAGGCGATCTGAAGAAGTATCGCGAGGCCTTCTTCGTCAACGAGAACCTGAAGAGACTGGGATGTTCAGGTCGTCTGGGCATAAAGCTCACCCCGCCAAGCAGTGCGACGCAAGCCAAGTTCCAGCAACTATACCGTACCAGCGAAAAGATCCCGTTCAACGCATCCGTCATTGAGCTTGTGAAGCTCTGTCAAGTGGCACTTGTCTTGTTTGGCAAGCTAGAACCAGAGTATGCAGACGGGCTGCTGTGCGATGTGACGGAGAAAGCTATCAACGATTGGTGGATAGACTTTGGATCTGAGTACTACACAGTGGAACCTCACGATGGCATTCTTGGTCCTACCACAGTCGCTGCTCTGCTGGGTATGCTGATGGGTGCCCGAAACCGACTGAGCGCCTGTAGCGCTGCAGTCGCCAAGGATGTGTTTGACATAGAGGCCACTAAGCGTGGTATTGGACATTTCCAGAAGTCGCAACATCTTCCCAGAACTCGACGCCTCGATCGGCACACGCTTGATAAGCTACGAAGAGCTTCAGCAAAAGCAGCGAGTAAGGAAGGCTGGGCCGTTCCCCGGGCTTTCAAATCTACCGTGGCCGAGTTGGGAGGCAAGGGCGGTGAGATGGTCATGGGCATTGTTGGGGCTGGACAGAAAGACGGTATCGCTGAAGTGGAGACTGTTGATATTGACCAGTTTGTAGAGCTTGTGAGAGGTGAACATGCCAAGTGGTTGTGGCACGGAAAGCCCAGGAAAACTGTATCAGGCGACAGCATGTTCGATCGACTTCCTGGCGGAGAAGCACGCTCAGCCTCCCCAGACAAACATGACCCTGCACCGAAGCTGGTTCACCGAGAATCAACGCTTGATCAACAAGGCATTGCGAAGCGCGATACAGGGTCTTCGGAGCTGAAGAAGGCAGAAACCTTTTCGCCAGATGGCCAGGAAAAAGACAGCAAAGACCCGTATTCAAAGCGGGCCACCATCAAAGCCAAGCTAGAGTCTGGTAGCGGCTTTCATCACATCAAGAACGCCGTGGGTCTGCGTACTCATGCAAGCAAAGTATCGCGAGAAGAACATGGACGGCATGTGTTGCATCGAACCAAGAGTGGCACACCACAGTATGCAGACTCAAGAACGTCGATGGACTACTACGAAAGTCAGTCGGACGATCCCTATTCTCTCATATCGCCTCAGAGTACAATGGGCGAGGAGCCAGCCTACGCCAAACAGCTTACCGAAACCCCGGGCGACTCAGTGGTGTCATTGAACGACAACAAGCTAGTTGGTGGGCGCCACGCATCCAACCTACGGAGTTCCATCATCGAAAGCGACGTCTCAGATCAGCCCGATCAACCACCAACCATATCAAGCTCCGTCGCAGGATCCATCTATCACGGCGTAGACCTCGACCAAAACCTCCCCGTGGACCAAACCGCCCAAGTCCCGCCGCTCCTCCGCCGCACCCAATCCGGCTCGCAATTCCTCTTCTCCCAACCCTCACGCAACGAAAACTGGTGGCCGCGCCACCTCTCCTTCAGCACAGCCGAAGAAAGCGTCCTCCGCTGGCCCACAATCAACGCTTCGGATCCCGTTGACGAAGAAGCAATTACAGACGCCGACGACGATCTAACCAAGACCAACACAACCGCCGCCCTCACCACACGCGCCACAACCCAAAACCTCCACTCCACGCAACTAAAACGCCTGCACGCCCACCTCCACACCCTCTCCTCCCAGGACGCCCTCTGGGTCTCCACCGCCCTCTCATCCATAACATCCCTCTGCTCTTCCGCAGACACAGACATCCAAACGCTCGAAAGTATCTACTACCCCCGCCTCGACACGTACCACTCCCTGCGCGAAGATACGCACGCGACTGTTACCAATAACCGCGGCCAGCTTACCGCTAGTCTAAGGGAGCTGGGTAATGTGGGCGATAAGATCGAGTATGAGATTAGTGCGCTTAGGGGTAAAGTCGAGGATATCGAGGATGTGGTGGGTGAGTTTGAGAGGCAGGTTGAGTTTGTGGAGGGGAGGGTGGGGGAGTTGGAGAGGGTGTTGGGAGAGAGGGAGGGGTGGTGGGGATGGGGAGTTAGGGTGTTGACGGGGCTTGGGGCTGCGCAGGGGTGAATGGATGGACGGGAGAGATGGATGGTGTTGTGGGGTATCTTTTTTTTTGGAGTTTATGGAAGAGGCGTTTCGGGTATACCCGTTGTAATGTTTTGAGTATATGTTTTTACTCTGTTGAGATGATGTATATAGGAGACCGTTATTCTTCACATAGACCTAAAATATTCACTCACATTTCCTATCGCAATACTTGCTTCATACGTCGTAAGCTCATTTACTGTTGCTCATCAGGGTATCACATACTACTACTATCTTTCCACAATCTCGAAACATCCATCACCCCCCTCCCCTCATCTTCAAGCAATCTACTTCCCCCCAGCAACCCTCTGCCTATGTTCCTCCTCGAGCAAACTCTGTTTCCTCACATACTCCATAACAATATCCTCCTCGGTCCTCTGTTTCTCCAGATTACTAAGCCGTTCACTCTCTGCTTTCTCGCTTTCAGCCAGCACCTTTTTCAGCTCTGCGTCTTCTTCATCTTGATCGTTGTCGTTGTCTTGCATTGTAATGCGATGGGGAAGGGGAGGTGGAGCGGTGCGTGAATGTGAATCTGTGTCACTATCACGCGTCTGGTCTTCTCCTAGGGCAGTAGAGGGATGGGCGGAAGAATGAGCATAAGGCGGTGGAGAAGCAGAAGCAGCACCAATAGCCTGACTCATCGCATCCATGACACCACTTTCCTGCTGTGCGTCTTGGGTCGAAGTAGCGTAGTCGTCTGGATGCTCTGCGTGGATTTGAGCGAGATGTTTCGACTCGGCAATAATACGCTTGTAATCCTCATCATCCTCCGTGTCATTATCAGAATCCCATTCGTGATCGCTGTGTTGTCTTGTCCTCTTACTTGTCTCAAGTAGACTCTTTCTGAGTGTTTCTTCAAGCGCCTTCTTCTCCTCTTCTGTCATGTCGGTTTTGCCGGCTTCAGACATGCTGGCCGTCATGGCGCGGTGGAGCGCTGCTTCCTCGTCTTGTTGTGTCGGCGCACCGCTAGAAGGGGGTGCGTTTTCGAGTTCAGCGATGGAAGCGCGGATTGCGGAGGCGATTAAGCGGTCTTCTTCGGGGTCGCCGCGCGAGGATTCGGCGACAGAGGCGGCGATGGCGCGTTCGAGTTCGCGTTGGTCTTCTTCCTCTTCGGCTCGGAGTTGCGCTTCGAGATCGGCTTGTGATTGTTGTGAGGGAGCGGCTGAGGTGCCTGAAGTAGCTGTGGTTTGTCGCTGCAATGCGCGTGTTCGTTCGGCTTCTTGTTGGCGCCAACTGGGTATTGTTGACCGGATCTCAGGCTCGACACCGCGTCTCCGTGGAGGATCAGGGTATTGGCCTGCTGTGCTGCCCGGAGGAACGGAGTTCGTGTGGGTTGACGGCTGGGCTACTGCACCAACATGCGAGTCGAGTATAGCAGAGCGCTTATCCTTCCTATCCTTCTTCTGTTGGACAAGTGAATGTAGCGAGTCCATTTGCTCGGCTCCAACGTTACGCTTCTTCTTGATACCCCACTTCATGTGACTCCATTTCTTGACGATCACGTCGCGTTCTTCTTGCGTTACCTCGGATGCTTCATCGTAGCCCTGCGCGATACGTGCTGCAATGATGTAGTTTTGCACACTCTTTCCCTTGCTCTTGACCATTTCTTGGTAGAGTCCTTTCATGGCATAGCCAGGAACTGACCAAGCACCACCCATGACGCGGAATGGCACACTCATGATGCCGCGCCCGACTCCCTTGACAAAGCCAATGCCGCCTTCTTTTTTCGCACCTTTGTAAGGGTCCGTCACAATACCGGTGATACCATCGTAAAGGCCGAAGCCGAATTGCTGTGTTGGCATCAGTAAACATCATTCGTAGCGTTATGGTCAACATACCTTGGCAGCGGTTCGCATGCCACTCTGGAAATCGGTAACCTTATCGACCTGTCGTACATCTGCTCCGTAGAGCTTCGGGACATTGTGGAACCCCTTAGCAACGTTGAGCGAGAAGTCCATGGGTGACTTGAAGCCAGCGCCGACGATCCTAGCTAGACCCTTGCCAGTGTCTACTGCAGAATCGACATTCTCGGCCATGCTTGGCTTTGGACCTGTGTTGGATGGCGCTGCCGATCCAGCCACGGATCTGGAGCGACTGCGAGACCGCGATCGCGAGCCTTGGGTAGATTCAGCAAATGCTTGAGACATGAATGATGATCTGTGTGAAGGCGTACCAGGAGAGCCAGGGCTTTTGACTGCTGGGTTGTCCGCCTGTATCCGGGCTAGATCAGCAGCAGCATCAGCTGCTGTTGGTGTTGTGGCCCCACTTCTACCTGAGCGATCGGTAACATCAGTTGCAGTCCTTGATGTTGTTGGGCGTCCACTGCTACTTCCTTCTCCCGCAGAAGAAGTTCCGGTACCCGTTGCCTTTTCTTTGCCTTTCTTAGATCTGGCATCAGGATGTATGTTGAGTAGTTTGAGAGTCTGAATTGGCATATCAGCAACACCCATCATCACTGAAGTTGCTGTTCCCATCAAAGCACCAGCTGCGCCAGAAACTGGATCCCAAGGGCCTTCATCAGGAACATACTCGCGAGGGCGGTATCTACAATTATTAGCACATGTCATAGATCGAGTATGCGATTGCTTACAGTTTCATGTCAGAGAAGTTCACTTCGCCTTGTTGGGCCAGTACAGTAGCCGCTTTAGCACTCAGCTTCACGTCAGTACGCTTCAGTCTCCAGACAGCCGGCTTGTCTGGCATGAGAGCACATCGCAGTTCGTCGTAATTAAGCATCTGATGGAATGACTGGGCTCCCTTCTGTGTGCCGTTTTCCTGTTTGATCTTGTCGCAGAGCTCCTGCGCCCGATCGAGTGTTTCCGGTTTAAGGGCTTCGTTGATAGCTCCAGCAAGTTTCTCTGCGGTAAGTTCCTTGTACGGGATGGGATCAGGCCCAGCGCCCGCTCTCGAGACCATGGCTCCCCAGAAGGCTTGGTCTCCGAAGAATGGCACAACGACGGTTGGCTTTCCAGTTGCGATACCAGCTGCCGTGGTTCCGGCACCACCGTGGTGCACGACGGCAGACACGCGTTTGAACAGCCAATCGTGAGGACAGTTACCAAGCATGAAGACGCCATCTGGCTTTCCAAGATCATCGGCTCCTAGTCCGCCCCAGCCTTTGGACACTAAAGCACGCTTTCCGGTGATCTTCACGGCGTCGAAGATCATCTTAGTCATGGCATTTGGATCGTCTACCACAATGGAACCAAAGCCAATGTATACTGGTGGCTCACCTCCATCGAGAAAGGCTGCAAGATCCGGGGCTGGTGTGTAGTTCGAGGCGAGATTCAGGAAGTAGAAACCCGCGACGGAGATGTGGTGGTTCCAATCTCTAGGTTTAGGGATCAGTGCAGGGGACCTGTGGGGCGTGAGTCACATCATATCAAACAGTTCGAGTAAGCTTACCAGCAATATGTGAAAGGCACCTTCAGGCGCGCGAGCATGGCTGGCGCCCAGACAGCGCTGATGGGATCCAGCCGTAGGCTATCCTTGCGGAACCTGTTGATGACGTCGCCCAGACCCTGCCATGTCAGCACGTCGACCATGATATATGACAAGTAGTTGGTGATGGTAGGGTCTGCATTGCTAGACTGGATGTTGGCGAGTGGATGCGGGAACTGCTGTGTAGGCGACCACGGCATACTATTCAAATCAGTAGGTGCGCATATCTTAATGAAACCAGACATACGTGAACATCATGTGTAGAGGTATGCCCAACTTCTCGGCGCAATGTATATGTCCGAAGGCGGGAGGATTTGCGATTATGGCATCGGCGACAAATGGTTTCCGTAGTTGCTCTGGTAGCTGGTCCTCGATACCCATCCACTCTTCGACTGTCTGCTGGAGCGGATCTATACCGAGACCGTTACCTGTCTCTATGCAAGATCTCCATGTACCGCTCAGAATCTCTGCAATGCCCTTCCTCCTCTTGCCAATGTCACCACTGCGCAACGTATCGAAACCAGGCATCAGCCCCGGGTTCTTCACCATGAAAGCCATGAGTTCAGCTGGGTCGCCTCCGATACTGAAGAATTCCAAGCCATTCTCGATAACAAAGTCCTTGAACGTCGGGTGTGTCGCCAACCGTACCCTATGGCCGTACGTATCCTTGAGCACCTTGCCCAATGCGACGAATGGCTGGACATCACCGCGAGAGCCCACTACTTGTATGACGACGTTTAGTGGAGGCGGAGGCTGCTGGCCGGGCGCACCGCCGAGGAACTCTGGGACGTATGGTGGAGGCGGCTCGGGATCTTCTTGCGCGTTCGTGAGCTGACGCTGTATTTGTGGGAGGATGAGCTGTGACAGCGCGCGGCTCTTCTGGTCGATTCGGATATTAACACGTCCATCGTCGGCAACTACTGCGTTTGTGCCCAGCTCTTCGTTCTCGACTTGTCCTGGCAACTCGGTGTATGCGGGTGGTAGGTCCCCAAGGGTCGGTGCTTCGTAGGCGGGACCATCGCTGGCGCTAGGGTTTTGATGTGAATTAGAGGGCGCGCTACGCATGAAGTCAGTACAGAACGGTCATCAACTACCTGGGAAGACCAACGTGGGTTGTGTTTGTGTATTTGGCTGTGTTGGTGGGGCATTGTAGCGGGGCGCGTCATTGCCCTGCGCGGGGTTACTTGAACTCGCCATGGTGGTTGCAAAAGAGTGCTCAGGAAGAGGGCATCGTAGGTAATGACGGAGCTGCAAGAGAGAACGTCAGAAGGAGCCGCTACAACTAAGAATGAGACGCAGGAGCTGCAAGCCTGTATTCCACGCGCGGGAGAGCATATGCGCTATGACATGCGGACCTCTTCGGACTTCTTGGCGTGTGATTGGCTATGGATAGATCAAAGCCACAAGCGGGGCTTCGTCATCGCTCAGCCCCCGATGCCTTGTTACCTACTTCTGGGGTCCAGTTTGCATGTCACAAATTGCATCTGAAACGATCGACACTGGAAATGCTAATCTTGGTGCTGCCTGAGACTGTCAGGCGTCCACCGACCTTCCGCTAATTCAGTAGGCTTGGATTGTTAAGAACCAAATTCACCGAATACACAGTAGTCCAGAGGCCTGGTTGAGATAGGACTTGTATGTATGTCGTAACGCTACCTGATACTGATGACCCCAAAGCCACCTAAAGTCTGCCTTACCCACGTGCCAAGTGTATCGTAGTCCTACTGGCGCAACCTCAAGCGTATCGAAGCGTATACATGCGTATTCTCGTGTTGTTGTAGCAGCCCACATGGGGTACTCCGGTCCACATAGCAACTCAGAAGGCCCCGAGCAGCTGAGGATAATACGTAACCACGAGCTTCCATGCGCCGCGCTCGACACCTACAGCCCTGAAAACTACTTGTCGACAGAGGAGCGCTCATGATCGGAAAGAGGTGCTTGAACCGGAAATCTACCTGTTCGCACACGTAGGTCAGCCTCTCTATCGGGTCATGACGATACGCATGACTTACCACATATGCGGCCATGCGGAAACGCCTTCCTAAGAACATTTGCCGTCCGCCTCAGATGCGGCTGACTTTTGCTCATCTTGACGCTTCTCTGGAGGCTCCTGGTATACTGAGGCCTTGCTGCTATCAGTGTCGCGCTTGGGTGCTGCTGATGTATCGAGAGCATGTTTCGCAAGCCAAATCAGTTGCTCTGTACGCGTCGTTGCTCTATCATTGGCGAGCTGCGTGCAAATCTTGTTGATAATGCGACCCGTAGTCGTTGTGCCCTGCGCTGCCCGGAGCTCGTTGACAGCTCGGTCAACACACATGGTGTGGTCTGACACTGAGCTAGAGCTTGGTCGTAGGCGGAGTTTGAAAGAGACTGATGAAGGCCTGGTAATACTGCGAGCGGTGTGGAGAGGGGCTTTGACATGGCGACGATGGTACTGGGTAACGTGGAATGTTAGTCGATAATGAGATCGTGGAAGGGGCGTTGAGACGCGTCCGGATACGTGACAACTGCCGACTAGATGTGGGGAAGAATGAGAACCGACTAGGTGAAGAGGTTGTCGAAAAGGATACAAAGTGTGAGCTGGCGGAGAGGTAGGTGAAGGCTGTTTCCATCTCGCCTGAATACAGGAAGGAGCTCTCGGTTATCGAAGCGCAAACTTCACCTATATGAAATGGGAGGAAGCTGCAATAGTGCCTTGTTTCACAGGTTGAACGATGCTCTTCTTCAGTGGCATCTACCATACATTCTCTTCTCTTCCTCCACGGTCTTCCATTTCGTACGTTCTCGGGCTATTAGTCCCACGACTGGTGAAGACAATCGCGTCAGATCTGTACCCTATGCGTAGAAGGATTTGGAACTGATGCCATCTTCAAGACCGCAGATGTGACAGACGCAGGTGAAAGCGCAGTGACAGCAATACATGGTGTGGGGAAGGCGTGATCCGCTTTTCCGCTTTGACTCTAGCTCGATTACCCTGCAGCAATCTCCCCGGCCACCCCACGTGGACGGCGCGTCATCTGTTGTATCACGCGTCCCCGAGGTCAACAACACAGGCGTCGGACGTTGATCGTCTCGTCTTTACGCTCTCAAGATCCAATAGCTCCTCCAGGATCATCAGCATTGATTGTCTCAACCGTCTTATACGACAAGAGTGGGATCTAGGCCTCTACCCTTGACTTTCAGCTCGCATCCACCCAGCCACAGGCTTTGGAGGGTACATAACCGCCGCGCGCTTCGACCCTTTTATACACAGACTTGTCTTCTTCTTTCCTGAACAAACAGCTTCATTGACCTTCGTTACTATGTTGCGTAAGAACATACTGGTTGGAGCTGCACTTGTAGCTTCGGCCACAGCATGGAACACAGACGGTACGTTCTTTACCTCTTCCGAATAGCCAGTGCTAAGTCTAGATAGTCCATAATCAGGTTGGCTTCATGGCAGAAACCTTCTTCACACCAGAAACCACGTCAGTCCTCGCAGAGATCCTCGAACCCAAGTATAACGGCTCAGTTGGGCGGTCCGCAGCATGGGCAGACGCGTATGCACATACCAGCGAAGGTCACTTCTCCTACCAGTGGCACTGGATAGACACACACGATCGTCAACCTGAGAACTGCAGTCTGGACTATGTGCGGGACTGCTCCAAGGGCGGATGTGTTGTTAGTGCTATTGCGAACCAGACGAGGATACTGCGGGAGTGCATAGACCAGGTGTATGCTGGTGATTTGACAGGAGGTGCAAACCTGACATGCTCTTATGCACTGAAGTGGGTGGCTCATTTCCTGGGCGACATTCATCAACCTCTACATGCAAGCGGCCGACAAGTAGGCGGCAACACGTACAAGGCGGTTTTTGGAGGCCACGCGACCGAGTTACATGCTGTGAGTATCTTCCCCAATAGTAGAAAAGAGGTACTAACAAACAAGGTCTGGGATGGCTACATACCCTACTTCGCAGCAAACGTCGACCATCCCTTCTCGCACGAGTCGATCGATCCATTCTTCTCTGGGCTCGTCACTCGTATTCGCAAAGACCAGTTCTACTCCACGCCGTACATGTGGCTCTCCTGTACCGACCCTTCCACACCCGAGGAGTGCGCAACAATCTGGGCGAAGGAGAGTAACAAATGGGATTGCGACTATGTGTGGAGTCGCGTCAGGAACGACACAGATCTTGGAACTGATGGATATGCAACAGGCGCTGTGCCCATCGTAGAGCTGCAGATAAGCAAAGCTGCGCTCAGACTGGGTACATGGTTGAACAACTTGGTCGAAGCGGCCAAACCTACTGTGGAAGAAGAGGAAATGATGGAGCTTTGAAGTGACAATTGAACAAACAGCATCATTTGCGAACTTCGGCTGGCTGTACATGTGCCATGCTGATCTCACATCATCTTGACTCTCCACATGTGGGCTCAGCCAGTATTTGTTGCATATGCAAACCAGTGGCGTTGATGCAGGATGGCTTGTCTTCAGCCCTACGAAGATGCCGGGACCCCACATCGGCATAGGTGCCATCTCCTTCCCCACATCCGGTTATATACTCTCCCGTCGCTGGCTGCATTGGCAACCAAACATCGAATTGCTTTGCCTGCTTTTTATACAGCGAACTCGTTTGGCAATAGGAACTTGGGATTCTTGCATTATGACTTTCGAAGATTTCAATGAAAAAATCACACCTGCAGTACGTACTTCGAACGGCCCCACATCTGCCTGCTCGATACTTTTTGGCATCTCCAAACACATGAGGCCGCCTTTGGAACTTACTCTTTCTTGATGAATGAAAACATCAGATATTCGAAATCTGACTGACCACACCACCAGAACCCCAGCCGGGAAACATCACCAAACCGGGGCTCCTCCGTCCATCAATCCATCGCCATACCCAAGCCCTGTAGACCACTCCGACAATGGCAGCAAGAACAAAACATCGACCGCGATGCCCAAATCAAACTCACCAAATTGGTCCACATGCGGTATCAGCACCCTGATCTAGACGAAATAACCACATTCCTACGTGACTTCGGCATGAGCGTAGCCCAAAAAGCCCAAGGGAAGAAATGGTTCAAAGGCTACGGCTCCGACCAATACGTCTACTACGCCCAGCAAGGCGAAAAGAAGTTCCTCGGCGGCTGTTTCGAAGTAGAAACCTACGCCGAGCTAGAAAAGGCGTCAAAAGTTTCCGGCGCAGGTCCCATCGAAGAGTTGACCGACGCACCAGGCGGCGGCCACATGATCACCCTGTACGATCCAGAAGGCTTCCCCATAAACCTAATCCACGGGCAAACAAAAAAAGAGCCAGGCCCATTTCCGGAAGTCCTAACAACAAACTACGAGAACGAGAAACCACGCGTCGCGCGATTCCAACGGTTTAAACCGGGTCCTGCGGCGGTGCATAAACTAGGCCATTACGGTCTATGTGTACAAAACTTCCAGGACGAGATGCAATGGTACACACGAACCTTCAACATCGTACCCACGGATTTCCTCTACATCAATCCCAACCCCTCAGACCCCTCCTTGCCGCAACAAAAAGACGTAGCCATCTTCGCACACCTCGATCTCGGTCCCAACTACACAGACCACCACACCATCTTTCTCTCCACAAACCCCACTTCACATGTGCATCACTGCAGTTTCGAAGTCCACGACTTTGACACGCAGAATCTGGGGCATGAGTGGTTGGCATCGAAGGGGTATAAGAGTGTTTGGGGTGTGGGACGGCATATTCTGGGGAGCCAGCTTTTTGACTATTGGTGGGATACGACCGGCAATATGATTGAGCATTATGCGGATGGGGATTTGGTTAATGAGGAGACGCCCGTGGGGTGGGGAGAGGCGGGGGATGAGAGTTTAGCGGTTTGGGGACCGGAAGTGCCGAGTTGGTTTTTGGATTGATGGAGATTGGTCTTGGGATTATGAGCATGGGTTTCAGATGCTCAGTTTTTTCGCTCAAAGAGCAGAAAATCTACGTTTTGCACTCTCAGACAACTACAATAGACTTGACTACCACTCCCTAACCTTCCCCCACCCCCGGTCTGTAACCCCATCATTCCCAAAATACCGTCCACTAACCGCCTCACTTTTCTCGCCCAACCCTCCGTCTTTGTCCCCACCCCTCCCCAACTGCCCAATCCCCAGCCTTACAGGTATCCTCGCCCCCTCCTCTAACGTCTTCGGCGGTCTCCCAATCTGATTCCCCATATCACTATCCACCCAACCGGGACAACAGCAATCTACCAACACGCCCTCGTTCTCCCGCGCTAGAACGACCGTCAGCGCGTTCATCAGCGCTTTGCTGACTTGATAGGATTTCGGGGGCGCGCCGAACCCGGCGGACTCTTGGGATGAAGATTTAACGGAGTCGATGTATTCTTGGGCGAGAGTGTCGACATCTGAGAGAGAAGTGGCGGAGCGGAAACGAGATGCAGTAGAAGAGGGGTAGTTTGATAGAGAGGAGGCAGTGCTGGAGACGTTTACTATGCGGGCGTTTGGGGTGGTGGACATTTTCCCTTCGGAGAGGAAGAGGCTGCACATTTGTTTTGTGCCATGATAGTTCACCTTGATGACTTGTTCTGCGGCATCGGGGGTTTCGTTGTTGTTGTTATTTATGCCGGCGTTGTTGATCAAGACGTCGATTTTGCCGCTGTCGTTGAGCGCGGCTTTGAGAAAAGAGGTTATGGATGATTTGTCTGAGACGTCAAGTTTGGCGTAGCGTATCTCATTGGGGGTTTTGGCTTGAACTTTGAGGTCTACGCCGCCGCGGGATGTGGCGTAGATGTGGAGTGGTTGCGGGTGTTGGGTGTTGGCTAGGAGGTTGATGATGCCTTGGCCGATTCCGCGGTTGGAGCCGGTGACGACTATTGTCAATGGGGATGCCATGGTTTTTGGGACTTGTTCAGATTGGTGGTTTTGCGTTGTATATTTTTCAAATCTACTGCAGACATGTTTATGTACTTAGATGTGTACTTGTGGAAGTGGTGATGTCAGGTACGATCCATGACGTAGCGATCTTCATTTGACCACATGTAGCAGGAGAAGGAAGGAAAGCATCGAAGGCACTTTAGTGAGAAGATGATGATGCGATTGTAACAAGACTTGTATTTCTATGAAGTCATACAGCGCGCGAAATCGAAGAAGCTCTGGCGACAGGACCTGATACCAGCTGCCCTCTCCTTCTATCAAGCTCCCCTTGATTAGTCTCCGTACTCATGATGCTGTTTGTGATGAAGGCTTGCAATCAGCACATCTCACTCCCTACATACGTCCCTTCAACGTGATAAGGGCTTGCTATCCAGAAGCTCTCCAATTTTTTCCGTCAACCACTCTTCAGCCTCAGGCCAATCGTCTCGCCCCAGGAGCATTTTACTCGATACTTGACGCGAATGGTCCGTACTGGTAGACCTGAGTGTCAGACTCCAGGTCTTCATACGTGAGGTCGGATTCATCCTTCCACTGAGATAAACAAGAAACGCGGGGCGTCTCACTGCTCTCCCCATCGGTAAACACAGGAATTCCAACGCCCTTGAACTCAATCTCTTGTAGCCCTGCCATAGCCTTGGCAAGCGAACGCAACAGGTTAACACGCTTTACCTCAGTTTCCTTTGAAATACGGACTGCGGTAATGCGGCCCATGTCTGAGGCATCTTCAATCCAAATCTCGTGCGTTGGCCGGAATGATGTTCGGTTGAACTGTCGACTCCTGCGCGATTATGCCAGTGTCTAGATTGACCGAGGAGGATGCTATCATGTCCTCTTCCGATGACATGCTGGTCTGAAGCGATGGTTTGGAGCGTTGGATGTAAGTAGTATGTGAGGAGAGTAAGTGACGAAGTTACGATTGAGCTGTGTCGGGGGCGTACGGTTTCGACAGGTGAGTAGTAATGTGGGGAGAAGAAGGGATGAACTTATAGTTGAGGGAGCTGTCAGTGCATGGTGTGAAATGAAGTTGCATATGCATTTTGACCCGATGGCAAATACTGGCCCGCTAGGAGTTCGGAGTGAATGCAGTCGCGTTTTCCGGAAGTCGGAAGGCCTAGATTTGTCAAGCCAAATTATACTGACACTTGACAACACTGCGAATTCTGTCACACAGGCCTCGATCATTTATGCGAGCCATTCTAGTCCCGTCTGCAAAATTGAGTGTGGTTCAGGAGTGACAGACAAATTGTCGTGCCGTTACTTCGAACCCCGCACACAGCCATGGCGAGTAACACTTCCAGTTTCGTAGTGTTCATCTCGCCATCGAGCCGATGGAGTTGCGGGAGCTACAGACACGTGGATGGTCATCCGAGTCCTTAAGTATGCTGGTAGCAACAATGGCGCGCAAGTTCAGGCTAGGCTTCAGGGTCGGGTTTTGTCTCGCGTTTGGTGGCGGATATAGGGCGATGTTACGGGTGCAATTGAGAAGCTGTTCGCTCATATTCCAGGGTTGAGGATGAGTAATGTTGAGGAGCTTCAGCAACTGATGGGTGGAGGATGGGTTGAAAGTGAGGAGGATGTCAGTCAGGCGATTGGGAAGTTGTTAGAGCCCAGCAGCCGCTTTACTTGCTTCGCTCGTTTTCAAGTGGCGGATACCCACCCCATTCGGGACGCCTAAAGTGCAGGGACGGAGTCATCCTGCTTTGCTACATAACAACCCTGTTGCTTCCATCCTTTCTATGCCATTTTCCCCCAGTCCTCATCAAATTGCAAAGATAAGTGAACTACCATGATGGCTGACGATCGATGCGGGGAATGCTACGAATGCATATGTTACCAAAACCAACTCAGCACCACCCAGGAAGCTGCACCTGGCCCACATCTTAGCGATACAGAATCTACTGGTAGTACCGCAGCCGAAACAGTCGATCTAGAATGCGCTCGCACCAAGATAAACCTTGAACCGCTAGCATGGTCTCTAGATTCTTCAAACGTCCTACCCCAAAGCAACTGCCTGCTCTACACATCGCTTCCTCTAGAAATCAAAGAGATAATCTACGCCTACGTTCTCACAGACACAACATCCTACCCTATCGACTACCTCAGTCCTGAAGACCCCATACCAGTCGTCCACGTCAAATACCTCGGCCACGGTCAAAATGCCAGAAGTTTGGCTGGCGGGAAACCTTTGCATCTTTCTGACCTAACGATATCTCTCCTCCTTACTTGTAAGGCGGTGTATCTGGAGACGTGGACTATGCCATTGAGAGTGAATGCCTACCACATGGATGCATCCAGGCATCTTCGAAGCGGTGGAATGCCAGCATGGCGACTAGCACAGATACGAGGACTGGACATCACAATCAAGCAGCGCGAGTTGGAAAACGGGAAGCTGGGGGATGTGTTGAAAGAGATGGGAGGGAACGCTAGACATCAGGGCGCATACGTGGTGCCTATGCACTGTTTCCGTGGTGATGGATGGGCGAAGATAGAGGGGTGTTCACGCACTCTTGACGACAATTGTCTTGTACCGGCCGCAGTCGACTTACCAAATACACAAAATCAGCGCCTGGACGATGTTCTAAGCCATCTTCCCCACCCCGTAGAATCCGTGCTACCATCAGCTCGCAGCCTCCACGTCACCCTCGCTCAACCCCTAACCTATCTCACTATGCGGCTCACACGCACAGACTGGTCGACATGGAACGTAGCCAAATTCCTTCATCTCGACCCGTCGTTCGGGCGATACAACCTTGACGAGGGCCGGCCCTCGGCCAAAGCAATGCGTCTCCTTGCTTCTGAGCGCGAGGCTGGTCGGCATCCGCAGCTCGACTCGCAATCTTGGGGCGCGCATGTCGTTTCTACGCTGCCTGATCTGGAGAAGCTGGAGTTAGTGCTGGAAACGTTCGAGGCCAGGAAGGAGGAGTTGGAACGTGTTGTGCAGTGTGCGAAGATGTGGAGGTTTGGGTTTGGTGATGGTGGAGAAGTGGGGGAGAAGAAGAAAGAGTGGGCGTTGGTTTGGGATGGGGATGTAGTGGAAAGGCGGTGGAAGAGGGATATGGAAGAGACTGTGGTACCGAGGAATGTTCGTGGGCTTTTGCATCGTGTGCCTTGGTGTTATGACTGTAATGATTTTGAGGTGAGGACTCTGCGGTATGTTAGGACGAGAGTGGAGGAGTAGTTTACGCCATGGTTCACAGCAGCCGGTCTTTTCATTTTGTGCCTGACTTGGGCAACTTCGCTTGATTGAGCATGCGCAGACACTTTACATCTTGCTCCCACCCTCTTGCGGTACCTTGACAACAACCTTACCCCAGCTATTGCGTCCACCCAACGCCTTTAGCGCCGCGGGTACGCTGTCAAGTCCAACGTATTCTACATCAGTAAAAGCGGTGCCCTTATATTTCCCCTCCTTGACAAGCTGGAAAATGCCGTCCCAGACCTTATCCTGCATCTCTGGCTCGTTTATCGCGTACGCACCCCAATGCAACCCAACAACACTAACATTCTTGAGCAAAATGCGGTTCGTAGCCATCTTCTCGATGTCACCTGCCGCAAATCCGATGACCAGAAGTCTGCCGTTCCAGGCTGTGCATTTCATGGACTGTGCGATCAGACCGACAGGGTCGTACACGATGTCCACGCCACGGCCCTTGGGAGTGAGCTTCTTCACTTGCTCGGGCCAATCTTTGTCACGGTAGGAGACAGCGTAGTCTGCGCCAAAGGAACGCGCGACGTCGAGTTTGTGCGATGTGCCAGCGGTGGCTACGACGGTTGCGCCAAAGGCTTTGGCGATTTGCACGGCAGCGAGACCGACGCCGCCGGCTGCTGCGTGAACGAGAACCCAGTCGCCTACATAGCATTGTTAGCTTCTGCTTGGGAAGATGAACAGGGTTCGGAGTTCTGATGGCTTACCCTTCTTGATGCCTGCTCTAGTCACCAAACCAGCATAGCTCGTCGGCGCCGTAACAAATACACCAGCAGCATCCTCAAAACTCCATCCCTCGGGCACGGGCTTAAGTCTCTCCTCTGTGCAGACGATGTGTGTTGCGTAACCGCCCTGGGAAGCACCAAAGACTTTGTCGCCCTCCTTGAACTTCGGTGTCTTGCCTCCTGCGAGCGAGGAAGGTGCTTTGATAACGACGCCGGAGAACTCTGAGCCTGCTATCCAGGGGAAGGCAGGTTGGTGCTGGTATTTGCCGCGGATCTGGAGGAGATCAAAGAAGTTGGTTGCTGAGGCGTGGATGGCGATTAGGTACTCGTTGGATTTGGGGGTAGGAGTTGGGAGGTCGAGGACTTTGAGATCCTCTGGTCCCTGATAGAGTTAGTGACGAAGCTGGTATATCGCGAGAAGGATAGCTTACATTGACATATTCTTTGATTTGTATGCCTTTCATGTTAAGGTTTGACTGAGGTTACGCGTGGTATGTATGGTAGCAAACAGCCTTAATTGTGAGATATATGAATGGATTCAGTCAGGAGCTTGAAGATGACTTCGGGTAGATAGAATAGACGCGGACGCCATTGTAGCTTGCATGACGGCCGAGAGCTACTCAACGCTCCAAAAGATACCTCGGCTGGCTTCCCCGGCCAACCTCCGCTCCTTCCCCCACCCGGAGGCTTGGCTCACACGTCTTAGTCAGCGGAAGCCGCGCGACATGCACGGGCACGCGCTAAGGGATGGCAGGGTACCAGGTGCGGGTCCAGTGACGTTCTACTGCCTTCCAATCCTATCCAAAGCTAATGACAGCCTCTCTCGCACAGTCAAACATATCTGCTTCTATACACTCCCACTCGCCAAGGACACGTATCAGTTCGTAGTCAACAGTCATACACCCACCGCTCTATTCCTCCAAGTGCCTATAGAGCTTCTTATCACTACCCCACGCTCGTAAATCAGCGACCATGGCCGACGACGCCGCCACAACCACCGAGGACACGCAGATCACCTTCAATGTCAAGGCTGCAAATGACCAGAAACATGTCCTCACACTACCCAATACCACCACAGTCGCCGACCTCAAAGCCAAGCTCTCGACATCGGAATACGCAGATGTTCCCGCCGAACGCCAACGCCTGATATACTCCGGTCGCGTACTGAAGGACCACGACACACTCTCTAGCGTCAAGATCAAGGATGGCCACACAGTTCATCTTGTCAAAGGCGCCGCCAGCAACGTACGACAAAACCCGGCGAACCAAGGCACAGCAGGCACAGCAAGCGGAGGCAACACTCAAACCTCACAGGTGCCCACCAACATTGCCGCAGGCACAGGCAACAACCCTCTCGCTGGACTCACAGGTGCGCGCTATGCGGGCTTCCATGGACTACCAGGAATGGATACTTTCGGACCAGATGGTGGCGTAAGTCTAGTCAAGCCTGACACTCAAGGTGAACATATGCTAATGCGTTGCAGATGGGCGGTCCTCCTACAAACCCGGAGGCGTTACTAGAGCAAATGGAGAACCCCATGTTCTTATCGCAAATGAACGAGGCCATGAACAACCCAGCTGTGGTAGAAATGATGCTGCAGAGCCCCATGGTAAGTCTGTTTCTTCCTTTTACCTCGCATCATCTAACCTGCGATAGATCCGCGACAACCCGATGCTCCAGCAAGTCCTACGAAACCCTGAAATGCGCCGCATGATGTTCAGCCCGGAGATGATGCGCATGCAATTGCAGATGCAGCGGAATATGGGCCCAACCGGCCCGAGTTTCCCAGCCCCGGGAGCCACCGACAACACCACACAACCAGGTACAAATGCCACAGGCGAAGGCACAACCGCGACACCGAACCAGCCTAATACGACCGGATCAACAGACCCGTTCGCCGCATTTGGTACAGCTGGTGCTGGCGCTAGCGCTGGAGCAAACCCCTTCGCCAGTCTGTTGGCTGGAGGCCAGAATCCTTTGGCTCCTCAGCAACAGGGCGGTGCAGCACAAAACACACAAGACGCTTCAGGCGCTTTTCCCAACTTGTTCGGTGGAGCTGGTGCACAAGGCGGACAAGCGAACCCGTTCGCGGCGGCCGCTCAAAGGATGATGCAGGATCCAGAGGCCATGCGCAACATGATGCAGATGATGGGCGGTGCAGGAGGCGCAGGAGCGAACCCATTCGCAGCCTTTGGTGGTCAAGACGCAGCAGGAGCTCCAGGAGGCGAAGCAGGCCAACAAGCCGGCGGTAACCCCTTCGCCGCACTCTTTGGCCCCGGCGGATTCGGCGGCGCAGGCGGCTTCGGAGCACCACCAGCCCCAGCAGACAACCGGCCACCTGAGGAAATCTACGAGACTCAACTCAGACAGCTCAACGAAATGGGTTTCTATGAGTTCGACCGCAACGTCGCAGCCCTACGGCGCAGCGGCGGCAATGTCCAAGGCGCAATCGAGCACCTGCTCGGCGGCGGAGCGTAGCGAGCTTTCCCCCGCATCTTCTTGCTCCCTGTGCCTCCAGAACGACCATACTTGACGCAGGACGAATTATAGGAAATCGAGCGTTATGAAGGAAGAGAAAGAGAGCGGCGATTAGCTGAGGAAGACGTTGGTGACGATATCGATGGAATTGAGGAGGCTTATGACAGTGAAGAGGATTGGTCTTTTGCTTTCGAGGATGATGAGACGCTCGTTGGGTTTGATGGGCTCACAAAGTGAGTGATATTGATGACGAGAGGTGTGGTAATTATTTGGTAAGGCGTAGACGGCAGCGTGAAGATAGATCGTACAGATACCAAACAGTAGGCAACCAAAAATAATGCCCATTCATACACATCTTCCTTAGACACTGTCTTGATAGCGAATGGGATTTAAATGGTAGTATTCTTCATTTCAATCTAATTTGGTATGCAAACGCACATACAGACTAATGCCATTTTGTCTTTCGATACTATGCATTTTTCCACTCTGATTAAAACCGCGTATAGAACTTGTCTCACAAACTCAAACGCCGGGCTAAGCCTCCAACGGCAGCCTTATATTTCCTCTTTCAATCATTCTGCCAAGTCAACCCGTCACACACACAAAAACTTCAAGCTTAGAAAAACGCCATAACCATGCAAAAAAACGACTACATGAAAACCCGAAAGTACGAATACCGGAGGCCAGATTTCCTCTCGGAAGATAGGGTAAGCCTGTCCATTGCGTCCGACAACGACTAGTCACGGACGCTCAATCCGGAGCGATCGGTAAACATGCGGGTAGCGATGTTCATGGCAAGGAGTTCCTGGAAGAGGAGCTTGGCGGCGTAGGGGATGTGGATTTGGGAGATGCGGGTTTTGTTGTGGCAGGGGCGGCATTCGTAGAGGCCCTTTTTGAGTTGGCTGGATAGTCGAGTTAGTGAAAGTGTTCAGGTGGAAGACGTGGGAGGGGACTTACGCAATAGGACTCATCAGACCGCAGATGTCGCACACGTGTACGGTGTACGCGTCTGAGACGGTAAAGAGACGTTCTTTCAAGAAAGCGGCTGCTCCGTGCGCAATCATACAATCACGTTCCATCTCTCCGAAACGTAGACCACCGTCTCTAGCACGACCCTCGACAGGCTGGCGAGTAAGAATTTGCAGCGGGCCACGAGCACGAGCGTGGATCTTGTCGTCGACCATATGCCTGAGACGCTGGTAGTATGTTGGACCCAAGAAGATCTGTGTGCGCATCTTCTTGCCGGTGTGGCCGTTGTACATGATTTCGAAACCACGCTTTTGGTAGCCGGCGTCCTCGAGCAGACCGGAGACTTGGTCGACGGTGATGTCGGTGAAGGGGGTGGCGTCTCCTTCTTGTCCGGTGATGGCGCCGACTTTGGAGAGTAGACACTCGATCAAATGGGCAATTGTCATACGGGAGGGAATGGCGTGGGGGTTGATGATCAGATCGGGGGTTAGACCTTCCTTGGAGAAAGGCATGTCTTCTTGGCGGTAGGTGATACCAATGGTTCCCTTTTGTCCGTGACGAGAAGCGAACTTGTCACCAATCTGGGGTACCTTTGTAGTTCGGGTACGAACCTTAACGAAGCGCAATCCCTCAGTATTAGTGGTGAAGAGTACTTGATCGACGATACCGTTCTCAGTGCTACGCAATGGTGTTGAGACATCGCGCTTGGTATGGAGAGTAGTCTTTTGGCCAAGCTCTTGGGCGTCAGTTGCAATTGGCGCTGTCTTTCCGATGATGATATCGTCACCGGAGACACGCACACCAGGCGCAACAACACCGTCGTCATCAAGCTTGTCGTATGTTCCACCTTTCAGACGGAGGGTATCGGCACGCGTAGGCTTCTCGAACTGCTCCAGAACGTTGACACCGATACGCTTCTCCTGCTCAGTGTACGCACGGTAAAACAGACTCCTGAAAAGTCCACGATCGATACTGCTCTGGTTCATAATGACGGAATCTTCCTGGTTGTAACCACCATATGTGGCAATGGCGACAATGGCGTTCTGACCGGCGGGCAGCTCACGGAACTTGAGGTACTCCATCGATCGAGTAGTTGCCAATGGCTTCTGAGGGTAGTATAGGACGTTCATCATGGTTTCCATGCGCAGCGCAAAGTTGGTGAGCGCAACACCCATAGCTTGCTTACCCATGGCAGATTGGTAGGTGTTACGGGGCGACTGGTTGTGATCAGGGAAGGGAATGATACTGGCACAGATACCCAGAATCATGGCCGGGTGAATCTCGCAATGAGTGTAGGCGTGGATGCGTGGGTCCGGTAGTGGCTTGAGACGTCGAAGACGGTGCTCGCCTTCGGTAGATCGCTCAGCCGCAGGTAAGCCCATCTTCATCTCTCGCCACTCCTCCAGATCCTCGGGAGAGAACGTTATCATCGCAGTCTCCTCCTCCTCGGCGTCGAGGTATTCCACAACACCATCCTGGATAAGACCTCTCCAGCCGTAAGTGGCTTGCTCGACCTCATCCTGACTCCATCCCTGTCGCGTGCTTGTCTCCATCTGTTCCTGCTTGAGCTTGTTACTGATCTCCTTAGTAAAGATGAGGAAGTTGCGGTTTGGCTTGCGGATGTCATTCTCAACAACGAATAGAGGCCTCATGACACGGCCGGCATCTGTGAAGATCTTGAACTCTCGGTCACGAATGTCACGAATCAAACTCATCTCGTAAGATAGCGTTCCGTTTCGTCGCAGCTCTTGCACGACTGTGACAAGTTGCTGGGCGTTGGAGTGAACACCAACCCAGACACCGTTGACGAAGACCTTGGTCGCATCTGGGTTCTGGTTTTGGTCGTACTCTTCCAGAAGCTGCATGTTTCGCTGTGTCATGAAGTCGATGATGGGCGACGCGTCACTACCGACACTGACGTAGCACATCAAAGACAAGTTCTTGACCAGACCACAGGCCTGTCCTTCAGGAGTCTCGGCGGGGCAAACAAGACCCCAATGGGAGTTGTGAAGTTGTCGCGGCTTGGCTAGCTTGCCGTCACGACCGACTGGGGTGTTCGTTCGACGCAAATGCGACAGTGTGGAGGCGTATGTGTATCGATTCAACACCTGGGAAACACCGGCCTTTGCGGAAGCGGCCTTCTTCTGGTCACCCCAGTTACCTGTTGCCAGGGAGTACTTCAGACCGTTTGTAATGATGCTGGCCTTGACAGCCATCTGAACGTTGAAGTCCTGGTTGTTCTCAACACATCGCTGGAGGTACTTGTACACGTCCTTGGTGAGCTTCAGGAAGAGAATACGGAACAAGTTGGCGACCAGAGGTCCAGCAAGATCCAAACGCTTTTTACCGAAGTGATCACGATCGTCCTCGTCGCGGCGACCCAGCACACACTGTAAAAGGCGGTGAATCATGTAACCAAAGAAATAGGCCTTGCGTGTGTCCTGGCCCTCCTTTTGGGAAATATGCGGCAAGAATTCTCGCTGCATAATATCCCTCGCAAACTTGAGACGTCTGTCCTTCGTGCCAGAGTTGGCGCCACGCTTGGCAATGAAGTCCAGAGCTGTCTCTCGATCCTGGACAACTGAACCCTCCTCGATACTGGGCTTCAACAGCTCCAGCATTTGTGTGTCGGTACGGTCGTAGACGATGTGGCTCAGGATCTCCTCGTCCGAAACGATACCGAGGGCGCGGAAGACGATGGCCATGGGCACATCCGCCTTGATGTATGGGAGGGTAGCGTATGCGAAGGGACCGGGGATACGTTTTCCGGGACCTGCGAGTGAGTTCTCTGCCCACTTGATGTTGAACGATGAGATCAACCGAGTACCCTTTTCGACTGCACTTCGAATCTCGGCGATCCATGGAATGGGACCCTGCTTCTTTCGGAAGACCTGTACGATGTTCGCGGCACTGCGCTCCTGGGCGATGAGCACCTTCTCACTACCGTTGATAACGAAGTATCCACCCTGATCGTACGGGCACTCGTTCAAAGCGAAAAGGTCCGCATCTGACTGCGCTCGCAAGTGGCAGAGCTCTGATCGCAACATGACGGGGAGCTTTCCGATGAAGACTCTCGCCGCAGCGCCATCGTCCATTGGCATATCTTCACGCTCCCACCGGATCTGCGATGGTCCGCCTGTGTAACCGCCCTCCATCTCCTCGTCGTCGCCCTCCTCCGGTTCGCGTCCCTCGCGGGCGACCATGATTCGGTTCTCAATATCAGCCAACATGGCGCCGGAGTAGGTAAGGTTCCGTAGACGCGCCTCGTGGGGATAAAGTTGCACCGTGGTGCCGTCGCCTTCGGTATGTGTTGGCCGCGCCAGGTAGACGCGCCCGAATTTAATTTCATAGCGGCGCTTGATGATCGGGTTCTCCTCTTCATCGGGGTTGTAGGGCGTATTCTGTTCGAGAATGACGCTGCCGTTTTCCTTAACGATATCCTGGATTGTGTTGCGCGTGAATTCATCGTAGGAGTCGAGTTGCTGCGAAACCAGACCCTTGGTGTCGAAGAAGGAGCTGATGACCGCCCAGCAGTCCTCGGGCAAGACGCGGTTCTCCTCATCCTCGTACTCGTCCTCCATACCGTCATAGTCGTACGGCTCGGCCATGATCGCGACTGGATTGATTAGGCGCGGGGAGGTGAAGGGTCGTGGGTGAGTGCGGACGTGTAGTGTCCTGTCTGTTCCGTATGCGACGGCGGCGACCGCCTCTCAAAGGACGTTCGGAGCTAACGGCACCCGTCCTAGCGCCGCCGCGCATCACGTGATGATCGCTAGCGCCTCAGACCCCATACGACCCACCGGTGTCTTCCAGTTCATGCATACATACCGTTTTGCGACAGCTAGCATCAGCGTCTAGAAACCGCATCTTGGGCCTGGACTTACACTCAGCCCAGCCCAGGAATGACTTTATCTGCAGTTAAAGTGAACTCTCTCGAGGTTGGCCTCCTTAAACATCAACACTAGATCTTTGCGCTCCAATCATCGGCGACCGGACGTCTACGATATCGAATATTGGCAAGACAGTCTACTTAACGCCGACAAGCCACACTTGAAGTCGCGTCCTGTGCCACGACACCATTTACTCTCCAAACCTATTCGGGATACATGATATTATGCACTAACGCAAAACATGCTTTATATATCGATCACTCCATTTTAGGCAGTGCGCGATGTCTCGAGAAGTAGAAAATGGCTGGCTGAACGAAGTATAGGACTCGCCTTGTCCGGTCGTCATGTCAAGGTAGGGAGAACATTAGCACGATGAGCTCGAAGAACGAAGGCATATATAAGAGCTCTGAATGTGTCTACAAAACCATCAGACACTTCAGAAAGCCCATATCCTCAAGGTAGCAATATGTGTTTCTCATCTACTTTATTCGTCAGCGCTCTCTTGCTTGCATTTGAGGCTAGCGCAACTGCTACTACAAAGTCCTGCGTTACTTGTATTACCAAGCAAGGTCCGAAGCCAGTTACTACTGTCAAGACAACGTCTAGCATCTTGACGGTGCCTTTCTATGGCTCCAAGTTCACAACGACGACACCTACGTATGTCATCACTCCTCCACCAGTCACCGCCACGGTGATGGTCACAGCGACGAGCATAACAACTGAGACCCACTCAAGAGACCGACACGTTCTCTGAAACTGTCACAACCACCGACACGGTTCTAACGACATCCACTGACATCACGAGCGTGACAAATACCGCCACGCTCACGGTCACTCTCACTGCTGAAACGACCATTGTAGCGGCTCCAGCAAATTTCCAGCCCATTCAATCAACTTTCCCCAATAGGAAGCGAAGATCCGACAGCCTCCTTGAAGTAGCATCGAATGAATCTGCACTAGAAGAGCGAGGCCAAGCACAACGCATCACCTTCAACAAAGGCCGAAAACCAACATGCTCACCTCCCGTCTACCCACAAGGAGTGGCCTGCGTCGGCATCGCGAAGGTGATCAATACTTCAACCATCATCAGGACCGCGAAGAGGACCAAGACTGTCACAACGACAGAGCCTACTTCTACAGCCACTACCATAACAAGCGAGGTCAGCACGACAACACTAACTCCTGGTCGCGCATCAACAACAATGACTGTTACCACTGGCAGAGCTATTACACAAACCATTGTCGAGCCCTCTACCATCACAACGCTTACTACCCAAACGATTGAAGTGTCTGCTCCGGCTTCTACCTACTACGCCGCCTGCAGCTCCAACAACATTGTCACTCAGGTCAACGGCCAAGGCATCAGTGCCCTCGAGGTCCCCAACCTGTTGCCGAATTTCTTCCCACCGGATCAGCCTATGAGTGTTGTGCCGCCTGTGTCCCCACAGCTGCGTGTGTCAGAAGTGCGTTTACGACAAACCCTAATACGTGCGTCACTCTGACGAGAGATTTTGGCGCTTGCGATCCTAATTCTCAGGGAGCTCGGCCTGTCCTGACTGGTGCAACGTCAGATGGGTTCGTATCTCTTAGCAACGGGATCTGTGGAAAGTACTATTTGTAAAGAGGTTGGTGTTGATGTTTATGTTGATGTTGTAAGTAGCTGCTTTGGATATTTTTTACTACTCCAACATTATTGACAAGCAATTTTTGGGGTGCTGTCGCCACAGTTGTGTTCCATCATTTAGTGACTTGAATCCTTTAATAACATGGCTTTGCCATCGCTCAAAGCTGTACTGCAATATAAAGTCTTACACCACCAATGTATCCCGTGACTGCGCAAGGTACAAAAGTCCAGCTCCCGTACTAGTCACCCCCGAGTCGTCTCAATACATCCCATGATACACGGCCATTTTATCCAATACCTCAATCTCCAGTTCCACCCCTGCTGTACCAAAGGCCTCGCTCACCACCTTCGGCAGTATAAACTTGCAACTCGGCCAGTTACTACCACGCTCCTGCTTCCAACCACCTCCATCATGAGCACAAAGGCTCTCCCTCATGCGAACTCGACGTAAGCTGTGCAGTTGGAGCAACGCCAGTATCCAACCAAACCACTTTAGTCTTTCCTGCTCAGACAGCTCCTGGAATTGTCGCATTTTTAACCCACCCGTTGCGAATATACCAGATGGACATTTGAACCAGATTTCTAGTTCGCGTACGTTTGGTGGTAGGAGAGGCGTGATATCGCTCCTGAGCTCAAAGCCAGCGCGATCAGGATCATCTTCCAAGCCACCGCATGACACTTCCTGAAAGAATGCCAAGGCCGGTACACGCAGAATCTCCAGCGCAGTGAAATCTATGAATGTTGCTGGACTCCAAAGCCGCAGTGGTCCGCCAAATGCCATACCAGGCAGAACAGTAAGTTCTCGTAACGTATGTCGAGTATCCCATAGGCTAGCGATGCCAATGTCCAATCCCATCCATGGATGGCCGCCGGAGTACCAAGTAAAGCGCAGTTTTTCCAGTTGACTAGCAGTACCAGCCCTCTTCACAGCAGCGCGTCCATAGGTTACGGGGTTATATGTACACCACTTGTAGTCAATGGAGGTGAGATTTCTGAAGTTCTCGCGGAAGAGAAGTTGCTGGGCGGATGCTCTGAAGCTGCGATGTGTTTTGATCAGAGCAAACAAGTCATCATTTTTGGTGAGGTAGGCGAAGATCTTGTCCAATGTCTCGTTGGCGAAAGTCGTAATCTTCGATTGAGACATGCTGTGTTGTAGACTGTCACAAAGTGTTCGAACTCCACTCGAGTTTCGAGTGTTAAGAAAGCGAGTTGAGTAGGTGTATAAATAGGTGGGGATTAGGGTGCATGTTGGCTGGGTTAAGGCTGGTACCTACAGCGTGAATCCGGTGGTGAATTGGAATGTGGAGACCACAGTGTCGCAGACCGTGCGTCAAGTCCGAGAGCGGCGTGAGGTACCTCGCCGTTCAAGCAATCCACATGTCTTCACGATCTCTCTCTCTTTCCTTCCAAAGCTCCCCCTTCATGATCCCATGAACATAAGCATCACCGATAAACTCCCACGTAGTGGACGTCCCCTCACCCTTTCGCAGTATAAGCGGTGTCATAACACCCCCAACTAGCACAACGCAGTCTCCAAGACGACATATGCTCGGCACTAGGGCATTATAACTTTTCTTAGAGTCTCCAGGATCGACCATCCGCGCGCCCTTACGGTTACTGATATGACCCGCCATGGACCTGAACTGCGCTTCAGGATTGATCCAACCAAAGCGGCGAAACACACGCTCGATCAGAACTACCAATATGTAGCAAATCAAAAAGCTGTGAATGTTCAGTTTGTGAAGAAGCCGCAAGAATCTCTGGCGTTTCTCAAAGGCTGCGCAGGCGCTTCTTTTGACTTCTTGTGTGTTCTGTGTCTCGCCAGCCATGAACGTCTCGTACATAGCCTCCGTTGCAGACTCGCCCGTCACAGGGTAGACTTGATTGACATGCTGGGGTCGGAAGAGAGCCTCCCACTCATGAATTTGCTCCATGTTGAATTGCAGTAACTTTGCTTGTTCAAGCAAGGATTGGCGAAGTGGAGCTTTCTGCATTATCCAACGGCGTGGTGTGAGTTGTGTGACTCTTGCTACTGCAACCCCAGAAAGAATCAACATCTTGGGCAAATCTTTTAAATGCTTGGCTTGGCTTTGAGGTGAGTTGTATGCCTCGAGGTCGAAGCGAGGTTCGAATTTAGAGTCATTCGAAGCACGGTAGTCTCGTGTTGTGTTGGCATCGTCGGCAAGCATTTCGGTCCTGACTAGCGACATTGGTGTTGCTTCTGTCCAACGCCAGTCCGGTACCCAGGATGAGAGTGTGATTTGCTCGAAGTCTGGGTCGTTTTCTTCTTTAAAGGTGGTAGTGAGACGAGGCACATGGAGGATTGCTGCTTGCCTCTTCTGAAGCGTGCGCGCAGCCAGTTGAGTGTACAGTATGTCCGTCGTGAATTTCTTGTCGTAGTTTGGCTTGATTTCGAGCTCGTCCAATGCCTTCTTACATCTCATACCGTAAAAAGCGTAAATCTTGTCTTTGGGATTCTTAGCAAGACATACTCGATGCCTCAGCAGCGTCCCAGGCCAATCGAGATCGGCGCCACTTGTCCATTCCATCTCACTGAGCTTCATGAGGATGACGTTACTTACCCTGGCTCCTTGGTAAAACTCCCACAGCCACAGCTGACTCGTCATCAGATACAAATATGCAGCTTGTAGCGATTGCCAGGATATCTTGGCGCTTCCACACATGAACCACACGTGGCTAGAAACCACCACTTCTTGCATGATCCAAGACCGCTCGAAGTAAGGCCGATCCAAGAGTCTCAGCAACGTCTCAAGTGCTGGATCGCCTACCTTGACCTTGACGCGCACATCTTCTTCTTTCTCTTCTTCGGGTGTCAATTCGATGTGTTTCTGTTCCGCCAACTCTCGTCTGAAGGTCGTATGCAGCCCAGAAGCATACTTAAACGCTGCTTCTATCCCCTCGTCTCCCAAACCCAGCCAGCTCACAGTAGCAGTAGCCTTGATATATATTTGTCGCATCTTTGGTACTTGTGCGGTCTTCTCATCATCGTCTTTCTGGTTCAAGCACACACTGTCGACCCACAGGGTGCGTGCTTTCAGCCAACCCCATTGACGGATCTCATATAGCAACGGTATTAAAGTCTTGGGTATCTTTAGAGTATTGTCGTTCTCCAGATCACGAGGTGGGGCTGCGTTGGTGATATGAATGGTAGCTTCGTGTGGCTCAGGGCCCCAGCAGTAGGAGAGGGCATAGAACTTTGGGGCTTCCGACAACAATGTTGTGTAAAGTCGACCGGTAATGGGGCCACTTCGAGGGCCCCTGTGAACTTCTAGCAACCGTATATAGATATCCTCCGAGTTCTGGAGAATCGGAAGTGGTTGGTATTGATATGGCATGTTTGTGTGCCAAAAGAGACGGATGGTTCGGACAGATTGTCGAACACATCCGGTATGTAAGGTACATGCCTTCAAATATACCTCTCGTTGGCGGCAAAAGCCAGGCGTGCTACATCCACAGCATCCTCTTGGACGCGCCAAATTCGAGATAAGACCAGCCCAGACCTGGGGGAAAACGCCATAACTTCAGCTCGCTCGTTTGTGTCCGAAAGGAGAGACGCGAGGCCAGATGAAGATGCGCATTTGCGGCTGAAGTTTGCAAGGCTGAGCGAAGGCCATTTCATTCGCTTGTTCGGATCCCCAACCGAACCCTTGGAGCATACTAGTAGTTCACCTGTATGTACAGCTACTGTTAGGTCGTGGGTAGTCTGGCACCGTGTGAGCTTCTCCAAGAGAGCGTGCGAGTTCCTCGTCCTTGAGTGAAGCTCGAGCTTTCGAATGCGCGCTCCTCGTTTGGCCAGCTACGTGGCCTTGCGCCCCGTGTCGGCGAAACGGTACATAGCGGATGAGGTTTGCGTGTTGCTTGCATGCTTGCTTACGAAGAGACTTGTTTATCTCAGGTGCTGGTGCCATGCCCTAGTCCAAATTCGGTGTAGCGCTTGTGCTCATGGAATCTTTGTCGAGAAGGAAACTCGAGCATTTGGATGACCACGACGGGCATACCAAGAAATGCGTAATAAGATGCTTATCGCTAGCAGAAATCCAGTGTACAAGATCTAATACCCCACAAGTGATGGGCGTGGTGTGGACCCTAGCGCCTCCCCTTCGTCTCCACCTGGGCACCGATCCCTCACACCCTCACATGGACCGACTGCTAGCGCCATCGTCCCACCCAAGAGTTCTTGTTCTCCCGTGGATCGAGGTTTATAAGGTTGCGCGACATGTTACAACGCGGGCGGCTTGCCCTCCATAAAGTTTGTCGGCCCTTTCAGCTCTCGACCCCGCGTCACAAGAGCAGGCCGATGAATCCTGGTTGGCCAACTTTAAGAGCTCTGCCCTTGGCTCAGGAATGGAGCATGCTGAGAGGAGCGACGCGTCAAGGGTGGACAGGCCAAGCCCGCATTGGGTGTATCGAGCTGCAGAACCAGTCTTGGGCTTCATCTGACGATGAGGTAGCTACTTTTAAGGTTGGGTTCTCCTCTTTGTCTACGAATCTGCCTTCCTCCGGGCTGCGCGCTCGAGTGTGAACACAGCTTTCCTATCCACCCAATCCCGTAGTCCTCAAACCATACATTCCGTTACCTTGGGGTCACCACATGCGCGCAGTCGGTGATTGCGACACCCATGGTATGCACGCAGCTTAATCGGTCGACAACGGAAATCCAATCCGCCTTATATACGCAACACCTCGAAGCGCGCTCAACCTTTAGCTCTATCTCTTTGCTCTGCGTGGCTGTATCCTACCAACCTCATTATTATGGCAAACAGCACTGAAGAAGAGGCATCGCCAGCGAGTGTAAAGAGTGGTACCATTGTTATCGCCATCATCGTGCCCTCGGTCTTGATCATCCTGCTTCTCACACTGGTCATCATGTTAGTCTCCACGCTGGTGTCAGAGAATCTCATGCATATCTAAGCTGACGGTAGGAATCGCCGCAGGGGCTTCATTCTCCCACGATGCGTCCGCGATGAGTCTACTCACAAAGAGAAGCGTTGGAAGACGCGACAAGACGAGCTGGAGACGCACATCAAATCCCAAAATTTCTATGATTGGCTCGCAAGCCAAAAGGAGAAGACTTCTAATTCACAGCAAGCATCTGATCCCCTTTGGTAAGTATGCCGAACAAGCTATATTCGATGAGCGGACTGGACTGACTGTGAGACAGCGCCATTTGTCTTGACGATTTCGCCGAAGATGCGCAAGTTCGTGGCCTCCACTGCTCTCATGCTTTCCACTCACATTGCCTCGACGAGTGGTTCACAAGGTACAATGAGTACTGCCCCTTGTGCCATCGACCAATAATACCCGGGTCTCGGGCATCGAGGAGAAAAGCACGTGAAGGGATGGATCCAACAATTCCCGTAGTTTTGATGGTGTAGCTGCTGCAATGGATAATGAGAGACACAGTTCCAGCTTCGTGAGGCTGTTGAGTCTCCGGAAGGTGATGCACACCTCTACGAGAGCTTGGCATAGGCTGCTCCGGACAATCGAGAGCGACCCCACCCGCGAATAGGCGGACAATACCCTAGACCGACGAGCCCGGAACGATGACAATCAGGGCTTAGGCGAAGCAGAAACGGGATTCACAACGGGTACCTAGGTGCTTCGCCTGTACGGGAGCATCCGCGCCACAGCCGCCTACGGCTAACGGACGATTCTCCAGCACCTGCCAATTTCATTCCGAGAGTGCCAGGATCGGTCGAGTGATCGGGTGGAGATTGTGAAGAAGTGGGTCAATATACTCAACTCAAGACAATATGCGTCTTAGGAAGCGTGATGGCCTATGACTCGAGCGCAATGATAGTGCAACGCGAGTAAGAGGAGACAATTGAATGACGATAATTCGAGTAGATGGAGATACAGAAGTCACAGGATAGTAATGGAGTGAGATTAGTCTACGATTGATCGATTGATGCCCGACATTTCCTAGTTTTGGCGAATTAGACTCGCTACATCCATTCGAACAGCTACATCAAATGAGTCTTGACCCCTCGCTATATCTCTTTGCGTATTTTATGTCCACCTTTGACAACATAGAAGGAACATACCTAGGTATAGAGTTGGCCACAACTTCATGGGAGTATGTTGAGATGCGGCTGCTATTAGTGGGGCAGCCGAGGCCGCTAACGGGAGCGTCGCTGGCTCCCGCTCCAACACGGCATTACTTACAACAAACCTGCACTCTTTCCATCCCATGCCCACCCCGTTGTGATCTTCAGGCACAAGAGCGACGGCATTCCGAACATAATGCGAAAAAGACACTGCTGTGGCTAGGAGCTCGTAATGAGGCGCACGGCAGGGCATCGCTAGGTTGCTTCCGGGCATGGAGCGGGGCCCAGGGAAATGTCACGCCACTCTCTGGTGGTCTGATCAACCTCTACCTTGGTAATCTAGAACAGCGCAGAACCTGGCACAGGACAACTTCCGCACAATTGCTGTACCGAAAGTCCCGTTGGAGCGACCGATACTTTCTGGACTTTTGGCTGCCTTTGCACCTGCCACTCTCGATACTGCATCTCCATACCCCCTGACCAGTCGGTAGATCAAATCCTGTACCACGAAACGGTGTAGACTTCGCCTGCACTGACCTGCAACTACTGCCAAGCTGTTTCCTTGGGTCTTACTCACCCGCCTTAAGCCATCGCCTATTCCCGAGTAAAATCTAGAAAACTTTTCTCAAACGCGTGGATACATCTTCCTCGTCGACCCATCTTGAGTACCTACAAGTGTCTCTTTAACTTGATAAACGCGAAGGAAGTGCCCGCGCTTATAACCTCGACCCTGATCCTGCACCTCGCCCGCTAGTCTCACGTGTGGCTTGGCCAGGGTACCTTGGCGATTGTATCTCCTGATCAACGCGTGAGCTCTTCCGTGCAACAACCCACCCACGGACTATCATCATGGCTCTCAATTGGGACGCATTCCTCAATACTGAGGGTTTCAACCTACCGAACGACCAATGGTCCGATCTTTTACCACCAACGTCTGCCCCTCCCACTTCCCAGATGCCCAAATCTACCACAACCGACACGTCAGGCTCTTCACCTGAAGACGTCACCAATTTTGACTCCCTTCTCGGAGGAACATCAGGCGATCCCTACTTTGACGACTCGTTATTCTTGCCTAACGACTACTTCCTGGGCGATCTCGACGTCCTCAAGCCCTTTGGCAACAACATTGGCGGGGGGAGATCAACCAATGAGTCGTCACCCGAGCCTGCACATGGTACTGGGAACAATTCTGCATCTCAGAACCCATCATCGCACGTAAACGGCCTAGATCAGTCAGCCAATATGCCGCCAGCTCAGAGGCAAGCACTTCAACGTGCCAACACTTTCCCCAACCCTGCCTACGAATCCATGTTTCCCAACAACATGGATACCGGTTTCGTCGAGGACCTTACATTCCCAGATGGCCCGAAAGGATCATCAACCACCACCAAGCCAGGGCTTGAGAGGACTCAAACATCAACAACAACAAACACTGCGTCGAAACGTACCAAGAACAAGCCAGATATTCTCTCTGCCTGCTGGACATCCCCACTATGCCCTAACCACGATGTAAATGGTTCACCACCTAATCCATCGACGTGCGGCGGAGGATGTGCTCCCTTCTTGTTCGCAGACCAGGACGCTCTCCCAAGTATCAGCGACCTTCTTAATGACCCACAAGAAGTCACTGCCGAAGACGGTCTAGTAGAGATACAGTCACGCCCCAAGAAGCGAAGTGAAAGCGACGCATCAGCCAACGGGTTTTCGACTCGTCAGAGCGACAGCAAAGACACCACCACATCCCCAATAGACGACCGGCAACGAATGAAGAGCGAGACGACAGAAGACGCCTCCGCCAAAGAATCACCCCAAGCCAACGATGATGAGAAGCAGAAACCACGCCGACGACTACCGCACAACCAAGTTGAACGAAAGTACCGAGAATCACTGAACACACAACTAGATTCCCTTAAGCGTGTCGTGCCCTCCCTCCAGAACCAACGAGCGTGCGACGGCGCCGATATCGAGGACCTACCCACACCGTCAAAGCCTAGCAAAGCAGTCATCCTAGCGTCGGCGACTGCCTACATCAAGCAAATGGAGAAAGACAAGAAGAGCCTGGCGGATGAGAACCAACTACTCCGGACGAGGGTCAAGGCTCTACAATCACTGGTGAAGTGTGACGACTGCAGCTTGATGCAGTATGTCATGGATCTGAAGATCAAGCAGGCGAGTTGAAGATTTCGTGATTTCTTTGATGTCGATTTGGGTGATGCTGGCATCAACACAGCATCCATTTGGCGTTGGTAGGGTCTGGGATGAAAACATAAAGCGTTCCATGTCAACGGTCACATCTTCACAAGATGAGTTTTGTGCAATTGCACGCTAATGACTCGTTCTCATCACGGCCGAAAATGTACTGGATACACATATAATGACAGGCGTTTTGGATATAGGATCAAACCAGTATGCGCTGGGCAAGAGCCTCGAGGGTGTTTGGTTGACGCTTTCTCGCTCACGGTACGAGGATATAGTCATCCCCGTAGTTAAATACACAGCGTCTGGACTTTACTCTTTCATCCTTCCATATGCAGCGTAACATCAGCGTACAGCGAGCTGACCGATCTGCTTTATGAGGTGTGTGCACGTTATGCTGGTATAGACAAGCACCAGACATCATATCGATAAACCAGACACATGTCCGAACAAAGCCAGCTCCTAAGATATATTCATCCACCAAACGCCGCAACACCAAAGAAAACGTCAGTCTCGAAATCATCAATGCGCCTTCACTCCTCGCTGACCTCCGTCACCGTACCTCCCACACCTTTCCCCTTCGCCTCCTCGATTTCGCTCGGCGCATTATATCCATCTTCTTCTGTGCGCAAATAATCAGCCTTCTACCTCTCTTTTGAACACCAACAAGTGAAATGGAAAGGACTTACGCATCCGACATTGTACATAGCCAATTGGATAGACTGGTCCGTCCCATCGATCCCAACCTTCTTCGTATGATGTTATGGCAGCTTTTTCGCGCTCGAAAGCGAGATCTGCGGCGGTTGTTGTTTTTGTGGGGAGGGTGATCGAGAGGATTGGTTTGGTGGTCATGATGGGTATAGGTTCAGCTGTGATTGTAGTTGTTGTGTTTCGGTGGTGATCTTGTTGTTAAGTTTGTATCTGGAGTATCTTCACTGGACAATCAAAGTTTAAGTATGTCTTGTCAGATACTCCAACTCAGAATCTTTACATCGCCCAGCTCGTGGTGGGGAGACTATCCACGGCCAAATCCGGGGTTGACACGCGTGTACGTAACGCGCGACATCGTATTTCATGTGTGTAAGCACCGACTTACAGATATCACCCCATCTTCTCAACTCAACGGTCATCCGAAGTGGGAGAAATACATGGGGGACGTTGAGATGCAGGGATCAGGCAGTTGCGGTCATGTTTGCCGTGTGGTGGCGAGACCGGCTGCTTCCGCCAATCGTCACGCCACCTCCACAAGTGTCTCTCCACCAAGACCCTGCGTCGTGCTCGAACGAGATTTTCCATGCTAACACTGCAAATGTCTCCTGTTTTCTCGTTTTGTATTTGTCTATCAAGGTTAGACTTGCTTGGGGTTTAAGATGCTGGATTGCCTGGTTGTCACACCATGGTGTTCCGTCGGATTGGGTCATGGGCGTTTGGCAGTGACTGCTGACGTCTACCGGTACGTTGAGATGACATGGTATGATCTGTATACATGAGATACATACTGAAATCACTGGACTACACCATCAATAACTCATATGCTCTTAAGAAGACACAAGCTGTCGTAACTCCACTGATACGTCGATCGTCCAACATCCAACTTACCAGAACGAACACAACCAAATCACCACCACATGGCACTCTATCCAAACATTCTCGACAAGTCAGCCTACAACATTATGCTCGCGCAGCATTACCAAAGCCAAACACCTTATCTACTACCCTCCTCAAGTAAACCCGCGCACTCTCCGCATCCACACCATCATATGACTTGCGATCACCTCTCCGACGCAGTCCAAGACTTCTTCTCACACATGTTCGCGCCCGCGTTACATCTCGCCTGCACGTGTTCGACACCCTGCTGGGCTCCATCATCGCCCAGTTCACACGACCAAAATGTGCACGATGGGAAAGTCGAGATCGTTGTTGATAGCGACATCGTAGTGCGAGAGGATGAACGGGAGGAAGACGGAGGTCCACTGTGTAGAGAAGCCACGATCGCTTCTTGGAAAGTGGGAGGGAAGAAACAGGCAAGAAGGCATAGAAGGAGGAGTCTGCAGTGGTTGGCTGGTGTGATTGGGAGGGAAGGTGCGTAGGATGTCGACGTGTGGATGGGAAAGAGAAGGATGACTGAACTGAAGCTTAGAGTTCAGATCTTACAGATGGTGTTCTTTATATCTAGGGTCAGGCGTCTTGGTTGTTTCATTATCGCAATACACGCGACAAACTTCCTTTGGCAAAGTTACTCGTACGCTGTTAATCAAGCTCGTTCGTGCGTCAACACTTAGCAAGGCATTTCGACTTTATCGCCTGCATGCTACCGAACAGTCGCCGGTCCCAACTCTTTTGCGCAACAACTTGTGAGAGAGACGCACGCATTTCGTGCATGAAGCCTGATAGTATGTTCTTAGAGGGACATGCCCCCGTCAATTCTTCGCACGGAGTCAACAAAATACTCGCAAAAGATGCGAGAAGCAATCTTTGATCCAAATTGCGATAGCTACCCGTAAAATTGACACATTTGGGATCTCTATGCGGCACCTACCATTTCGTCGAGTTCAACATCCAAGAAGATCGCCAACCATCACGTTCGTCATTTCCAGAATTCGCCTCACCGCCCGCTGTTAGCGTCTTGGCGGCATAAAAGCGTCACTGCTGGGTTTTGATTGGATGGCGAAGGAGGCGAGCCATCATTACTTGTATGGGAAACAGCGCGTTTAGTCGCAACTGACAGCACGCGTCTTTGCGATTTTCGACATTGAGGAAAAAGGAAGAAGAGAAAGAGAACGAGAAAGAAGACATGGATACTGTTGAGCGAGGAGCGATACGCGATGACGAGGAAGGGAAAGATGCACAATTAAGAGATGGGCACGCAGGCGATGTTGAGAAAGGCGGTGATGGCCATACAAACGGAGAGGATATGATGGGTGAGTTTGAATATACGATTCGCATGTTGCACTTGGTGAAATGGGATCTAACATCGGTGCAGGTAACAACCCATCTACGCAAAAAGACCTTCCTCCCTTGAAAGGACTATCATTCCTCGACCGGTTCCTAGTCGTATGGATTATCCTCGCCATGGGCATCGGTATCGCATTGGGAAACACAGTTGATTCCGTGGGCCCAGCGTTGCAGAGAGGAGAGTTTGGGGGCGTTAGTGTGCCGATTGGTATGTCTCAATTCCTTGTGCTCATCCTTATCCCATCCCCTCCATTCTACAGCCCATCTCGTAGGTGTCATGGAAATGAGACTAACTTGATCTATAGCAATCGGCCTCCTCGTAATGATGTATCCCATCCTCTGCAAAGTCCGCTTCGAAACCCTACACCTCCTCCTCAAGAAACGCGATCTCTGGATCCAAATCGCCGTCTCCTTCGTCCTAAACTGGGTTGTCGCTCCTCTCTTCATGGTCGCTCTGGCATGGGCTTTCCTGCCCGACCGCCAGGACCTACGCGAAGGACTTATCTTCGTGGGCATCGCACGCTGCATCGCCATGGTACTCATCTGGACGGATCTCGCAGGCGGCGACGGCGATTACTGCGCCGTTCTTGTGGCGTTTAATTCGATACTGCAAATTGTGCTGTTTGCGCCGTTCGCTGTGTTTTATATCCAGGTCGTTAGTCATGGGGCTAAGACGGATATCTCGTATGAGAAGGTCGCGCAGAGTGTGGGGGTCTTCTTGGGGATACCGCTTGGTGCTGCCGTGATCACGAGGTTGGCGCTGCGGTCGATGCTAGGAGAGGACCGCTACCAACGCAGGTTCATACGTTATATCGCGCCGTTTTCGCTCATCGGCCTGATCTACACGATTATCGTGCTGTTTGCTAGTCAGGGCGCGCATGTTGTTAGGCAGATTACGGATGTGCTGAGGGTCTGCGCGCCGCTGTTGGTTTACTTCATCGTCATCTTTACGGGTACGGTTTGGTTCTGTTGGAAGATGGGGTTTAGCTACAAGGTTAGCTGCACGCAGAGCTTCACTGCTGCAAGCAACAACTTTGAGCTTGCTATCGCGGTTGTCGTCGCGGTCTACGGCGCGGGTAGCGGACAGGCTCTTGCAAGCACAGTGGGCCCCTTGATCGAGGTTCCCGTACTTGTGCTTCTGGTGTATGTTCTCAAGTGGATACGAAAGAGATGGCAATGGGTCTAGACGTCGCAGGAGTGTACGATATGGGATGGGCATCAATCATGATGCGAGCTAGCCGTTGGAGGGGCACCACGTCCCGGACGTGAGGAAGATATTTGGAATGTTCCTTGCTCGCACGACGCTTGTGCTGGTGTATAACAGCAGAATGGTTTAGCTGCACAGGAGTAGTAATAGGACGGGTCGAGTATAAGACGAATACCAAGGTCATCCCGTCGGTCATAATCAATCTCTAGCACCAGTCATGTGTCGAGAATACACCATGAGACGAGACGCCAACGTAGCGGGATCAGTATGACGGGTACAGTGGACGGTGAATCCCGAGCTGGAAGCCTTGGGTTTCATGGGTTTTGATGGGTCCCTCGCGGGTGTAGGGTTCCAGAACGTGCAAAGCTTAATTCCTCGCACATCGTAATCTCATTGGAAAACAAGTTGCTGCGTTGCCGCGGTTTGATTTGCGATGACACGCAGAATCCTGCTGTTTAGCGCGAACGGAGGAGATACCGAAGACTTTTACGCTAGTCATACACCAGTACAGTTGGTCCACCAGCGTAGCCAGACCAACGTGGGTCAGGGTATACATGCAAACCCCACAGATGGAGATGCTGTTCGCACGCAATGCGTTCGGCTTCGAACACCGGTCCCAGTTCTCGACAGGATTGAAGTTTTTCGAGCGGGCGGTGAGGACGTCAATCTCATTTTGAGTCGGATAGATATCAGCCGGTGGTACGTACAGCGAATAACACCCCGATTGTGCATGATGGTACCCACATTCTGAATCAGAGGGACACAATTCTGCAACCAAATCGAAGTTGGCGCGCGGGCTGTAGGCAATAAGGCGATATCTAGCAAGGGGTTGCCGCTGGTGTCCGAAACGGCTCTGACATTGGATCTTGGGGGCGGACATGCGCGCCATGTCCGTCGGGTATCGAAATCGAAATCGAAATCGAAATCGTCTGTTGAACTTGCTGGTTCCGCAGTAGGAGTGTGATAGATCGTGCTGGGAGTACCGAGTATCCGGTGTTACTTGGCTCATGGTGACGCGCTGCATTATCTCGTGTTCTGTGTACACTCCGCGACGTGAAAATCATTTGAGCGGGTTTAACGATGAATCATGGCCCCTGTACGAGAAAGACTGCGTTGGTTGGCCTCGTAGGGAACCTGTCGGTGGACTAGGTCGATGTCAAGGTAGATACCTGCAGGCGTTCTGCGTGACGTCCCATGTGATCATCAGCGCACCTTGTGCTCGTGCGTTCAAACCCTACAAATTCCAAGTTACACAAATATAGTTGGATTGGCGTGCACGTACAGCCTGATGGTTCGGTCCGTTGTAAGGGACTGTTTCTGCTAATTCGGCACTTGGTGGTTGCAGCGGCGGCTGCCGTGTGGTTACGGTTGCAAGCAGCCGTCGGGCTGGGTGGTGCACTTCCAACGGTCTTTGTGAGTTGTACCACCGCACCACATGCTGGGATTTGCCGTGACACGGTGACGGCCTGAAATGATGCAGAGGTCCGCGAGTCGAGCACTTGCGGCATACACTATGAGCGGACACAGCCAGCGCGGCTGGGTCGTCACAATCGTCGCGTGTGACAATCTACGGCTGCAATCGAAGGCGTCTGCACGGCACGTATGCTGACTCGTTGCCAGCACCCAAGATTGGATCCCGCGTCGAGAGAAAGTGTAGCCAGATCTGACTGCCGATGGGAAGTTGGTTCTGGAAAAGAGATAGCGGCGGTGCTATGTCGAAGGAAGATATGTTGTGCATGAATAACGGGCGCCAAAAGCTCGGTGGGTATCAGGCCGGGTTGTAGACTACACCATGATAAATTTCGCTAACCGCCGCGTCCCCAGTCAACGCAACCTGTTTGCCTCGGATAACTTACACATGCCTGAGCTTGAGAAGGTGATATAAGGCCCGCGCCGAGATTCGTTCCGTGGGCAGGCAAGAGGGACAATGACGTAAAGAAGGACCGTAATTCGGCGCGCCCTGGGTGGATGGAAGCGCCTGGTCGCTGACTCTGCGTTAGCAAAGGTTTCCGATTAGAGATGTGCTGCAGAAGATGGGCCATGGTGCTTGGTTGCGGATGTTTCGATGATGTCTACTGTGCAGGTGCACTATAGCTGGAACCGCTTCACCAGGCCTGAAACGCCGTCTCTTGTGCGCTGAGGAGGCGGCAGGGCCCAGGCGCTCATGCTCAGTCGTCTCAGGACTGGATATGTCAGCCCCACGCGCGCTTCACTCTGCAGCCGCGGGCGAATGCCGTCGCGCGATGTGCTGTATCCCAGGCGCGACCCATGTGCGAGCCGGCAGTGTCTACCAGCATCGACCTTGTCTTGCGCTGTCAAAAGAGGGGAATGGCTCGCTAGAAGGCGTTCGGCGTCACGACGCCGTGTTTGTCGCGCGCTGGGTGGATGATGGTGGAGGCAGCTCTGGTGTTCATGCGGCATCGACCGACCGGCGGCTCGCCAGTCGCACTTTCCTTCCCAGCCCTATGGAGAGACCCAGCACGCCGGTTCGGCCATGTCAGCGACGACCGTGTTTCACTCTGCCTTGCTCGCGGCTGTCTGTCTAGCCCTCCCCGCACTCTTGTCGCCCTCGCTCGCCATCAGTCAGCCTGTTTCCTCCTCCCCAACCCTGCAGCCGTCCCTCGCGAGGTTGCATCGTTTCCGATTTATGCTGGTGTTGTGCTGAGAGCTGAAACGGTCCCTCTGTGCCTGCAGGGGGGTCTCGCTACCAGGCCACCGCCGTCTGCAGCATCGTGGAGCTGACATCCTGACAATAGGCCCCGTCGGCATATCCCTCGCGGGACTGTCAGGCGGCATCCACATGGCGTCTCAGTCCCTTGAGCACCTTGTAACGATTACGTTGGTGTCTTTGTGCAAGTTTGTTGCGAAGGTCGGCCCCGCTAGATGCAAGCGATGCAGGATGATCGCCTTCTAGCTATACGCAGAAAACAGTTCGCGAGCTATAGCTTCCCGTGCGGCGCAGTTCTCTAGACGGCAACTAGGAGCGAATGAGGTGTGTGATCCTAGGCGGTGTACCATGCTTCTGGGAACGCTTTCGACAGCACGCATCACGTATCGACAAAGTTACCTGCCGTGTCGGCGACTGCATGGCCATGGCTTGATCGGCCCAATCGATCTACCTGCTACGTACTTGGCGAACGCTACTGTCACAAAGGGCTCACAAAAGATATCGATGCATTTATTGCTGTTATCGTAGTTGCAAGCAAACCTTCCTGCCACCGACAGGCGGGGTTTGGCCCCTTGCGTAACCCTTCCTGTGCCGAAAGCCCAGTCGGCAGCGGAACGGCGCGCGGCGCTGCAACGAGACTTGTGTCGACAATGCAGTCGAAACGGTGGTCTGCCATAACCTGGTTGTGAGTATTGGGGCAGTGGGATCGGTCCCAGAGTGCGCTTGTGCTATGCTCGCAACGTGCTCTCAACGCTACAGGTGGGCAAACGCGCATGCAGCCTGACGGTCCGCTGGGATCAAGCAACTCTTCGGTACTCGTCTCGCGTAAGCACCATGGTGATTGAGCTGCTGCTGGGGATCGCGGAGATTATCCAGCCTGAATGGTATCACCTGAGTAGTCATTTCGGTCTTGGACGCGAAAGCGTCGCTTAGGCCGACAAGCGTAGCTGAGGGCTGATGGTGTCCTGAAGCGGCAGACGACGAGCACAGAACCGGCAGGGAGTGTGTGTGAATGACGGTGATGTGCTGGAGTCTCATTCGCCCGGTGGAGCATGGTACGGGATTCCGCGCAGGTCGGTTACCACTCTATTGGGCGTCGAGGCCAAGACGAAGGGGGCAGCCGGTGTTGACGGCGCTCCTGGGGGGGGATGCATTATGATGGTGCATGCGATGATGGAGCGGTTGATGCTGAGCGTGAGGCGCATGACGGTCGTGGGCAGAGCGGTGTGTGCTGCTACCAGACGAGGTGCTTGCTGGGCAGGGCACTGGATAGGGAGAGGGCTAGGAGATTGGTAGGCATTGGCAGGCAGTCGAGTGCACGGATGCGCTTCCGAGAGACGACTGCACCCGCCATTGTGGTAGCCGGAAGAGACTTGACTTGGTTGGGTCCAGCTCCGAGCGCGAGTGGCATGGACAGGGCCACCTAATTAATAGTAGCTCAGCTATGGCCTGCGTGCCGATGGGTCCCAGAGAGGTGCAAAAGACGAGTGGAGCACGCCTCGGACTGCCTCTTGCATTGATGCCGGCCTGCTTGTGGTCGACCCAGCGTCAGCACTCGTAGTCGCGCTTGACGGAAGCACTGCAGGGGTCGTCCGCTTTTAAATACCTCCCGCGTCGCTCTGCCCTGATGACTGAGATCGCCTTGCTGGACTGTAGCATTATACCCACCGCTGACCGCACTCGACGCCGTCCACGTCCCAGACTCCAGCGCGCCCTGCTTCCGCGTCACCGTCCCATGATCAGCGCATACGACGACTTGGCCTAAGTACCGCCCGCGCTCGACGTTAGCCGTCCCTGCCAGACCGCCCTCGCCGCTGATACTCTGCTCGCTCCAATGGTCACGATGGCTTCGAATGGGTGTGTGCCCCCGCTCTCCGTACCACGCTCGCAGACTGACCCTCCGCCCGCAGATTGCCCGTGCCCGCCCAAAACAGCAACTACATGGAAAACGGCCGCTGGTATCATGGCTTCCGGAGAGGCCTCTACATGTACCCCTGCGACGAGCCCGAGAAAGACCGCATGGACATTTACCACCAGTTCTTCGCTGTCGCACGGAGAGGGCAGCTGCACCAGGCGCCGGTGCCCACGCAGCCAAACGTGCAGCCCCGCATCCTCGACGTAGGCTGTGGGACGGGCATCTGGGCAATTGACATGGCCGAGTAAGTTGGCCAAAGCAGCCAAACGCTACCTCCGCAAGGCTAACCGCGCCCGTGCAGCAAATACCTAAACGCCGAGGTGCGCCCACTTGAAGCATGACGCATTGCTGCCAGACGGCTGACATGATGTGTGCAGGTCCTAGGTTTAGATCTCGTCAATATTCAGCCTGAGAAGTATGCCACCTGTCCGTCGCTTGTCCGGCCTGACACTGATGCAGCCCCCGCAGAATCCCCCCGAACCTGCGATTCCGAGTACCACGCGACTACGAGAGCCCATGGACGCTGGGCGAAGATTCCTGGGACCTGATCCACCTGCGCATGGCGTGCGGCAGCGTGACGAGCTGGCCCGAACTCTACCAGAAGATTTACTCGTGCGCGCCCTCGCTAGACCCTTCGCTTTTGGCGCCCCTGCTAACTCCCCCAGACATCTCAAGCCCGGCACCGGCTGGATAGAGCACATTGAAATCGACATGGAGCCGCGCTGCGACGACTACACGCTGCCCCAGGACAGCATGCTCACCAAGTGGTACGGCTGGCTAGCTGACGCCACGCACCGAGTTTCGCGCCCAATCGCCTACGAACACCGCACCCGCCAGCTGTTGCAGGCCGCTGGCTTCATCGACATCCAGGAGACGGTCATCCGCGTCCCCTACAACACATGGCCCAATGACCCGCACCAAAAGGACATTGGGAGGTGGTACAACCTGGGCTTGACCGAGGGTCTGGAGGCGCTAACCTTTGCACCTCTCACAAGGGTCTATCAGTGGGACCTCAACGCGCATGTCAGGCCAGTGCTCGAGAGTGTTCGCAGGGAAATCTGCAACCGCAAAATCCATGCGTACAACAACATGTAAGTCACGCACCAATCCCCGCCTGCCCACGCCCACTGACCGGCCCAAAGCCACATCTGGACTGCCCGCCGTCCCCAGCAGTAGCATCTCGCACCACCCTTGTACAACTCTGTTCATGGATAGTTTGCCTGCCCGCTACACAGGTAGCCCCTGCCAGGCACCCACCTAGCCCGGACTGGCTTTCTCCTGGCGCTCTATCGAGCGCATCAACGCGACGGCCTCGTTACACCTGGACTCTAGAGATGCTTCCAGGATGTTGTGCATTCCGCGACACCATTTTTAGCCTCACTTTCGCCGATCCCATGGCTCACGCACCAGCGCGAACCCACCCCGGAGCAGGGGAGTTTTGCCTCTTCTGCCTTTCCTCGCGTCGACTTGCTCTTCACCTAATGGCGCATCTTGCGGTAGGGAAAATCGGGTCTTCTTTGGGCGACTACCCCAGTCTGGCGTTACGGCATGTTAAGAATATGATACCTTGATACCTCGGTTTCCTTGCGACAAAACGATTTTGTTTGCCATTTACTTTCACGAGAGCATGGCGGTCTCAGCGCGTCAGCTTCGTTGTGCATGTCACGTCCTTTTGCGTCGGTGCAGAGCACACGACGCGAATCATGGTGGATTGCATGCGGCCTTTTGGCTCCTTTCTGATGAGCATGTTGTTGTTTTTTTTTTAGCGGAGCGATCAGGACCCTTGGAGTGTGTCCCCTTTGTTCGATAGCGCGAGCAGTATATAATAGCTGGAATATACCCCCACTTCCTCTCATAGAGTTTATCGCAACGCCTCTCCTGAGAAAGTGTGTCGGAAGTATCGACCCTCTGGGAAGGAGCCATGACGTCGCACAGGTGGCAATGCAATCCTTCACTTGTCCGTGGTTTATACGCTGCTGCCACGCGTCGCCGTTCCGACGTGGTGGGCACTCTTGGCTCTGGTCAAGGATGCCCGCTTGAAGATCTGTAACGGTGGAGACCCAGCGGCGCTTCTACACAAGACGGCGGGACGCATAAGATGGGCGCGTATTGTTTCAGTGTTGCATCGCTGCCTCTCGAGGCCCAGGGTGCCGGACCGATCCATTCTGGAGCAATAATAGCAAGCGAGCTGCAGCATGCCATGGCCAACATGGGTGTCTATCGCCCATGCCGTTGCATGCACGATATACTAGACGGCTGCAACTACGATGTCCGACGACGCGCGCCCACTCTAGCACCTGGAGAGTTCAGTGCATGACTCGTATGACGTCTGCAGCAGAGGCAGCAAGTTTGTCGAGGTGTCGAGGTGTCGATGTGCGGGGTGGGAATGGGGGCGAGGGCGAGGCAAAAAGGCGTGCGTTCCGATGCTTTGGGCCGGCCGAGGCTTCTGAGGCTTCTCCCGTATCCCGCGTATGGTACCTTCCGCGGACCCTCAAGGGAAGAAGGGAAGGAACGGCCGGCCGTCCACTCGTAGGAGGGAAGGGTGCATCACTGCATACAACGCCTGGACTCGGACCTACTCACTCTCCGGTCTTCGCGTACTCCAACGCACGCTGCCAACGCTGCCAATGCAGCCGCGGAAAGCAAACCCATGTTTTCCACGCTCCCTTTTGCCCACACCCCCATCCACGACGCATCGCAATCTTGCGCTGCGTGCAACCAAACAACGCGTCACGTTCGCGCGACCTGCTAACGACATGGAGAGGCGCCATGTCACCATGTTTGATGACCACGGTCCTTTCTCGGTGCTCCTCTCAGCCTGTAATGCGCACACCATTGCCAGTGATCGCCGCACAATGTTCTGACATGTCCGGCACCGCCGTGACAGCTCGCCGGTCGACATCGGCATGACCAAGGCGTTGCCGACGCGCTCTGCCTGCATCGTGACCGCTAATTCGTCACCCTCGCGTATTGCATCTGCCATCGACTTTCGCCAGACCACCGGACTGCTGCGCTTCTTCTGAGAACCACGCCTGTCCATCCCCGCAACCGAGCCGCACGTGTAGGGGACCGCTTTTCACTCCGCCGATTCCGTCCTGCCCTGCGTCCATCTTCTCCTCCTTTCGAGCGACGCGACCGCCATGTGCGCACCACCAAGGCATCCACCTCGTCTACCAAGCTCCTCCTCTGCTCCATCGTATACACCGCCAATGTGACTGGCGAGCACCGCAAACTCTATTCCGCCCTAGGACCCAGTCCATGATGCCATTCCCACCCCTCCGCTGCCCTCGTTACCGATGGCGAGGTCCTGCCGCGCAGCATCTCACATAGTACACCGACGTGCTGCGCCGGTGCTGCGCCACTATTTCCGCCTGTCACCACGCCGCCTGTATCTTACCACCCTCCCGGATAATCTTCGCCCGCTGCGAACCGCAGTCGCCGACCTAATCGCTATACGATATACACACTTGTCCGGTGCTAGCAAAGAATGTTGGAAATGAAACTTTGGCCTCGCTGATCTCTCCGCGCTCCGTCCCCAATCGCATCAGCTGTCAGGTCGAAAAAAATCTTTGCTGCAGAATACATATGCACGACGTTATGGTATTACACTAGCCCATCTGCCGGTGAGCGGCAACCGTTTGCCTGGTTCTTCGACGTGTTGGTGGCGTGGTTACAACCAACCGTTCGGATTCTCTCCCAGCTCCCAGCAAACAACAACGATGAATTACTATATTCTGCCTATTTTGTTCGCTCTCGGAGGCAGCGACATTTTACATTATGCAAGGGCGCACCTTTCAATCCTGCTCCACGGATCCAATGAAGTTTATCGCTCTTACAAGATCAGCTAGCCAGCCAGTCAGCCTGCAGAGTGACTGGCCCCACGGACCGGATCCCTCGCAGGTCCCGAAGATGGTCCGCATTAGTTCCCACTGACTTGGCTCTTCCCTCGAAGTCATCCGTTCGACTCAGTCAGCATCATATTCCCATCGCTTACACTGTGGAAACGGCGATATTCCGCACCATCCCACCCTAGTCGACCGCTTTTCTGTAAGTTTCCCACTGTCGTCTACCCTCCGTCCTTGCAAACCCCCACTATGATGACAAACGCTGGGGCCATAAGAGTTCCTCTCCACACTCTCATCTCGCATGAGGGAGTGGATTGCAGGAACAGTGCTTTCAAACACCAGCAATATTCTACCAAGAATCTTCTCAACTTTTCTGATATCCTACCACAAACCACGTACTTTGAAATGGCGCTTACTCGCTGGGACGTATGCAAAGCTAATCATTGGTCAAGGTCGAACACTCCGGTGCTAATACTAGTGGTCTCGTAGCAACTTTAGTACACTCGCTAGCGGAAAGCTTGGTACGGTTTAGCTTCGACTCGGTTAAGAGGAGATCTTGAATCGAGGGTCTGGCATCGGAGAATAGGCTCGAGCTGGGAAGGTGGCAGAGGTTTGTGACACCGCTTGCGTCGCATTTTTGACTCTACACGGTACCGCGTCTGCGGGATCTGCAAAGCCGTCGATCCAGGTCGTTCACCACCGATGACGCGATTCATGAGCCCACAGCGTGGGTATGGGAATGTTCTTGTTGCCGATGATCGTCGGAGAGGTAGGTCTGAGCCACCTACTATTCTATAGCAGCTCGTCTAGGTAAGAGAGGTACACCCATGCATACACGGCCGTGAACGGCTGAGTCGTCAAGCCGCCTACGCATTCCAACGCCAAGCTACGAGTAAGTCCGTGGAGAAAAGGTTTCAGTCATGCCACCGCTCTCCATCCCACAGGATCGACTCATCAAAACCCCATCCCGCTACTCAGCAAGGACAGCGGCTTCTCTCCAAATCCGAACCACCGTTTCAATTTCCCATTCTCAACACCATAGCTATAGCTTGGTACAAAGCGCTACACCTGCCTCCCGTATATTTCCTTTTCCCTCCACACGCTCACTACTCCAACTACTCCGCCATCCGTCGCACTACTCCATGCTACTAGAACGCCCTTCTAGCCCCCGCCCGCCAGCCATGAGGCGTTATTTGACATCAAGCTGTCGTGATATTTTCCGCTTTGGTTCACTAGTATCTGCGGTCGATCTTGGCTCCCGCTAGCTTAGGGGTCTAGTCCTGTACTCCGTGGCTTAGTCTGGTGGTAGGCTGCAGAGCTCGGGTTCGTATAGAAAAGGTAGTATAGTTTGGCTGTCGAGATGGAAGATGAAAGTTTGGTTGAGGACTTGAACTTCTCTTGGGAGGCTTCCACGTGGAGTGGGGTATGCCCAGGCAGATTTGTGCCAATTAATACTACTGCGTCTATTCCAGCCGAGACTGATTACGACATCCGAATATGAGAGCTATCCTTCTTCCTCCACTGTGCATGTTTAACTGTGAATGCCAACTACAATGTGCCATCATGTCGTACCGTGCATACCAATCTTCCACTCACGAACACAGATTCTTGAGACACTTGATAAGGCTGTATCGCGTCTCGCCCTCCCAGCCTTCTGGCATGTCGTAGCTCAAGAACCCATTCATGTGCCTCTCTGGTGTCCACGCCCTCGTCCTCACCATCTCTTGCAACCAAGTAGTGTCCATTGTTTCCACCGTCTTGTCGTAATTCCGAACATCACTGAGGAACCCTAGTTTGCCCCAGGAGGTGACCCGTACGGGGAGACAGTCGTGGTTGAGCTCGATCTCTACCCTAAGAACGCGAGCCGCCAGCATGAAACTCAATGAGTCCTCCATTAGAACCAAGACATGCTTCCGGATCTCGCCCAATCTTGTAGTGTGGTCCTGGGTCTCATCAAGACCGCAGACGCGAACGATGATGGTGGTGTCGGCGGGGAAGACGGAAGTGGCCCGCAGCAGATCCCTTGCGTCGACACGAACTTTCGCCTGGCTTAGCGGCTTGTCCGTCTGGAATTGCAGAACGATGGTCGGCGCAATCCTGTACATCTGGGATGCTGAGATTGGTGTACAGCGCTGCAGTCTACCCACGTATGGGGTGTAATAGTCTGCAGTTCGGCGCTCAAGTTTCTCAAACATGGCCTCGGAAGAGGAGAGATTGGCTGAGCCCAGGATGATAACAAAACGGCTTTGGTGATGAAAGACCATGAGCACCATCCTACGGAAGTGGGAATTGACGTCGAGCATACTGAAATTGAGCCCATGCGAGACACCCGTGTTGAAGTCGTATGTGACCTCATGGTTGCTGTACACAGACGTAGCAATGCGTTTAAGTATCTTGCAAGGTAGATCGAGAAGTTTAGGATGGCTCGGTGTAAGTACGTATCCCTGGGTGTTCTTCGATAATTGGAATCCCCGTCTGACACCGGCCTTACCATTACTTGGTCGAAAGTCGATGGAACCTTTTTTGCCGTTCGGAGCCACTTCGACGTCGCTTATTAAACGGCGTGCGTTCATCAACCTCAGCTTGTCCATATTTCCCAGCTCATATATGACCTTGGTGAGAAGCTTGACGTCAAACCGGGAAGGGTAAGAGGAGATATAGGGATTATTGCGATTCCTAGTACTCTCGAAACGAACTGATAGACCGCATGCGACTCCATCCCAGAAGACGTCGAGCAATGGCGTGATCTTGATGTTCTTCAGAGAGGACCGGTAAAAGTGATCCCAGAAAGCAAGATCGTCATAATCATCTGGTATATCTGGCATGTCCATGCGGAAGGCAACAGTACGCAGGTTTGACAGACTCGATCCGATATCTCGCGTTCATTTCCAATATGCGTCTATCGGACTGAGGATTTTCCCGTTTTGATGACACAGTACCCTATAGTCAAATCGGAAGACATTTTGACAGTAGAGAACACCAATTGCCTCATGGTAGATCTGGCGGCAAGTCTGAATGATGGCCGGGCTTCCTGAGAAGCTGCTGGTTTTGATTGCTGAGTCGTCTGCGTTGTCCACAATCACAATAGGCCTATCGTCGACCAGTACGTATTCGTAGATCTGGTTGCGGAGTTCGGCCGGGATGGTGAGGAGTGAGGTTGCAGCCGGATTGCTGATTTGGGAATACACTTGTGCGATCTGCCCGTGGATGGGTTTCGGCAGTGGGAAGTGCATGATGGAGTGAGAGACGGCGCCTCAGCTGCTGAGTAGTGGTACCGCGGCGGCGACTGAAATTCGTTAGTAAATGCACATACAAAACAACAGCGGGTAAAGTGCTTACCGGGTGGCTGTTGGTAGTTGTATGCGACTGCAACACGCGCGGGTGCGGTGTTTGGTGTGGTTTCCTTCAATGCGAGGGAAGTGACGATGGTTATGTGAATGTCGGTGTTCAAGAATTCGCAGTGAGGTTGTTGTGCTGGAGCTTGGACCTTTATTGTCCTAAGAGGAAAGAGCACCCAGGCAGCGACTGTTTGCACTAGCGCGCTAGGAAGGTGTTTCGTTCACCCTATACTATTTCATCTTTTTAATCTATGCCCAAGTGATGCACAATCCGCTGGCGGTAGAACTAGACGTTGAAGGCGGCGCACGACCGCATTTACTGGATGGTGCGAAGAAATCATTTCGAGGTACACCGGCCGCAACGGCTAGGTGGCGCCGATAAGAGTTGCGTAGTGTGCAATGTTCACTTAGATATTTGGGAGGTGATGATAGATTTCGAGCTTCCATGTAGAGTGGGGTTTTAGTTATGGGATATGCCCAGGCAGATGTGTGCTAAGCAATGCCAGATTAATGTAAAAAGGGAAGTAAATACATGCTAAAAGAACCCTTGTTCTTCCGGCATTTGTGCTCGAGCTTGGATTCTTTTCGCGAGCAGCTTCGGTTGTGTACACTTGTGTGTATGATAATCCTACACTTCAGTGACCGAGTCGATAAAGACGCCAAAGAATGGCATACATCGTCTGGTCCTTCCACTCCCCCTGATCATAATGATCTTCAGGTCGGTTCCTTATGCGCCTCAGGAGCGAGCCATCGTCCTTTGGACGATCTATTTGCGTCCACCTATAATCGCGCTTATTGGACAATCAGGTGAAGTCCTCCGAATCCAAATTCTTCACGATAACCGCTACGGAAGACTGCGGACCTTCGTCAATCTTCCGGATGGTAGCTCGCATAGGGACACACTGGCTGTTTAACTCAACCTGAATGCCTAGCTTGCGGGCTTCTGCCGCCGTTTCGGGCTCTAGATGCTTCAAAAGTAGGTAGGCGCTCTTTCGGATATCGCCCAATCTTATAGTGTAATCTCGAGTTTCGCCATAGCTCCCGCATACACGAACAATGATCGTAATAACCGCCATAAAGACCGAAGTGACACGTAGAAGATCCCATGCATCGATGTGAACGGCAGCTAGCTGCGGCGACTCTTTTGTATGAAACTGCAAGATGATCGTCAGTGCGTTCCTGTGCAATACACTTGCTGAGGCGGGAATGGCAGCCTCGCGGCGACTGACAGAATTGTATGGGGAGCTGTTCGTATATCTCTGCGATGCGACGGTCGAGTCTCTCAAACGCTGCTTTGGGAGATGAGGTGGATTCAGAAGCCAGGATCAGGGTATAGCAGATTTCGCGTAGGAACCACGATTTAACAAGCCTGCGAAGCTGAGTATTGGCGCTGAGCATGCCGGGTTGGTGTCCATGCGTGATACTGGTATGGAAATTGAACGTGCATTCTTGATCACCGAGTGCGAGACGAATAATAGCATCGGCGCGAAGGATAGCTGAGCTTCCGCTGAAGTCACTGGTCTTCCCGGTCCTGGTCTTCGCGATTCTGGCCTTCTGAGTTGACCCGTCCTCTGCATTTTTGATCGTTATAGGACAGGGTTCCACGAGAAGATACTCGTAGATCTGGTTGCGTAACTCAGGCGCGATAGTGAGTAGTGAAGGTGCATTAGGAACCACAGATCCGGAGCGCGCTTGCGCAATTCGGCTCCACTTGGGATCAGGAACCCGAAAATGCATGACTGCAGTTCAAGACGGTGATGGGGCCGACACTGGGGTGTCGTTTTCGGAGTAATTGCAACTGGCGGTCATTAGTAAGTGTAACTGAACAATGACCGTAATGAGGGGAGAGCTTACGGGATAGCCCACAGTGCTGTTGGATGCGACTGTAGCGAGGATGGTTGTAAGTTACCGCTTGGTTTCTGTACAAGATGACAAAAATGGTACCGAAGTAAAGGTTGGGTAAGTCTCATGAGTTGCGAAAGCAACGAAGACGCTGAGGTGCGGTCACGTTATACATTCCTCGACCGTTGACTCACTGCGGTGCGTGCGATTCGATATTCTGGTTCCCTTCTATCCTATCTATGGTACTGCGATGACACAGAGCAAGACGAGCCACTCATGACTCCCGAAATACATAACCACCACATACACAAAAGGTACTCCTCATCAAATAAGAGAGGTCGCAATCCTCAGACTCTGGGTAAGTCTCAGCGACTCTGTAGCGCCTGAGCTTGGACCTCGCTTATTATGGAAGGTAAGAGCGCAATGGACGTCTCTCTCACCTGTAATACGTCATGCTGGAACGATGCTTTTGTAGAAAGGTGGTGACACTGAGTCGACTGCAACGCTCGATGGCGGAAGAAGTGACGGTTACTGTGGTACCGTAGGAACAGATGATTACACTTCCAGTGCGCGCAGATACCAGCGACATGAGTTGCATCTTCATGACAACAATACAATCGCATTCGGATCAACGACATCTAAATACGACCTCTGTCCAAGAACTTCTTCGGTAGATCCACAGTCTTCGCGCGCATATACTCCATAGCATCTAGTCATCAGTTAGCAAGACACACTTCACGAAAGCCTAGGTCGTACTTACTCTTCCCCAAAGTATCATACGAAGAACACGTATTATACCCACCATCCCTGAGATGATCATGCAACAAAAAGTGCACCGATCGAATCCCCGCAATTTCAAACCTGTCAATCGGCTTCCCCTGGTACTCGTCCTTACCCAGAAGTTGCTTAACGCGCTCAATCGTCATGAACGAGCGGAGCCAATCCCACTCATCATCGTGGCGCACGAAGAAGCCAGCGTTGCAGTCTGAGGCTTTGTCTCCAGAGCGGCCGGCTACAATGTAGCCTAGTGGTGCGCGAACGGTTTCGCCGAAGGAAGACAGGTCGACTGGGGAGGACGTTTCGTAGGAGGCTTGTTGGCGGGGGTACTCTTTTGTGATGGCGGGTGGACTGAGGTTGGTGGAAGTTTTGTCGCCGTACATGGTGTGGACGCGTAGGGGGAGTTGGTCTTGGGGGAGGAGCGAGACCCAGTAGTCGTAGTATGGCTTTGGTGCGATTTGTCGTAGGTCATTCGATAGGGAGAGACCGGGGGCGGACTGCAGGAACACTTCGAGACACCAGCGGTTGAAGCCGTTGGGGATGTCTGGGCGTACTAGTTCAGGATCGGAGGTCTGAGCGAAGATGCGGAAGTCGACGGTTGCTACGTCTTGATTGTGGGCGTCGATTGGTGAAGAGCCGTTTTGGTGGAATCTGAGTGTCTTGAAGCGGTTTACGTTATCACCCATGGCTATTCATCATCAGTCTGAAGTCGTCTTCGTCGAAACAACATCAATTGCTTACCATAGCGGATCTGATCTTCAGTGATCTTGCACTTCTCCTCGATATCGAGACCACATACAAACATATGCCATTCGCATTGCCAGCCGGCTGGAGCAGTAATACCTACCTTGGTCGTCGGTGGCGGGGGAAGCCCTTTGACTCCTGTGACACGCACGAGATCCTCACCTAACTGCTCCATTTTGACGTCCGTGATGTCGGCCGTGACATCGCAGTTGTAGTATAGCGGTCCCTGGATCTCGTATAGCAGCTGTGAAGTGCATGTTCCGACAGTCACGCAACCTGTATGCGTTAGCCGCGTACAAATCCGGTTGAAGGTACCGATACCTACCTCCGGTATCTTTCTCCTTCGCAATGTTGAAGGTGCCATCATATTCGACTTCTGCGATAGGAAAGCCCATGTTGATGTGCTTGCCAGTCTTCATGAGATCTTTGAACATAGAGTAATATCCTCCCGTAACGTAGGCTGAACACTCTACAAGATGGCCCGCGATGAGCGCTCCGGCAAGTTCGTCAAATTGATCGTTCTTCCAGTCGTGCCACCAGCTGATCAGGTTAGCTGAAGTTCCAAAGAGGCCATTATCGCAACCTACGCGGCAGCACCAATGACCGGTGCGGCATCGGCGAGCCTTCCACCAAGCACGATATCAGCGCCCTGTCGGAAAGCTTCTGCTATGCAGAGTCCACCCAAATACGCCTGTGCGCAGATTGGCTCCATTCCCCATTCCTCCAGCTTCTTGCCATGCATCAAGCTTTCGAACTTCTCGCCCTTCTTGATCAGACTGTTGACTTGCCCAGTCACGTCGTCACCTTCTATCCATGCCACCTTGAGGTGACCAGCACCTGCTTTCTCCAACATATCAACTACAACTTCAGCGAGAAGTTCGGTGTCTGAAGCGCCAGCATTCACGGCAAGCTTCGTCTTGTTCTTGACTAAGTTTGGTATCGCTGGTTCGAGGCACTGGAGGAATGTGTCGGCGTACATGGCATTCTTCTTCCGGTCTTCGAGGCTCGTCGTGCCATTGGCGTTCCTCGCAGGTTTCTGCTTTACTTTCCCACTACCATGTACGGTCATGGTCATCTCAGATAGCCAATCGCCTGTTCGTGTCAGCTCGAAGTCCTTCATAGTCAGTTTTCAAGGGAGTCTTACCCATCACAACATCAACCTCTGGATCACCCGCCATCCTCATGATAGCAGTCGAACGATCCGTAAATCCTCCAGAGCATCCTGCGATGCGCACAGCGCGCTTGCGGTCAGTAGAAGGAGACATTTTCACTCGTTTGGGGTTAGGCGCCATATAGAAATCGCATCAACAATCTGAGAAAAAGATCAATTGCTCCATGACGGAGCGTCTGAAAGCTATATACCAGGCCGTCCAGGACCGGCTTTCCGGGGTACGGCAAGCCATCGAGGCTGTAGCAGGGCCGTTCCTATGCTATCGTCCAATGGCGGCTATGCATAAAGGTAGCGCGACGTTCATGTCATGTACTGGGAGCTACTTGCGGATAATCTTGAACGATGGAAGACGATTTCCTGGGAGCTTATGGCGGGGTTGCGGGGAAGGAGACGGACGCGAGCGCGCGGTGTTGCTGAAGGTCCAGAACTGTCTTCATTGCGATATTACCGACAGTTTGCATTAAATGTGATATCTTCCTAGTTGAGTCATCTGTTTGCGCAACCAACAGGAGCGTGCTTGACTTTCGCGAGTTGGCAAAGTAGAGGAGGGACTGTGACGCGCGATGTTCGCGATTCGGCTAACGACTCATTCTAGTTAGAGGTGATGTTTTACATGACTCAACGACTTTGTCCAGCTCCAGGAAGGAGTGCTCCGCATCATCTCGGGTCTAACAGCGTCATCTCCTGGACATCACCACAGAAATGACTAGGACTATCTGCCCGTTGCATTCGGAACCACCGCACAACTTTCATCGATTGAACGCCTACGTAGCGCGCTGTGTCTGACACAAGCCGCTAATCCCCCTGCCCATACATACATCACAACCACCAACGAGTAGCGCAATAGCCCCGAAAGCAGTTCAAGACAACGGCGCTGATGCTCCTTCGTTTGCTAATGGCTTCTTCTGGCAATGCATCCTTACTCGAGACTCAAAATCCTCGATCTTGCTTGCGATTCATGCATTCTCCTGGACATTGTGCAAATAGGCGGATACCTTGCGAAAACAGTCTTGGTCCCATCGAACTCGACTATCAGCGAAGCAATCACTTTCACACCATGGAAATACACAAAGCACAAGAATTCCAATGAAACAGGCAGAGCCTTTGTCTAGTCTCTCATTTCTGTGGTGTACGGTGTCACTTAGGCATTAATTCACACCTCCAACAGCAAAGTAAGAGCACCTCTTACCGACCAGCAATCATGTAGGCCAATTCAGCGGTGAATAAGCAGAGAAGCTAGGTAGTTGTCCTACATAAGCGATTCGAGCTTGGCCTTTCTTCATCTCTCCTGTTACTTACAGCCCTAGTTCAATCATGGACAGGACTCAAACTCAGCTGGTCGTCATATTGGCAGCTATCACTGCAGGTTTGGTTGTGACTTTCGAGTACCTGCGGTGGTATCATTCGCGGCTGAAGACTCAACCAGTGTCCTTAGTTGCGCAGACTGCAGCAAAGACTGCCCAAGTTACAGTCCATCCTAGAAAGCAAGAGGAAAGCGCTCGGCAGTCTCAGGTCGATACCTCCACTATTCAGTCCGTTGTGGAAACCACAGTAGAGACTCACACCGAAAAGCTCAAGGAGAGTAGTCAGGAGTCACAGAACGATAGTTCCGCCAAACCGCCCGTCGCCGAGACCACAACACAGCCTCTTGGGGTCCCATGGGACTGCAACCAGGGATCTCAGACGGATATCTCGGCAAACGGGCCTTCGATGATTTCTCGAAACAAGGAGAACCGAACCATACTCGAGGCCCGTCTCATCAAGGCAGGGTTTTACGTCCACTGCTCCTGTGACTCGCACACAAAGGAGCTTTACTTCAACTGGCCTTACTCATGCTCGGCCAAGCACCACGAAGACGACATCGTCCTTCAACCCAATTCACGACCTACCCTACTCCACGAGTATGAAGATGGCGCTTACGAAAGCCTGTCGCTGGCAAACCGCACCATCGAGTACTTCTCCCGCCCAGAATCTACCATGGACTCCGACAAATTGCTGCCCTTGCTCAATGGCGAGGAAGCAGCGAGCGTACCCGCGTTCTCGAAATGCTAGCACAAGACGACATTCGCTGCAGAATAACTCAGTTTTTGACAGATTGGTCAGTCTCCCAACTTAACGAAATCTTCTTCTTCGGCGCAACCAAGGACCTCGAAACTGTCTGGAACGCCAAGGAGCTAGATGATGATGACACTCTAGCGGACGTGAGAGTAGAACTCAAAGACGGCCAGAGTCACTCACTCATCCGTCTTCATCCAACACGTCGCTGCTACACACAATTAGAGTACAAACGACAAGGCAAGACCTTGACGGAAGAACGCATGGGGTGTATCCTACACGAGATGCTACATATTTTCTTGACGCAACATGCATGTCACCAGTATATGACACGGGAGAGTTGGGCTTCCCATGGAAGAGGGTGGCAGCGGATTACAAAGAAGATTGAGGATCAGAGCTTGGGTCCGTTGGGTATCGAGGCGGATATGGGCCGACTGACAAGCTTTTTGGTGGATTGGGAGGAGGATGGGGTTAGGGTTAGTCTTTGCGATGTAGGGGCTTGTGGGTTTTGGGGAGGGCTTGGATAGATGGTGGTAGGCAGCGGACTACAACGTTCGGCGGTTGAACGGAAACGATGGACACTGGGTAGTGCTCTCGTGTAGATGTTTCATGCTAGAGTGAAGGCATTAGACACTGAGTAGATCATGTCTACCTATTTAGATATAATGCTGTAGGAACATGAAATTTATATTTGAACAATCTCTGTTACCAGGGAATACAGTGTCAGCCGCTTGATGTGGAGTTGCTGAGGTGTTCAGCCTTGCCCCGCATCAGGGTTGGACGCAGCTTTCCCTGCCGACAGATCCGCCATCCAGGATTCAAGATAATCAAGGTTGTAGACTTCAGCTGAACACGAATATATAGTCGCAACATTACAGACACTAATTTACTTTGCTTTCAGCAGCTCCCGCCTCTCATTCACGCCTCGAGTTCGTTTTGCTGGTCGCGGCTGACGCGATGACGTCGCCGCACACTCTGCTCCGCGGCGCCTGTTCGATGAGCAAACGCAACCAACAGCTTGGAGAACGGGGCGACGTCAGCGCCTATAGACTCACCTGAAAACAACAATCTTTACGGAATATACTCAAAAACACGATCGTATTTAGTATAACATTGTCACGTTGATATACACCTGCTAATCTAGCCCGCGCACATTGCGCGCGACTAATCGAGGCTTAGCGCCACCATGGACATCCACAAGGAGCTCGTCCAGGTCGACGACTTGGATATTGGACTCGATCGCTCACACATTACTTATCAAGGCCAGATCGAGATAAGCGGAAGTCGCTCCGAAAGTAGCAATGACGAAACACCTCACCCACGCGACTCAACGCCTGTATCATCTACTACTAGGATAGTCAACAAGGTTCGGCAAAAGAAACACACTGCCGGCATCAAGATCAGGAAGACGTTGCATATCGCAAAGGTCGAAGATGAGATCGAAGAGCCTGATCCAGACTCTGTGGTACTCGTCGATACGACGGAGGTGAAGCAGTCGAAGTCACGCCTTGATCACAAGTCTACAGCGGGAGAGAAGCACACACTCAAAGATCTTTTGCACAATCCCATCGATACGGTGAAGTCTAAGGGATGGAATCAAGGTAAGCGATCCCTACTTAACCTGCAAATGCAACAGTGACGAATACTTCGCTTGATCTCTATGTGCGAGATCGAGCAAAGTCCTCACTCAGCGTATACCGAGTGCTTTCCTAACTAAAAGCCTCCAGGGAACCAAGAAGTTGCAGCAAACATAGCTGTAAGCGAAGTCCCTCATGGCCAGGAAGTGGATCTCGTAAATGCAGCGACTGTCGTAAACCAAGCTGCGACCAAGGATGAGAAGGCGCAAGCTCAGAATAGTCTCGCCCAGATGCTTGATCAGCGACAAAGCACCTATGTGCGATGGTCGCTCGACCGACATGTAACGAAGATTAGAATCATCCCACGCGATACTGCAGTCCTCAAGCCAAGGAAGGATTTCGAGAAGAAAGACGCCGCAGGCCGCACCGTCACTGAATGGAGAGAGTATGGTTCACACTTACTGGACTATTACGCTCATCGATACGGTGGTCAATACATAGGCTACGGATCCGATCCACCGACTCCCAGCAAAGAGACAATCATGCCAAACATTGAGCGCCTGATTGTTGCAACATCGCCTTTCCAGGAGTTCATCATGACTACCCGGCGCGTGTATAGGTGGGAGGCACCTCTCGAGACCACAAAATACCTGGCGATCTACCTCATACTCTGGTACTTCAACCTGCTATTACCCGGTATCATGACAGCATTGCTGTATTTGGTTGGCGAGCGACGCTGGAATGCTCCTTCCATGGAAGATCTTCGCGAAGACGTAAGACACAGAGAAGATGTGGAAAGAACAGCCTTATCACTCACCGAGTTCATCGAGAAACAAGGTGACGAGAATTGGGCACACGACCTCCTTCAAGACCTGGGCCCATGGCTCATCGTCCAACTCGCCGACCTAGCCAACTTCTTCGAAAGCATCCGCAACTTCTACGAGTGGCGGAAACCGACACGTACACTGGCTGTCATCGTAGTCCTCGCTACTGCCATCCTTGTCACGGTCTTCATGCCACTTTGGCTACTCATCAAGATCTCCACATTCTCCGCTGGCTTTACATTTTTCTGCCTCTTTCCCGTCTCGGTCAATTTCCCAAATTATCGGCTTCTCGTCTCGCCATCAAAACGGTTGCTATGGAACATCCCAACGCATGCTGAATGGGCGATTCAGTACATACAAGCCGAAGGACTCCGTGTAGTGACTGAGAAGCAAAATGCGAACAACAAAGCAGCCGAACTGGCAACTACGGCTAGTTCCACTACTCATGTCTCACCGGTGAACCAAGACTTCGCCTCCTACCCATCACATTACGACAAAACACCAGGCCATCTCATCATCAATGCTACAGGAGTACGTTTCGTCGCGAAACATGCGCCACACAATGTGCGCTTCTCTCTGCCTTATGTACAGATCCACCATCTGGAGAAGCAAGACCGGTATCAGGAGAGAATGATCAAGGTCCTCAAGGAGTGCGACAGAGATCTGCGTTTCCTGAACCGGGAAGGTGATGAGTGGATTTTGCATGAAGTCGAGAAGAGAGACGAGGCGTTTAGTCAGATTGTTGGGTTCAGTCGGACGACGTGGCAGGTTCTTTGGTAGTGCGGTTCACCTCCAGCCCGCCACTTTCATAGGTACAAAAGTAAATATCTTATAGTGTCTGAACAAACTCAACATCATTTCTCTATGCTGATACACATGTTTTATAGCCCTCATCTCTCTCTCAAACCTTCTCAGTAACAATTGTAGCCTCCCCACTCCCCAACGTCTCCACCAACCTCCTCGGCCCAACATACCCCCTCTTCCTAATCCACGCATACCAGCCCCCAAGTAAAATCGTAATCCCACCGACCAACGCACTCGTGTAATTCATCGTCGTAGTATCAAACGGCACCGCGAACGGAAAGCAATAGATCGGTATCCACACAACCATATACCCACACGCTATACTCGCAACCGTGTAAAACACCGGCGTAGGCATGGTGAATGGGCCGGAAATGACGTGGCGGCGCCGGGTCAGGATGTTGGGTAAGATGAAAGCGAGGTATGAGAGCGAAGAGAGGACGATGAAAGAGCCGACGAAGGCGGAGAAGGCGGTGCTGGAGCCGATGTATATACAGCCGAGGATTGTGTTGATGGCGCCACACGCCAGTGTAGCGTTAAACGGGTTCTCCCACTTCTTGTCTACTTTGCCGACCCACGCGCTGAAAGGTGTTGCATCATCGCGACCAAGTGTCCATAGCATACGGCCGGAGGTGATGTAACAACCGATATTTGTACAGAATGTGGGGATGAAGATGACGAGTAAGAGGCCCAGGGAGCCGCCGTGCGAGTTCGTGGCTTGACGGTATAGTTCGGCGAGGGGGAAGGGCCAGGGGTTTGAGAAGAGTGAGTCGAGGTCGTTGACAGAGTAGAAGATGGTGATGAGGTAGAGGAGGGCAGTTAGGAAACCGACGGTGTATTGGGCGAGGATGGCTTTGGGGATGTTGGTGCGGGGGGAGGGGAGTTCTTCTGCGAGATGGGAGACGCAGTCACTGGAGTAATTGTTAGTAACTTGACTTCAACAGTGGTGGGTTTGGGGTGATGGGATGGGATGGACTTACGGTGTCCCCACAGCAAAAGCCCCATTCAACATCCCAGCGCAAAACACAAAGCCATCGCTCTTCCACCCCGCCTGGTTCTGCCAGTCTTTCCACACAAACTCGTTACTCGCATACCCCTTTCCGCTTCGACTGGGCATGATAGCGCATACCATGATGGTAACGAAAACACCAATGAGGATGAAGAAGAGACCGATGTTCGTCAGTTTGGGCAGCGCGCGATTGGCGAACATGACGACGAAGCAGGCGAGCCAGGTAATGATGAGATAGACAATGAAGACGTGCCAGCGCTCAAAGGCATAGCCGCGGTGGAAGAGGCCGTACATGGAGATGATTTGGTTGGCGAGGATGGAGGAGATGGAGGCGGTGCCGAAGATCCAACCTAGGGCGTTCCACCTGTGTTGTGTTAGTTGGTTCTTTTCTTCTTGTCTTTTTGTTTATCAAGTCGGATTGGATGATACGTACCAGCCAGCGTAGAACCCGATTACCTTTCCAAATCTAGCTCCGCCTGTGACGGAAGCCCAGTGGTATACACCCGCTGATGAGGGGATTGCAGAAGCCATCTCTGCGATACACGCCGCGATCATGAAGTAGCAACATGCCACGGCGATGAACTCGTAAATGACACCCGCTGGGCCGCCATTGTAGAGCGCAATGACCTGCGCATAGTCAGCATCCTCTATGCCATACATTGGAAGCGAACAAGAGAAGACCACATACGATAGACCCACCCAACGCGGCCCAAACATTCCCCGTAGTAATCCCAATCGCACAGATACTCAACAAGCTGAAATTCCTCTCAAGCTCTTGTTTGTGACCCGATGCATTCAACACCTCGCCCACACCCGTCGCTTCATCGACATCCTCTGGTCTTGGCTTCTCGGAAGACTTCTTTTCCAGATCCATCGTTGGAAATGGTGGTACAGCGTGGACGGTATACGCCAGTAACCGTGAAAGTTTTGCTATTGGGACGTGATGCGACGCGTATGCAGCAAGTCGTCAACGACGAGGATACGCGGAAAAGCGATAAGGCAGCGTTGTAATGTCAACAAACCTCCTCTTTGCCCAGATGCGGCCGACCGGAGATTAATACCACCAACCGAACCAGGACAATCAAGCGATTGAGTGGATTCGCGCCACCGATCGCAGATCAACGGTCCTACGCGGGAATCGTACAAGTAAACGTCCGCCCCGGGAGATAAGGAAGTAGAGAACGATGGTGAGGGGAAACAACGATGGAATGAAGACGCAGGGAAAGAACGAAAAGAAGGAAGCTACAATTTACGTGCTGCGTTTATGACGGTCCGCGATTTCGGACGCCTCTATCTCTGTCGTCGTGTTGCGTTGTGTCAAACACAACAGTGACATCTACACGTAAGTACGTATGCTAAGCGACGCGACAAATTCCAAGACGGCAGATAAAGCAGCCCTACCAGCAACCATGCAATCTTCTGTCGGTAGCTATGTACCCAGTGCTAGATGCCGTCCGTCTCTACGCCCCGGTCACGTCAGACCCAGCCCCAGCAAACCATTCCGACCCAAAAAAGACCAGGCTACATGAGTGTAGTAAAGTGCAACGTTCGCATCCGCCATCTCCGCAATCCCGCAGCTTCAATGGATACCGTGGAGACGGGTGTGAACAATCTACACACTAATCACGTTGTGTCGCATCTCGAACTGATAAGAGACCTTCAGGCGAGCGAGGTGGCCAGGGGTGTAAGATAAGTGAGATCCCGGCACTGCGGTGCAGGAACGAGGATTGGCGATATCCTAGCCAATGAGCACAAAGAAGGGATGGATAGGGATTGGCGGATCCTGGGAGATAGGCGGATATGCTGCGACTTGGGGAATGCGGAGATATCTTGCATGGCTTGGGTAACGAGGTGGCGTAAGGCGAGATAAGTGATTACTCCGAGGTTGGAGTTTGGAGTATCATGGCGATAGAGGGGACGCAGGTGTGCTGCTGAGATCTCTGTCTGACTGTAAAACTTCCCCGGGTGATTTCCGTGATGGTTGCTCTGCTGTCCCCGCATTGAAGGTCTGGAGGGTGGTTTGATGGGTGTCGTCCACAGGACGGAAGACGGCGCCATGATCGAGCCGCTTACGCCCGTGCTATCCCCCACGCGTCCTAATCGGCTCCATTGGTCGTGCAACTTGATGCCATGCGATGCAGTGACATTGGGGCGTAAATTCAAGGTCCATGGAGAAACAAGGCTTGACGGCTAGAGGATACAAAATGGCCTCAGCGAAAAAGAAAGTAAATTGGATACACCCACGTCCGGCGCATGTCACCCAAAGAGCTGCAGTGACATGCGCTATATGCTATATTTCTTAGATACTGTACACAAAATAAAAAAACGCACCTGCAACTCCATATCCCATATCATATCGCTCTGCCAGAGGTCCAGTGATTACATACGTTTCGTCCTCATTTACGCGTGAGCGATTCTGTTTCTAGTGACATCTTCAACCCGAACTCATTCCGTGTGTGAAAGAAAGTAGCAGGCTCACGCGCTGCGCATCTCGGTATCCTCGGCATCGTCAACGTCGCCAATCTTCCGCTTGCTAGGCGTCGCGCTGCCCTCGTCGCCGTTGTCGTCGCCTTCCGTCCACTCGGTGACTTCCCACTCGACGTGCACGCCGCTCTCGGAGTGTCCGCCGCGCTGCTGCTTGAAGCGGCCCAGGCGGGTGTTGCGTACAATCTCTTCGAACCAGGGCGCGCCCCGCGATTGTGGTTCTGAGCGGACGACTGTACGCGAGCGGTTCGTGCGTGAGGGTCCGGCGGCGGATGTCTCTGTCTCGTCGTCACTGCTCTCGCTGCTGCTGGGCAGGAAGCCGAGCTCGCTCAGCATGTCCTGGTCCTCGTCCAGCAGGCTGCCGACTGTCAGGGAAATGTGCTCGGCCTCGTCTCTCGTCCGCTCATTCCATGACGAGAGCTGTGTGCCGCAGTATCCGCAGAACTGGCGACGGGTATTCGAGGTGTAGGGGGAGACGAAGCTGCGCTTGATGCTCAGGCGCGTCTCGTCGGGGTATTGCGCAAACGTCGCCGAGGTGTACCATGGCAGAGGGACGCGGAGCCAGAGTGTGAGGGGGTTCGCTGAGTGGTGTCCTAGAGTGTTGTTAGCACCGTGTTGGAGAGTAGCGCGCATCGCCCAAAGGAGACTTGGGCTGCGCAACGCACTCGGCATGTACTTACGCGACGCAGAGGTATTGTCGTATCGTAACTCGGCCTGGCGAATCTGCTGTGTCGGCATCTCAATGACATAGCGGTTGCGTCCGCACGCGCAGGAGCCGTGCAGCGTCTGGGTCGCCATTCCGGGGCTCGGAGGCTCGTAGATGTGTGGCTGAGTACGATTCGCGTGGTATGTTTCGGTGCAGGCAAGGTCTCTGCCCTAATAACTCGGGATTGATGTGTTTCAGTGTTTGCGGCGTGGCGTGTGGAAAGAAATCGAAATTAGCTGTTGCCCGTCGCGCCTTCCCCAGCTGCTGTGCAACGGCCCGTGCTGCGATTGGTCGACTGTCAGCCTTATGATATGGCGACCAAGGTTTACCCTTTCACGTCACCTGGACAACTGTAAGAACCGAGTGAAAGGATGCGATGATGTTTGTTTCGAGTCGGTAACTATAGAGCATATACGAAATATTCATTGCGAGGCATATGTACTGCGTGATGCAAAAGTGACAGCCATGGACCCTTGTGATACAGCCTGTCGTCATGTGTGGGGAAGCTCACGAGAGAACATTCGAGCACGCCCTGGCACCTTCGCGACCCCAGAACCTCGAGCAGCCGTCAACCACTCTTCTCCTTTGCTTCTTTCCTCATCTTGGCAACACTCTCGTTTACTCTTTCAATCGCCTCCCGAGCGCCATCCCAGCACTTCCTCCTCCCGGTGCTGAACACGCGATGTATGTGCGGACTCCATATCCCGCCCATCAGCAGATTGCAGAACTTCCTGTCTCGAAGCCAGAAAAGCCAGCCTTTCCATCCATATCCCAGGTACTCGTTGACACCTGTACCGCCAAGATTGTCCATGGCCTTGACCCATTCGCCTGCTTCGCATTGCCCTGGCGACACGTTGTGAAGGCGCTTTGCATAATCTGCTAACCATACATGGTGTCTGTCGACGGCAAGGCTCATATCATGAAGTGAAGGAAGCTGCGATTTGCCGGCCCAAACCTGTGCTATGGCCATAGACGCCATATCTGTTCATCGTCAGTCCATGTCGAGCCTACATCTTGCACTTCGAATTACATACCAAAGATTGGAAAACCACTAAGTGTGATGTGTACGTTCCCCAAAAATGCCAGACTATCAGGCTTCTCAAGCGAAAAGATATTTTGATAGAGACGGAAGAGCGTCTTGCCATTCGACCCAGGAGCATCGAGCCACGATTGCGGACGACATGTAGGATCGAAACGAGGTTCAATCATACTAAAGTCCGATGTATACCCTGTGCACCATATTATAGCGTCAACTTCAAGCGTAGTCCCATCTTGCAACTCCACTTCAGTAGCGTCAACAATCCGCTTTATACCCGCGACCGACGCGATACTACCGTTCTCCAGGCAGGGGATCAGGGTATCGGATACGACTGGTACTTTACCTGCGGGCTCGAAGCGCCACTCGGGACGAATGTTGAAACTCTTGTCTTGCATCTTCTTGAGGAACTTGTCGAAAAGCCATTCGCCGAGACGGGGAAGATACGTCATGAACAGGCTTTGTATGGTGAAGAGCCGTAGACTGTGCGTGTGGTCTATCGGGACACCGTTGATACGCCGCGGAAGCTATCAAGTGTCAGCATCAAACCCTCTACAGGTTCGAGTCGTCTTTTCAAACTCACAATGCGCGCTCCATGTCGATGCGCCATGTACACTTTATCAGCAACTCCCACTAGCTGCGTAGCAGTATCCGCTGCACTATTGCTAAACCCCACGACCATGACTCTCTTCTTCTCATACTCTTTCGGCTTCTTGAAGGCTTGTGAGTGAACGCTAGTCCCAGCGAACTTCTCAATCCCCTCTATTACCGGAAGACTCGCCTTGCCCACCATACCACCGATAGCCACAACAACCTTGTCAAAGTACTCTTGATCGCCACCTTCGACATCCACGACCCATTTCTGTCGCTCATCGTCGAATTTAATCTGCTTAACGGAGGTGCTAAGTCGCATATGCGGTTCCAGTTTGAAATGCTTAGAGTAGTCTATCAAGTATTGTTGAACCTGGGCGGCTGCAGGGTGTGACGGCACATGATCCGGAAAGGGGAAATCGGTGTAGCAGGCTCTTTCTTTCGAAATGTTGACTGTTGTCGTCTCTAAAACAGAAGTCTGCTCTTTCTGTGAGTATTGCCATAGTCCGCCGATGTAGTCGTTGCGGTCGAATCCTGTGGCGTGAAAACCTTCTTCGAGGAGGTTCTTCAATGCTACGAGGCCAGCGGGTCCTGAGAGCCTCCGTTAGTAGCCATTTTGTCTCAGATACGAAGGGTGTATACCTAGACCTATCACAGCTACACTTGTAACTTCGTCCATGATGTCTGACGTTCAGGTCTATCGTTTGCGCTCTTCGCATACGAGAATCGCCACCTGTGCCTTTAGATCGGACCGAGTCATACAGCCCTGTTCGCAGCGATAACACTCATGTTGTTGAAGATAAACGCAAACTGCAATGCGATCACCCACACAGCAATCAAGGTGAGCTGACTTCGGACACCGAGGGTGGGTGGGTCTTACGCCCGTGTGGTTACGCCCGCCAGGCGGGACGGAAGAGTAAGGCAAACCTCAAGTCGCGCGCCTATTAATCCACCACAGCTGTCGTTCTCACATGCTTTCTTTGACATCTCGTTTGCATTAATGTAGGTTCGACATCTTCTTCAGCCGGAGTAGGCAAACCTTGCGAGAGACTTGATTGTTGCCGTTGGCTGCACCGCCACGAATACCTGAGGGACAAGGATGATGTGGCGTCGACCCCACTCCATAGTCAGCCCCCAGGGCCGTATCCGAAGTAGTGTATCTCACGCACATGCTGCGACCCCTTCTAACGCGTCATTTCTGACAAGCTGTGTTCTTTTACTGGACATTCAATAGTACTAGACAGAACGCGTGGTTTCGAGTTTGAAGTTGCGATTGGGCCCCTCCCCGCATCCTGAGGCAGCAGCTTTCTGTTCGGCTGTGCAGGGCAGTGGAGTAGGTACGAATAAACAAGCTTCTAGTTCGTCTTTACACCACAACTTTAAGTACAATGTCTCCTAGTTCCACGTCTAACTTTCATCCACTGTCGTACTGAATCAACATCGACCTTTGTGAACTACTCCAACCATGGCCAACCCACCATCATACCCCGCCAATCCAAACCTCACCTCCAACCCACCACCCCCATCCACATCATCACAGTCCAACGTCGCATTCACACCAAGTGCAACCTCAATTGCCGACTCCTCTGACAACGAGTTCGAGCCAACCCCCATCCACAGCCCCGTCGGTCCCCAATATGAAGATTTGCCACCCTCATACGACGAGGCGCGCGACCAAGCCGTCCACGACACGCGCCACGGAATTGCGCCCGTAGACCCAAGCCAAATTGAAGCTCACCGCATTACTTCTAACGAAGGACCAAACGAGCCAGAAGTATGGGAGTACCGCGTACGAGGCGAAGAAACGGATCCTGCAAGTGAACAGGAACGAGCCCCGGATTATGCGAATTATAGGAACGATAAAGCTACCAGTGTTCCTGTTCCAGTTCAACATGTCAGTACTAGCGAAGATATCGCGGTGGGAAGAGTGCATAGCGGATCTGCTTCCTCGTCGAGCAGACAGAAACAGCCTGACCTGGCTTCTGACTTGCTCGCTCAAGCTCTGGAGTTCAGCCGTGAAGAACCAGATGCGAAGGCGCAGTATGCACCGCTCTTGAACCGCATCATCGCGATACCTGACCATGCAGGACCAGCAAGACGTGTAGACGAACATGTAGTCTTCCTAGTTGCGTACGCTGAAGTCCTGGACCGACATTCTATTGGGCCAGCCGAGTTTGCAGAGTTCTTGTATGGTCTACAAGTCTTAACTACAGCGGCGAATTCAACGGCTGAACACTTGTTGCATGGATCGACGCATGAAGGTGTCTTGTCGACCATCGTACACGATTACATCCGAGGAGCGAATGAAGCTTTCTTCGCACCAAGAGGTCTAATCGTGTCGTTCCGCAGCCAAACTGCCTTGCTCGACATGCTACCCATACCTGCGGGCCACAAACCCACCGTTCTCGCCAACTTGGCGGATGTATCTGCAACGGCTGAATGGCGCGCACGGCAATTATACCCCTGGATCGAGGCTCTCGATGCTGATGCGGTGCCGATGCGGAGCGAGAGAGTGCTCAAGCTGCATGAGATGAGTGAGCGCTTCTCAGGTCAGAAGGCTACACAGGGTTTGCCTGGACATGCCGGGAACAGGAGTTTTCAATCTGCTGAATCCCATGAAGACCCACCTCACTCCATCCCTGGACCTCCAGAAGAATCCTTACACGCACAAGGTCGACACGGACGGGGCAATCACCATCCTCGCGGCAGACGAGGCGGTCACTGGTCGCCCTTTGGTATGCCAGGCCATGGACCCTTCGGTGCACCCGGCAACGGACCTTTCGGCGCACCCAGTGATGGGCCTTTCGGACGTGGTGGCCGAGGAGGACCATTTGGACCCCGAGGCAATGCCTTCTTCGGTAGAGGAGGCTGTTCCTCTCGTGGGGGACGTGGACGCGGCCGCGGACCCCCGCAGTCTGGAAACGAATGGGCGGAAGTAGGCAAAGAATTAGGTAAATTTGGGGAGCAATTTGGGAAGCAAATGGGAGAGCTAGGTGTTGAAATTGGGAAGCGTGCAAGTGCTTTTGGGGTAGAGGTAGGTAGGATGGCTGGTGGAAATGCAGGTGGAAGCGGAAGTGTGAGTGTGAGTGGGAATAGAGGGACCACTGCAACCTCAGGTCCTGCTTCTTACCACCAAGTCCACGACGACCTTCCACCTGCGTATGCTGCACCGTCGGGACAGGAGACAGGCGTGCTACACGGCGACCGCAAAGTCAACACAGCATACCCCACCGACACGAAGGATAAGGGGAAATCTAAAGCCAGGAACCTAGATGACGACGATGACGACACCTCCTCACTGTCATCAGATAGTTCAGACTCCTCCTCAGACTCCTCGGACTCGGACTACGACTCCGACTCGGACTTCACCCCTGCCACAACGCCCAAAGCTCAATCCCTCAAGCTCGCACGCCGCAACATCAAGCAGCGGTCTCGCGCCCTCAAAAAAGACCACAAAGCCAAGAAACGCGAACTCAGAACCAAAGCTAAACACTCCTCTCCAGCAGCAACAGACAGAGGGAAAGACAAGGGGAAGGGGAAGAAGAAAGCGAAGAAAGATCCAGAATGGAAAGCGGCGAAGAAGGAATACAAAGTGCAGAAGAAGGAGTTGAAGAAGGAGAGGGCGGCGCTGAAGAAGGAGTGGCGGGGTGTGAAGGAGGAGGGGAAGAGGGAGAAGAGGGGTGCGAAGACTGGGGTGACGGCTGGGGGAATCTCGAGAGAAGTGCCTATGAAAGAGGGAGAAGGGAAGCAAGGGGTTTGGCTGGTGATTGAGAATTTGGCGCCTTGAACGTCATCGTGCGGTTCAATCCATTGATAGTAATGCTGTCATTTACATGCACGTTTCCACATCAAACTTACGAAATCAATCATGTACACCGATTTGCACGCCACGAGCATTGAAAAAGATCTTCTTTGTCAAAATACATCCGACCAAAGTACTTCGTACACAAAACTACAGTAGTAACCTATGCCGTCTAAAAACGCTTTCACAGCATCATCTTACTATGCACATATTTCCTCTCCTTCGCCTTTCTCTCTCAAAAGGTTCGATTATGAAAGCATCCTGCTCATATCGTTCCTAATGCGGTTGTAATCCAATAGACCCTCAATCTGACCAACAGCCGAGACAGCGACATCCTTGTCCCACAGCCTGTTGCGGGCGAATTGCATAACGTCCTTCTCTGTGATGCGGCCGACGACGCGTTCCACCTCCTCGGGCGATAACCGGCGGCCGGTGGTGACAATTTGGCGACCAATGTCCTCGGCGACGGCGGTGGTGCCATCGAGGGCGAGGAGGATCGAGGCCTTGAGTTGGGCCTTGGCACGCTCGACTTCGGCGGAGGTGACGTTCATGGAGAGGCGGGACCACTCGCGGAGGGTGAAGTGGACTAGATCGTCGAGCTGAGTCAGGTTGGAGCTGGTGAGGTAGATACCCCAGAGACTAGGTTTGTTAGCAGAAAATCGTGAGACTGTTCCATGATGACGTACCCAGTGTCAGAGTAGCTGGTGGAGAAGCTCATGAAGCTGTTGGCGAGGGCGTTTTGCGAGACAAAGTTGCTCAGCTTGCTGCCAAGGTAGTCGGAGGTACCCATGGCACGGTCCCAGTTACCGACAATAGCCTGTGTGACGAGCGCGGTGAAGTAGTCGGGGTCGCTCCAGCTGACACCCTCAACAGCAATGGCGATGTTGGCGGTGCCCATGGTGTCGTCACGGAGGCGGACCTCGGAGCCGATGAAGTCGGGCTTTGCCTTTTGCTCAGCAGCGGCGGACTTGGCGGAGTAGTCCTGGGGCTCTGAGGGGAGGTTGGCGAAGTACTTCTCGGCGAGGTCGACCAATTGCTCGTGGGGAATGCCACCAGCGCCGACGAGGACCATGCGGTCAGCGGTGTAGTTGGTCTTGATGTAGTTCTCGAGATCGGCGCGCTGGATGCTCTGAATGTTCTCCTTGGGTCCGAGGATAGTGCGGCCGAGGGGCTGTCCCTGGAAAGCGGTGGCGTGTAGGTGGTCGAAGACAACCTCCTCGAGCTGCTTGTCTACCTCTTCCTGTTCGCGGAGAATGACATCACGCTCGCGCTCGATGGCCTGGGCCTCGAGCTTGGAGTTCTGGAGGATATCGGAGAGGATGTCGACGGCGGCGGGGACATCGTTGTTGAAGGCCTTGGCGTAGTAGACGGTGTTCTCGCGCTGCTTTGATCAGTATCCAGCCCTGGAAATTCTTCGTTCCGTATGACGTACCGAAGTGTAGGCGTTGAGGTGGCCGCCCATGTTTTCTATCTCGAGCTCCAACTGCTGCTGTGTGCGCTTCTGGGTTCCCTGTGCCATGCATCAGCGTGCTGTCTTGATCCATTGCCATTGATTGTCCGTACCTTGAAAGCAAGGTGCTCCAGGAAATGGGCAGTGCCGTTGGTCCTGTCCGTCTCGGCGCGGCTTCCAGCGTCAATCCAAACACCGACAGTCGATGTCTGGGCCCATGGGGAGTGCTCGGTAGCGATCTGCGCAGTCGAGTCAATTGCAGTCCTGTTTCCTCCTACAATGGCGGGCATACCGTGAAGCCGTTTCCGAGGGTAGTCGACTCGGTCTTCGCGCCGTAGGCAACGGGCGTGGCCAGGCCGCGGGTCAGAGGCGAGGCCCGCGATGATTTGACGGCGTTGATGGCGGAGCGAGAGCGCATGCTGCGCTGCAGGTTGAGGGCGAGCTGGCGGGAAGCCATTGCGTCTGCTCGCTGTGCAGGGGATGGGAGATGGGGACGGTGATGGGGTTGGGGTGGATGTCGATACGTCCAGCTGCAGCTTGGCCTAGGTGAGGTGGATGAGTTTCGTCAAATCTGCGATCACGGGACTTTCCGGCTGCCACCGCTGGCCAATGAGGGCAGCAGGGACGTCAGCAATCGACATCCGAGGCATTGTCGTCAACTACGACTGCGATCCCGATATTGCTTCTTGCGACCTCCACGACCTCAATCAGACAACACAATGGCCTCCGTCATGCGTCCCGGCCTCCTCAGGCAAGCTTGCCCACCCGCCCAGGCCTCGCAGCGCATGCTGTCGACCACGACCTCCACCCTCAACCGCCCGCTCGCCCAGACACTGCGACCAGCATTCCAGCGCTCAGCCATTCCCCAGTCGACCCGCATCGCCGCCTTCCACGCCACACAGCGCAACCAGATCCTCCCACCGCTGCCCCAGAAGATCATCGGAACTACCAATGACCCCGTTCCCGTGCCAGACCCCGACTACGCCCACGGCAGCTACCACTGGAGCTTTGAGAGGATCGTCTCGGCCGGTCTGATTCCCTTGACCATTGCGCCCTTCGCTGCTGGATCGCTGAACCCGCTTTCCGACTCGATTCTCTGCGCTCTCCTGGTAGTCCACTCGCATATTGGCTTTGAGTATGTAGAATGGCTGCGTGTTGAGTTACAGTGGCTAACAGAAACCAGGTCTTGCATCATCGACTACTTCCCCACCAAGCGTGTTCCCCTCGTTCGAAAGTCCGCCATGTGGGCTCTCCGCGCCGGAACTGTCGCATTAGGTCTCGCCCTCTACTCTTTCGAGACAAATGACGTTGGTATCACCGAAGCCGTCGCGAGGCTGTGGCACGCGTAGATACACTTTGGGACTTGTAATACAAATTCAGAGGCAGGGCTTTTTTCTGGTTGAAGTTTCGTACCCTGTAGAGTGTTGTGATTGCCCTACTTCTCGTTGTGCTTAACCTCGTCAGTCTTAGTTATCATAGCCCCGCCCTTCTACAGGCTTATCGAGACGGGGTCTTTGCGACCTAGGAGATCCAACTCGTCTTGCATGTCCACCGAGAGGATACGATGAGCATAGAGATCAGCTTTTCTGAATGTGTAGTGTTCTTCGCCACTAAGACGTTTGCCCGACTCATGTTCAATTCTTCGGTCATTGACTATGGCTTAGACAAGTCCAGCTTACATTGCGTCGTGCTGTGATAGATATGACTCTTTTCTGGGCCCCATCGAACGCGCGATCTAGTTCCCATGCTAACATCATGCCAGAAACGCGAATGTAAAATTTTGTTGATACTCTCAGCGTAATCATGTCCTCCATGCTGCCGCTACTTACTTAGTATCCACCTTCCATTGCTCCCAGTGCGCCTTCCTTGGGTTGAAGACGACGCCCAACACCTTCTTCATCTCCTCCTCATCCACTTCATCGTCCAATTCAAACTTCCTCCTGAATTTTTCGGGTAACTCTTCGGGCAGATTGTAAAACGCTTCCAGCACAGAGTTCATAATAGTGCCTTCTTCCTCTGCGTCCCTCACTCCCAAAAATGATGTTTTGTCCGGGCCAAGTATCATCAATGACCCCCAGAACTGATTGACCATGCGACAACATCCTATCGGGCAGTATGCATTCGTCACATCAAACTCCAGATAGTTGAGGCGGATCAATGGAAGCCTCTCGCCGTTTCTGAAGTAGTCGGACAGATCATCGGTATAACAATCCAGGTCTTCGGTCATACTGGATTTCGCCTCATCATGCACGCGATTAAGACGGGCGTTGAAAGTAGAGCTGTCAAAATCGCCCTCTTCTTCCCAAACCGAGTGGTTGTAAGCGTACGGGCACGAGCCTTCATCGGAACGTCTGCTGACGGCTAGGCTGATATTTTTTGTCAGACGAAAAGCTGAAGCTGAGAACAGCCACCGGTTTTGAAACGGTATATGGCTGATATTTTGATCTTTGCTCGCAGCATGATAGCATTGACCCGATCTTGCAAGTAGTTGCCTACTTGTGCACTAGTCCGGATGTACGAATAAGTTCTTTCTGAGGTATATTTCCTCAGCTCCATCGTGAACTTGCTTGCAAATCCGTAGTATGGCCAATTCCGGAGTGCGGTAAGACTTCCAGTCCTTGAAACGCTTCTCGTTTTGGACAGCGTAGTCGTCGGGCGTGTAGAAGACCTTGCCAACAACCACCAGCTCTTCGTACACCATGACTTTGAGTTCGACAGGCAAATCGAGGAAGCGGAAGGGTGTGAAGACGGTTGTGCCCTGAGGCGTCGTGGTCGTGACTGTAGTGACTGTTGTTGTGGTTGTCTTTGTCTTTGTCGTGGTGACCACCGTGGTATTGGTGGCCTGGGCTGGTGGCTGCGAGTTGGTTGAGTCCATGGCTCTTGTATGTACTATGGTTGACTCGATCGGAGCGTGTTGGTTCTGGCGTGTCCGGAAGAACACAAACATGGTGGTGTAGTTGTGGAGTCGAAGTCAGGTGGGAGTAGTATGAGGAAGAAGGTCGACCTTTGAACAACCTGGAGCCTATGCTAATGTTAGGTCATGTAATTTGTATGTTTTCATCTTGATGTAGGCTGCAGACCTGTTCGGTGTTTTTTCTTGTATAAGGTTGCCTAGCAACTGCCGGTGAAAGAGTATACATACACTTGTAGAGTTATCCGTGAGAAGAGGTCGAACGGGCCACAAAAGAAGGAACTCGCCCTAATTCTCGCGCTACCCTGCCTTCCGTAGCCTTCACCACGGACTCAATCGTCCAGTGCAAGCTTTTGAGTAGGTGATGGAGGGTGGAAGAGTGAGAGTGAGAGTTAGAGGAAGCTGCGATCACAACCTATCTATACCATGTGCGTGACGTGACGTAGGCGGTACAATGGGGAAGGAGCGCTCAGTCAACAAACAACATTCACTTCACACCTTCAGCGACGATCCAAGTAGAAGCGGATATCTTTGATTATAAGTTTTGAAGAGAATGTAGGAACAGCAAAGAGCCAGAACTTCGATAGCCACCAGCCACACTCTAATCGCAAATACGGCATATTAAACCAACGAGACTTGGAAGGAAAGGCGGTATAGTGGTATAAAGGCAAGACACCTGGGTAAAAGGATGTAGACAGGATTGAGAATTTGGAGTCTAAACAAAGCGCACCCGGCCTGAAAGTCACACCTAGGATATACCCTTCATGCCACACTGTAGAAAATGATGAGTCTAGCCATCATTGACCGTTTACCAAGATGCACCAATAACCACTAACCCCTGCCATTTTTGCGTCTGTTATCGGTTTTTCAGATTTATGCCTTGGCGTCGGCGGGAGCCTCGCTGCTCTCAGCCTTGGGCGCGTCGGTGGCGGGCTCGCCGGCGGGGGCGTCACCGGAGGGCTCGGCCTCGGACGATGTCCAGAGGGTCTGAGTGAAATTAGTATGCTTGAGACAAGAAAGATGTGGGTGGGCTTACAAGGTTGTCACGGAGGAGCTGCATGATGAGGGTGGAGTCCTTGTAGCTCTCCTCAGACAGGGTGTCGAGCTCTGCATATTTGTTAGCCCTGTTCAGGAACAGATTGTTCATCCTTCACGTACCAGCAATGGCGTCATCGAAAGCCTGCTTGGCGAGCTGGCAAGCCTGGTCGGGCGAGTTGAGGATCTCGTAGTAGAAAACGGAGAAGTTCAAGGCGAGACCGAGACGGATGGGGTGGGTAGGAGCAAGGTTGGAGGCGGCAACATCGGTAGCAGCCTTGTAAGCCTCGAGCGACTTGTCGGCAGAGGTCTTGCGCTTGTCACCAACGGCAAACTCGGCAAGGTAGCGGTGGTAGTCGCCCTTCCTGAGAAGACATGTTGATTAGCAGACTGGCTAGTCAAATGCACGCGGTGTCTTACATCTTGTGGTAGAAGACCTTGGACTCTCCGCTCTCAGCAGAGGGGATCAGGTGGCTGTCAAGGCACTCGAGGATGTCCTCGCAGATCTTGGCCAGCTCGGCCTCGATCTTTTGGCGGTACTCCTTGATCAGAGTAACCTGGGTCTCGTTGCCCTTGGACTCCTCCTTCTGCTCGATCGAGGTGACGATTCTCCAGGAGGCGCGGCGAGCACCGATGACGTTCTTATAGGCAACGGAAAGGAGATTTCGCTCCTCGACGGAAAGCTCCTGGTCTGCGGAGGCAACGGCCTTCATGTTCTCGACCATCTCTGTCACATCGCGTTAGGACACGATGCCGTGGATTGTTTGTGGTGCGCTTACCCTCGTAACGCTCGGCCTGCTCGGCCAGCTTGGCCAGGTACACGGAGTCTTCGTAACCCATTGTGATGTGTGGTCTGTGCAAATCGCTGTTAGCTGATGTATATCGAGTTGAAGCGCGCAACCAGTGCAACCAGTGGCTATCGCGGTTGCTAAGCAGCAAGCAAGCCCCTCAATGTGCGCTATGGCCGTAATCGGAGAAAATGTCGTTTCGCTGCCGTTGTCGATTGTTCGCTGTCTGTCCTGTTTGTGTTGAGGGCTCGGAGTATGCGGCAAGTGGAGATATGCCAATTGCTTGCGTGGACTTTACACCTCACAACAGAGGCGCAAAGAGGGGCGGCTCGAGCTACCACGGGTCTCCGAAAAGAGCGCCGATACACGACACCAACGACAACAGCGGCTGAGCGACTTGAGACGAGCGATTTCGACAGCCGGCCATGCTGATGGGAAGAGCGGGCCTTGTTTACTGTGGTCGGGGGCGCAAATTGCAGCTGTCCGCGGACTCGGGGGGAGTGACGAAATGCAGTGGAGCAGCACTTACGTAGAGAAAAGTTGGTGTGGGGAGGGAAGGTAGGCTGCTAGAGGCGGCGATGTGGTGTTGGCAAGAAAGTGAAGTGCAGATGTTTTGGTCAAGGGCGGCTTGTGGTTGAGTTATCAGAGGAGGGGACTTGAGAGGGAGAGAACCCGACCAGTTGACTCGTCTTGGCGTCGATCACGCCTGCCTATCCTTGGTTTCACACGGCCCAGAACTGGCGCGACCTTCTATTCTGACAGGCGAACACCATCCGCCACCGCCTCAGCGGCCCATTCCTGGCCTGAGTAGTGCCTGCTATTGTTTACAGGCTTGCAGAGTCGCCTTGGAGACATTGTTGTTGAGTCCCTGAATAACATGCCCCGCAGTACACCCTTTCCATGACAGCTACAAGGACCGGGCTTCACTACGAGCATTGGGCATCACGTTTGGCCTTGAGCAGCGCACATTGGCTCTGCCCAGACAACGGTGCCATGGTTGTAAAGATTCCAAACACATGTTGAGCGAACAGATACAGCATGCTGTTCGGAAAGCGATGAGACCAACACCATGTTGTTGCGGGCGATGTAGTGACACAAACCCCCGAAGTCTTCTTGTCACATGGTGCTTGTTGTGCTTTTTATGCTGGAGCAACTTTCATAATACAACAACGCATTGCCAAACGTGTCTGCCAACATTACCCCTCCGCTCTACGATATACAGACGTATCATGCTAAGGGGTCATGTGTCTGTCCCGTACCAAACTGTCGAGTGGGCCAGGCAACGATGTTGAGACCCTTTAACATCACGTGAGAACCGAGCGATGACGCACATGCACGTCCAAGCTCCCATGTCTTCCAGATGTCGAGCCATCACTCCACCTCAGCATACAAATTGCATATAACCACCCAACACCCATCATCCCATCTCTCTACAAAACCGCCAAAATGCTTCGCACATCCATCATCAAGAGCGCGCGCTCAATTGCCGCTCCTCGCTACTTCTCCGCCTCCGCCCTCCGCATGGCTGAGGGTGCCACCGGCTCTGGAGCTTCAAGGGCTACCGGTGCCGCTGGCGGGTGAGTCTATGCTCATAAACTATAAAGCCCATGGTTCCTACTAATCAATGCTGTAGCGACGCCTTCACCAAGCGCGAGGCTGCTAGCGAGGAGCTCTACATTCGCCAAGAAGAGAAGGCCAAGTACGTATACTCCAGCTTCATGTATCCCGATGACTACTTCGTCACCGTTGCAGAATGAACAAGGACCCGGCACAACGTTCTGTCACAGTATCACATTCTGACAACCACTAGGCTCCTAGCAATCAAGGATAAGCTCAAGCAGCAAAGGCAGCACATGGAGGATCTTGACAAGCACATGTCAGTAATCTAACTTGGCAACGCGCAAATAGACAAGACTAACACCAACACAGCGACGACGTCATTGCTGAGTCTGAGCGCTCAGGCCAGGGCGAGCAAAAGTGAGCGCGTCGCGAATGCTCCGGACGAATAACGCGGGCCGACCCATACGTCGTTATAAACCTGCTATGATAGTCAATGAACATATCGAACAAACATAAACTTGGCAATTGGGTGGTCGGATTCCACGGCAGATGCTTGCGTTATCTCGTACTTGCTTCTTCATCTCGTCCTTGTTCGTGTCAAAGAGAGCATGGGTCTAAACACTTCAAGGCCATCCCCCCAAGCACATATGTGGGCCTGCCATCTCAACACTCGCACCTGCCAATTTGAGGCTTGATGGGCTCTTCAACGCAGGATACTCCAAAGTTGCCCTTTTCGTTCAGTGTGCATCTGTACATCTGTACATCACGTTTCAGTATACATCGAGCGAAGTACTACCGAACGATTACGGAAACTTTCGGTATCACGCGGAAGTGCGTCACTCGCTCTGATTCGTTCGAGTAGGTTGTTTCTCGGATTATTATAACGTCAGCTCATCGAAGATCTGGAGACCTCGGGATCCACTACATGGATACAGCCCGGGATACTCCAGCCACCACCCCGCTCGAGGCTGGATCACAACTCGATATTTCCCGTTTTGTTTTTCTGCCGCGAAGGATCTGACGACAACACATCCTCGTATTCAGGCCCGCTTCTCCAGCCTCCGATATCTGGAGCAAGTGCTTACGCAGCCTCGTGCAAAGTCTGTTATCGCACAATCGGCTGGAGAGCGGAGAACGTGACTCCCTTGCGCCGACCTAGAACATGGTTCGCTGCCGTGTGATACCGCTGCATCGGTATGGTCGATCGTGAAATTCGGTCATCTCTCCAGCCACATTCGCCGTGTCGAATATAGACTTTACTCCTTTTTCGCGAACATGCCGACTGTATGAACGCCTGACTGTCTAGGCCTCCAGACCGCCGTCATTGTTAGCCCATTTCAAACGCCTTCCGTGTTCACGCAGCTAGGCGTTTTACTTTTGTTAGCGAAACAGGTACTTGGGCTCTTAATCGTGCGTGCCGCAGGGATCCCACTAGCACGTGTGGCAGATAGCCGACATCTTACCACGAACATCCCAGCTGCGATCACAACTACAAGCGACTACCCTGTGAACGTTCGAGTAACTTTCAAGATCTTTCTGCATTTTCATTTGCCCGCCGCCGTAGTCCGTTCGAATTAACCGTTGGCCGAGCCCTCTGACAACCTCCTCTTCACCCCCACCAGGTGATGCATGCTTCTTTTACAAGATACCCCATGCTACCCCCAAGTACATCCCACCCATTTCTGTATCAAGGGACACCGAGACGACGTCATTGTAAGCATTGCTTTGACTTCGATATGGAAAACCCTGGATCTGGAATCCACCCGTTGCTCCCATCAACGAATGAAGCAAAGCTACGGAGGGTTATCGCGCCGAGAAGACTACGAAGAGACGACACTGAACCAAATTAGGTATGACGAGAGCGGGTGAGGGATCTATTCAGGGTCTTCGCTATAGCCTTGGCCATCGAGCATATATGGTCTCCTTTGTCGCTCAGCATCACCAGTTCATACCTCTAGCCATTGATCTGCACTGATCTCAAACGCCCAAACTTCACCGTTACTCAACTAGCTGCATAGGCTTTATTGCTCCCCAGACGCTCTAATATAACCATCCCTCGCCAATACGAAAGTCTTCCACTCCACCAACCACCTCATCACCAAGTCTAGCAGTTGCCTCACACCAACCGCCTACATGGCGCAGTCAGGTTTAAACTCAAACAACTCCCTTCCTCAATATTACGGTCAGACGCTGCAAGATGGGACGATAATGGAGTCTCCCGTCATGCCAACACACCCACGGGGATCCAGCGACTCGAGGCAAGAGCTTCTGCGACTGCCTGCACAGCCTCACCAAGCGCATATGGACTACAACATCGACTCTGAGTCACATAATGCTCCCGTACAACAGGCCAATAACACCTTTGGTCTAACGCCTATGCCGAACAACCGAAAGATGGGAGGACAAGCCGACATCCGTGACTGGGACGCAACGCCTCGTCCGCGACGACCATCTCAACCTGTGCCTTACAGCCCGACCACACACCGTGGTCCCTACGTAGAAGACTACTCTGAAGAGGAAGACGTCGATCCCCGCGATCCTCGCGCGTACCGTCGCCCGAGCAGGAGAACGCAAGGCCCTCCCAGTGCGTACCGCAACTACGTCGAGCAGAACTCCAGGTATGGACCCATACCTAGGAACAGCGTCGACCACAACATGCAGCCTCAGTACAGCGACACACCAGGCAAGCCTAATTACGAAATGTACTACCCAGATGGAGGTAACTACGGTGGACGCCGCCCTCCCATGCCTTACGCTGGAGGAAGCCGAGGACCACCCAATTACCCACCTCAGGAGAGTGTGATGAGGTTGCCATGGGTCATATGGATGGGAAGTAACGCAAAGAACCGTAAGTCATCTTAGCATCTCCAACCCCTTCACATCACTAACACATCTCGCAGACTTTGTCGCTTTCGTCGGTGAATTCGTAGGAACAACCATGTTTCTCTTCTTCGCCTTCTCCGGCACCCAAGTCGCCAACATCGACTCATCTGCCACCCCGGACTCCAACACTACGACTAACGAATCCGCTGGTTTCTCTCCCATCGTCTTGCTCTACATCGCCCTCGTCTTTGCTTTCTCTCTCATGGTAAACGTATGGGTCTTCTTCCGTATCAGTGGTGGTCTGTTCAATCCTGCTGTTACATTCGCTATGTTGCTCTGCCGCGCTCTGTCTCCTATTCGCGCTTTCCTGCTAGTAGCAGCGCAGATTAGCGGAAGTATCTTTGCCAGTTTCCTCGTCAGCGTCTTGTTCCCCACATCCTTCAATGTTCGGACTACGTTGGGTGAGGGCACGAGTTTAGTCCAGGGTGTCTTTATTGAAGCTATTCTCACCGCGGAACTGGTGTTTACCATCTTCATGTTGGCAAAGGAGAAGCACAAAGGTATGTCGTCCCATTCTACTCACCCCCATACCCAACACATACTAACACCTCCTTCCAGCAACATTCATCGCCCCCGTCGGCATCGGCCTTGCCCTCTTCATCGCAGAACTAGTCGGCGTCTACTACACGGGTGGCTCGCTGAACCCCGCCCGCTCCTTCGGTCCCTGCGTCGTAACCGGCGTCTTCGATGCCGAACACTGGATCTACTGGGTGGGCCCCGCGGCCGGCGCCATCATCGCAGTCGTCTTCTACCAATTCATCAAGATTCTCGAATACGAAGTTGCCAACCCAGGCCAAGACGACGACGACAAGGACCAAGAGGTCAAAGAAGTCATCGAAAAAGAGCGTGAGGGATCTCAAGAACCTGATTTGGAAAGTGGTAACTCCGGTGGTATGACGGGAGGTATGGGCGGTGGGCCACCAGGTAATGGTGCAATCCCCCTTCCCACACCTGCGAGCCATCATAATCTTAGGGCGGCGCATAGTGTACAGGGCCTTGTTCATCATGCGCGCAAGAAGAGGGCGCAGGAGGGGCAGGGGTTTGGGGGGAGGGGCGGGGATACGTACTAGAATCCACAGGCTGAGTGCGATCCTTGAAAGGGACTCCGTGTCGGAGCCCTGGGATATTAATGAGGTACGAGAGGACGAAAGCAACCCATCGCCGAGTGGGTAACGGGTTCATGGGTCACGGTAATGTGTTTATGTGGTTGTTACGACTCTCCTTAAGTTTGACTTACGAGGGTTCATGAGAGTGATTTGGTTACGGGAAATGCATGGGCTTGGGTTTGGGTATGGATGGTTACGAATTAGAATGTATCAATAGCTACTACGTACATAGATCCGGGTTTGATGATGCGACGATGATCGCAGCCTGGTTAGCATAGCAAAAGAATGATTGCATATCTTTACAACATTGTGCTTGCAAACTTCTGGCTTTGAGCTTCGCTATGAGGTTGTTCCAGAATTTCAAAGACCACTCATGTTCTGGTTCATTCTCAGCTGAGTATGCGTTGCGAAGAACGCATGCGAACGATCCTGCATCTCAATTCACAAAATGACGGGTACAACAGCATGACAGCAATATACAAACCCTCGGAGTCTTACACCTTCCTCCACTTATCCTCGCCCCTTGCTTCCAGAATACGCGAGAACGGAGTACCGAACATACACGCCTTCTCAAAATTAGATGTAAGCACATCACCGAAAACTCTATCCCCAAACCCCAGTACGTCAACTCATCGTCATGCGATTCTACATTGACATCCCATCCCAAACCTTACCTCACACCCTTCCCGGTGCTAAAAACTACCCACGCGATCAGTCACAATATCGAAAACCATCGAAAACCTACACATTTGCGATTCCGATACCGAACATATTCGCATGACATCAAAACTACGTACATACCCCCAGTGAGTGACGAAAAATCGGTGGTTGCAGCCTCGCCTCGTTTCGCAAACTCAAAACCAACCCCAAACCTTCCTGATCCCGTGTGACGGACTAGTGCGACCCAACGCTCGGGACGTTTAGGGTTTGGTTTGCGAAGGGCTATTTCTGGTAATTAGGTAGTAAAAACAGCAGGTAGGGATGTAGGCTTTACCGTTTTCTTTAACGGGGTATTGGGGGCGGCCGGGGGGTCATTGGATGACGTTTTGTGACGACGGGTGCATAGGGAAGGCAAAAGGGAAGAGGAAGGAACGACGTTGATATTACGAGGGGTTGTAGCGAAGAAGTCCGGGTACGATGATGGCATGGGATTAATGAATGTGTGGGTACGGATTCTGCTGATTTTTACATTGGGAGATGACTTGATTATCGTCGTGGATGCATCTCTCAACCACCCTCGTCTCTACCTACCTTCCGCAACATAAAATGATTCGTAAAAGCGGTGTAATATGTATAACCACGCACTCTCTAATCTTTCACAGCCATAGTCACGTTCACTAAAGACATGTATCTCCAGCTCAGCTTCCAAAAAAAGAACTTATTCAGGCATTAAGTCATCTCGAATGATAAGAATGTGTCGCACTGTCTTTACATCTTCCACTCCGTCTTCTTCCCTTCAATCTCTCCAACTTCTTCGCCCTCCACTCCCTCTTCACATCCCCTTCTCCACTTCCATCTCTCTCCCGACGATCAAAACAAAACAACAGTATGAAAGAAAATGGTATAGCAAAGCGGGACACAGTCCCTCCTCCCCTTCTCTTTCTCCCTCTTCCACTAGCCTTCACTTCTCTCTCTCTCCTCGACGTCGTCGTGACCGAGCAAAAAGAACAAAAAAGCCCCCCTACACACAAAGTGCGGATAAGCGAATGCAAGAAGAATATGTGTGAGAGTGTGTGTGTGATGTGAACAGATAAGGAGAATATTTGTAGGTAGGTAGGTAGGTAGGTAGGTAGTGATAGCGTGTGAAAACGAAAAAAACTATAGCCGACGGCATAACAAGAGTAAATAGCGTGGTTGCGTAATCAAGAACATAGCAAGCACAAGACAAGCAGCAGTAGCGCCTAGTAAAGACACAAACGCCCAAAGAACGAAAGAAGAAAGGGTGTAGGACCAATCGCCGCCCTGTCTCCTAGCCCAAAGCCCAAAGGTAGCCCCGTTATGCTCCAATAAGAGAGAAGAGATGTTTGATGGCCAGAAAAGCGATCGATGTAGATAAGGGTATATGAAAACAAGAGGGGGGTTTGTTTTTTAGTGTTTCATCAAACGGCCAGCCACCAAACCAATCCACGATGACGACGACAAATGCGCTCAAGTCATACTATACTTCTGTGGGATTGGGGAAATCAAAGTCGCTGACTAGATTGCCAAAAGCGTCGTTGTCGTTGCCCGTCTGTAGAAACGAGTCAAAGTCGAAAGTCTCGAGGGCGCCAGGGTCGTCGCCAAAGTTGAGGCCGAGATCGAAGCCATTGGGCTGTTGGTTGTGTTAGTAGATGTTATGGAGAGTAGAGAAACACAAATACTTACGTCACCATCAATGTTGCCAAACGGCGGACCTCCGTTGTCCATGTTTTGGTCGGAAGGAGGTTGCGGTTGCACAGGCTGCGGTTGGCCGTTTTGTCCCTGGTTGAAGGATTGCTTGTGTACTGGCGTGATGGGTGCGACGGGAGTGGAGGATGTGGGTGTCGGTGGTTCTTCGCCGTTTGTCGTGGCGGGAGTAGAACCTGCATTCGCCCCCTTTTTGTTGTTTGCGGGCTTCTAAAATCAATATCAACGATGCTCGAGGGTATAGGAGAAGCGCGAGACGTTACCTTATTATCTTTGGTCACCTTCTTCTTGGGGTTGGCCTTATTTCCTTGGTTCGGAGTCGGTGGTGCCTGGTTAGACACGGATGGAGAGGGTTCTGGTCGGGGTGGTTCGTTCGTGGGCGCTGGAGGCGGCGGCATTTGTTGCCGCTGTTGAGGGTTTTGGCCCATGGGTCCTCCCATCTGCTGGCCGCCTGGACCCATCATACCTGGTTGGGGCCCTCGCCAACCATTCTGTTGCATCTGGCCATTGCGCATGGCTTCCATTTGCGCAGGCGTTAGTTGCTGACCATTGAAGTTGGGCGGCTGCGGATGTGAGCTCGGAGGCCGCATCATGGGGTTGCCGTTCGGGCCGGACATATTCTGGGGATAGAATTGTGGAGGCATTCCTGGGGGTGCCAGACTGGGGTCGAAGTTCATGTTGGGTGCGGGAGATGCACGTTGCTGCCCCATCATTCCCTCTGGCATAGGCGAGCCAGGTAAGTTCTGCTGGCCGAGCTTTGGTGTGCCTCGCTTCATCTGATCGGCGGGGTTGGGTGATGGGCCGCCGGCTCTGCTACCTTGAGGTGACATGGCTGCGCCAAAACCTGGGGCGCCAATAACACCCTGCTGAGGATGTCCAGATTGATTGTCTTGCTCTTGGCGGGCCATGAGTAACCGTTTCTTGTTCTGCTGCTCAAGCAGCATGAGCTGCATCTGGTAGTCCTGCAGCGCGTGGTTGCCCTGCTGGGGAGCGCCTTGAGGGTTGTTGGGCATGTTGCCGGGCCGTGGACCGTTGGGAGCGAAGGTTAGGTCTTGCCCGTCGAGGCCGGGCTGGGCCATGGGGGAGCCTTGGACGCCAGAGTTCATACCCTGGGGGGAGGAAGTGTTACTCATTGCCACTCTGTGTTGATGGGCCAGACTTTGGGCATATACCTCGATGTTCTTCTGCTGCGCACCTGGGCCTTGCGGCATGAACTCATTGAACTGGTTGCTGGGCATGTTACCAGCATTCATACCACCTGTGGGCGGGTCTTGATTAGCTTGTACTCTCCACATGGGTGTGACAGATGACGTACCGTCGACGCGGGGGCGCTTGTTTGGGGACGGGGCATTTTCGTTGGACCCCGGCGAGTTGGGGCGGTTGCCGTTCATGTCCATGCTGGAGCCGTCTCGTTGCATCTGAATCATGTTGGGGTTCTTCATGGGCTGCATGCCCGCCATGGGGTTGCCGGCGCTGGGGGGTGTTAGTTGGGGTTCGAGCATCGCGAGATGGCAGAGGTATTGCGAGGGTCGAGGTGCTTACGGTCGGTTGTTCATAGCGGCTGCCCGCTTGAGGTCGGTCTGGTTGCCGTTGGTCATGGCACCGTTCCGCATCATGTACTGGGCGCCGTTCATGGGGTTGGTGGCCATCATGAGGCGCTGGTCTCGCTGCTGGTTCTGGATATGGCCCAGATTCTGCGTCTCAGTCAGTACGTCTCCGTGTCTAGCAGTGCGCTGCTACCTACCCGGTTGTGGCCGAGATATTGAGCGGCATTCTTGGGACCGCCGCCGGCGCCTCGAGCAGCGGCGAAGATGTCCCAGAACTGGACCCACCAGTCGAGCAGGAACGAGTTGTCGGCGGCCTGGCCCGGGGGCATGAGCGGCAGGGGCAGGTCGTCGGGCATATCGAGGTCGCTGGCGCCATTGGGCTTGTTGTTGGGGCTGGCCTTCTCCGTGTTGAGCTTGAGGTCGCATTCGAGCATGGCGCGCGCGAGAGTGTGGTGGCGGTTGCGTAGGAAGTAGTCGTAGATGTACGTGTTGAGCTTTTCCTTGGGGTCCTGGTCGCCCATGCGTTTGGGATGCGCCATGTTGCCCATGATGGGGGTGCCGTTGAGGGAGCCGTTCGCATTCATCTGCGCCATCTGCGCCATTTGTTGGTTCTGCATCGCGAGGGAAGAAGGTGTCGAGCGGCGCGGCAGGCGCGGTGGACGGGTGGGGGGTTAGCGATAGGTGCGCGGTGGTAGCAATAGACGCGCTGTGTTGTGCACCTCGGTGCTGGACGGGCCTCTACAACAGCATGGGATGTCGTCGCCACGGTGCGTGTCGGAGCGGAGCGTCGTGCCAAGGACGGGTGGTGGACGACGATGGCGTGGAGGTCGCGCGAGATGGCAGCTCTGGGGTGCCGAGTGTGGGTAGCGACGCTGGTGTCGTCGCGATGAAAAGGCGGCGGCTGATGCACGGTACTATGGGTCGGGGGTTAGCGTGAAGGAAGGTCTTGAACAGCGCCCTGGAGGGACCTCAGCGGCGCGCTACACGGAGCCGCCAAGAGATGCGATCACGACAACAACGACTGCGAGATCTTCCGCCTGCACGAGAGGGCGCGATTGAAGCAACTACACGAGCGGACTGCAGCGGGATCGTGCAAACTCTGGAGCTGCGAAGAGCGAGGGGAAGAGCGGCCGCTCGCGAGCTGCGCCAAGTGGTCCACGTGATCTCGGTATTATTAGATCCCCTATGCTCCAGCCTCCCATTGCGCAGCATCGCGCTTTCATCAGAACTGCCTCGATGTTTGTTTTTCTACTCGCATAAAGCAATTCAAGACGTCAGACATGGTGGAATTGGAGTGTCGTGATCGCATCGCAGCATGGTATGCACCAGGGCCGATATCTAGGGAGGTTGGTGGGGCACATGTAACGCGAACCCGACCCTCATGCCCCGACCAGTACTGGTAGCACATCATTCATACACCCTGATGGGTTTACCGACTTGGTCGTAGTTGCGCAAAATCTTTGTCAACAACTTCTACACAGTAAGATTAAGGGGCTGCAAAGACTAAATGCACAATGTAGCACGAGAGGCCGCCTTCAGCGATCAATGGTGCGTCGATGGTGTGGTAGTGCAATTGCGCGAGTGCAATTACCCTCTAATTGGCTTCCATGGCCGTCTTCAATAGTGCACCCTATCTAGTCCTGTGCATCGAGTCATCCATCCAAACACCACGACATCACGACAGTATCCAATTGCTGGCACATAATGTCTTCAGCAAATACCTGCCTTTTTGCTCGCCTATCTCTCAGTCAAGTCTCCCACATTACACGTGTGGATCGGCGAATGCCCTGCTTGCTCAAACCTAAATAGCAAGTGTAATTTCTCCTCGACCCTACTTCATTCTACTCGTCATCGGGTGGCATCTCGTCGTCAATGTAGCGGATCAACGTTATCCGCATCTCAGTCGTGTCGTTGCCTCGGAGGACGTCACTGACGAAGTGCGCTTCCACCTGCATGTGTACCTGATGCGTGTCAGTCCATTGTCCACGCCCCATCCTGATGCGGTATATGCGTACCATCTCTAGGGCACCCCGCAGCACGCCCACCAGTATGTTGGAGAACCACAGCTCGTCCTGCGCGCGGCCGTCGTCAGGCAGCTCTACAAAGTCGGCCAGCGGGTTCTCCTCGAAGATGAGGGAGAACTGCTTGTTGTCGCTTGACCAGTTTGTGATTGTCGGTGTGATATTCAGGAAGATCTTGAAGCCGACCTAAAACCGCACGTCAGCTTGCGATCTATATGCCATTGACTCGGTGGCGCTACCTTGGAGATCATCTCCGAGACCTCTCGGAAGTTGGTGCAGGCAGGCGCACTCGACTTGGCCAGAAAGTCTTCAATGAGCCGTATGCCGATGTTGTATCCCATGCGCTCCAGTTGCTTGTTGACATCGGGGTAGTTGTATTCGTAGTCCTTGCATAGTTGCGCGACAATGGTGCCGTATGTGAGCGTGACGAGTTCCGCGCTGACCTTGTCTACTCGAGTCCTGGCACTGTCAGAACCGGTCGCGTAGGGTAGCCATATGCGAGACTTACTTCCACACTCTGACATCTATTAGCACATGTGCAGCAACTACTAGACGTCTGGAGCTCACTCCTCGCCCATGCGGGCTGCTTTGGTCGATGACGCCATTACCGTGCGGGCTTCTGGTTGTGCAGTGTCGGTGTCAAAACGTGAGTGTGGACTGTCGCGTGAGTTTGTTATATAGTGTCGCTGATATCAAGTCGTTGTTGACGTCGGGGAGCATGCGGACTGCGGAGGAGCGTACTGGGACGCCCGGGCCCTAGCGTAGATCTGCCCTGAGGAAAGTTTACCAGCTACAACTGACGATAACCACCGCGCACCAATCCACATACCCCACACGTACACCGAATCAAGCACCCATCCATCGCCATGTCGAGAGAAAAGCGACCCGCCAACGAGGCTTTTGGCACGAGCCAGCTGGTCAAGCGCACCAAGTCGGACGCGAATCTGGGAAGCTCTGCAGTAGCTGTCGTGAATGGCTCGGGCGCAAATGGCGCGCTGATACAAGCGGTATGTTATGACCACGGACTTTTGATAGAGTACCAAGCTGAAGATTGCGACGTGCTGACAGGTGCTGTAGGGCTCGCGTACCAGCGCGCTGCAGTCGCCGGTTATGGAGTTGACGGGCCACTCTGGGGAAATCTTCGCAGCGAGGTTCGATCCGACAGGACAGTACATAGCTTCGGGCTCCATGGACCGGTCCATATGTAAGTCCTCCGTAGACACTAGGGAGATATGCGTTAATATGGACAGTACTCTGGCGCAGCTCTGGATCATGCGAAAACTACGGTATTCTCACTGGACATAAACAGGCTGTTCTGGATCTGCACTGGTCGCGCGACTCCAAGGTTCTCTTCTCCGCCTCCGCGGATATGCACCTAGCAAGTTGGGATGTAGAGACGGGAGAGAGGATACGAAGACATCCAGGGCACGACGAGGTTATCAACTGCATGGACGTGAGCAAGCGCGGTGAAGAGATGCTTGTAAGCGGTTCAGACGACGGCTACATTGGGGTGAGTACATCAGTATACCATCTCGGGGCCATTCTAACTCTCACAGATCTGGGACACGAGAACGAAAGACGCCGTAACATTCATCCCCACCGACTTCCCCATAACCGCCATATGCCTGGCCGAAGCAGGCAACGAGCTCTTCACCGGCGGCATCGACAACGACATCAAAGTCTGGGATCTGCGGAAACAAGCCGTCACATACACACTCCTCGGTCACACCGACACCGTCACCTCGCTCCAAATGTCCCCGGATAACCAAACCCTCCTCTCCAACGCACACGACTCGACCGTCAGAACATGGGACGTGAGACCTTTCGCGCCCGCAGACAGGCGCATTCAAACATACGACGGAGCGCCCACCGGTCAAGAGCGCAACCTGCTAAAGGCCAGCTGGGATTCCAAGGGCGAGAAGATCGCAGCCGGTAGCGGAGATCAGAGCGTGGCCGTTTGGGAAACGCGAACAGGAAAGCTACTGCACAAGCTTCCCGGCCATCGAGGTGCCGTCAACGACGTGCGGTTCCACCCGCTCGGTGAACCAATCTGTAAGTACCCTAATTCTCCTTTTACCATTTACCTTTGTACCCGTTCTCCCGTTCTAGACCCCGCGCTACGCTTGAGCGTTCTGGACGTAGGGCGATCAAGGCGGATTGGGTTTCTTGAGCGAGCGAACAATTTCGAGTGGAAGCGCTTGAGGCGGGCAGGACAGTATTTCAGCGCATCGTCATTTCCCACCAAGTGTCTTCGGAGATGTCTGGTGGGAAATCAATGCAATGGAATCTCTCCCTGCATTCATGGTTCCCATCAAGCGTTTCGACACCTTTCACCGCTGAATTCCGATGCACGAAGCTAACTTGGCAATCTTAGTGCTATCCGCATCTTCAGACCGCAAGCTCATGGTAGGCGAGCTAGGCAAGTGAATGTGGAGGTGAAGCAACTTGGCTACACGAACATGCTTCGAGATTACGGTGATTTAAATCTCCGGGGGAGCGACAGTGAGCGTGGAGAAAGGACCGACCAACACCCGGCCCCACGGTACGTCAGAAGGGCGATATTTATGTGTAGACTGGACACGCCGGTGCGACGTTTGACAGGGTATGGAGTCGCATATTGCCATCTTCTACACACACACTGCTCGGAAGCAAAGGGGTAAAAAGACGCGTCGAAGACACGAATCTGTTTACTTTTAACAGAACAGTATGACGCGCAACACTGTGTACATTGTATAGAGTAAACAAAATCAACAAAGATGAACCACCGCGACTTATGCACCTTTATGCTCCTATATTATGTCGTTGCACGTAAATAGCACATTTGCGAAGCTACTGGTGCTCAGTCGTTCCTCATTGGGGTAGACGTTTCATGTTGTTTTTGTGCGAGCCAACCAGCGCGCTGCGGGCCTAACGCTTTTGCTACGACCTCTTCTTCCGGTCAACCACGACAGGCCCGCGCAGACTCGACGAAATCGAGAACACCCAGATCTGATGCACCGATGTACGCGAACCGCGGTCCGTGACACGTCCTGGATCGCTGCTGCTGCCGGGCTGATGGCGGAGACGTGTTTCACCCTTCCAGCGATCAAAGTCTGATACGCCACTCGTCGCGGAAACGCATGGCGCTCAATGCTTTCTCGACGATTGACCGTCCATCGTTATTGGGACGCTGTGACCCCATGTCACTCTTGGTGCGGAGCTTGCGACCACCTCCTACTTTCCAACTCTTTCATCTCCTTCGTGTTTGTCTTGCATCTATTTTCCTTCCAGTCATTGGTAATAGAGGTAGCGGTTGCTGTGCTCCTGCTTGTTTCGCTTCTTTTCATTCTTTTGCGCTCGTTTGGCCGAGGTGCGCTGCTGGATAGCCCTGTTGGTCCTTTTTCACTCTTTTCCCTTACTATTCACTTTCAGAGTCTAGGAACATCTTTGTTTCGACGCATTTCTCGAAAGTTAAGAGGTTGTAGCCAAACGGTTCGCTCCAACTGGATTACTTTGCATATGCTGGGAAGGGTCTTGGGCAAGGGCGAGATCCATTCATTGTTCTTCTACTCCACACTTTCTGTTCTTGGAGCGGTTCGGGCACACGGCGTTCCTGCATTGGTCTGGAGTATCCTTTCTCTTATTCGCCCTTGTCTGTCTTGAGTGAAATCAACACAGAGACCTTCGGCGAGCAGGACGCGTCTGCTATAAGGGATTCACGTACGCCCAAGATAGAACTTGGGGGCTCGTAACCGTATATTTCTGGACTTGAGGGAACCACCGCGCTATATACGGATCACCATGTTTCGGTCACCACTCTTCGCTTGGTCGCCACGGCCAGACCAGAACCAGGACTTCGACGCAACGCCTGCAACGCAGTCGACATCTCGGTTCAGCACGTTCCGCAGTAATGTGCGGGGGATGGTCAACGGGTCGTCGATATACTCGCAGTCGCCGGCTATGAATAACAACAATAACATCAACACACCCAAAACACCCTTCCTGGGCTTCTGGAACCGCCAGCAACCGGCCAACCAGGATGGGCTGCCTACCTCCCAAAACGCGCATCGCGAATCACATGATTCGAGATCTCCCTTCCATGCGCATCACACCGCAGGCTCCTACATCGGCGCCATCAACCCGCCACAAGATCCGCAGGAATCAACCACCCTCTACGCTCGTCACCCAGCCGATGTACCATTGCCCAACCAGCAGGAGGGCTTCGTAGACCCTGAGATCCAGCAACTACAAGACGAGATAAACGGCCGACGACACAAGCGACGGAAGCACCGAAGGAGAAAGCACCATCGCACCGAACGCTCCGCATCCAACGCATCCAGCGGTTCCAACGGATGGGTACGCAGGCGAGAACAGCGCGGTACCACCGCAGTATACGTCCGCGGATCAGCTGCACGCGGGAAGATGATAGCATGTGTGATATCCGGCACCTTTCTCATCACCATCCTCGCAATCTGTAAGTCCCTCCCCCTCCACTCCAATTCCCACGTCTACATGAAAACTAACAGCCCCTTCCCCCACAGACCTAGCAATCGCCCTAACCAACCGCTCTCTCGGCCAAGAAATCCACATCCTCTTCATCATGGTCCTCCTTACCATAACAATCTTCTTCTGCCACTCCCTCATCCGCCTCTGCATGCTCATGCTGAACCCACCACGCCACGAACACCGCGCCATCATGCCCGATATGACAGGCGGCGGCGAGGGTTTCCAACCCATCGTCCCCATTCGCGTGCACCTGCGGCGCGACGAAGAAACCGCAGACGCTGATATGGATGACGTGCTGGAGAATGACATGGTGGGTGCCAGTGGGGATGAGGAGGGCAAGAATATGCCGCCGCCTCCGCCGCCTGCGTACGGCCTTTGGAGGAGTAGTGTACGCGTCGACCCTAACCTCCTCCACTGGCAGCGCGTCGAAGATGCTACACGCGGTAGTGCTATCTCCGCCGCTCCTCACTCTACCCGTGCCTCCCTCTCTGGACCCGCGGTGCTCGCAGCAGCAGCTCTACGCGGCAGCGCGACGTCAACATTGTCACATCAACCTCCCCAGCAAGAAGGTCCCCGTCCCCCATCTTATGCCTCGGAAGACGGCGTAAGTTACATCGTTGAAGCTGAGCCAAGGCACACCACGAACGTCAGGGATAGCACGAGGGGTGCTTTAAGTGAAATTCATCCTGCGTGGCGGCCTGGGTATGCGATGAGTGAAATTAGGGGTGGGGAGTTGCCTGCGAGTGCTATGAACGGTAGTCGCGTTTAAAAGTGGTGTGGCTGTTTGTTGCTATCGAATAGTGCGTAGTGCATACTGTGCCCGCATCGTCGGGTTGTTTGGTTATGTTTGTAGCGTTCTAGCATTGCGTCTGTTTTGAGGAGTGTGTACAATTGCATGGTCATACCACTTTCAAATCTTGCATCTCCTGTCCTGCATCCTGCATCCTCCAACCTGCATTCCCAAGCTCACTTCATGACGTCTCCCCACCTCCCACGCTCCTCACACTCTTCCCTGCGCTGATCCCTCGTTCTTGCTTCTTCCACTGTTTCGGTTCTTGTCACGAAGATGAGGTCACACCGTTGGCTATGAAACGCGAAGAAGAACGAGGTGTACGTCACGCATGTTCTGGATATAGTAAACAGTTTCAGCCTCTTTGTTTGAGGGGTTGTTCTTGTCTTTTCATCATCGGTATTGCGTGCGTCATTTGGGGGGCGCGTCGTTGCGTTGTTGGATTGTTGGGTTGTTGAGTTGTGGACCGGTTAGGTGTTCAATGTTCAATTCCTGGGTCCACTCGTCGTGGCGCCCATCCTTTAACGGAGGGTATGCAACCATTGGCATGTGAGTGATTCCGTGGACTTCGCTATCAAGATTTCATGTCATGTCATGTCATATTATGGTGGGCACGGATATATTCAGATATGGGTAGGATTGTGGACATACGAAGAGTTTGAGGTATATCTCATTCCAAAGGAAAAACATTAAACACTCACAGCAGATAATAGAAGCGAGTAACGTATACATCCGCATTGTGTTAAGCCTTGCGAAGTTTTGTTTTAATATTGTCTACATGTTGCTATCGCCTCTCTGTAGGGATATAAAGCTCTCCGCGGAAGGTGTGAAGAATTTCAGCATCACTTGGTGCGCCCGGATGTTCCCGCGCTTCCCTCAAGTAAGTATCCCTCCTCCTCAAGTAAGCATACAACCTATCATCTTCCCTCCCTCCTCCTCCGTGCCCAATTCTGCCAATCAGGCCAATAGTCTCTTTGTAGTCGTGACCACATCTCGCGTCGACCCCCTCTCACGCCTAGTTTGTTATCATACAGGTCCATAGCAAACTGGTACCCTCGCCGTTGTATCTCGACCGGGTTGAGTGTAGCATGCCGATTCTCGATGCGGCTGGACAATGTCGTTGCTGATGCAGAGTAGGTTGCGCTGATCAGCTTCCCGTGTCCGTCCATCCAGACATCAGGTACCTTGTCCCCCGGGACGGGCCAGCCAGCTATAACATCGGAGAGAAGCAAGAAGACTCTCTGCTCTAGACCCAGCAGGGGGATCCTGCTCTGCAATGGATCGCACGGATTTGCGCCGGGGCGCTTGAGTGCGATGGAGATGCTGACATGCTCTTTTTGGACGACAGATTCCACTGCGTCGATCAGGCCTTTGACGTTGATGCGTAATTTGTCTAGTGTAGTTGCGGCGGCGGTTTCGAACGTGAGAGCGATGTTGACGGATGCGACGGACCCACACGCGCAAGGGAGAAAGTAGCTGCAAGGCTTCATGTTGCACCATACTCGCAGAAAATGGAAGTCCTTGAAGCTAGTTGTGCGCTTGGTGCTCGTTTTGACGATAGTGATGTTAGCGTTGACTCTTAACATATGCCTCCTCTGGAAATCAGAACGTGACTGTCTGCTGAGCTGGAGAGGTGCAAGGTTTAGTCCATGTATGGCACGAGTGTTCATATCCATTATGAGACCGTTCGGCGATATCATCGCCATGTTGATAATCTTTGTCAGGACACTTCCCGGAAGGTCGAGAAGGTGGTCTGGCTTTGAGCCTAGCGCTCTGACAGCAACGTCCCCATTCTGGTCGACTGCAAACTCTCTCCAGTGAACATGTTCGCGGTCAAATGTGACTCTCATGTAACGTTCCGAAAAGTGGATGCTGGCAGAGTGAATCAGCCGATCGAAATTGGCGAATCTTTGCAAACTAAAGTGTCCGTTTCCGATCAAACTGGAGATGATTGCATTGAATTCGTTGACCAAGTCCTTCGGATACTGCCTTTTCTGTACATCATACCGCTTCTTCTGCTCCTCAGTCCGCGCAACAGCATTTTCGCACTCAGGTTGGAGCCTCCTGCCAGTGCAGGCAAACGTAACCGGAGACTTCTTTGAACTGTTCTTCCAGAGCAATCGTAATAAAGGCAATACATCGAAGTCATCAAGTGCATGTTTGCAAGCGTGATAGCACATGGCGTCAACATCGATATGTACCTTCTTCAGCATGGCAAATTGACTGCCAATATTGGATAGCCATACAGAAGCATATGCGAACTGATGATAAGCTTTCCCATCGGAATCGTCATAGCGCGGGTTATTCTTCACATCATGGCGATCGAGAACTCGCGAGAAGATGAAGGTATTCTCGCCATAGAACACACTACCTGCCTCATGGTAGATTTGTCGACAGACCAGCAGCAGCGGTAAGCCCAAGTGGAAGTCATGGGTGAACTCGTCGTGAGGGCCGATTCTGGATTCGAATTCCGAGTCAAATTTAGCTGTCAGGGCGTAGAAACGCTCATCTGTGTCGCCAAATCTTCGTTCGGGTTCGATCGCATGGTAGGCGTCGGTGTTGTGAAGGAAGATTGGTTCAGTGCGTTTGAACACTTGTTCGTAAATCAAGTTACGAATCTCGCCTGGTCGGTCAAGAAATGAGGGCCCACATGTGTCCGCTGGGCGTGAGCTTTGCTTCGGGATTTGCATCCTGGCTATGGTGCTGGACACGGTTGGATGGAATTATGCTATGAACGATGCGCGACGAGAGAGCGACAGGTCGTGAGCTACCGCGAGCAGCTCCTACGAAAACAGAAACGACTGTGTACACGGATTTGATGCGTTTGCCCGCAACGCGGTCGCGTCAGTGGAACTTTGCAACAAAAAATCGGAGAGCGAATGCCAACGTTCTTGCGCGCCAAGTATGCAACTCTGCCCTTGCAGAATGGGACAGGAGTATCGTCGCCCAGCGAGAGACGAGAGCAGTCACGGGAAGCTCAAGCTTGTCGGCGGGAAACTTTGCGGTGCCGTCGAGCGAAGAAGTAAGATGCAGCTCCAAGGACGCGCCATGACGATTGTAAATAAGGCGAGGTTTGCTTCAGGCGCCCATCACGCCTTCCCGTCCTCGACGAACGCCAAGACACACGTGATAGAATAGCGTCGCACACAGCCACACATGCGAAAAGAGTGAATGGTGAAGAGTAAGCCTACCGAAAAGTCTAGATTAAGAGGCGTAGAGAACGACTTCATTGCCATATTTGGGAGCTCAAATGCCGGCACACCACCTCCGTCCCACACCATCACAATTTCCACCCTACAGTCCTCGTTGTCCTTGCTGAACCTCCCAATCGAGAAAAGCACTGCGCCGCAGAGCATCCCATTGGTCGATCAAGAGAACGATACCAATGGCTTTTATCGAGTCAGAACTCTCAAGACGGCCCAGATGCCATGTCATCTCACTGACCCGTCTATATCCTCTACCGCGAAGCTCAACGGCTCCTTGCGTTTAAGCAGGACTTGGTAGATCATGTTGCGGATCTCTCCTGGGAGATCGGCAAGTACGGCTGGGGCGCCCGGGTCTATAGGAATAGAGCAGGTCTTGGTATCTCCATGACGCCTAGGCCAGTCGGTCGATTGCAGTGTAACGGGTGTGGCCGATGAGGGCGAGCGTTGGCTAATTGTTCCGTCGCTGATGGTTAAGTCTGTTGTTAACAATCGATGCATCGTTTACGAGCGGTGGACAGAAGGCGGGAGAATCCATCGCCAGTGAGCTATAGACAGAAGGAGCAGGCGACCTAGAGACGGATGATCCTGCTTGGGAAACCGCGAGGTACCAAGTTACCTTTCCTATACGGAAGGTGCAGGCCGCTGCCGACCGTGGTGCACACGTTTCACCTTACCGACACACATTCCCTGTGCATCCATCGTTTTCAACAGGGAGCGATGTGCCATGCGAGCAGAAAAACAGGAAAGCGCGACAGTTGAGATAATGGCAGGAGTCGAAGTCCCACGAGACGAATGAGGAAATGGACGCCAGCTGGCAGAGATGGAACTAGGTGAGCCTAACCGCAACGGTAAGATGACGAAAGCTGCTGACGTTGTTCTTGTTGGATAGACCATGCTTCACCAAGAAGTACACGATGAAGTCGCGGGGTTGTGAGCGACTACCTTGCGTGAAGACGTGAGTCGTCCGTGCATGACGCGTTCCGAGGCGCATGCACAGTAGATCATCAACACAAGACCGTCGCATCTCGCATGTGAAGGGGCAAAGATGCTTCGCGAATCTTGTGAAGGCGGAAATACGACCGAACATATCTTCATACACAGAACGTTGAGTTTGCCTCCCTGTGGCGCAATGCACAGCCACACCGTTGATTGGCCCAGTCCATAGCTCCTCGTGGCTGAGCATGGTTACGTCAGAATGCCTGTCGCAGGCGCGGCGTCTCGAACAGGTTGCACATGGGCAGTCGACTCCCTGTCGCTTGCATTCCATAAAAAGGTTGTTGCTCCTGCAATCGTACACCGAAATAGAAGATACCCCTCCTGCCCATATCCTTCGCAAGACACCTAATTGCTCCTTTATCTCTCCTTCGCCTACCAACCCACCTCGATACCCCGCGAAACACCTCTCGCAAGCATGAGCGGCCATGGAGATCCTCGATTGCTCTACACAGTCGGCGGCATTAAAGCCTACCACATCCAGCAGGGCGAGGAGAGCCCTCTCACACCCTCAGGGCCCCAGACCCTCTCCCTGCTGATGGTCCCTACCAACTCGCCCTTTGCCGACCTGAGCAACACGCGCGGCCAGAACGAAGCACCCGAAGAAGACTTCTACCTGCACCTCAACCTCCCCCCGGAGCTAGATCTCCCCCTCCCTGCGACCACACAGATCTACCACCAGCCGCCGCGCAGCTACCTAATACCGCGATGGGACTTGGGCCCAGAGAGCGGCGCCTTCACACGCATTGAGTTCCCGCCTATTGGCAAGGGCTCGACATCGGTCACGCAGGAAGATGTGGATACCTTTGAAACCATCTTGGCACAGTGCACAGCCTTCCTCGAGCGTGCGCAAGCTCCCTCACACGAGAAGGGCAAGGGCGACATGAAGGCATACAACCCCCAGGACTACCAGCCAGGCCAGGGCTACGTAGGCACTGGCAACAATGGTGAGGTCGTATTGGTCGACGAGGAGAATGGCAGCGTCGTCGGTGAGCTGGCTGAGGGTGCCATGATCCACGCCGACCCAGCATTGAAGCAGGGATCCAAGAGTATGTCATTTGAACCTTTTCCGCGCGCAGGTCACTCATGCTAACACAGGTAAAGATCCCGTCGAGATTGTCGTCTCGCCAGACGGCAAGCGCATCGACATCCGACCACTCGAAGAAGATTACCTTGAAATGGCCCGCCATCCCGCATACAAAGACTCTGGCCTCGTACAGAACGCCGCCGCCGCATCTCGCCTTGTCGTTACCGGCTCCAGCTATCTTAGTAACATGATGGTATCCGGTGCCGAGAACTTCATCAACAAGACGAGACCGAACGACAAGCCAATGGTTTTCAAGCCTGCTACCCACGAGCGCGTCCGCAAGATCAACACCCTCACAACCGGCGTCGCTGGCTACTCAGCCAAGACTGTAGGCCAGCTTACCAAATACGCCCAGAATGCTGCAGCAGGAATGGCAGGTCACAAGAAGACACACGCCAAGAGCGTGAACCCAGACGGCACGCCCAACACAAACTACAAGCCAGGACTGTTGAACAAGAGCTTGATCGCCTTCTCCACGGTCGCTGACGGCATCTCGCACTCGGGCAAGCAACTCCTGACTAGCAGCGGAGCCGCAGCCAGCGCCGCCGTCGGCCACAAGTACGGCGCCGAAGCAGGACAAATCACCACCAACCTCGCCGGTGGTGTCAAGAACGTCGGCCTCGTCTACATCGACGTCACGGGTGTCAGCAGAAGAGCCATCATCAAGTCCGTAGCCAAGGGCATGGTCGTCGGCAAGGTCAAGGACAAGAAGGGCAACGAGCAGACCGTCATGGTCGGCGGTGGTGATGGCGGCACTATCACGCCCAGCGACTTGAACCCAAATGTTGGTGTGTCTAACAACAATGCTCCGCCCAACCAGTCTAGCACTCCTACGCCTGGTGGTCAGGTTTCATTTGGTGGACCGCCGCCTAGCTACCGCCAGGGTGTTGGTGAGTCGCTTGAGGGACAGCCTGCATACTATCCTCAGGAGAAGAGGTAGGGAGGTTTATGAGATATGAGGTATGAGGTTATGACATGAAGCGACTGGCATCGCATGTAAAGAGTTGAAGTAGCTTTCTTTCCTAGTTCTTTTGTACGCTGTCTGCTGTTCTAGCGATAAATGCTTTCAATGACAGATGTTTGCAAAACTTCAAAACTTCAAAAACTCCAGGTCTTTTTCATGTCTACATCTACCTAACTTGCTACCACTCTACCATATCCGTACCTTGAACTCGAATCAAGTGCCGTCTCCCTCGATCCATCAATCACATAACAACCCACACGCATGTCGTACCGCCGCAGTTCGCCAGCTCGACCGAGACTGCGAAGGCACAGTAGTGTCAAAAATGACTGCGTTAAACTAGAAGACCAACGCAGCAACATCAGCTTCTCCCCGCCTCAATGTCAGAGCTTCCTTCCAACCCCTACTTCACGGAAGTGCACTGCCCCGGCACTTCCCTCCGCTACTCGGAGCGCAGAAGCGAGGCTCCATGTCCACGTCACAGGCAGCCGTGGAAAGGAGAGCATAACGGTGAAGAAGGGAGCCGGGGCGAGTACAGGACACACATACCATCCCGTGCTATAATATGGCCACGTAGAAAGTAAAAGAAGCGGTCTCCTAAGAGCGCAGAAGCGAGCGTATATAACAAGGCTCGCATCTGTGGAGCGAAGAGCGAAGAGGGCCGGGGCGAGTACTGCACATATTGACCGCAAGACTGTAGTATGATGTGGATGTGGCCACGTAGATGGTAGAAAGAGCGGTGTTAACTCCCAAGGGTCTTTCATGCATAAGGTTCCAAGTGGATGGTTCGCGTAAAAGGCGGTGATGGTTCGTTACAGAAGAGGAAGGGGAAGGGTGCTGACTCTTGTTACTCTTTACGGCGGCTTGGTATCTGCTGCTTGTAACGACGGAGTCGGAGTGAAGGTTCATGACATTCGTACCGGTCTCCGCGTACGGCACAGTCTTGTCTCGGTCTCCACGCACTCCGTATGGCCTCTTTACGGCGCAGTTCAGCTCGACTCGCCTACCCCGTTGTTGCATTGAAGTCCGAAGAGTACATGACTATGTTACGGCTGCAATAGGACGGTGTCTCGTACGAGTGTGATGGATCACTCGGAAGATACCGATGTAACCATGTAACTCCAATGTGGATCAGTGGGTATGGCCATACCTTGGACTTCTGTCTTAAGACTGGGACTTCCCGCTTCAGACCTGCGGCTGAGTCGAACGTTCCATCACGACTCATCCCTATATCACTCCTTCGGCTATTAAAACGTTCCTGGTACCCACCGTCGCCTGTCACACCTCGGCAGGCCAGGTAGATCATGACGACTCAGTCAGTTCGGCCCTTACTTCTGTAGTCATTCCAACGTTCCATCTCCATCCCCATCCCCATCACATACACCACGACTCATTCCTCAATAACACCCCATCTACTATGAAAACGGGCTCATTTTAACTCGCTTCCCCTTGCTTTGCTATAGTATACTACTCACCCGTCTCATAATGGCGTTCGACCAACGAGGATACTGATCCTGCGTATCGTACGATCGATCGCCCCGGGCGCACCGCATACTATGGTCATCGTCTGTGGTGTTATAGTTACCATATGTGTTAAGTTGTTAGCCGCCTCATATGTCATATGATAATCCAACGGGTAATAGTATATCGGGATCTACCATTACCCTTACCACACGCCATTCTATCACACGCCGCCCTCACTACCCTACCTGCAACATTGAGCCTCAGCCCTCAGACCAGGTTGCATCACGACTCGGCATGTGATGTGCTGTCTGCAAGTCAAGTCAAAACTGCAAGTCAGACACCCCGTCCCTTTCCCCTCGCCTATACCTCCCTCTTTCCCCCTATAACACCATCTCAGTATACAAGCCCACATACCACGACACCTGATTTCATCACGTCGGCTCGGCACCGTTAGGAACCGTTAAAGGGCGCTTAGTAGGCGATTGGTATATGTTTCATGCTTTATATGGCCCCTGTCTCGCTTACCCTGAGATAGATGATGCTACTGAGTTTGACGCGCATCGGCGTCTATGGTTGAGGCTGGGGAAGGGAGGAGATGTAAATTCTCCGATGCAATGCCGTTGGCCGATCTGCGGCTGCGCGAAAGGGTGGTTGGGGTGGGTTGTTGAGCGCGCCTGTATGGGCTTGGCGGTTGTGGGATTGTAGTGGATGGTGTTGACGTACTTGTTACGGCGAGCTTGACTTTTACTTTTTGTTTTTGTTTTCTTCGTGTATGTGTGCTGATGGTTGCGTGTATTGCGTGTGTGTGTGTGGCTGAAAGAAGGAGATGTAGAGGTGTGGAGAGAGACTAGGATACAGATGTTGTTTTGCGGCTACAGGCCGAGGTATTGAACGACGGATTACCGATTATTGTAGAAAGAAGGAAATACACGACGGCAAGGCTACCGATGAATGTAGAATTTCTTTCTCGTATCAGAGTTCCTTTTCCTATTTGCATGACATCCTCAATTTCTACTGTAACCATACGTACCGTTCATCGTGGCTGCCGTCCCTTGTAGGCCGTCCGCTCGATGACTTGCAGCCGCGGAGCCTTCGATAAAATCACCACACCACCACACACATGCACAACAAACACGGCTGTCAAAAAGCACAACGCACACTTGCCTCTGTATCTACACCCTCCCAGCAGTTCGTCCCAACAGCAACCGCTCATGCGACTTCACCCGTAGTCGCAGTCGCAGTCGTCGTCGTCCACGTACGTCCCACGTAGCACATGACCACTAACCGCTTCGCTACACCTGCATACCAGCCTCATTTTTCCACCGCTGATCGTCCCCATCGCCGCATCGCGCATGTGACCTACGTCACAGGTGCATACCTATCCCTCCCCACGACTCCAATTCACGATCGAAAAGTTAAGCATGCATCGCAATAAACACATCAATAAAGCACAACAAGCGCATTACGCGATACTTCCAAGGTTTCCCGCCGCGGAGTGTGTCTCGCGTGACGGCGAGGTTGGAAATGACGATGAATAGCTAGGTAGAATCGGCACGCGGACAGGTTGATGATAGTAAAACAACGCCGCCGTTGCGCCGAAAGCTCTATCTGTGGAGCAAGAATCTCCACGATGGGCTGGCGTACAATGGCCAGATCGAATCGATGGGCTGGGGAAAGCACGGTTGAGATGTGGAGAGTGGAGCTGTAGTGTACGCCAGACAAGCAAGCCATCCCGCCGCGCAGCCCAACGGACTGCGACGGCTTGGAAAACAAATGGCTGGTTCAAGTTTCTTATTCCAGACCGTATGTGAGGCGAGAGCACGAGGCACGAGGGACCGTTGTTCGGGACGGGAAGCACAACGTAGTCAGTTAGATTGAGGCGTATAAGAGAAGCAAATATCTCCACCGTGATTTCTTTTTCATCTTCGTCTCGAGATACCGTTCATCGCGAAGAAAGAAAGAAAGAAAGTTACTACCCATCTACCAATCACAGTTATCTACTTCTTTTTACCCTACACACCTTCCTACTCCAGAACTACTCGAGCCACCAAGCTACACCAGCCATGCTCTTCGAAGCCCTCAGCGTCCTCGTCATCGGCGGTTTGAAACTCACAGCCGTGGGCCTGGCGTTCAAATGGATGGCGAGGTACTAGAGTTGTCTCATCACTTCTTTGTCAAACATTGACTGGAAGGAGTGAGGCGACGGAAAGGAAGTGTTGCAGCCAGTCAGAAGGACGGTGGTGGGGGGAGTTGGTGCAATTGCCCCGCTGTATGGTGTGAGGCAGGCGCGGGGTAGTTCACCGGGGACTACACGAGCGAGCGACAACGGAACGGAGCCGCTACAACATCAACATCAACGACAACGATAACACTGTCGCTCCATCGCATCACACATCCACAGCAGCAAATATCAGTACGCCATGGCGGAAACCCCACAGACCTTCATCGAGCTGCCCATACTCCCGCTCAGCGCCGCTCTGGACCCGGCTACCAAACCGCAGTTCCTACAGGACCTGCGCGATGCCTTGTTGAATGTGGGGTTCTTGTACCTGAGCGAAACGGGGCTGCCGGAGGGGTTGGTGCAGGATGTGATTAAGCAGTGTGGGCGGTTCTTTGAGGAACTACCGAGAGAGGAGAAGGAGAAGATTGAGATGAAGAACGAGAAGAGCTTTTTGGGGTGGAGTAGGGTGAGTGTGTGATTTCTTTCATGTTTATGCATCATGTCTTCTTGGTGGGATGGGGAAGCGGGGGAGAAGGTGAGACCAGAGACGACGATTGTGCAGATAAGACGATGGTCTATTACAAGCTATCGCTATGCTACGCTATGCATGGTGTACGAGAAGGAAAAAAAAAGATACCAAAGAAACTATGATACAAGAACCGAAGAAAGAAGATGAAGAAACCGGCCGTAAACCCATAACGCGTGTATCACAATAAACCTCCAATGCCCCTCTCTTCTCATACCAACGCCAGCTGCAAAACAGAAAAAAAGACAGATACCAGAATCACCCGGGTATATCCCAAATAGACGACGCCAACAATATGTACTCGACGGCCGTTAACCTGCGCACACACACCTTCTCTCGCACCTGCCATTACTCATCCCGTCTCTTCCTCATAACTCAAAACTTTTGCTTTTGGTCGTTAAACGACTCGTCGTAAATGCATGCTGACATGATTCTTCGTAGCTCGACAATGAAACCACGGCATTCAATCCAGACCACAGGGAACAACTCGATCTCTCAACTCCACACGCACTACCAGGACCCGACGCACCGCTGTACCACAATCTTCTCGCACCGAACCAATGGCCGTCGCCAGAGTATCTTCCGTCTTTCCGGCCAGTCTACGAGGACTACATACGGCGCATGTCTGCCATCTCCACGCTCTTCACGTCGCTGATCGCAGAGGCGATTGGCTTGCCTGCTACGGCGTTTGAAAAGTTCTTCGATCAAGACCAGCAGCACAAGCTCAAGATTGTGAAGTACCCAGAGGTCGATGTACCGGAGCTGGCGGCTGGGGCGAGCGAGATGGAGCGAAAGAAGTGGGAGATCAAACGCCAGGGCGTGGGTCCGCATAAAGATAGTATGCTCACCAGCTACCTGCTGCAGGCTTCCGATCAGCTCGGCCTGCAGGCGCAGAATGCAAAGGGCGAGTGGATAGACTGCAAGCCTATACCTGGTACGCTTGTTGTGGCTATCGGGCAGGGCATGGAGGCGCTGACAAATGGGGTTTGCGCGTCAACTACACATCGCGTTCTCAGTCCGCGCAAGGGGGAAGGGGCGCGGTACTCGGTGCCGTTCTTCCAAGGCGTGAGCTACGACGCGCAATTTGAAGCCATGGATGTACCGGACGAGGTACTACAGCTGAGGGACCAGGCGAGGAAGAAGCGCAAGGACGATGTGGAGTTTACGTTTGTGAAGGGCAGATGGGGACACCTCGGCGAGGCCACGCTGATGAACAGGATCAAGAGCCATCCCGACGTTGGCGAGCGGTGGTACCCCAACGAGCTCAGGCACATCCGCGCACAGCAGGCAGCAGCGAAGGCGTCGTCATGAAGGCGATGACAACCAGGAGAGAGCCTGTAGTCGTAGTATAGCAGACCATGCCAGACACTCCCAGCGGCCTCGGGTTCACGTGAAGCTTCCGTTCCGTCAGCGTTCCGTCAGCGTTCATGCGGTGTGACAAACAATCACACCAAAGCACCATCGTAATCCAGGATCAAGGGACAATACGGTGAGCTCATGTCCACTTCACATGGTTGTGTATCGGCAACGCTTCCCTATGCAGGACATAAGCGAGCACAGGCGAGCTACTGCACGCAATGTCGCAATGCGATTGGGCGGAAGAGCGCCCGAACGCATGTATCCCATGTGAGCGGATCCGCGGGACGCCACGCAAAGCCTCCACACCCTGGCCTTGGCGTTAAAGGCTCCGCAGCACCCAGCAGAAAAAGCCACGCCCGAGAAATTCTGCTGGCCACCGTGTTTCGGCGTTACGGCGCTTTTATGTCCATCGGAAGAAAACGTCCGATAAAGGAACGAGGGCAAAAAGGGCCGGCGGAACCGCTGTGGCAGACGCTCTCTGCCATGGCAGAACCACCCGATGCTGCATGCGTAACCCGCGTCCGGTGTGTAGCGTAGTGTAGCTCGAAGTTGGCTCGTAAAGTGTATTTGGCATACCATGTTTCAGCGTTGGTGGGCCTTATCCGCACAAGGAAATTTTAGCACACTTTCTGGCGCATGTGGGGCTAGCTTCCATGCATGTTTCCCTTTCGTAGGTTTACAAAAGACAAATACCATGACGGGTGGCCGGTATCGTGTGGGTGTGGTGGATGGATGGATGGATGGATGGATGATGGCATGGACCAGTTCCAGCGGATGCTCGGATGTCGGGAAATCTCGGTTGCATTGCTCCTTCAGGAACGCGCTGGTCTCGCAATCGCACCATCGAAAGCCCAGCGGACAGGCTAAGGGGGCGTGGGCGAGGGAAGCGAAAGGAAGCCAGCTTGGAAGGAAGCCCAAAACGCGGCCGATGGCTCACAAATCTCGTAACGAGGCCCCCCAGTCAGGCGCGCGCGCGCGCAGAAAATGGAGGATCCACGGAATGTTCCATTTGCTCATTTCCCATCTTCTTCCGCTTCCACCATCCCATCATCATCGTATCCACCTCTTCACCGTCCATCGTGCCCTAAGCTAGTCTCCAGGAACGCACTAGGCTATAGCGTCCCAAGCGGGACCTCCTTGCACCACGGGCGACTGCAATCTTGATGCGATCCCACAATCCGCATGTGGGGCCTTCCGTGTTGCTGTTTCATTGCGCTTCATGCGATCGTGGGGGGCAGCGACAACGTCCCAAAAAAAAACTCTCTGGTGGTGATGCGAAATTGTCCGACGCTTGGGGCTCGCTTGGAAACCGGTGCCGCGTCGTATAGCGGTGAACCGTGAACGTGTGCCTTGTTCTAGCGTGCGAAAACTCAAAGGTTCGAGGCGTGGGCGTCCCTGCCAAATTCCCGCGAGATAGATCGTGTTTTGCCGTCATCGACAGCATCGAGCGGCGGCGCGTGCTACTGCTTTCGGAAGGGCCCTTGCGGAACAATTATGATATATCGCCGAGGAATACAGCCTATCGTGACTGTGCCGCGTAGTGCCGCGTGTCAAGGACATTTTGTCCCGCGTCGAGAAGATTGCGAGGAAGGAGCAATTTGTTCCATGGCGCGCGGTCGCGTCTAGTAGATTGCTCGATGTGGGTGTTGTGTGATCGAAGGATCGTCTCCCTGGTACCCTTGCCAACGGTCTGCAGCCACGTAGGATTTGCGAACATGTTCAGACGAGTCGTGGTCATACTCAATGCTCAACCTTCATGTTGGACTGGTACGTCTGGTAGATGATGTGCTGTCCTTGCTCGTTCATCATCTGGGGCTGACCGTGCTGTGCGTGCATCATGGGCATCTCGCTGCCGTGGCTAACCTGGGGAGGGTAGCCTTGCTGGGGACCAACAGGGTAGGAGCCATAGGGAGCAGATGTGTGATGTTGCTGGTGCTGAGGTGGGCCTTGGCCTTGGACGGGCTGGTGATGCATAGGGACGCTCATGTGTCGTTGGTACTCAGAGGCGTGAGGCGAAGGATGCGAGGTTGGTGTACCGTAACCGGACATTGGCATCGGCTGAGACGTGACCATGGAGGCGTTCTCAAGAGGGTAAGACATGGCTCGCGCGTTGCTCTCCATGACATATGGGCTTGGGTATGACATGTTGGGCTGCTCAACGGCATGGACCGACGCATCCTGCACTGGCATGGAAACTTGGTGGTGCTGTTGCTGAGGGTGGCTGGGGTGAGGACTCCAGCGAACTCCTTCGTGCTGTGGCGCTTGGACTTCACCCATGGCGGGTGGCGTATCAACGTGCGGTGAGGAGACGTGGTGGGCGTACGTATGCTGCGACTGCCAGTGTCCAGGTTGAGACACGGGCGTCGCTATTTCGGGAACTGAATGTGCGCTCCTCGCAGTTCCGGTAGACATTCTCCGGGGTTGGCTGAGCATCTGGACCCGATCACTCGGTGAAGGTGCGCCTGCTGTAGTGATGTCAGCCTCCATGCATCGATATCACATTGGGTGGAGAACGAGGCTCGCGCTTCTCGCCTCGCCTCGGCGGGAGTAGCAATCCGACGTTACAGATACTGCACGTCGCTCAATCGAGCCGCCAGACCGGAATGCGGGAAATGAGGCAAAAGAAAGATGTGACATGTTGCGAAAAGAGGTTTGGCTGCACCAAAACGGTCGCGGCCCGAGACACCAAAAAGCAATCATGGCAACCCAATGAGCTTGTGAGTCGAACAATTGGACAGTGCTTTTGCAGGAATGAAATCAATAGTACATACCTGCTCCTGATTCTGGGACTCCCAGTGCCGATACGGCGTGTGACAGGCGGGCGCGGAGGACTGCGTTCTCTTGCTCGAGCTCCTCGTTCCTCCGGATGAGGTCCATCATCTTGGTAGAGGAGTTGTTCTCCAGTTGTGCAGTGAGGTCGCGAACTTGGCGTTCAAGAGTGTCGATGTGGTCTTTTGTTCTTTGACGAATAGCTCGCTGTGCTTCTCGGTCATTCGCTCTCTTTCGCTCGAGTTGAGCGGCGGTGAGGGTGGTGACGCTGCGGGTGCCAGCTCTCGAAGGTCGCTTCTTCGCACCGGGCGTGAGCTGTCTGGCTTCGGAGCCAGAAGAATGGCCTTCATAAGGCGGCGACCTCTTCTGCTGGTCCATGTGAGGCGAGTGGTAGCTGGAGGTACTCATGAAGTCACTCCTGTAGGCGATAGGGTCTCGGTAGTGGAGAATTGAAGTCATCGAGGATCCGCGAGAGGCGGTGAGAGTATATGCGATGTCGACGTTGCTATGTCAGCGTGGCCCAAACGAATGCGGTCCAAGCGTTTGGCAATATCAGTTATGTCTGTACAGGCGAAGGGTGCTCCCGTGCTTTGGGAGGAGAATAATAATGACGAGGGATGAGGGGCGCTCTGTGCCGTGTTGCAGATGCGAAGGAAGGATGATGTCAGTCAGAGACAGATATTAGAAACAAAGTCAGGGACGGCACGACCAAAAGAGCAAAGCAAAGTGGTAGAGAGACAGGACTGATGGTAGCAAGACATGGCTGGCATGAGCCTATAACTTGCTATCAGGTCTCATGGATAGCGTCTGTCGGGACCCATGCTCGGCCCTAGGCTAGTGTTGGCATTCTGATCCTGGCCCCTGGTGGGTAGCCACACAACGTGGGTTCTGGGGAAATCGTTTCACTTTAGCTTGTACGTTAGTACGAGGCTTGGAGGCCGCATAGTGTATGTAGCCCACACGCTCGTATCAGCTTAGGGTGGTAAAGACCCTTCACGCCATATAAACTCTCAACGGTGGTGGCAGCAAGGCCGGCCTAGGAGCACGTCGCCCTGCGTCTGGGTGCGAGGCGTGACTGTTCTGGAAAGGCACTACTACAGGCTCTAGCTTGGGACATTGCACCCCACCCGAGTTGGCATGGCCGAGTTCCTGCGCAACACGCTTCGGCCCACCTGACGTCGAGAGGGAGCGCAGGAAAGCGCCCGTGGGCCCACCGCGAAGGGTCTACGGAAGCGCATAATAATGGGCAGACATGGTGCTGATGTCGCCATGGCCGCTTGCCAGTCAGGAAGCTGGTCATGTTTGCGGACCGTAGCGAAGTTTGGATGACAGGCAAGCCAGACACGGACAAAATGTGACGTTTGAGGAGCGTATGGCGTGGGCTCATGCAGCGAGTACGTGAAGCGATGCCAGGATCCAGGGATGACACGGGCAATGCAAAGGAGCGAGCAGACGAGCAGGCCCCGGCAACGCTAAAAGGGTCAGCACGTGGAAGCCCTGCATGGCGAAAATTAGCCCGAAGTGCCAAGGGCGACGATGGGCCTGTCCATGGCTGCTTCAGTCGGAGGGCCAGCGCTGAGCGTCGAGGGCGCGGGCAATTGCGAGACGCTCGAGGGTCCGCTGTGGATCTCTGCGAGTATTGAGTCCCAGGGGTGCAGGCTTGACAGGCACGTCGATCATGTCGGGACGCAGGGCCATGCCATGCTCCGCAATGAACGAGCAGCGAGGGCTGGTGAAGGATAGTTCCGAAGTAACTCCACGGACCATGTTTACACCACAGGTGACATACCGAGTTTGAGCAGTCTTGCCGACGCTGCGAGGTGTACATGTTCGGCAGAGTAAACTCTATCGTGGCTTCATGGCTATCGACGCGTTTCATGCCGTGTGCTGGCTATGCATACATGGTACGTCTATATTCGGCGCCCTGCAGACTAAGCGCATGGTCGGCACGTGGGAAGATATGGTGACGACTCCGTCATTCGCAGGGACTGCATTGCCGACAGTCGGACTTGCAGAAATGAGCTGAGGAGCATTGGCCAGAGAGAGTCCGTGATGCGCTCCTGCACGCCGCATGGAGAAGAGGTCGGAAGGTTGTGGCTGATGCTCGTGCGCTTGCCCATTGCATTCGGCGGTAGGTGTTGTGAGCACCGCAAGGCGACGTGCAAACCTTGATGGAATCACACCTCGTGACGAGTTGGAGATGCTGATGGGCAGAGCCAGTGCAGTCACTGCCCTGGGGCGCGAGGATCTGCTGCGCTATGCATCACATCCCCCAATAATCGATAAAGCAAGAATCCTCCGAGCAACCTCACCGCTCCATAGACACAGGCGCACACGGCGAGGCTTCAGCCGCTAGGCCCAGCACGGCACTGTTGCCAGGCCACACTTGGCGCCGATATTGGACGATAGTGAATTTCGGCAAGTGTTTCGAACATGACAGTGATGCACGTCGGCAGCACTAGGCTAAGGTGCCGCCAGCCGCGTGCCGCCATGAGAGAATGGACCGGAGCGCGCGATCCTGCCCAGGGCGCGCTCGCGATGGAGCCTTGGGCAGAAATTTCAGAGTCCTGTCGCGAGATGCAGGTTCGCGGGCAGAGTCGTCGTGGTTTGGAGGGGCACAGGTGGGGAGCCCGAAGGATCAATTGCGCCGCACCACCTGCAACGTCCGCCTGATTGCGGCTAGCAGCGACGTTAGTTGACGTCCTGCGTATACCTGAGACAGCGACAGCTGGATTGTGACCGAAAGCGTGCTTCATTTCCAGCTTCTCCGTCGCTGGCCTCAGGTTTCGGTGAAGAGTCGAGGGCCATGGTACGCGTACGGCAAGTCACGAGGGCTAGCTCGTCGCTCCCTACGTCAATGCCCACAGCCCACAGCCCACAGCCCGCACTCGCTTCTCCCTTGCTCTGTCTAGCCCCAATACTCTCACCGTCCATGCAAACTTCTAGCGCCGCCGCCGTCACGTCTCTACGCAGTTAGGTAGTGGCTGACATGATGCCACTCACTTGTTTGTAATCGCGCGCCGCGGTTGGGGCAGCTCGCCCGATACTCGCTCGACACCATCGACACTATCTAACCAACAGCGTCATGACAGTCGCGAGATTCTGAAACCAGCCGTTACTACCACGACCGCGAATCGAGAGCCTAACATGGACCCTCTCCACACGTAGCTGCCCGAACGTTGATCTTCGCCGTATTCACGGGCGGCGCGCCGTATCAGATGCACCTCGCGTCCAGTATCGTCCATCTCGTCTCTGCAGTGTCGATAGTAGCGGTGAATTCCGTGTGCTCCAATCTCAGCGCTCCATCAAGTGCTCAACCGAATGCGATATCCGCACATCCGTCCTCCGTGCAGCCCCCATTGTCGTCAACCCCTTCCGTGCAATGCAGACGCATCCGTGCATCATGGCCCGGAGCGGTAGATCGGTGCTGTGGTGTAACCATCTCTACCTGTCAGATCGCAGCTGCAGTGTCACCACCGACAACCAAACACTGGAATTCTTGGGATGCAGAGCGAGGCGCCGGTTCGCTCGCTAGACCTGTCTTACTCGTAAAGGAGCATGGCGGCTGCAGGCAAGCTTAGTTCAACCATCTCCAAGGGCCCTACATACAAGCCCAACTCTACGACACCATGTCCACTTTGCGGGCCCGTTCACGATTGCGCAAGCAAACCTGCGTCGGCCGGATCAAATCGCGTCCGAAACATCAGCATTATCCACCCTCTCAAGTGCCGGTTCCAAACCAAGGCCAGCCGCCAAACTGTCACAGACGGACGGTTCGTCATGACTCCATACCTTCGCTACCAAACTTAGCATCTATCTTTCCGTGCCTACTAGACAATCAGCCGACATTCATCCATAAACCTGCATCCTGATTGTCCGTTGCTAATCTCGAACTCAATTGTCCAACTCCACAAGACCATGCCACGCGCTAGCGGCCACGAACTTTTGGTGACAAGACGACCCCTAGCCTGAAACATGCTTGTGGAAAATTAGAGTTTACGGGTCTACCCCAACAAGGATGCCCCACTTGCTCTAACCACACCATTTGGATCTTTCCTGGCGCTCGCTAACGCTACAATTTCGCGCCCTCCCTCACCGATCACGCTTCACGATTCGCGCCAAGCGAGCCTGTTGCGCCATCAAAGGTCTCCGAAGCTTCTAGCTCTTAGACTAGAAGTGCAACATCGCGATGGCGCAAACCTTTTGCTATCTAGTGATTGGTCGGGATTGCAATTACAGTTTTCTTTCGCTATCGTTTTGCCCAAACCCGAACGCGATTGTGTAGTCGTTGGGCGCGCCACCTTCTTTTCTTTTTGGCGTTTACCTGCATAAAAGACGCAGTTGTGGGGTATGATTCGAGGCTGAAAGTGGCGGTACGCTGACGTTGGTGGACGAATGCGTGCAAGAAACAGGCGAGATGGAATGCGTGCCGATTTGGCTGTCAGGGATCTCTTCAGCTGTACAGGCACCCTTTACCATCAACCATGACAGCATGGTGGGCACTCAACCAAACTTTATCAACTTTGGTACACTACGCCTCGGGCACCACGGCACCACGATCTTAGCAGACAGATGAGGAGTTCGTTCAAAACGTCGGAATCAATATCGCGAGGCTAACACGGGACATACACAACCATCATCCCAGTGGTTGTTACCACGCGGGGCCTAAGATGGCGCAATGCTCCGGATCTAAGATAGTATCTAGAGATGCAAAGACTCCGAGATCCATCTATGAAAAGAGAGGGTCGCACAGCTTTCCGCACACGGTAATTTGCAGGGACAGCCCATCATGGCATGCCACATTGTCCCACATTCACCGTCTCCCATCCACATACATGACGCTAGAAAAATCCTAGAAGGCGCTGTCTACCAATCCAGGCCCATCCCGACAGTGATTCGATGGATGCGTATCCGTTCCTACACCGTCGTACGCCACATCCGCCTGTCGCTAGGATTTTCGGTTTTTCTACTCCTTTTTGATGTACTTGTCAAAGATTTTCGAAATTTCACGCGCGCTCTTCTTAGGGTATCGCTTCTGGCCACCCTTGTAGTCGACGTAGGTAACGCCGAAACGTGTCGTGTAGCCTTCGGCCCACTCAAAGTTGCTGCAGGTACACCATGTCAGTGTCATGACGCTTTACACGGCGTTCGCGGGACCAAGCCCGCAGTGTTTGAGGCTAGGAGAGAAAGAATGATCTACCCGGGTGCGAACGCGCAACCGCCATGCGGACAAATAAAGACTCCACCACTCATTGGAAAAGAAAAAGAAACTTCTTGATGACAAGCGGGGGGGTAAGGGTAGACGTCAACAAACGGGATTACTCACTCCATGAGACTCCAAGCTGAGTAGCCCCTGACGTCGACACCGTCCAAGGTATGAGCATCGGCCAAGGCTCCAATGTATCCCCTGAAGTATTCGCAGCGGAACTCGTCGTCGAGCAACTTCTCAAGAGGGAGATCGTTCTCCCCCTTGAGACTGGTACCGTTCTCAGTCACATAGAAGGTCGGGCCGCCGTACCTATCACTGAGCCACTTGATTAGCTTTCTGAAACCCAAAGGCATTGGCCTCAGCCAGACGGATTGAGTCTCTGGGCCAATCCATTCGCCCTTCTTGTTCTGGTAAAGAATGTCCATATTGCCAACATGATCTTCAGGCTCAGGCTCAGTGTCCTTGTGTCTAATGTAATTGGCGCAGTAGTGGTTCATGCCATAGAAGTCATTGCTTCCCTTGACGAGAGCCGCTTCTTCCGGTGTGAAGTCGGGAAGGCGATCGCCCAATTGCTTGCGCATCGAGTCTGGGTACTTGCCAAAGTACACTGGGTCGCCGAACCAGCAAATGGCAAATTCGATCTTGCGGTCGCAGGCCTCGCGATCCTTCGGGTCTTCTGGATCCCACGGTTCTGTCCAGTCGCCTAGAACGGCATATCAGCTTGTCATATTCATGCTCAGACGTGAGGCCGATTTTTACTACCCTGGCACGGCCTTCGATATGCGTGGTATCCACACCTTCTACGCGAGCCACGTGCTGGTCACTTACCATTGAGCGTAATCCCAATCTGGCCTCCATCCTTGGCCTTGAAGTCATCACGGTAGGCCTTGACCGCCGCACCATGGGCAATGAGGAGCGAGTGGCCGACAATCCACGGCTCCCTCGAGCTGTCCCCTTCAGCGCTCTTGTTCCGGTCACTGCAACGACCGGGAGCAAAAAGGCCGGTGCCATAGCCGAGAATAGAGCTGCACCAAGGCTCGTTGAAGGTGATCCAGTATTTTACCTTCGAACCGAAAGCCTTGAAACACACCCTGGCGTAGTTCTCGTAATCCTTCACGAACTCGTCCTTGTTCAGCATGCCCCCATATCGCTTGTGCAGGTTGTCTGGGAGATCCCAATGAAACAGCGTTATCATCGGCTCGATGCCTGCGGCACGGAGATCGTCGACCAAGTTGATGTAGTACTGCAGACCTTTTTCGTTTACGGGGTCGTTGCGTCCGCCGAGCGGTATGATGCGGGACCACGAGAGCGAAAAGCGGTATGATTTTGCGCCGATATCTTTCAAGAGGGCAATGTCCTCGTCAGTGCGGTGGTACGAATCGCATGCAACGTCTCCGGATTCTCCGCCAGCAATCTTGCCCGGGATGCGGCAGAACGTGTCCCAAATGGAATCGGCGCGGCCATCTTCATGCGGTGCGCCTTCGATTTGGTAACTGCGGGTTCAGAAACTCAGTATGTGACAACAATGTGGCGCCCCCAAACTGTATATCTTGCGTAGGCGGGGTACACTTGGGGAGTGGAGAAATCGGTCCTGAGATCAGACGAACCTGGCTGTTGCGAATCCCCACAGGAAATCCTTCGGCAGATACGACTGCGACATGATGGTTCGATTGTGGTTCAAGCAGTCTTATTGTCAGAGTTGCTTACGCTGACAATCTAGAGAAGCAGAAAGCTACCCGCAGCAACGGGACAGGTATACTTCTATATACGTGGACACAGCAAAGGCTGCGGAGAACGTCCCGCCGTAACCGTCCTCACGCGTCGACAAGACCTTAATCGACGCGCAGTAAGACATATGAGGAACTTGGTACGGCTCCGTCGAGCTCAAGCGGGTTGGAGTACGCACTCTCCGCCTTCTTAATGGCTCCTTGGTCGATTGACCCCGCTCATAGTCACGATCACTTGAGTGTTATAGCTTCATCCCACATGACGAAGCTACACTTTTACGTCGATTCTGCCCATGAGGGTCCTCGATGATGAAGGCGGTCAGTGGGACTGCGGCCCGTTGATTCAGCCTGCCTATTAACCTGCTAGGCGGCAGCGCGGAAGTCATCTTGGGCGCAAGGTGATGCTTAGAGGAGTGGGATGGCGGGGTATTGGCTATGTTCACGCGGCCGTTTCCCGCGCGACTCTGGGGCTTCCGTCTAGCAAGTCGCGCCGAAGAGGTTGTTCCTCATCGCCTCATTCGCGAATCTAAGAGCTGATGACGGTCTAAGATGGAGTCGTCGGGAACGATGCTCTACATGTAGTGGTAGTGACGAGGATGGTGGATTGGGAGAGCTCAAAGACGGCGCTATACCCAGTTGAGAAGAGCTTCCGAATGTACAGTATCTTTCCTCGACGCCTTGAACTTCACTACACTGTCGGAACTACACTGAAGGCTGGTGCAACCTCGGCGCAAGCAGCAGTATATAATGGGTGGCTTCTGGGGATGAGAAAGCCATGATACTGTATCGAATAGCAGTCGAATAATTCCCACAAGAAACCTCCGCGATGCTCTCCGCGCTTCGAACCATCCGATCTCCGACGAGACGCGCCGCGACACAACTGCGCACCGCCGCGACACAAGCCCAGAAGCGTGCAGGCGACATATCCGACGCTTTCGCATCGCTCTCAGGACAGGAGTTCACGCCTTTGACGCCCGAATATGCGGACCTCAAGAGCCGTCTGATCCGTGGACACGAAGCCGAAGTACGAGAGTCTTGGGAACGCCTTCTTCGGGATCTCCGCGAGGAGATTCCGCTGATTGTTGAGCGCGGTAGTCAGGTCATTCCTGAGATTGATTTCAAGGATATCGATAATGCGCCCGAGTCTTTCAGCAGTGAGCTGCGGAAGAGAGGTGTCGCTGTCATCCGGAATGTAGTACCAGAGCAGGAGGCGCTGCAGTGGAAGGAGGACCTGAGAGAGTATATTCGCCAGAATCCTCAGACAAAGGGTATGTCTGCGCATCTTGGCAAACTACAATGACTGACCATCTTGCAGCCTTCCCCGCCGACAACCCTCAAGTCTTCGAACTATACTGGTCGCGCACCCAACTCCTCGCCCGCGGTAATCCGAACCTCCTCAAGACGCAATCCTTCCTCATGTCCTACTGGCACAGCCTCAACCCACACATCCCGCTCTCCACAAAACACCCCATAAGCTACGCCGACCGCCTGCGCATGCGCCTCCCCGGCGACGCCAAATTCGCCCTAGGACCACACGTCGATGGCGGCAGCGTAGAACGCTGGGACGAAGAAGGTTACGGGTTAGGAAAAGTCTACGACTCGGTATGGAAGGGAAGATGGGAAGAATTTGACCCCTGGGAAGCCAGCTGTCGTCTGCCCGTCATTTCGGACCTGCACCAAGGCGTAGGCGCATGCAGCGCATTCCGCATGTTCCAAGGCTGGCTCTCGCTCTCCAACACCGGACCCTTCGAAGGCACACTCCTAGTCAACCCACTGCTAGCAAAAGCAACAGCATACTACCTCCTCCGCCCTTTCTTCAGCCCCAAACGCGGCGTCGAGCCCAGCGCGCAAACAACCTCCTCATCCATCACAAACTCCGCCGATTTCCTCGCATCAGATAACTGGGAAATGGACGCGACGCAAAACGCCTGGGTCCACGGCGCAACACCCGGTCGCGGCCAGGAACTGTCACATTTACTACACCCCCATCTCAACTTGCAGAAATCCATGATCCACATGCCCACCGTCCGTCCCGGCGACTACGTAGCCTGGCACTGCGATACCATCCACAGCGTCGACAAGACGCACGCCGGTACCTCGGATTCCAGTGTCCTTTACATCCCTGCTTGTCCCATGACGGAGGATAACGCCAATTACCTTGTTCGTCAGCGCGAGAACTTTCTCGCTGGCACACCCAGCCCGGATTTCGGTGGCGGTGTGGGGGAGAGCGAACATGTTGGAAGGGTCAAGGCGGAGGATATGGAGGTGTTGGTAGGCGAGGAGGGGAGGAGAGGGATGGGGTTGCTGGAGTGGGATAGTGATGCGCAAGGGTTGGGGCCGGGGGAGAGGGTTATTCTGGATCGAGCGAATAAGATTTTGGGGTTTTATGATTAGGAGATTTGAGAAATGGGAAGGTACGATATCTTCTTAATGGCGTCAATTTCATCATTAGCCCGTGCGCTCTTTCCATGCTCAGTCTGGTAGCCTGGTTTGTCTCCAGCGCGCTTGCCTAGAAAATGTAGCAATCGACCTGTCAGATCAAGCACCGCTCGACCGTATCGATACCACTTGTACTACCGCGACCAATTCATTGATATCGGTAGCTGTTCAAGCGCGAAGATCCAGTCCTGCTTCATAACGCGGACGCTTACCATGCGTCACATCCTTTCCGTGGGGCCCTCGAGGATTACTACAGCGAGTACGAAGCTGGGATTGGGAAAGACGAGGGTTTCCGACATGAATTTCACGAGGGACTCGCTCTGCTATCGTCTTGCCGCCAGATACACGACGAAGCTTCTGGGGTCCTATACTGCGGAAACATGTTCATTTTCTCAAGACTGCTAGAAGAAGAGGATTGTGACGATTTGAACGGCGATGAAGAATACTTCCAGGTCAACTACGCGGGGAAGTGGCTGAAAGAAATCGGATCGCAATTCAACCGCCTCAAGAAGGTCGTCATTGATGTAGATGCGAAGTGTTGTGAAGGTTTATGTGGGCACAGCGACGATATCGAATTGCTGCCTCTACTACACCTTATGTGGAAATACCCGGACTTCCTCAAGATAATCTCGTCCGGAAGCATTGGCGGAGCACTATATACGCACGAGCCTACGATTGGAGCGGCCGATAGAGATAGACAACAGTGGATCGATAGAGCGCGCATTCTCAATAACTTGCTCACTGCTTTCGCAGTACATGATGCCCTCGACATACGCAAGTATGCGTTCTCTAGCCATCTCATGAGTGAGGTCAGAATACTCACATGTCCGATGGGGAAAGTAAGGGGTTCTGTGGGCATGAAGAAAGGAAATGGGACATAATTGAGGAAGCTCCTCGTATCAGACGAAGGCAAAACCTTTCAATGGAAGCCGCGGAAGAAGTGCCGCCCGTTCCGAAACCTAGCAGTGGACACACGAGAACGGATAGCAGGATTGATACTGCGCCACCCAGACGAAATCATAATCGACTTGAACACACATACCGTACGCGGTCTTGACTTTGGTATCGCTCGAACAGGCCTAGTTCTCCGGCGCACCATAGGGAAGCTTGTATCACGTCTGAGCCAAATCAGCATCAAGATGACCAGCAAGAAGCCCGTTACAGATTTTGACGGCTTCAAAAAGCTAGAAGATCTCCTCCTTAAGAAACTCAATCATTGTGCGGTTCTAGGAGCGATGTTAAGTTCCTGGCCAGAGTCCAATACACAGACCCTCATACTGGAAATGGCTTGCGCCGAGGTGACCGCCCTCAGCGCTGTCCGTATCGACATCAAAGACTTGATGATTTTACTATGCGACGGATACTCTCGCCATGACTCCACTATCCGCATAACGCTCACTCCGCCTTCCCACATTGGAGCACCGCAACAAAGCACGACTGTCTCGACAGAGACGCTACTGCGACAGACGTTCTTGCTCCTATCTGACTACATAATTCAAGCTGAAGAGGAACTATCTGAGTCCCTTGATATCACCACCGTGAAAGCTCTTCTTGGAGAACTGGACCCCTTCCCTGATCTCTGGATAGACGGCTACGGCAACTTTCTCCACGCCTCAACTGCCAATATGGACGCTCCGTTAGAGTTTGCCTACGGTGAGCTCGGCATCAAGGAGTTAGGCGTCTTTGGATACAGCAGAGCTACTAATATGGATTGGATGTATGAAGCGTTTACTTCCAACGGGGCAGATGATGACATTACGTGGGACCATGTTATCCGCGTGTGGCGAAGTCTGAGGATGAAATTCCGTTGGGATTGGAATATCAGGACTGTGCCGCCGGGGTTGATGAAGTTAACGTCCGACATTGGGTGGAGATAGTGGCAGCATGGAAGGAAGTGGTCAGCGGGATGACTACGGATTTCTATGGATGCGATGTCTTGTATCCTTGTATATACCATAATGGGAATTAAAAGTTGGCTCGCTACCTGTATGAGTATACGCATGCAGGACTATGACGTAATTTCTTTGTTACGTTTCGTGAGACCAAACTTGGTAGAGTGATTGATAGATTAGCCGAGTCCTCATAGCCGCTTCTTTAGACCGTTGAGAACAAAGGAAAGCAGGTATGAGCTCATAGTTTTGCTGCTCTAAGGATCGCGTGACTCCTTGCAGAAGGCCAGTCTTTAACTTCAAAGTTGCGCCTTCCATTAGCACCACGCGTGCTTGCGTCTTTGCACTTATCCAGTCACTTTTCACACCAAAAGATGGAGTCTTGCTACGTATTCCGTACCTGGGCTGGAGAAGCCCTCACTATCGCCTGCGCGATCGGCTTAGTAGCCTCAATCGCAGGTATTCTAGCAGTGTACGACGGCAAGCCCGTACCGGACTGGCGTGGCGATCTCAATCTCAACGCTCTCATCGCGCTTCTATCAACAATTTTGCGAGCTCTACTGGTCGCCACCGTCGCGCAGATCATATCGCAGAGGAAATGGGACTGGTTCAGTGTCACGAGTGCCCGGCCGTTGTCAGATATCCAGCGATTCGACTACGGTAGCCGCGGGGCTTATGGGGCGTTGCTTCTCATCCCAACTGTTTTTCTCAAGGACTTCGTAACACTTGCTGCCGCTGTCGTGTTACTGCTGTCGTTCCTGGTCGGGCCTTTTGCTCAGCAGGCTAATGGCGCGGCGCCATGCTCGTTTCCTAGCGCTACACTCAACGCATCGCTTCCTTTCGCACATCGGGTACCCAGGAGTGGCGGCTACATCCCCTTTACAGGTGGCGCAGAAGGCGGTCCTACACCAGACCTTGTTGCCGCAATCTTGTCCAGTGTGGTGTTGCCCGACGGCATCGAGAACAAGATTCGCACAAGTTGCCCCACGGAAAATTGTACTTTCAGTGAACTGGGTCCCAGAGCAGAGCTGGATAAGGCCTTCTTCGACTCTAGTCAAAGCACACATTCGACGGTTGGAGTGTGCAACATGTGCATGAATGTGGCGTCTTTGGTGACGAGCGAAACCACGAACCTGAGTGATTACACGCTTCACTCTCTGCCCAGCGGATTGAACCTATCAGTAGGAACTGGACATTTTGAAGTCGCCACGATGAAACCGACTCCAGACCTCACTTGGATGGGAACTCTGCTGACGGACAGCGTCAGAGAGGCATCCAGATGGGCATATGTCAACGCAACTCTCCTCAACATCCGGAGTAATCCCGTCACTGCATCAGTGTGCAGCCTATATCCATGTACGCGTACATACAAAAGCATGATCAAAGACAACGAGCTCCACGAGTGGGAGGCCCCGTCAGAAGCCATGCGCATCCAGATTGCCGGAGCTCACCACGAAGAACTAGACCTTCCCGATTACAGGAACAGCCTTTCCAACTGGGAATACGAATATACAACAAGAAAAGAGCCCTGTCCGGTAGGACCATGGACGCTATACAAAGGAGGTTTCATTCCTGAAGGCACTGCGACAGCGGAATTGCAGCTTTTTGACTTCACGCACGAAAGATATACGTTTGAGAACATGACTTGGCCTGAACAATGTATATACCGGCAACCTGCCAGTTTCGTCAAAGCAATCGCCATGGTCATGAACGACGATATATTCGATGGCTACTGCCAATCGTACAAAACCCTCGACTGCTCCAAGAACTGCAAGACGAGCGAGTTTTGTCAACTGGAAAGCCCGTCTAACCTGGCTCACATAGGCGTTAATGCCGTACTACGACCGCTGGTAGAACACGAAGGCAGCTCGACCCATTCCAACGTCACAAAGCTTTTCGATGCCGTAGCGAGTGCCATGACGAACCGGTTCCGTTTCCAGTACGGCAGCGCGACGGCACGGGATTTCAGCTACGGCGCGCATGACCCGCCTTTGGACTTGGTGTATGGGTTAGCATGGGAGTCAAAAGTGTGCGTGGAAATGCGCATGAAATGGCTTTTGTTTCCCATGTGCCTCACCCTCGCCACATCCATTCTCTCTGTCTGGGTCAATTTTACGAGTTGGAAACGGCGGCATAGCGTACCTATCTGAAAGACAGTATCCTGCCGCTAGTCTTCTGCGGCCAGAGCATTAAACCGCAAGACGACACATCGTTGTCTCCTCAGAAGTTTGGCAGAGAGGCGGGTGCAGATAGGAGAGATGGGCTTATGGAAGCGAGTAAGATGGCTGCTGCTAGTCGCGATATCATGATTACTTTCCAGTGGCCCGAAAGCCCGCAGACGGAAAGATTTGAGGACAAGCGTGGTCAGGGTGCGAGTTCGACTGCGGCTTTGTCGAAAGAATGTAGTGTTCCAAGCGTTCCACTGAGGAGAATGGATATTTGGGGTAATATCGTGGTGAATGGGCGTAGGAATAATTTATGAGGAACGAGTTTTTTTCGTATTGCTTCCAGTTATCGAAGAAAGACATGAAATGTGCGAACAAATTTCCCTATTGCCGTCTACAAGCAGCCCATCCTCTCTCTTCAGCGACAAAACGCGTCAACGTCGGCGTCAGACAGCGTATGACTTCCACCCGCACATCTATACCCGGTATTCTGCTTGATCCACATAAACCCCATCGGACACAGCCCCATAATCTTCAACTTCTTCTGCCTCTCCATCTCCTTCTGTCGCGCCTTCTCAGGAGCAGCCATCTCCTCGTCGCGGCGTCGCCTCTCCAGTTCCGCTGCGATACGCGCTTGTTCACGGAGTCGTCGCTCCTCCTCATCGGCAGCTGCCTTCTCGGCACGGATGAACTCTTTGATCTGCTCCTCATATTGGCGTTTTTGTTCTTGGAGTTCGCGATATTCACGTTCTTTGGCCACCATGGCGTGCTTGTCGCGCTCGAGCTGCTCCCATACTTCGTCGGAAACGCCTGCGTCGCGCTTGGCTTTGAAGATAAAAGCGAGAGGATCTTCTGGCTCTGTTGCGGGCTCAGCTTTCTTTTCCGTTGGCTTCTTGTTGTCTTTTGGCTTTCCCTCGTTGGCTACGGCTGTTGCTTGTGGGGGTGCGGTATTTGTCGCGGTGTTTGAGCCTTGTGTACTTGGTGGCGATGGATTTTGCGTCTGTGGTGGTGGCATGGGGCGGTTAGGCATTGCCTTTCCTGACCGACTCGTGCCTGCCGCGGCATGCCGCCGTGAACGTTCGTTTATCATGTCTTCCATAGTACGAACAACAATGGGTTCTGTAAGTACAAGGCTAGTGATGGGTGGCACGGCCGTAGAGATGAGTGCTTGAAACATGCTCTCAGCCAGCGATTTGACGTCGCGAGCGTTGCCCCAGGACTCTAGGACTGATAACCTGCCAAAGAGGTCCAGTAGCTGTTGCTGTAGTTGCGACGACGGCGGATCGATAATCGAGAGATCGAGTGGCGCTTTATTCTTCTTCTGCAGATCTGAGAGCACTTTGACAAGAAGCTTCAGACATGTTTCTGGGTCAATGTGCTTGAACATGACTGTCTCGGGAAAGCGACTGGTAAGTCCAGGGTTCATGCTCATCAGTCGGTCAATGTCCTTGTCGTAGCCAGCCAAAATGACGACGAGCTTCTGCGCATACTTGGGTTTGGTGAGGCAGTCGACTATCTCGTCCATTGCTTCGGTCGCGAAATGGCCTTCCGCAAGACGATAGGCTTCGTCGATGAAGAGAACTTTGCCCAGGGCTTTCTCCATGAGCTTCTGAACCTTCGGCCCAGTATGCCCAACGTACTGGCCGATCAAGTCGGTAGCGGAACATTCCTCCACCTTCGCCTGGCTGAGGAAGCCCATGTCGTAGAATATCTTACCCATCTTTGCAGCCGTAGTAGTCTTGCCGGTACCTGGCGGACCCTTGAAGAGAAAGTTGAAAGGTATCTGCTCTCGAGGGTCCATTCCAAGAGCCTTCATGTTGGCGGCCGTGGTTTGGTAACCCTGGAACTGCTTGATCAGTTCCTCGCATCCTACGACATCTTGGAATAGAGCCGAAACTTCGGTGGCCGCACGAGTACCGCGGTCGAAATCAGGATCAAAGTCGATGGCTTCGAACGTGCCAAATTGCTTGACTTTGCCTGAGGATATGTGCTTCTGATGTAACGCCTTCGCGCGATCCAGGAGAATATCGACCTCGCCTGCGTTGCCGAAGTTTGGGCGGTTGCGCGCGCGTTGAATGACCTCCATGGCGACCTAGAAGGAAAAGCGTTAGCGAGAATGTACAATGATTGATATCCGCCTTTACCTTCTTGGCTTGGTCTTTCGCGTCAAACCCAATTCCTTTGAGCTTGAAGTTAAAGATCTGACGAATCTCAGCGTCATTGAAGTCCTCGAACACAAACGCAGATTCCAGTGGGAACCGCCTTGCAAGGCCGGGATTGACATCTCGAAACATGTCCTCCATCTGATCCTTGTAGCCTAGCAGCAACACGCAACGATCTTCGCCTGCGGTGCTCTGAACTTCGGCAACGATCGTGTCAATGACTGCGGCTTTGAAAGGGTCACCGCCGTTTGGACCGCTGGCTTTAGCTAGCATGTAAGCCTCATCGATGATGAGAACTTTACCGATGCTAGAAGCCAGGATGGCTTTGGTGTTGGCTTCTGAGCCTCCTATGACGTTCCCGACGAAGTCTGATGGGTTTTTTACGATGACCTCGCCAAGGGAAAGAAGCCCAATGTCAGCCAGAACGCGACCGTAGAGTTTGGCTACGGTGGTCTTTCCAGTTCCTGGGGAACCGACGAAGCAACGGTTCAGCGAATACTGTATGATGGGCTTCTCCCTCAGTTCGAGCTGGTAGTTGGTCTGTATCCCGTCCAGAAGCACGCGTACCGACTCTTTCACTGAGGCCAAGCCGGTAAGCTTCTGCAGCTTTGACCAAGCCGCATTATTCTTGAGCACTGACGAAGGCTCTGGACCTATCAGATCCTCCTTGGTAAGAAGGTAGTCATCCGGTAGCGTGCCAGCCTTTCTTGCTTTACGCAGACGCTTGGCTTGTCGCTCGGTAATCTGGGCGATCTTGTTCTGAACTTCGCGGGCGTTACCGAAGCCATCGCGGCCGCGACCACGACCAATGCGCCGCGCAACAATACGTACGTAAAGGCCTTTCATGCCGTCTTCAATCTTCATGCGCCCGGAATATTTCTTGTCAATGTATTGGCAGAAGATCTGTTGTAGCTCGCGGTCTTCGTAGTCATGGAACTCCATTCGAATTGGTATGCGGCTTGGGATGCCAGGATTGTGGGAGAAGAAGGCTTCCATCTGCTTGTGGTAGCCGGCGAGAACAAAGACGACTTTGCCAGTCAAATTCTCCATTTCAGCAAGCAGGTAGTCGAGCACCGCTTTGCCGCCGGGACTGTTTCCAGATACCAATTGATACGCTTCATCGATGAAGAAGACACCACCTCCTGCTTGGAGGATGTCGTCGATATGGGTTTTGCAAGCGGACACACCATCGTTTGCAAGAGCTGATCCAGAGCTCTCAATGAAATGGCCACCAGGCAAAGCTCCTACCTCAACTAGAAACTTAGCGTAGTGCCTGGCCACAGTCGTCTTTCCTGTTCCAGGATTGCCTAGCAGGGCAGCACCGAAACGCTCTCCCTTAAGCGATACGTTCTGACGTACAACCGTATCAACTTTGGCTTTGATCGCGAGGAACTGCTGCTTGACGGACTCGAGCCCTATCATGGGTACCAGAGAGTCGAGAGCTTCGTTTTCTGCACCCTCGAATCTCTTCTGCCATTCCCAGTCATCTCTAGCTTCGCTTTCATCCCAACCAGGCTGATCCTGACCCGAATCTGACGATGTAGCCTCGTCATTGGTCGTGGTATCGTCCCGGTGATCAGTTGTTGTACTTGGCGCTGCTTTCTCGCCTTGTTGTTCCTGAGTGTCGGCTGATGGTGTCGGCGTAGTCTTAGATGTCGAAGATGCTGGAACTGGAACCTGAACTTTTCTTGAGCCCTTGACCCTCTCCTGTAGGTTGCGAAGATCCTGCTTCTTTTGCTCGAGCGCTTGTTGGCGGTCTCTCCCCTCGGCCTGCTCTTTCAGAAGGCGCTTCTGGTGCTCCATCTCTTCCTCAATCTCGACTAGTCGAGCGGCATATGCGCGTTGTTTGGCGTCTCGTTGCTCGTCTAGCTCGTGGTCGCGTTGACGCTTCTTCTCTCTGGCTCGCACTTCGGCTTCACATTTCCGACAGTGCGCTGCCGCCTTGTCATGGCATTTTCGAGTCGTCTTATGCTTGCTAGGGCATGTTGAGGAGATAATGACATTGCAATCCATACGTGAATGGTCTTGCAACTGATGGCATCGATGGGGACAAGCATGCACACCGCAGTTGAGTAGTTTGCCACATGGCTCAGAGCAGCCACCGTCTGGACATACTGTCTCGAATTGTTCTTTCTCAGTTAGAAGCGCGGTCTTTTCGGGATGCTGCTCGCATTTTACGGGAAAGCCGTCGTAGACGTGACCATCTCGCTTCAGCTGGTCCATAAGCGGTACCCATACCTCCTTGCCTTTGCGACTCTTCATGAAAGTGTCTGCATTGCCGACCATGATCAAGGCGTTTCGCGCTCGTGATAGCAACACGTTGACTCGCTGAGGAGACGACATGAAACCGATATCCCCAGCATCGTTACTGCGTGTGAGACATGCGATTACGATATCGCTCTCTTCACCTTGATAATTGTCGATAGTTGAAATTCGAAGCTTGCGTTTGGAGATGTTCGCGCTAGCCGGTGTCATCAGACCCGCTTTGATGAGCTCGTGGGAATCTAGATCGTTTAAAATGGGATCATTGTTCTCAGACAAAGTGTTCATCAACAGGTATAGTTGACCCAGGTAAGGTGTCAGTACCACAATGTCTTCCGTGCCGTAGCCCTGCTGACCAAGGTATCGCACGCATTTCAGCACCATCTCAGCCTCGTACAAGTTTTCCTTGCTGGACTTGGCGCCACCATCGCGGCTATCGGCGATCTTAACCGCATTGAGCTCAGGGCGCGAATGTGACACGAATATAACATTGCTTTGAAGACCACGTAAGTTCGGTCGACCCTGAGTCTTCTCAGCGTCTTCCAATTCCGGGTAAGTGAGCGATCGGACGAGGGACGAGATCTCAGGACGCATACGATGCTGCTTGCTGAGGGTGGTATGTGGAACTCCGCTGAGCACGAGACGTTCGAACAAGGAGACATTGAGATCGTAACCATCTCCTTTCTCTACAGTCAAGGCATAGTTGTTGACTTTTGGCCGCAGCTGTTTGTGGTCGCCGATCAGAATGAGCTGCTTCGTGGTTGGAGTTAGAGCTGTAAGCACATGACTCTCCAGGATCTCTCCAGCTTCTTCCACCAGAACAATGCCTGGTGAGGCCTTGCGAATCTCGTCGGTGTACATAGCAGCTGCGGTTGTAGTACACCCTATGATGCGTCTCTGACTGAGGACGTGGAAGTTCTTCTCGCGGAATAATCGATCGATCTGGGCACGACACTTGTTGTACTTGTTGGCAAGCGTACTTATTTCGGTGACACGCTCTTCGAGGATCGTCTTGTTCCACTGCGCCTGAAGTCCATGACGGATCTGTGGCGGAACGTTCCAAACGTGTGGATATGTTTGCATCGCATGACCGAGGAAGATGCCAGCGTCTTCTCCTTTGACCCATCTCCTGACTAGGTAGTACTTGTCGATGCGTTTATTCTTTTTCCCCATGACTGTCATACCGTCTTTACTGTCGGGCACAACGAACGCATCGAAGTATTCTGAATCATCAGAGAACTCTAGGTAGTCGAGGAGCATCTGCTCATTGAGCCGCATAGATACAAAGGATGTCATCCTCCTGACTAGTGCGTCATGGTAAGATTCCGCTTCTGACTTTTGCTCTTGAATCATGGTCCACGTTTGTCCCGTCATCTTGTAGTTGTTTGGTTGTTCTCTGATGGTCAGTGCGCGAGTGCTGGCATTCGACTTTGACCCCAGCCGCACGATCGAACTAGCAGGAATGCCGGCCTTCTGGATGTCTTCCAGGAATTGATCGAGAGCATGATTTGTGTAAGTGAGAATGAGCATCGTCTCATTGGTACGATCGTGCAATATCTTTGCGATGAGTGCTCCGATGAAACTTTTGCCAGTACCTGGCGGGCCTTGGATCAGACTGACTCTCTTCATTAGCCCAGTCAGCAGTGACTCTGCTTGGGCCTGGTCGAGCTTGATTGGATGAGTGCTTCCGATGATGTCTTGGAGGTCCTCTTCCCAGTGGTCGCGAATGGCGTTGACAGTCTTTGTCGGTTGGATGCCGGACGGGGTTTCCGCGGAGTCTGGCGTAAGACTGAGAAGTTGGTCTTCCAGTGGCAGTTCAGTCAGGGTCTGAAGACATTTCAGGACAGGCTCATACGCAAATACAGCAGTATCTACTTGCACAAAGCAAAGATCCGATTGGAGCTTGCATGCCATCAGCACTTTGCCAAACGAGCTGGCGTCGGCCACTCGCAGCACGACAACAGCAGGTTGCTTCGCAAGGAGATCTTCGTCACGGTCCACAGTTGCAAATGCAACAATATTGCCGTTGCTAATGAGACAGCCAAGTGACTGATGCTTCAGGACGTTCTTGTTGTCGGTGAGGAACTTCTTGCGGTTCGCGGCCTTGACGCTGCGCAGCTGAGGAACATCGTCCGGACAAAACAGCTGCAGCGAGCAAGGTTTGCGTTTCGTCTCCGTTCCACAGTCGATACCGGCATACTTCAGATGCTCGAGAACCACTTTGCGTCGTCCTTTCTTCTGACCACTAGCAATATGAAAGTCGTTACGTAGCTCGCCGAGAAGATCCTCGCGGAGCAAGCGAAATTGGTTGTCAACATGTGTAAGACCGCGGCTCTCTGGGCTGACAGATACGATGGAGTCAGCGCGTCTGTAAAACGGATGCTCGGAAGATGCGAACTCGTCTGGCGTCGGTAAGAGCTTAATCTTGTGGATTTGCGCGAAGTCGTTGTCGTGTCGCCCACCTGGGCCATCGACAGTCTGGTCGGATGTGCTGTCAAGGACATGCTTGATCTTATGCCCAATGTTGCGGATATCTAGCGAATCTGAACTGATGAAGGACTCGTTCTTCGTGACGCGCTCTGCGACGTCTCGCACATCTGGAATGTCCTCAGAGCGACTGTACAGTAGCTCGAGCAGCAGCCATGCGAACGCGCGAGTGCCATCGCTGGAAAGCACGTGACCATCATGCGCGTTCACGAAGGTGTTCCAGAACGTAGGAGGTTGGACGATCTGTTCCAAGACGCGCTGTAGAAACTGGCCGCCGTAGAGTTGCTTGACAGATGGCTGGGCCAGATGATTGATGACGGCGGTTGCCCAGCCGTTAAGGAACGCGCTATCCCCGGTGGTGCGGAAGGCAACGCCGACGGCCGCTAGCCCTGCCGAAGACGCGATCAGACACTCAACACACTTCGACGCGTCTTCCTGAGAACACAACGCCTCCAGAAACCGATTACTGTCACCCGCCGTCTTGATCTCGCGATGGCCATGGATGGTAGCGTTAAAGAGCTTCGTCAGCCCTGCGGCACGCTTCGCGGCATCTTGGTCCGCCATGTATGAGGTTTGTATCGTATAAAGTATCAACTGTTGAGAAAAGGTTTATCAAGACAAGCTGATATCTGCCGATGTTCTATCGCTCTTCAGAGGGCGTTTGGCTCTTTTGAGCTTTCTGAAAGGGTAGCTGGGAGGTCGCACCAGACCCCAGCGCATGCGCGATGATCCTCTGATAACGGGCTATGCGAATGATTGGAAGAGACTCACAGTTTTTCATGCGGCGAGGCATCGAGGCTTGTCTGCGTGCATGTTCTGGTGAGTTCCGGACGAATTGAGGCCTGCAATACATGCGTTGCGCGACCTGCATGTTGAGCAAACCACGCCACACGAACTCAGCCTTGTCTAGGCAGCATGCCATACTTGAAGCCGGCGTATCGCTTTCCATCCAGCGCATAACCCAGCCTTTCAATCCCCACCCTTTTGAACTAGTCAATACACTGCCGCAATATCTCTCATGGCTTCACTTTCAGGCAGCGGCAGAGGTGGCTTTGCTCCACGGAGAGGGCGAGGCCATAGAGGAAGAGTGTCTCACTTCGCAAAAAACAGGGAGCAGCCAAAACCGGATCTCCAGAAACACCCGCTTGGAGACCTTGTGAAAGTGTTTCGCAGCTCCCATCTGAGCTTGAAACCACTCGACTTGGCGGAGATATCCGATTGCCAGCACGTCGCATCGTATAATTGGCTCAACGATGAAGTACCTACCATTGTCGTTCCAGGTAAGGCTCTGCTACTCATGCAAGATGTCACTAACAATCGCAGGCAAACCCCCTCGGTGGACACCACTTCACGCTCCACAGCGCTTGAAGGAAGACGACGGGCAGTACTTTCGTGACCCCAATGCTGCGAAGTATCCTGACTTCCCAATGGCGCCTGTCGTACATGCCATTACGGAGACCGACCCAGAATTCGACGCCACGAACACCGATATTTTCGCATGCGGAAGCACCCTTGGCAACCTCCTACGCTTCGCTCGTGGTGTTGACAAAGCTTTCCGGTTCAACATCGAGGTCATTGGCGAGACTGTCTTCTTTATACGAAAAGAGAATGATCCCAAAGAAGTTATCAAGGACATCAGAGGCTTTGGTCATACATTTCCAGAAGCATACACCACATGGGACCATAGTGTCAAAGGCTCCGAGACACACCAGCGCATCATACGATACAAATTCGGCGGCTTGGATTGTCTCGTACGCTTTGAAAGCGATGGCTACATTGACCACACCTCAGCATTCCGCGATGTCGCACCCGTGAACGCTGCTGGAAACCAGGATGAGCTTCTGCAAGCATTTCAGCAAGCAGCCATCGGCCGGGCTCCCAGCAACGCGACGGGTAAACCTAAAGAGCTCAAGATCAAACACGGCGGATCTGCAGTACCACATCACTTCATCTTCGACCTGAAAACGCGCTCAGGCAAATACAAGAAACCTATCGATATGACCGACGTCTACCCAGCACTCTGGATGAAACAGATACCCAACTTCATCGTCGCTTACCACGACGGCAACGGCCTTTTCGAAGATGTACGAGTACAAAATGTCAAGAGCGACGTGCAAGCCTGGGTCCGAGAGAACAGTGATGGCATCCGCCGCTTTGCTACACTGCTCAATGAGATCGTCGACATCGCTAAGAGCAATGCGAACAAGTTGCTCGAAGTGTACTGCCTCGGAGCGGATCGCTTAGAGGTCCGAAGCCAGTTCGGCGATGGCGTACATGCGTTGCCTGCAGACTTGGTCGACAGGTGGGAGAAGATAGAGTTTGGTATCTCCTCTACTCAGGATGCTGATGAGGATGAGGATGAGGATGAGTACAATGACGGCGGTGTCGATCTTGATGCAAGGTATGGGTTTGGCAGTGGCTACGATGACTCAGGTTCTGAGCCAGACTACACTGCATGTTCTGCTGACGACTGTGGGTACTGTGGAAAGTGCACGTACTAAGGCTGGTTGCCACATGATTTTGTGTTGACTTTTTCGTTTTTGTCACGAGCAACTACAAAGAACGACGGATACTGTTGTGTGGGGCCTTACTTGAATAGACACTTGATCTTCGCATACTTTTCCTTGATGAGGCTACGAGGCTACATCGTTAGCACAGCCTGTTATGGAGAATTGTCGCTCTGATTGTAGTGACAAGACCTTCAGCGACGAACTCAGCTTTTTGGCAGCGATGTTGGGCAGTCTGATCGCTTGCGCACTCATTCCACTCACAGCAACCATTGCCATTGCATAGCCACGCGTCTTGACTCACCGACTTAACAGTTTCTATCACTTACCCAGAGTTGCGCAGTCACTTTGTCTTTTCCTGTGTCCCTACTATTCGCCGCTTCATCTCTAGGTCAATGTACGTTCGCAGTTACTCCACCCGCGAGCATGTTCCTCCGCTATGAGGTTGTCGAGCAGGTGCTGACAAAGTCGGAACAGCAACAGCAATAACAAAAAGACATTATGCTTCTTGACTTCTACACCACAATTTTTAACGTCCACACTACACGCAGTTTTATGCGTCGACGCTTCGCCTATAGCATACATCCACATACTACACTCTCACATCCATACCATGGGTAACCGAAACTCTGACATCACCGCTCCGAGCAATGCGACTCCACACACAAATGCTGCATCTTCTACAAACACAACTCCGCATAACGAAACGAATCTTCCTGTAAGGGCAGCTACCGTTGCGCGTTCCACTCCATCCCCGGATACCACGTCGTCCACAGAAAGCTTTCATTCCGCAGAAACTATTGCCCAGTCGGATGTACCTCCTATAATCAGGGCAACACCTCCCAGCACTTCCATTGAGCGACCTCGTGGAAAATACGATCATTTGGGCTATCGAAATATGGATGACGAAGCTAGAACGAGATATGACGATGATGAGATGCCTTATGCAGAGCAGATCCTGCGGCTCCGAGTCGATCTTATAATACAGGAACTGGGAGACTCGCGATGGGATGATGGACTTGCTATACGAGGTGCTTTCCTAAAGCAAACAGCAGAGCGGGGCTTACTGCCTACTCTGGACTGGCTTGAAGAATCACAGGAGCAGCTCGTCGACGGTACGTGGACTGGTGCGAGTCTTATTCCACGGGTCAAGCCTGTGCCTCATTTACCTGCACCTAGACCTCAGCCTCCGCCGACTGAGCCTTCAGCTGTGCCAACCAGACCTCCTCCTTCTCCTCATGGCGGCTCGCAGGCAACCCTTGTAGAAGAAGGCGGTCCAGAAAATGCAGAAGCGAATGAGGGAGCACCGGCCGAAGAGAAGAGCGGGAAGCAAGCAAAGAAGTCTGAAAAGCGAAGAAGACAACGACGGACCAAGAGGGATCGTGGTTTGCACCCGCACAGACGCTAGTTCTCTCCGATGACTGACGTGTATCACAGAACAAGAGAAACAGTCGACGGCCGTAGGTTTTTCAAGTTGAAGGGTCGGTTTCATCGGACTTTAGCAATCACCGACGGAGTGATATCAATAACATGAGTTGAAATGTTATTGTGATTGGCTAGTCTAAACAGGAAGACGTACTGATGATTGTTTGTGTTCGACTACGTGTTGCCAAACTCTCGTGTTCGTGATATCACTCTGGGGGTTCCGTTCGTCTGGGTGTTCGAGTTGTGAGGGCCAAAGGAAACCCGGCACGGACCATTCATCGTCATGTGACAGGAGGTATAGCCTCGGGCTGGGCGTTTAGGCCAAAGCATTCACCCAAGTCCGACATTCCGACTCTTCTTTGTAACGCGTTCAACCGCAATATATTACTGTTCTCGTCCCCATCAACACAACCACAGCAGTACAAGCATCTAGACTATGCATGGAAGGAATGCGACATCGAACACACCGACACGGCCTTCGATATGGAACAGAGTGCGAAACAAGCGGTGGCCTCTGATGCGGATAAGGTCTAAGCTATCGCTAGAGGATGGAAGCACACGACCGAAACCAGGAGAGCTCAAATGAATGCTTAGCTCACGGTTGGGAACGAGCCAAAAGACTCCGCGGCCTTGGTCATCCTCGATATGGAGCAGGAAACCCATTCAGAGAGCACCAGAAGAAACGATACCGTTGAGTCGCTCGCAAGTCCTCTTACAGCGGACGCCTTCAGTTACCACCATTGATCGAATACGGCCGCCGAGTCAACATGTCGATTACAGTAAAGTCCCACTTGCTTGTGACCGCCGAGGGTCTACATCGAAGAGTAGTATAGTAGCTCAAGAATCCAAAGGAGTGACCCTCGCGACCGTTCACAGTGACGACGGCGAGCCCTCGGGGCGCGAATTCGACCGCCGGAATTACAAAGCCATTCGAGGCATATCGCGCGCAGTCCTAGAAGAACTGGGACTCGATCTCGTCGATCCTGAGAAACAGTTATCCCCTGGTAGCTGTCGCGTCACGCAGCGGAAAGAAGGCTCGTTCCACCACGCAGTATTCCTGAAGATTGAGCGTGACGATGAGATTCCGCAGGAGTATGTTCTCAAGATACTTGCACAAGGTACACCGAAAGAGTGGGGTATGAACGATCGTATGATGTTGGAATGTGAAGCTCAGTTGCTGAAGCACATTCGCCACCATACAGACTGTCCAGTACCGGAGCTTGTCGCATATGACGGCGGCTGACAGAGTGTGATAGGCGCGCCGTACATACTCGTGAAGAAGATGGAAGGTATGGCGGCAACGGATCTGTGGCTCGGTCAACCCTATAGGATGGTCAAAACTGACGATCTGCACCTTGAGGCCGACGACCCTTCGCCAGAGGTTGAGCAAAAGCGCGTTACCTTTCTGCGCTCTTTTGCGCAAGCTATGAGTCAACCCGTCACACTCGAGTTTCAGTACACTGGCGTCCCTAACTACGAGTATCCGGAAGATAAGAACCCAAAGTTCATCGCGCCGGCCTGGCGGTGGCACTGTAAGATGAACATGGAAGAGGCGACCTCCTATGGATCATTTGCAACCGACGAAGAAAGCTTCGCCGCTGGCCTCGACAGGCTCTGTGAGCCCGAGAAATCTCTTGATAGCGACGGGATGACAGATGTTGGCGTTCAGATGGTGATGAGGATCATACTGTCTTCAGCTCCGTTCAAGCTGTCCACGCCCTCACAGGCTCAAATCTCTCAGGCCGGGTAGAGTAGTTACACCGTGCCGGTGCGCGAAACATTTGTCATCCGACATGACGATCTCGACCTCCTAAATATCCTAGTAGATGCCGATGGCAACGTGACTGGCCTCATCGACTGGGATACCTGTGCAGCCGTGCCACGCTGCGTTGGCTACACATCCATGGCTACCTTTCACCGCCGCGACTGGCTCTCGGACTACACCTTGGGTCGGTTTCCGCACATGATCTGGGCCATCGAACGCTACTGCGAAGTATATACTCAGGCTATGAGCGATTTCTGCGAGTCTTCGGATGCAAAGTACATGCGCAAATCCGCGATATATCAGCTGGTGTTAACAGACTTGGATAAAGAGTTTTCGTGTAGGGATGTCGTAAAACTGCTGCTGAGAGAGATGCACGCGTACAGACGCGTCGATGTGAATTCGTTTTGTCGGAGGCTGGAGCAGGGTTGGCCGGCAGCTGAAAAGGCGTTGAGGATGAATATTGCGGAGCTGTTAAAGCCGGAGTGAAGGCAATGAGGATGCCCAGCCTGTATGACGTCGAAGGGTATTCCAGCGGACTTATTTACTTTACGGTATACGAATCATGAAAATGCCATGTCAATGCTATGTCGATGGTGATGAAAGATGGAGGCCCTGAACTTCCACGTGCTGAGTCTAAGCTGTCGTTGCTATGGGGTCTCTCATCGCAACGGCCGCAAGCTTATCAGTGCTCAACGTCATCGGTACCGAGCACGTGCCGAGCTCTTCCCCCAACGTCCCAACGTTTTTCCTCGCGCACAAACTTCAACCAACGCATCGCCAGATCTGGCCCAGACACACCCCGCATCGGTGAGAGCCATCAACGTGTTGTAATCGTATTGCCCCGCAGCGGCAGCCAACAATCGATAAACTATTCCTGTGCCACGCTTGGGCCAAGTCGCGTTACTGTGCGACCAAGACGGATGGCGGCTGTCCAGCTTCTCAGCCCTATCTTACGCGAGCCTGTTCTCGTAAAGCTTACACGTAGAATGGGTCTAAATCATCTCACGCAGCACACAAGGCAGTGATGATACATCGACAATGTACCCTTTGAGAAACAGCACAACCACACTTGCAGATGCCGAGGTGTCATCGCGCAGTCGTTTCCCGGATACAGTACCACCCGGTGTAATACAATGGACATAGCACTACCCCAAGGGCATGTGCCGAGCTGGTGTTGTAGCTCTTAGGTTCTCGAACTGGTCTGGGCTCATTGTTCATTGGGATCGGCTAACAATAGGGCGTGCTCGACAGCATTGGCGTACAACAAGCCAGGCATCGCGATCCGAAGAAGGGTGTCCGGAAAAAGCAACGTTTGTTGGTATAACACAAACACACCGTGGACACCTTCAGATACGAGCACTATCACCCAACAGTCGCTTTCGCCTTCCTCTTCTTGCACCTATTGCGTGCTTTAATATCCTAATATCTAATGTTTTCTCACGCAAAGGCTGCGGCTGCGTTCCTGCCGTTCCTCTACTCTACCTCGCTCGCTCAAAACCAAGGATCATGGGGTCCAGTAATCGACTTTCCAATCATTCCCGTTGCAGCCTACATCGTTCCGGAATGGCCGTCTCCAACTCGTATGATGGTGTACTCGGCATTTTCACCGAACGCCTTCGGGGGTGAACGTGGTCTCACTCAGTTCGCGGAGTACAACTTGGTCTCTGGGCAGATGACTACTCGTCAAGTTGCCGAGACCAACCACGACATGTTCTGCCCTGGTATGAGCTCTCTAGCCGATGGAAGACTAGTCATCACCGGAGGAAGCAACGCAGAGAAGACAACCATATACCAACCGGAGACCAACACGTTCGTTCCCGGACCCGATATGATAGTACCTCGAGGCTACCAAAGCAGCGCTATCCTCTCCAATGGAAAGGTCTTCACGATCGGTGGGTCTTGGAGTGGCCCAAGGGGTGGAAAGCCAGGAGAGATTTATGATCCGGTACAGAACACCTGGACGCTTCTTCCTGGTGCTGCCGTCGAGCCAATGTTGACATACGACCACGAGGGCATCTTCCGCGAGGACAATCACGCCTGGCTCTTTCCCTGGCGCAATGGCACTATCTTCCAGGCTGGGCCCAGCAAAGCGATGAACTGGTACTACACCGATGGCGAAGGCGGTGTCAGCCCAGCAGGCATCCGCGACGATGTCAATGACGCCATGTGTGGTGTCCACGTCATGTACGATGTAGGAAAGATCTTCACTGCGGGTGGATCCCAATATTACGATCAAGCGCCCGGTCTCGCAGTTGCGCACTTGATGGAAATTAACTACGTTGGCGCACCAGTGACAGCTGAGCGAATCGCCGATATGCACCACCCGCGCGCTTTCGCAAACATCGTCGTTCTTCCCGACGGCAAGCTCTTGATCACCGGCGGACAGCGTTGGGCTGCGGGCTTCACAGACATCGACCCCGTCTTCATCCCCGAGATGTTTGATCCCGCAACCAAGACTTTTACCGAGCTGCCCGCTGAAGCCGTTCCGCGTAACTACCACTCCGTTTCTATTCTACTACCCGATGCCACAGTCTTCAGCGGAGGAGGAGGCCTCTGCTGGGACGATGGAACCGGTGGACCATCTTACCACTGCAAAGATACAGTCGACCATCCCAACGGCCAGATCTTCACACCAGCATACCTACAAACCGGCGCTCCTCGCCCGATCATCGAGAACGTTGCCAACAGTATTGTTGCTCCCGGCGGTGAGCTGAGAGTCAAGATGCAAGGTTCAGCCGACGGAGTGAAGTTCTCTTTCATTCGGATTGGAACTGTTACACACAGTGTCAACAGTGATCAAAGGCGTATTCCGCTCGAGCCGAGGATTGAGGGTGAAGAGGTCGTCTTGCCTATCATGAACGATAATGGTGTTGTGTTACCGGGAGCGTGGTATCTGTTTGCTGTCAGTGCGGAGGGCGTGCCGAGTGTGGCTAGGACTGTGTGGGTTGAGAAGGTTTGAGTTTGATGGTGCATTTGATTGAGTGGCGGTCGATGAAGATACCTAAGTAGATTAGTAGCAGTGTTAATACAAATGACTTAAACCACAGTGTCAAAATAAGACACCCATGACAGAGTCCGGGGGATGCGCACTGCTGCGGAAGATTGCAACTGGAAGCTCGCGACTTAGTAATCACTTCGAAGGGCTAACCTCTTTTGCCGCACATCCAGCACGCGAATAATACCTAAGTGGCGACCAAATAAATAATCATTAACCGACATATTGACCAAAATCAATCGCTAGCTAAATGTATTACAACAGCAACGATGGAAATACTCGGTTTCATGCTTTCGCGAACAGAACTTAGAGAGGTCCTCTCTCCACGTCCTTGTGTGAGCCATCCACGCTTCCATCAGATGAGCCCTCTTTCATCGCGTTCTTCTTCTCCTCAGCCTTCGGTGTCGGTGGTGGTGGCGGAATCTGCGCAACCCAGAATACTGGGTATCGCCGCTGAACATTATTCCCCATCATCGCCGTGACCAGCACAACCGTCGAGGACAGCAGCAACACCGGCAAAAAGTACCACCGCAACGCCCAGATATGCTGGTCCACACACGGCATGAGCGCTGTTGCTCCAGCAGGTGGGTGAGTGGTCTTGGTCAGATGCATGACCACGAGAGCGATAGCTGTAGCCAAGGCAGCAGCGAGCCATTGCAGTCGTGGGTAGGGATCCTTCTCGAGGTCGAATTGGAAAATAGTCGCTATGATGACTCCGACTAGGCCGCTGAAGAAGTGGCCGAAGATCAAGGAGCGTGGTTGCGAGAAGGGCACGTCGATGGCGCCGTAGCAGAGGATTGCTGAAGCACCCTAAAAATGCGTCAGTCCTCTTCCATATCAGACTTTTGGACAGTAAGAGTACTTACGAATGAAGCGATGATCGGTGGTACAGCGCGACTTCTCATGTAGTCTGTATGCCCGAATATAGCGAGAATGACGCTAAGCCCGCAGAAAGCGCCGATGAAGCCCCAGACACAGACGACCCATGTGCGAGCAGCTGGTGCTGCTTTTGTTCGATATCCGAGCCAGTGACTTATAGGTTGTGGAAGGCGTGCAAGACCACGCTGGATAACGCGCTCAACAGGAACAAGAGGATCCCATATCGGCATCGTGAAGGCGAAAGATGCTTAGTCTACGCACGCGGCGGCGACTACGACAGATATTCAAGAAAACGTCTGAGCTGAGAGATTTACGTCGCAGACTGTCCACTGTTGTAACCAGAAAGTAGCAAGGGTCGCGATGTTAAGAAACAAAGATGCGGAAAGAGAGAAAGCTTGATGAAAGCATGGACGCGGTAAACATCAAATCTAAAGAAGGGAATAACGACCGGTGGGACGTCACCATCGCGGATCGAGCCTGGATCATGCACCCCGGACTAATGGCGCGTGCCGTTCTAGTGCTGCTAACGACCGCGGCATTACGCTTTTTGAGTTCACGATCTTTGTTGATGCCACTGTATCCAGGTGCAGCAGGCTCGCGTCGACAAGGAGACAGCATAGTCCCGAGCTCTGCTGCTATACCCAGGTACCTACGCACTGCAAGAAGAGCGAAAATGAAGTCTACGCAATTAAACGCGCAAAGGGAAGGCTTCTGCAAAGTCCTGACGATGCTTTGCGAAGATGCGGAGTAAGCGGTTTTCTGTTAGTAATAGTCCGAGATTTCGCAGAGCTTCGGGCGACGATCGCCGAAGTGCGGCATCACCAATCGCTTACTCTTCCCACTTTTGCGTTCAGTCCATTCAGTTCAAAAACGTTGGTATTAACATGTATGTGTGTCGCTCAATGATGCAAAGAGGCAACCCAAGCCTATAGATGGTCGTCGAACCCATAATCACGGAGGAACAACCCTCATGAACGCCAGAGCGCCGCGCTAAAGCCCATAAATTTGGCATGCATCCCAGATAAAAGTCATAACATGGTCGTCGCGACTAGACAGCCTGCCAGGCACTATTACTATTTGGGTCTTTCGGCAGGCTGTTGTTGGAGCTTTTGGTACCCAGGGCGGTAGCCACGGAATCCACCCTAACATTTCCCTTCACTTTCGTACTATCCGCATCATTACTGTTTGTCTCTTCTATATCATCTTTCACAGTCGGCAAGCTCATGTCTGCGACGAAGCTAGGCTTGGTGAGTTGGTGCTCCTTCAGTATGCCCATCTTCTTCAACCAGTTCTCAGCCGGGCTCTTGAGCCAAGGAAGCGAACTAGCGATAATGCCAATTTCTTCCTCGAGTTTAGCCCAGAGCGAAGGTAAGATGGTAGCTTGCATCACGTCGCCTTGGCCGAAAGTGGTGAACGTTGTCATCTTGGCGCAGTTTATCGCGGTTGCGAGGAGACCAAGGGCCATGAGAAAACCGATGAGTATCTTCTCGGACTGAGAGCGGTTCAGTGTGCGGATCAAGCGGATTGGCATGAGTGAGAGTGTGAGATCCATGGCGATGTAGATGCCTATCAAGCGGGTTAGTCAGATCCTACATGAGTAGCGCCCAGGGAAGTCTCACCAGCAATGACCCACCCGTAGATGATGATAGGGCCCAAATCCCAGCATTTGGAAGAGATACCGGAATCCCAATTCGAGCTGACAGGCGTGCATTGCGCGAATTGGATGACAAAGTAGCTCCAGGAGATTGTTGTTTGTAGGCCCATGATGAAGTACAACGGCCATCGCCAAAGTCGTTCAGTCCCGAATCGCAACAGTGAGCACGCGACAGACAATCGTACGAGCCATAGCGTAAGGAGCCAGACAGTTTGAAGCGCGAATTGCAGCCTCAATGTCTGCCTGAGCGTTTCCGGTGTGAAAGATGCGGCTGGTTTGCCCCATCCGTATGCCGTGGATGCGATAGCCAAACATATTCCGATCAAAGAAAGTGGTTCTGCGACAACGATGATCCAGTCATCGAGAAACAGTTTCCCAGTCCTCTGTATCCGTGTGTAGATGCGCGCGATAACCAGGAAGAGTGCGACAACTCCAAAAGAGACGACGGGTCCAAGATAGATAGCGGCTTTGTTGGAGTATGGCACCGCGGCCATCGGGTCGGCCATCGAGTGGTGTCGTGTCGTGGGGTTTGACCAGAAGATGAAGATACAGAAGAGTCTGGGGTATTGCAATTGTCTTGCACGCTACGTGTAACTAGTTGTCATGGGCCTCGTGAGACAGTCAAGGAATCCTGGTATGGTGCGATTCTACCAAAGCTACACACCCGTCGACGGAGCCCGCAGAGAAACAAGACGAGAAAACGAACAGGCAAACAAGAGGAAAGGAGAGCCTCGATACCCTGGGCCTGAAGAGATATTGAACAAGTTTAAACTTTCGCACCTCGGGATCCGGCTCATCGACGCTATATGCGGACCGCTGCAAGCATCGTATTTCCCGCCATTCTGACATGCGACCCGTGGACTGATGAGGCGCCCAACCATATGTCCCGTGAAGGCTACCACCTGCAGGAACATAAAGTTTGAAGCAAACCTTCCATCCTTCAGCGCGGAGACGAACTTGCGCAATGCAGATGCGGTGGGGAGGGAACCGTTGCTTTGACACGGCAGATGGGGCCCTCAGGCATCCATCGTCAAATGTTGGTTGCGAATGAACCGTTTACCACGCGATAACTAGGCGAATCTGGGTCTAGGCGCTCGCTCGGCTGGGTATAGTGAGGCTATCGCAAGCGGGTAGTCGCGTGGCATGATTCACAAACCCGGACACCCAGAGCAGCTGAAGCAATAGCTTCGTTTTCGCTGAGTGGATCGCCCCTGAGTTGTTCAGCTCCGCGAGCAAGTTTATGCGGTATATGCACGTCAACGGTGAGTGTTGCAGATTCCTACCCCAGATTCCTGATGTCGCAATGACTCCAGCAATCAGATGAGCGGGAAAGAGGAAGCACGAAGAACCTGCGTCGACGCTTGCTACGCCGACTGTATTGCAGCTGTGATAAAGATTTGAGCATTGAACTTTCCGTTCCCTTCGCGGCGATGCGTTCCGTCAAACTAACCGGTTTCATCGCAGCGATGCCATCGACTCTGGCCCTGGTCCAGCGGCAGTACGTGCTTACCGTGTCCGGTGCGGCCTCTTATGAGTCTGAGGATGCGCAGGTGAGCCTGGTGAGCGCGGTCATTGGTGGCATTATGGTGTCTGAGTCGTAGCAGCATCCATGGAGATGGAAAGTCTCTGTGCGAGTCAATAACTATAGGGTGATCGCATTGCGCAAGAGAGAGGATTTTGGTTGTTGGGAACTCTTGGAGTCGCGAATTGGGCGCCAAGACGGGCGGAAGACGACGGAAGACGAGAACCTGGATACAGGCTGACTCGTGTCGAGAGATAGGGAACTGGTGGTTCGCACGTCGAATTCAGAGTTCTGGTAGCATTTGTACTATGCGGTAGAAGAACCAAAGTCCCATATGCGCCATCCTTCTTGCATGCTGCAGGGCCGCTCGCGTTCAGGCTATGTGGTGTCTGTAACACGCCAGATCAGCCACCACACAAACGATTACTGATGGAAGGATGGCAGCCCAACTTCGGGCCTTCTTCTGTGACCTCCATACTCTCTCCAAAAATACACCAGTGGCCTGAATTCCAATGATTGTAAGCTTGATGAGAAGCTTCCGCGGTATCTCATTGGTCTATGACATCATGCCCCTCACTTTAGCGCAAGCACGCAACCTGCATTGAAACTCTATTGCAAGAGAGCAACCGAACATTGAACATCAATTACATCCTAAGCCCTATCCGTTACCCATCCTCCGAAACCCGATTAGAAAGCTTTGCTATGGTTGAATGTCCAGAGTGCGGTGCAGGGGCTGATTTGACGAAAGACGGTGCTTGGGCGCATTGCGCTTCCTGTATGTTATTGCCCCTGACCTTGTAGACATGCATACTGAGTTGTTACGAGGCAATACAGTTTTTGAGCCAGGAAAGGAAGGCAGTCACTACAAGGGCAGTGGCAGCGGGTCCGGCGACAAGGAAGAAGAGAAGAAGAGAGACTCGAAGGATGAGAGCGTGAAGAAAGACTGAGGCTACAGGGGATGAGGCTTGTGTCGCAAACAAGATCGACATATTGCCACGGGAGAAACAACGTCTCACAATAAGTGGATTTATCCAGCCTGCAGGAATTGCGAATTGGAATTCTCTCTACCGTGGCCTTCACGGAATTGCATGTGTATAGTATGCAATACAACAGAAAGCGAATTACTGTCGCTGGTCGTACCCTTCCCAGCATCAACTTCGCACCGGTGTTCGGTCGGGTAACCGACACATACGTAACAAAAGCGTATACAGCGAGTGCTATTACCTAAAAACATGTCCAAGTAGTGTTAAGTACGAGCATTACATACTAGTGTACTGACCACACTGCCTTTACGTGCGGCATGAGGAGACAATGTACCACTACACTTTCTTATCTCACAGAACATGTATGAGACAGCGTCATTGTATTTTCACGAGAGTGAGGTATTATACAGTCTCTGCTTCTAAAAGCTGTTATCCAGTTCGAATGAGGGTGCCTCTATCGAATTCCTTCATTTCCTTCATCTAAAGATCGCCTGGTTTATGTGCAGTATATCTCCACCATTCCAACGCGTCGAAGCGCGGTCCTACTAGATAACAGCCATTCCTTTAGTAGCTTTCGCATTCATCCGAAGTGCATGAACACTGCAACGGAGAATGACCAAAGACAATTGCAGTCGTTAGCGCACATACACGTTCACAAAAAGGGACGCATACATACCTCAATCGTCGACGGCGGAACTTTGGGCGATACCGACGATCCTTTGGATGCAAGGAAGCTACGATAAACAACTGGCCACAGAATCTCACTGTGGATGCGGTGTCTATGTCATGATTAATTTAACCCACTATATGGGGTACAGCTTCCTTCTCCACAACCTTTTCTAAATCGTTGGTCCAGATCAACCTGGGGTGGTGCAAAGGGTGGTCAGGTGCGAAGACGTCGCCCATCATTGCCGCTGCAACGGTCAAGCGGAGCTCCTGGAAAGAGATAGTTCGTTCCGCAACGAAATTTTGGCTACTTGAACCAGGAGAGAATGAGCAAATAGTGACTTCACGGTCTCCCGAACTTGAAGACGTCTCCAGCACCAATGGTAGTATGCTAACGCGCAAGTCTTCGAAGGCGGTTGGTTCTGGCAGGTTGAACTCCAGTACAACCCCGATCTTATAGGCATCCTCGATTATCCAGGTTTTTCTCTTGAAACGTGGAGCGTGAACCCTTTCCATACCGTAAGAGTCTATGGGTAAGGGCAACTGATGGCGTAGAAGGCGTGCGAGTTTGCTAAATTGGTTGAACGTGCTACGCTTCTCTGTCGACCGGAGAATTAACGTATATGGTGTTGTGTACAGCAGCTGACGATGATGACTCTCATAGAACTCGTGATTAATGTGAGCAAGGCCGAGTGGAAGCTTAGTGTCGACGTCCAGATCTATGCGCACTTATTTTGGGTGAGAGGCCGCTTCCGAAGTAATCTTGTAGAGGACATGGCGGTGCAGGCCAAGCAGGGTAGGTTTTGGGCGTGCTAGAGAAAGTCGTCGCCCATCGTCCCCAGCAACGAAGCTGTGCTGTTGATGGTGATCAGGTACCATTTTTGAGCCCTCGTAAGCATTCTTAGTCGATCTCAAGCCGAATGAGCCGCCACGTCCGTCGTAGTCAATTGCGACTGCCCAGACCTGGCTCTGAGATGCCTTCAGCATTAGTTGGCCCTCGAGAAGCGAACGGATAACAGTCGTTAAGGCTGAAGTATTGCACGTTGTTCCGTTGGCGGACACGTCATTGATGAAGGTGATGTCTACAGCAAGGTCACAGTCCCAAAGGAAATGGAGTAATGGTCCGACGTTGAAGGACTCAGGTCGAAGCCGTTTGTAGTCTCCAAATCCTCGGCATCCTACCAAGGCCATCCATTTGGAGAGATCTATGGAGAATTTATGGTGCCAATATGCATGAGCCCCTAACTTCCTGTGCCATTCATCGTAGATATGTAGAAGGTATTCGATATGTCGTGGACTATGCGAATTGCTTGGTTCGATGACGAATGTGTTGTTGGCGTAAAAGGACAACCCCGCTTCGAGGTAGGTAGTTCCACACGCGAGAAACAGATTTTTGTGCATTTTAAATCCTGGGCCAAAACGGAAGTGTCTCACTAGAGAGACATCTTCAGGTTCGATTACGATCGGCTTCGAGTATTCGACGAGATATCCAAAAATCCGGTTTCGAATCTCAGCGGGTAGCTTGACGAAAGAGTGTCTGCTTGGTTCTATCGGCTTTGAGTCGCCTGTGGTTATAGGTGAGGGGATAATATATTGAGGCATGTTAACTTCTCGTCAGGATCGAGCAATCAGCCCGTTAGGTGGAGTAGACGAATTGATTGGTTGAAAGTTCTTCTGTGAGCAAGAGTACTGCTGAGACCCAATCGCCCCTCAGTATATACGAGGTAGAGGCTAGAAGTTCCCATACGGTTGTTCGCAATGCTGTAGCCTTGGTCTGGAGAGTAGATTGAAACTTTAGAATCGCTGTTTCTATAAAGCTAGAGAGGGGCGAATGTTGCGAGCTTCAGTTCTTTGCCTTCGCTTTCCGCAGTGAACTCCGCCATCGGGTCGCAATGGTAACGTGTTGATGCAGTCTTCTGACCATCATTGGGAACGTCAGCCCAACAAATCAAGCCCCCAGAACCATCCTTCTTAACCGACACGGCACGCACCGCATCGCTCTTCTCCCTAAGCCCCAACTGTCCGTCAAGCAGTGCATTAACGACACTCACAATCTTCTTAGCGCATTGTCTCTCAGAATTCCCGATCCAATACTCCGCCCTCTCTTCCTCTACACCCGTATCATCCACATTAACAAGCCTAATCTCAAATTGAGGACCGCGACTCCACGCCACACGCAGCAACACCGTAATTTCGACAACATACATCCTAGGATCAAAATTTCTAGTCCTTCCATCTACATGTGTACAGAGAAATACACTATCTGGGAAAGTGAAAGTATCAAGAACAATACTTCTCACGAGCCCAGCTCTCGAACCCACAGTATCAAAGAACTTGACCACCGCGCTGACGAAACACGGGCGCGCGAAAGTAGCAAATTTACTTGTTTAGTTAAGCAAGAACGTGTTGGTGGAGTAGAACATGGACGACGCTTCCGCATTGATCTGTCGACATGTCAAGAAGAAGGCAGTGGGTATCGTAGTGTTGAATGCATATGGTACCACGGGCTTGGGTGTGTTGCTTAAAGGGTCTTGTTAGAAGTATAGGCAGATTGAAGAGGGGCGGTGACAGATGTGGTGGTAGATTTTATTGCGGAGTTCGGCGGGAAGGGCGAGGAAGGACGGGACATTGGGTACAGCCGGATTAGATCGTTCGCTGCTATGAGACATGGTAGTAACGGAAAAAATATAGATATGCGTATAGAGCAAGATAGAGGTTGCATGGAGGAGGTTTGAAAGTGGAGAGCAGTACATGCCTGTATGTCTAACGCTCATTGCTCGAGCGTCGCGTACACTCATCGTTATGACATGTACTGGATTCAGTGTCATAAATTGTTTTGTACTCACCAACTGGTCTTCCTTTGGAGTTAGGTCGTTCCTTAAATCTCAGAGGTTACTTTTGTATTATTGAAGCATGTCTCATCCCAAGCACGATTTAACACAACCTCTGTCAGATTCTCTATGGTTATCTGAATAGGGCCTACCATAGAAGAGTAGTATGTAGTATTCGAATTGCGTGCGAATGCCCATGTTTATATGTTGCAGCACGATGCAGAGTAACCGATGACGAGTGTGCAGTCATCGATGCGGAGTCATAGATTGCGGGGCCGAAGAGTCATTCAAATTAATGACATAACGTAAAAACGAAGGTTTTGGTGTGCTCATGGAGTTCTTGAGTTTTCAAAGGTGGATACGGCATCAGCAAATCGTGACGTATTTTGTTGGAGTTGGGGCACGCACAATTGCGGAAACGTCGTGAGCCTCAGCGTGTTAGCGAGAGCAACAGGACTGTCCCTAGGTCTGATGAAGACAACTGACGGTGTTCAAAAATGTCTCAGCAAATTTCGTACGCATCACAGTGTGAATCGTTGCTGTTGCTGACTGGTTCTACCATGAGTGGTGCAAGCGCCCACCGTGATCTCGTCCACGATAATATGCCCCAGAAATTTCACCCGACCCTTTTGAATCGCGTCTTCCATGTCTGCATAAGCTAAATTTCACAAGCCGTCACATTCACCCAAAGACTTCGCTACCGTCTAGTCTTCACCTCGTTCTTCAATCTCGCGCGGACAGGCTCCTTCGTCACATATACAATAGACGCGAGTATAGCGGAGTCTGACATACTTTAGCAGAGTTCTGCTATCAGCAAAGTTCTAAACTCACGCGTTGAACACGCTAGAACGCAAGCTGCAACTCGCCGAGCGCGACGGGCAAGGCGAAATGGAATTTGTCCATGGTGGGGTTTGATTTGGGAAGACCCGAATTCCAAATGTTCAAGGTAGGTTTGAGTTCGACTGGTGTTTCCATCGGTTGAGAGGCAAGTGGTTGAGGCGGCGACAGTAGTCGTACCTGAAGAGAGGCGGTCCTCCTTGTACCCCCATGGAGAACACTAGGCACCAAGGCCGGGCGCGACGAGATCTGGCCGTGCTCCGTGAAACTGCTCAGGAACTGACGATCGTTGACTGCGCTGGCAGTGGTTAAGTGTGTATAGAAGGCAGAAGAGTGAATGCAGCACTGGCTTCATGATCCGTCCAAGGCGCGATATTAGCGTACCTGTTGTTCATCTTGAGCACAATGCAACGAACCTACCACTTCGATCGAAGAGGTGCGTTCCATCAAAACCACATAAATTTACTCTGGCGAGTAGCCAAAGGCATGCCGTGATGGGTGATCTTGTAGCGTAGTGCGGTGGACGAAGAGATCGTGCTGTAGATGATAGATGCGAAGTCACTGTTGTGGAGTCATAGCACCATGGTCGAAGAGTGGCACCGACGCAATGACGCATGTTACAGGGATAGCGCACCCCATATTGCGATAGCCGCGAGAATCTGCAAGTATCGTGATCGAATTTGAGAGTATACTCCATCTTGTTGTTCACGTTTTCACCGGCAACGGCAGTCCGCGTTGTGACGTAGAAGGTGCGAATATCATAGGTCTTCCTGAGGAATCTTCGCAAATGCTTAAACTGATCGAAGTCGTTGCGCGCGCTGTTTGTCGTCAAGGCTAACTCGAAGCTGTTGTCCCTGAAGAGTACTTCATCGCGCCATCGGCGGTAAAGTTCCCGGTTGACATGAATGAGACCACAATTGATCTTCTTATCGTTGTCTAGGTTAACTCGATGGCCTTCACCAGGGTGCACGACCATGTCGAGGATACGATCGAGTAGGGGGTAGGGGAAGTCTAGCAGATTCAGCGGCTTCTCTCGCTCGCCCATTTCCAATCGATTTCCGCCATCCTTGGCGATAAAATTAGAAACGAAATATTTGTCGGCACCGATTTGTCCACGTATGAAAGACGCGTCTGAAAATACGGGGTTAGTGGTGCCCCAATTGACTATACCTCCCGAACCGTTTCGGTACAGGGCTACTTCACACAGCAGCCGGCCGTATGTTCTCAGTCGTAGCCGACCACCTAGAATCGAGCGAATCACAGCGCTCATACCTGGGGCGTTGCAAGCCAGACCTGGGGTACTTCCAATTGGTAAATTCTTGTTGTGGGTAAAGGAGAAGTCGATATCCCGTCCTATACCCCAGATGGTGCGCAGGACAGGAGTAATCTTGAATAGTGCAAGCCGACTGTCATCAGCAACATTCTAGATATGCGACCCTAGCGCACTACCTTTGTAAAAGCTTGCGTTCTGAAGATCTGCGAGGTCAAGCACAATTTTCTTTAGCCAGCACGCTTGTGTACCAAGACGTGCGAAGAGAGCGCCAGGCAATTCGATGGGAACGCGATGTAAGGCTGCGGTACTTGGAGAACAGTAGCTGTTGCATCCCATAGAAAAGGTATTACCATGGTTGAATGGTACGGGGTAGGTACTGCTACGGTCGAGTCCTATAGCGAAAGTATTGCCAGAGTAAGAGGCAGAAACTGCTTCACGATGCCCTGTTCGACACGATGCAAAGAAAGCTACAGGAATCCGTACGCCGGAGTCGAGACGCATTTGCAGCCGACCAATTGGATCCAAACGACATGCCTCGTGATATATACAGATTGGGACATAAAACTCGAATAAGTAGCCGTATATCTGATTGCGAAGTTCGGCTGGCAGATCAAGGATCGAAACCTTGTCCAAGTTTGCGCGCTTCGAGTCGCCGCAAGCGAGAAGGGGAAGGAGGTGTTGATCGTCCATCGAGATAGTAGAGGCAGGGTCGGTTGAAATTACTGGTGGTTGAACGAAAGGTGATTGAACCGACGACAATACTTATACTCAGAAGTAAGCGAGGCCTAAAGTACCCCCAGAAGTCTCCCAGGCACCGGCACCCCCAAGGAAACGCGATGAAGGCCACACTCTCCAGAGTGAATACTCTACCCCTCCTGTTCACAGTCCATACCCCCTCAACCACCTCAACTCCCTAGCCTGATGTTCCAACGCCCTCCTCATCTCCACCCCATACTGTCTCTCCCTCATCTTCTCCCCTCCCTCCTCACCGCTACCAACCCCCTGCCCATCACCCTGCCTCTCCAGTGCATCTTCAAAAACATCCCTCGCCATCGGCGGTTCCTTACCAAAGCCCAAAAGACCCAACTTGCCATCGCCCGTCCATAGAACAAGGTTATTTAGACCGAGGGCTTCTGTGGATGAAGAAGAAGAAGAAGAAGGTGTGTAAGGTGTGAGGAGGGAGGGGTTTGTCGTGGGTAGGATCTTCTGTACGATGTCGCCCCATCCTGCTTCCGAGTCTGGTGTTGCGTTTACGAGGTTGCTGTGGTGGTGGTGTTGAGTCGTAGCCGACGTGTTCGCACTCGTGGAGCCGTCCTTTGACCGTTGAAAGTCGTTGATGTTGAATTGGCGGACTGGCGTCGAGCCGTCTCGCTCAACCCACTTCAGATTCCCATCGCCCTCTGAGAAAACGAGTCGTGTACCCTGCGGCGCCACAGCCAATAACTTCGAACTACTCGCTGTTTGTCGATTCTGGTAGTACGCTTTTTGGTTCCGTGTCGTACGGCTATCGCTCGAGTTGATAGAGCGGGAAAGTTCGTTGGATAGGCCGTACAACTCCAGCGAGCCTTTGCCTTTGTATTCACCAGCTGCGATCAACGTGTATCCCGAGGTGGACTTCGCGTCACGCAATAGCCCTGGACTGCTATACGGTCTGCCCAGCCTCAGGTCTTGCGGTACGAAAGGATGCGGTATAGCTGTGATACAAGACAGCCTCGCACCAGAGTGCACAGTACCGCGTAGTCTCGGGAAAGACCTCCGATCAAAGTTCAACATGCTGGTGAACCTTCCCGCAACCCAGATATCGCCATTGCCATCCCAATCGCGCGTTGTAGGTAAATGGAGTATGGACAGCGCACCGGGTTGGGAGAGCGAGACATGGCCGTCGAAGTCACCGGTATCGAGGCGCGAGAAGTCGCTGTCTGTTGGGCCGCCGATGAGCTCGCAGCGTACAGAGGAAGGCGGTGCGGGAGGCTTTCGCGAGTCGTGGAGGTGCAGCGTCCAGTTTGTGCCGACTGTGAGGGGGGTGCGGTGGTGCGCCTCCGAAAGCGCGGTGATGGGGAAGGGATAGGGCGTCCGTGAGACGACTTGAAGGGTGTTGAGATCGACTTCGTTAAGGGCGTTCTTGACGGCGAAGAAGCCTTTGTGGAGTTTGCTGTCGATGCTCACGCATTCGACGGCACCTGTCTCTGTCATTATGGCTTGGCTTTGTGTGAGGCGCGTGTCGTAGTCGAGATCGGAACCTCTGCCTGGCAGCAGCCCAATGTCGCTCTTCGCTATCATCTTGCCCTGTCGGTCGCTGCTGGCCGAGGCGTCCCAGATGCTGATGCTGCCATCGTCGAGGGGAGCGATGAGCTTGTCTGCTAAGCCATTGTCGTCGAATAGGATACCTGCACCGGTAGCCTCCCTCCTTACGGCACCCTCGTCTCTCTCCTCAGTCCCAGCGTCCTGGAACCAGCTGATCTTCTGCTCGGCGTGGCGTTGTATGAAGTCCTGGTACCAATTCACCTTCTCATCAGGATAGCTAGGATCCCAATTCGCAATCAGGGCCTGTCTCCGCTTCTCCTGATTGCGCTCCTGCTGTGACTCGGCACTCGGTGCGCTCTCATCGTGTACAGAGGTATCGAAGGTGTTGGCAAGAGTATCGGCGGCGCGTATCAGCTCGGCGAGGCGGGGGTCGATGTCGGTGGTGATTTCGAGGCGGCGGCGACGGCGCTCAGCGGCCGAGTGGGTGAAGCATAGCGATTTCCAGAGGTTGTTGTCGCGCGAGAGGTTGAGGAAGCGGCGCGACACGTGTTGGAGGGCGACGAGCTCCGAGGGTTCGAGGTCTAGGCCGTGGTGTCAGCATTTCACTCAGCGCACTCTCATCGTGGACAGAGATAGTGGAAGGAGGTATCGAAGGCGTTGGAGAGAAAGTCTGCAAAGAGATGACCTCCACTACCGCCCCTCCGCCTCCCCCACCCACCCGGGGATGCGCGTGATGAGCACGGGTACTTACAAGAGATGATGTGGAGGATCAGCTCGTCGGGGAGATGTATCATGATTCTTGAACAAGGCTAGATACTAGACGAATGAATAGAATGATATAGACAGGTGCTGTAATCTGTATGTCGGGAACAATGGCGGATGCGACACACTTATCTTGACACCTTGAGTATCTTCGAGCCCCCGTAGCTCGGGGTTAAGGGCTGACGACATGCCGCCGAGCCATGACTCGTTGCCCTTTCCCCACACACCGCCTTTCCTCATTCGCACTTTGTCTTTTCGGTGAGCTTGATATGTGTAAGTGTAGTGGGCGTAAATTCATCGCGTAATCATCATGATCATTAACACGGGTGGTGTTATCGACATAAGCACACCACGAATCACTCAAGTCATACGCAGAAAGATATCCTCATTTATAAGGAAATCCGAAAACCTCCACACAGTCACATGAATCTCACGTTTCAAGATTAGAATACTTTCATCATTGCTTTATGAGCCTTTCGGCTCAAGAATCCGACTCATTACATACGAATTCGTGTATGGTATCTTCCGTATGTTCCAAAATAAGAGGCCAAAGAAAAGAGCCGAAATACCCAAACCCATTCCTTTGTGTATACTCCCAGAACGCCCCCAACCAATACCCATGCACTACCGATGATGCATCTGCTTCTCCAAATCCTCAGGCGGCGTCACAACGCTCGGCAACTCCGCGACGGGTTGCGGTGGCCTATACGCCTGGTACGGCTGACCCTTCTCATTCAGCACCGGATTCACACTCGTATCAGCCAGCTCGGTAGCCTCTGGATGTGTGAAAACTGCTTGATTGTGGGCAGGCGAGTATTGCGGTGGAACGGTGTCCCATGTAGTACGGTTTGGATCGCCGTTTCCGCCTCCAATACCCACAGCATCAGGCCCATACGGCGCGCCCTGACCTGGTTGAAACCCGTTTCCAGAAGGCAGTTCGGAGACGCGGTTGGAGCGCCCCGCGCCAATTGGGTTCCCATCGATTTCTGCGGTCGCGGGCCGCGAGTTGCGGTAGGTTTCTTTCTTGCTCTTGTTGAGTTTGGCTGCGCCGACGAGGGGGCTGTCGCCTTCGACTTCGGAGGGGTCTTTGTAGGGGTTGGCTTTTTGCTGGCGGCGCTTGCGGAGGAGCCAGAAGATTATGCCGAGGAGGGCGAGGGCGAGGGGGATGCCGACTGCGCAACCGATGATGAGGCCGAGGTTGGATTTTGAGCCGCTGGAGGAGGAAGAGTTTCCGTCGTTGGAGTTGCTGGAGCCGGCGGTTGGGGTGGGTGTGATGAGGATGGTGTTTTGGATTGTGACGACGCCGCCGCCGGCACTTGTGGAGAGGCTTTGGAAAACAGAACTGAAGGGCGTTCCTGTGGTCGAGGCGTCGTCGGCTGTAGCAGTTGCAGAACCTGAGTTGGGGGCGTCGGTAGGGGGAGAACCTGAAGATCCTCCCACTGACGTCTTCGATGGTCCGTTTCCACCTCCACCTCCGCTCGTCGCCAGGCCAGTGATAGTCGCAATGTTGGGAGCAGTCGAGGCTTGATTCTGGCCAATGGTCGCATACGCGTTTCCGTCTTGTAGTGCAAAGAAGGGTCGTGGTGATGGTGATTCCTTGCAGCAGTTCACGTTCTGGGCGTCGGCGTTGCAGCACCACTGGTTGTCATGGTCGGAGCACTGGGTTATCGACTCGCCGCCGCCAACTGTCATACCTAGTATACCTTAGCAGCGTTCAGCTGAATCACTCAATGGTCTTACCGTATGTGCACATGTTAGAAGCACAGGCGTCTGATTTCCAGTCCTTGTCTGTACAGCTGTATCGGCCGTACAGGTTGTCGGCGGGATAGTGACAGAGGCCATTGTCAAGACATTCCCATTTATCCGGACAACAAGCAGAACCTTTTTCTGATGAACAAGGCTTCTCTGTGTCCGGAGCCTTGTTGCCATTGGGATAGTCTGTCCAGTCAGTCGCTGTGTATTATAACATCAGGTCCATCTTACAGCATTGCTGAGCAGTAGCGTGTGTCGCAAGAGCAGCGACAGCAGCGGCGCGCAACCACATAAGCGTAGGCATAATGCGCGTTCACCAGATGGGTCCCTTGCTCGGTGAAAAGGCAGTACCTGAAAATCTCGATCGATCCTTGTAGTCGGTGTCGAGATCGTAACTCCAGCGACGTCGATAGTGGAGAAGGTGAAGTGAGAGCGAAGCGAGCAGGAGTTCCGAAAAGATAGAGAGAGAAAGCAAGCAGGTGCCAGCCGACAAAGTCAAAGCAGCAAGACAAGGGAAAGACACTGCACGATGATCGCACGCCGTTTGCACGCCGCCATTCAGCCCCAGTCTGCCCATCCTGGATATACACCGAACGAAGCACCCACCCAAGCAAACTTTACCCCATGCGTCCAATTACACACCGTCTCCACAACGCATACGCCCCCTCGGTTGCTCGCAGTCCGTTCGTTTAGTTACCGAGAGGCTGGCGGGTCACGGTGAGGTCATCGGGAAATGCCAGTCCATGTTCCTTGCACTAGGCCCGAGCGGGCGCTCGTATCGTGCGAAAGGTTGCGATCAGAGGTGGTACCAGGGCGTCGATCCATGCAACGACCTTTGTGGCTGAGGCATCTTGAAACTAACGCGTGCTACGCGAAGGTCCTTTGATGTGAAGCTCGGAATGCAGACGCACTCTAAAGCTGTTGGAGGCCGCAGAGTAAATACCTACTATTACTATTGCTGCGCTGGATTGACCTGCCGCCGATACGATACGAGCGATCGACGCCCCCGTTGCGATGGTCGCGGGCGAGCACGAAAGCATGATTCGAGAGAGAAAACCGGCTTCCCCGGCCTTGTGCACTACAACTGGCAGCTGTCTCTCACCATCCATGCGGATAACCGTCTCTTATATTAGGTGCGTGTCGTAGGTTGTATGCGCTTTGTACCAATTGCCATGTCTCGCTTCAGAGCGAGCCCATGTTGCCGCATGTTGAACCACCCGTCGACCTTTCACTCCGCGGCTCCTATTCCACGCATCCCGCGTCTTTCGCCTCTATGACAGCGAAGGCGCTGGGATCGCCTGCGTCGGTAATGACCGCTTCGTATTACGGCGGAAAGAGGGAAGATGGTGTCTGAGCTATGCTGATGACGTGCCTGGTGGTCTGTTGCACGGAGAAAAGTCGATGTTGCAAACGAAAGTAGCTTGGGTGGTTCTAAATGTGGTATGCCCGCCAAAAAGGCCTCTCAGCCTTGCGACACCGTCTACAGACGGCGTCTTGCCCTGCGTCAGGACTGCGACTTCATGCTCACCCTTTTTCTGATAGCTTCACGCGACTTCGTATCTGCGGCAATGCAGTGGATGTTTGCATCGGAATATTCGGCGCTCCACTGTTACTTTATTTGCGGTATGCAGGTGTTGTCGATCTACCGGGCCTCACGCGGTCATCTTCCTGGGGATTGTACAGTGTTGCGAGTAAACATTTTGTGTAACCACGGGGTGTTAGTACGGCGCACAACATTGCACGAGGCAGTGCATTCATTTGACATGTTACACGACAGCTCATCAATCGATTGTCAAACGTCAGAAGGCCTTCTTTGAAGGAAGGAAGGTATGGTAGGCCCAACCTCGGCACAACCTTACCTTCCATCGGTCCTTCGTGTTCTTTAGACGAGTCCTTAGGGCTGCAACATTCGGCGCGCGACTCCACCAAGACCTTTGCCTCCCGTATTCGGTCAGTCTATGAATTAGTCCTTGTCGACCATGCTACGCTAGGCAATCCATAGCCGGGTTGTGGTCGGCATTACACTAGATTATTAGGAACGGGACCTGCAAAAGTTCCACCAGTTGCGAGCATCGTTGACTTTCAAGATACATACCATAGTCCTCATCGTATCATCTGCCAATACCTACCCATTGGAATCTGGGAGCTTGATGAAGAGAAGAACAACCACCGACAACATTTACTACCCAATGACGGAATGCCGCACTCACCATCTCGTCCTTCACCTACCATTGCCACCGTAACCCTCCCACGACTCTCTGTACGCCTTCCTCCTATCTCTCATCTTCCACTCGAAAGTCCACGGCCTAGATAACGGAGCTGCAACTACCCGCATGTCCTAGTCCATAGGAGTGGTGGTCCAGTCAACTGAGGTAAAAGAAGAACGATACTGTAAAGAACTGTGAAGCCGTCAGCCCAAGCTCATCATGGTGCGGTGATAGCATCACCAGCAACTACACCGTACACCTACATTCACGTCACAGGCGGATCAACATCACATCACACACCACACCATCATCTCCAACTTCAAGCCCAACAGTATTGTAGGTTTTCATCTCATTCATGATGCCTATCAAACATGCAGGATGCAGGTCTCGAGAAAAGCTAGCCTTACTTTCCAGCAAGCACTCGCTATCCCGGACCCTCCTTGCAAGCCAGCAGTATTACGTGCCGACTATCCCACCCTTCCCTCCTAAATCATGATATCATATCGAAAGAAATCGCCAGTCGTACTCCATCCCGTCATCCGTTGTTGAAGCAGCAACGAAGCGTTTAGTGGGCTTGACGTCCGCCCTGAGACTCGTTGGTGACGCCGATGCGCTCGGAGTTCTGTTTAACACATGTATTAGCAATCGCGCTCTTCATTACGTTTGCGAGATAAAAGATCTGGCTTAGGAACAGGACACAACATACCTCAGAGCTCTGCACACTACCCTCCTGTAGGATCTTCTTAAAGATGTCATCCTCTTTGGCATCCTTGCCAAACTCGTTCTCAAGCTGCTGCTTGCTAGCGGTGTTGAGCACGCCCTGCTTGCCGTGTTCAGGAACGAGCACTTTCCATCCAGCAACAACGTCGACCATGGGAATCGTGCTATCAGCCTTCCATTTCTGGAGCTGCTCTACCGAGTCGACGAAGATGCAGAATTGGTCGCCGGAGCTGCCCTTGTAGAAGACTTGGGTTTGGGGGGAGTTGCCGCGGGCCATCGTTACTTTGTCGTTCACTTTGGTTTGTGGGGATGGGTATTGAGTCGTAGAAGCTCGTATGAGTAGTTTGAGTAGTTTAAGTGTAAAGTAGAGTGTGCAGTATTCAATGTGCTTGTAGTGTGGGAGAATGGAGGGGAAGCTTTAGAGGGGCTATTTAGAGCTACGTGACTGGAGCTTTGACCGGGTGGGTGGCTACGTCATCGCCAAGGAGGTATTGCGCACTCTCTCACCACGAGGGACCTGGTAAAGTACATGGCGCACGCCTTGTTTTGCATTTTGCATTGCGGCTCTCTATGCTGAAACAAGCTGGCAGGGATGCACGTCGGACTTGCGTGCCGGCTGTGTTCTGCTTCATCCCGCCATGCTATGAGGCTGAGAAAACGCAATGTAGACAACACCAGTATCGAGGAACCTGAACTCGGAGTGAATAACAAACACGCATCTCACTCAAGTAAATTCATGACATGTAGTCATGATTCAATCACTACTATCCAAATATATGTGTCCTTTCCGCAACGCCGCCCCTCCATCATGCGATCGCGTGCCCAGGTACAGCACGTGTCCGTGTCCAAGAGCCCGCTAGCCAGATGACGTCATGCCGTGATTCCCGATCACCAGACTTTCAACCAGCCCACCATTAACGTGGCTGCCCAGATCGTGAGAGGCGGGTGTACCTTGCAGTAACCTCTGCTGGTCGCATGGTTAATCATTATTCGTTACATTGGCCTTCGTCATTGCCATCGTCCCAGTCGTAGTATTCATATCTCGTACTTGCTGTTGGGTGTGGTCGTTACGTCGTGAAGGGAAGTATGTATTTGCAATGCGTCCCGTTGCAGTTTTGTGGACGCCCAATGCGTATCCAGCGTGGTACGTAATGTTGGTCCAACGGGGTATGTGTGTTGGATCACCGGAAGAAATTAAAGATCCTACTTTTACTCTTGGAGAACTTGTTCGAGGTCGAGTGGTTTGAAGATACAGACCGGGATTCGGGGGTAGGCTCTTCTTGCCGTCGCTGTTTCCTGTTTTCTATGTTTTTGGTTATCTCAGCGCAAGGAGGTGATGCGCGTACGGTGGTTGCTGTTGATGCGTGAGAGACGGTTCTCTCGGCGACGCGAGCGCGTGATTCTGATCTTGGAAGACTGATCAGATGCGTAGAGAGACGTCGAACCTTTTTTGGCTTGCTCTGTAGAGGCTTCTCTGTTGGGCGCTCTACGCCTATCGCTCGATTGGCAAGATGTCGGCGTCTACTCGAAGGTCGCGTGTCCTCTACCTCAAAGTCCTCAGGTAGGAACGCGGCGGGTGCGGAATGGAAGTCGACAAGTGCCGGGGTCGGCCTTCGATCAATCGTTGATTGAGCTCGCAGGTTCCCGTTCGACATCTTATGAACGCGGCTTCCGAAAGAGTCTTCTGACTGCGTGTTGCTCGTGTTGGAAAGACTGGGCGAGCGACGCGAGAAATTGCTTGCTATGCTTGCTATGCTTAGCTTTCGCATAACTGAGTTTGCTGAAGCTCTGATTTGGTTCTCCATCCTCCGATTTGACATGCCCGGAAAGGGCAACATGTCTTTTGTCCATACATCTTCCAATGTACTCTCGAGGCGTACGCGCTCAGCTCGCCGCGGGGCAAGTATAGGGATGTGGTTTGGGGAGAGGTGCGATTGCGATCGGGTTACTATACTTGGCGAAAACGTCGGAGGTGTATCGGGCAGCTTTTGCGCCTGTGTATTCTTGATGATGACTTGACTCGTGTTGGTCTTCGCGCCTAGAGTCGCCGCTCGATGAACTGACATGCGTCGTACTATAGTATTCGCATGACCGAAAACAGGCCCGAGAGACTTGAGGCCTAGCGATAGGGATGTGTACATGTCCTGCATGGTGGACTGGCCTTCGACGAAATCGTGTGTCTCATAAACAATACGCTCGTGAAGCTGCTTTTTCCAAACCTCCTCTTCGTGAGAAGTGCAGGCGCTGAAGATGAGTTCGTGTAAGCGATGGCCGTGTTCGAAAACGAATTTCCATGTATGTGGAGCTGTACGACATTGTATGCCGCGGCCGTTATCGGATTCCTCGATGCTGGCGTTGGCCAGCCCAATCGAAGCGACAACGGTATATGGCGTATGGAACCGGCTTGCCGTTGCAAGTACAAGACATGATTTGTACAGAACACAAACCATGTACGCGCCTTTGATACGATCGGGTGTTTGATATGTCACATGTAGAGCGCCACATAAGAGAACATGCCCAAGAAGACGAAAGACAAGAGCTCGAGACGTCTTCTGCTCTGAAAACGCTAGTCGGTCTTGTAGCTGCCATGTAATCTCAATGAGTCGCCGGGTTTGAGGGTCGTCTTTTGCCTTGTTGACTTCGCGGATAGTCTCTTGCAGCCGAAAAAGAGCTTTCTCCAGTTCGGCATGCGCTTCTGGATCGTCGTAGACGGGAGTGTGGCGGCATAGGTCGTCGAACAGTAGAGGGTACTTGCATACCCTCTGAATCGGCTTGATCAAGAGATCAGGAAAGCTGAGCGCCTTCTTATTACCTGCTTCTCGGTTGTTCTCCGATGCGACCACCTTCTGCAGCGCTTCGACACCGCGCTCGTATTCTTGCCAGCCATGCAGTCCTTTGCACATTGTGGTGAGATCCTGTGACATGGTCGTCCAATGGGCGCCGTACTCCTCGTATGTGAAGAAACGTTTCATCTGGTTATGTTAGCTAGTTATATAGAAGAGTCGCGTATAGCTTACGTGTTTGTTGAATATCCTAGCAATGTTCCCTGCCGTCTGCGTGTCCGTTACTAGGCCTCGCGGTCTGCGGTCTGGCGATCGTCCAATCTCCAAAGAATGCCTCAGCCTCCTAGCAGTCTTGTTCTCGGCGAAGCGCCCCGGCACAATGTCGGCACTATGGAAGCGGATATGTTTGGCTTTTGTCACGGGATATGTCTCTTGATACGCGCTTCTGGTGAAGTCTGCCTGAGGTACAACCTGATGAAGTTCGGCGAGCAAGTCTTCGTGGAGCTGTAGAATCTGGGAGATATTCTGTTGTATGGATGATCGTGTCTGGCCCGATAAAGTAGGAAGGGCAGTAAGGATCATGAAATAGTCCTGCCCAGATTAGCATGGTAATATAACCTGGTAGGAGGTCACATACATTAATCAAGACCTTGAGGTCCGCGATATAGCTCTCTTCCGAGGATATCAGTTCCTCAACGACCTTGCGACGCTGTAGTGATCGAAGCCAAGCGCTCTCATCAAGCACAGGCCCAAGTGTACCACGATGGCTCTCGAGTGATCTGCGCGCTTCTGAGTAATTGCAACTTCTGTTACCCAAGCGAACCTTCCCTTGCACTCCAGCTTCTGAGTGCGGTGCAATACTCGCGCTGCCGATGGTCATTGAAGCCGACTTCAATGCTGTCACATAGCCCATTGACGATGTCATAGACTCGGACGTCCTGCGTACTGACTCAGAAAGTCTTCCCAGCGGTCGAGACAGGACAGACATGCCATCGGTGGTGTCGAAGGATAGCCGTGGTATTTCAGGGTCATTATCCTTCCACCTCTGTGCATGTCGACGCCTCAAGGTACTCATCCACCGCCGAAAGGGTTGCAAAGATACAGAAATAGCTGCAGGCACTTCTTCGTAATCTTTGCGCGGCTCGTTTCCGTCATGATCGATGAAGCGACCTCCTGGCAATGGCACATGTATGGCTTCGTATAGATTGAACAGGTGGGTTTCTTCGAAGTCGTTGTTGTCAATATCCTTGTCATCAGTTGAGCTGTCGCTGTCAGAGTAGGGCTCCGCTATTTGCTGCGACTTGTGATATCCTCTCGCATGCGGCCGAGGCGGGACTATAAGTCTCGAGAAGGATGGCGGTGGCCGATCAGGCCCACAGTTTCGCTTGCGTGGCTCTTCGATAACATGTCTGGTACTGAATGGGAAGCCGGCTTTCTCAGGCACGAGATCGAGGAGCGACTGAGAGGTAAGTCGTGGTGTGTTCTCGTTGCTCCGAGACCAGTCGCCTGCTCTAGTCGCCCCAAGGGAATACAACGAGCACGCGGAAGCATTGCGAGCAGTAATGTCGCCCAGTGGTGCCAATAGTGTGTCTTTCTGAGGGGAGCAGGAGTTGAGGTATGGATTGTCGCTGAAGGAACGCTTGAGTGGGCTCTGAGGCCGGAGCGACAACACATATGCCATGTCCGTGGTCGTATGGTCGACACTGGATATGACGAGTACGAAGGCTTTCAGCGCATGAGATAAATACTACTGCATCCAACGACGATGGCTTAAGGAGAGACGAGTGAGCTGCAGAGCGATGAGGAAGTCGGATGAGGCATTTTGGATATGACTACTGGGTAGGACGGGAGGAAAGGGCAGAGGCGCAAAATCCTCAAGAACGTAATAGCGGCATCTAGAGGGAAAGGGTCCAGACAGCGCGTAGTAAAGCGCAGTCTACACAGGCTACCGGGAGCCATGGACAGAGTTTCGTTAGGGGCGAGTGGTGAGCCATCGACGAGGAGCAGCTAACATGGCGGCCGCGTTGCTCTCACCATATTCTGGTAGTCGCGACTCACTATGACGGCAGGAGCGGCGGAGACGCAGAACAAATATGTCTGTAGCCGAGCTGAGCCATCGCAAGATTGATGATACTAAGCCACTGGAGCATTCTCCTCATTTGGCACGCAGGAGGTCACGCGCGTGTCTTGGGGATACTGAAGTTTGGTAGAGAAGTGAGGGAGGAAAAAGGAAGGCGACCGTCCTGGCGGTTTTGCCCCGCTCGAGCTCAAGCTCCCACCCCCACATCCAAACTCCAGCTGTAGTAGGCATTCACGCACTCAACTCTGCCCGGCGGCGACAAACATCTGCACACCATGGATGATATACATGCGCCAACGGTCTCGTCAGGGCCCACGTCCGCAGGCTACTCCAATGGCATACCAAAAGAGCAGCTGACGCTCCAGGAGCTCATGGCCGAGAAGGACCGAGTAGAGACAGAGTTGAAGGCATTAGGGCAGGTGCTGGATTCGGTACGCAAATCAGGGCTATGGGTGGGATAAGCAGTTGACGTCTGGTTGCAGCATGGCGTCCGTATGAGCACCGGCCTGACCACCTTTGACGGCTTCCCACGCAGTGATATCGATGTCCCCCAGAGTAAGGAGCCTGCGTCATCGAGGTCGCTCATGGCCGCTCAGGATCGTCGCTGACCGGTCGCAGTCCGAACAACGCGCGCGCGCATCATACGGCTGAAGAACGACTACAAGGAGCTCATGTCGCGCATTGAGAAGGGCCTCCACGAGCACCACGCACGTCTGGCAGCGCAGGCGAGCGACGCGACGACCGCCAACGGCGCACAGGCAGGGCTGAGCGCACCGCCCGCCGCTCTTGAAGCGCCCTTCGCGAAGGTCAACAGCGTCGTGGCAGACAGCCCGGCAGCCACGGCCGGCCTGCAAGTGGGCGACACCATAACCAAGTTCGGCTGGGTGGACTGGACAAACCACGAGAGGCTGTCGCGCGTGGCCGAGGCCGTGTCGCAGAACGAAGGGGTACGTCGCACCACGCTGCACAGAATGCTATCTCCAGTCGGGCGTGCAGCAGGCTGACAACTGCAGATTCCCATTACCGTCAAGGCGCTGCGACCCAACCCATCGGGCGGCCCGGCAGAGATAGTTGAGATGCAACTCACACCGCGGAGGAATTGGGGTGGAAGGGGACTGTTGGGCTGTCACTTGCTGCCCATGTAGCGTGTATTATAAATCACCCAGTTGAAGTCGACAAAGATACGTCGAGGTTGGATGGGTGGCAGGCAAGGCTGGCGGCAGCGCGCGTGGCGCACTCGGTTTGGCTAACAAGCATAGCATGATACCCGGCGTTGTTTGCTTTGGGATGAAACAGATCAAGGACTCTGCTAGTAAATCACAATCTATGACTACAAAAGGGTGCAAGGCAAACCCGGGGCTTGTTGAGACAAAGAAGCCTATAGCTGCCTAACGCTGCCTCTGCCTCTGCCTCTGCCTGCCTGTGAGGTCAAAATTGCGGAAGGCGCCAAGAGATTTACACCGCCCGGGGCGCCAACACTTCAGCACAACAAAACCTCTTCTTGCCCACTTCACGCCCGCTACTTTCCCCACTCTTTATCACCCGTGAGTCTGCACCACCGTCTTTTGCTCAATAACTCTGTGCGACCCCGACTAACATCTTTTCGACAACAGTCTCTGCCCACTACCCCCCTCACACACCACATCACCCCGCCACAACACCCGACACCATGGCCGAGACTGCCGCAAGCTCAGTCCCTACCTTCAAGCTCGTGCTTGTCGGTGACGGTGGTACCGGAAAGGTATGACGCCCCTCTGGATGCGTTTCGCGATAGCAGCCCGTCTATTGAGACGGCCGCGCGACTGCGAGAGACTGCGATGCAGGATTGCTAACAGCCCCACCACAGACCACCTTCGTCAAGCGCCATTTGACCGGAGAGTTCGAGAAGAAGTACATTGCGACGCTCGGAGTAGAGGTCCACCCTCTCGGCTTCACCACAGTACGTTAATCGACCCTTTGCCGCCCGCGATACGCCTGCTAACGAGACGACAGAACCTCGGCCAGATCCAGTTCGACGTCTGGGACACCGCTGGTCAGGAGAAGTTTGGTGGTCTCCGCGATGGATACTACATCAACGGACAGTGCGGTATCATCATGTTCGACGTCACCTCGCGTATCACATACAAGAACGTCCCCAACTGGCACCGTACGTGCGCCCACAACCCCCCGATACACATTCGCTAACAACTCCAGGTGACTTGGTCCGTGTCTGCGAGAACATTCCCATCGTCCTCACCGGTAACAAGGTCGACGTCAAGGAGCGCAAGGTCAAGGCAAAGTCCATCACCTTCCACCGAAAGAAGAACCTCCAGTACTACGACATCTCTGCCAAGTCCAACTACAACTTCGAGAAGCCCTTCCTCTGGCTCGCCCGGAAACTCGTCGGCAACCAGTCTCTTGACTTTGTCGCCGCCCCCGCTCTGGCGCCTCCCGAGGTCCAGGTCGACCAGGCCGTTCTCGACCAGTACCGACAGGAGATGGAGAACGCCGCCCAGATGCCTCTGCCCGATGAGGACGACGCCGATTTGTAGATACGGTCATGAGCTTGCTCTAGGCCACGGCTAGGGCTCTAATGGGTATACGACATGGACGAGATTTAGTGGAATGGGACAACGGATATGCAGCTCGAGAATTGAGGACATTCTTGGCGAAAACGGGGCATGCAGAGGAGGACTGGCGGAACTATCCGACAGGAAGCGCTGGACTAGCCGGCGCTTCGACGAATGAACAACTAGACTGTTCCTGATCAATTCAGAATGATCTCAATGATGTTGCGAATGTGATGAAGAAGTCTTAGATGAAGATGAAGATGTGCGACTAAAAAAGCTTTTCGATTCTACTATTAACACGCCCAAGGGCGTTGCGACTACTACTACTACAACAGCAAGTTCGTATCTTCATTAATCAAGCTCTTTCCAGACTCCGCTTGCTCGGACTTTTTCAATGGAATGCGCCACCAAGCGCCCAGACGCAAGATAAGAAACGACGCGTGATGTCGGTATGTTCATTATACAGAACAACGAGGGTCGCGTAATAGCGAGCCCAGAGCGCGTAGACGACCGAGATGTTGACAAGTAAAAGGCTCGCTCGCTGTAGTTGATAAACGATCGTTTGTGAAGGCGCGACAGAGAACATTGAGACGTGAAAGATGATGAGCGCGCAAATAAACAGGACGAAGCGAGATACAACGAAAGCGAGAAGGCGGGGACGCCGTCTACGATTTTAGCATGCTGCGATGATGTTAGCCCAAGTCCACACACAGCAAGAAGAAGAAGATAGGAATACTCACGGAGCAATCAACTGCGCATACTGCTGCTGCGGCACAGCTCTCCCCTCTTCAATAACTCCCCTGATAACATCGTCCTGCTGCAAATTACTCCACAGATGTATTGACATCGCCTTCTTACTATTAAACAGCGTGTGCGCCACGCCCCGCACCTGTCCGAGGACCACATTCGCAATCGGCCACGTATTGCTATATTGCTGCAGCGTACCCACGTCGAGGCGGATAGACTGCTTGATGATGTCGTCTTGGCCGTCAGGGACGAGGAAGGACCAGTATGATAGGTGTACGACGGACGCCATGACGACGACGCAGGTGAAGAAGGGGGTGTGGTAGAGGAGGGGGCCTGGCAGCCGGATGAGGGAGGAGATGTTTTCAGCGGAGGTGAGACATTTCGCGGTGTGGATTTCGCGGGTTTGTGTCGGTAACAAAACCTGTCCGGGCTGCACACATATGTTCACGCCTTCCACCCTTCCGAAGCCAAGGTTGCTGCGGGGTCGGTGCAGCATAATCGTGCTACCGGCGTTTACCATGTGTGCCTGGAACAGCACTTCGTCGACGTGCCCGTCGTTGGATACGATGTCGGTTTTGGAGGCGGGGAGATGCAGGCGCCAGTTACATAGATATTGGTCTACGACGTCGACGGCGTGGTATTCGAAGGTGGAGTCTAGACGCGCGCATTCGAAGACTTTTCCTAGGATGCGGATTGCGTCGATGAGGTAGGTGAAGGAGGAGAAGGTTGCGAAGTGGGGGAGGAAGGCAGAGTCGTCGTAGTCGGAGAGGGTCGAGGGATATGGTATTTGCTGTGGAGGTTGTTAGTCTTGCGCTCTGGAATGGAGTATCGGCGTGTGGTAGTAGGAGTATGGCGTGTAGTTGGGATATCTTATGCATGACATGCATAAGATCGATCTCATCATGTGTGACATGCAGTCAGATGATCTCATCTGGGGTAGGAGCGGCACGGGTTCGCACTAAGAAGGGAATCATGCCAAGCCGATTTGACACATGTCAGATCTGATGTCAGGGGAGTGGGTACTTACGCCTGAAAAGTACTCGACGTTCTCACATGGCAGTGGGACGTCGGTTACGACGTCTTTCAGTCGGAATTGCACACCGGGGTTGACTGCTGTCATCATGCCGTTGGCCGTAAACATGGACCACCACGTTCTCCGCCAGCTTTCTTCCAGCTGGGGGTCGTTTTCTCCGTGCATCAGCGCAAATTCCATACGGTTGAGGCCGATTTCCAGTGTCAGGTTTTGGGCTATGGTGAAGATTTGGGCGGCGCGTGGAACCTCGTTGTGGGCATGAAGGCCGATGGCGAAGAGGAGAAGGGCTTGGACCGACCACGCATCTCTTGCGTAGTTGTTGCTGTCTATCTGGCGATCTAACGCTTCCTTGTACATGGCCGTAGGTACCGACGGTATGTAGCTGGATCCGATGAATTGCACGGCATATTCCAAGAGTGGGGCATGTCGTTCCTTGAAGAGTTCTAGCAACCTCGGCTCCGGGAGACAGAAGGGATGTGAATTGTAGAAAAAGTGGTAGAAGGCCTGAACGGCCGTCTCGGGTCCCAAGTGACCAAACCGGTTCAGACGCGCGGATCCATTTAGGTTGAGTTGAGCAACTGGTGGGGCTACAGGTCGGACGCCAAGACCGTGAGTTGGGCTGAGCTGGTTCATACCAGCATCGCCGTTGTACGAGTACTCAGGCGACGAGATGTGGCCATTGTTGGCTTGGACTTCAGGTGCAGATAAACCTAATCACGTTAGATGTTGTGACGATGCCGTCGTTGCGATATTACCCACCATTTGGGGTCGTGGACGCGCCGGTCTCTTCCTTGGTTTTCCGCTTGCCCTTCCAGCCTCTTCGCGACTTGATGTAGGTGCATTCCACGTCGTCGGTCCTACATCGGGAACATCGCACACCACCGTCGCATTTCAAATGTCTACTGCGGCATGGGACGCACGCGACAGCGACCGAGGCTCTGGTTTGGTCGTTATTTGACTGCTTCTGGCTGGTCTTCTGGCCGCTTCCTTTGCTGCCGCCGCTGTCCGACTGGGGCGTTTGCGCCGGAGGCGTGCTTCCATTGATGCTGCTCTGGGTGGTGATACTCTGTGTCGGCGACAGATGGAGCCCTAACGAGGGCGACAATGGCGATGTGGAGTCCGGTGAGAAGTTCTGGTGGCCGCCCCAGTAAGTGGGATCTACGCCAGCCGAGATGTTCGAAGGAGCGCCGTTCATGTGTTGCCCAGGCATCGCCATGGCAGAGGGAGGCATCGCAACAGAACCGTCTACGCGCAGGCGATTAAGAATCCACGGTATCCAGGTCGGCGCGGGCTTTGCGACTGTGCGTAGGTAGAGACGTTGAGGTTGCAACGGGTGCGGGCTGCTAGTACTGTTGACCCGGCACGTGACGCCCGTCTACTCGGCCTAGCGCTGAAATCGCCAAAAGCTTCCGAAGCCTCCTTCCATCTTCACCCAATCGGCCGTCTCCGCCGAACTCAAGACGCCAACCGCAAGACGCAAGGAGAGCCTCAGCCTCTTTGTCGGCCCCTCTGTGATCGCCGCCCCAGTCAGCTCAGGACAACATGTTCTGTGCAACTACATCGTACCGTCGACATGGGCGGACTGCCCCGTCGCCCTTTGACGCACCGTTGGATCCTGCCGTCGCCTGTACTTCGCTTGTGCCGCTTGAACGCAAGCCGGCCGGGACTGAAACGCACTGCTGGCGAATCGGATCCAACGAGCTGTCTCCACGGCACTGCCGTTGTCCATTACTGGGCCGTTTGCGCGCATTCCCGTGACCGTCGTATCGCTAGCTTTGATTCCGCCTTCGCTTTGCCATTTTATCGTGGGGTTAGTGGTTCTGCGCACGTTCGGCGGAAAGGGTTGAGTGTAGCGACCCAGCTGAAGTAGTCGCCTCGCCACATGATCTTACACGTTCCATTGGACTGTGTTAGTCAAGGAAATGCTACCGCGGCTGCGACGTAACAGCACAGTGCGCCTCTAAGATTTCGGCTCGATGCAACCTGGCCTTGGCTCTCTATGCTGCTACAGCCTTATCTGATACCAGCGATGAACCCACCCACACCACGCCAAAAAGCAATCCAACATTCGTCTCGATTGGCCAAACTTGGGCTGTCTAGGCGCTGAACGCATACGAAAGGAGGCGGACCTGCGCATTGCCTCCAAGCCTCGTCGACTCTCCACTAGGTCTCGCTCATTTCCGTGATCTGGCTACGACGTCTTGCACAATCAGCCATGCAGCAACTTTCAAATCATTCAATGGGAAATTGGGTATTAGACTCGGCGCCTATAGTCTATCTTGCTGTACTCACAAGAGAAGAAATGCCGCTGATGCTAGAATATGCAGGGAAAGGATGATGAAGGAAACCGTGCAGGGCCACTCAGCACGCCCCTTGTCTACGTCTCTATACACCTAGCCTTAGTGAAGTTCCATACGTCCCCGGAACAGTCATTCAGGGACCTCTCAGCCTTCCACTGCAGCTCGGTTTCTGCTCGTCGCACCTCGGCCACACAGAAGCCAACATCTCCAGCCCTGCGGCCGACTTCCCTGACGGGGATCTTCCGTTGAGATGCCTCCTCCAAGCTCTGGAGAACTTCGCGGACCGTATGTCCACGGCCCGTACCTGGGTTGATGTCAGTACACAGACCTTAATGTGGGACGTTCTCTTTCAAGGCCACCACTCACCAAGGTTGTACGTGCGAAATGGTGCTATGGTGCGACCAGCCGCCGAAGCTGCCAAAGCCGCAATATGGCCACGAGCCAAATCGACTACATGGATAAAGTCCCGCACTGCCGTCCCGTCTGGGGTGTTCCAATCGGTGCCGAAGATGTCCAGCACTGGCTTTGTCCCTGTCAGGACTGTTGCAATGACTGGAATTAGGTTGCTCGGTTTCTGTCGAGGATCTTCACCGAGAATACCAGACTCATGGCAACCGACCTACAGTTGTTAGACATACCTCAAATGCTTCCTGAAAATCGAATGTACATACCGGATTGAAGTACCGAAGGGCGGTTATCGACCATGTGGGGTCGGAAAGCGCCAGGTCTGCCAGAATGGACTCGCACATGAACTTGGATCGACCATAAGGTGATGTGAGGCCCAGGACGCCCGGCAAAACTCGGCGTTCTGCCCCATCGCTATCTACGAACGACTCGGGATGATGCACGCACAGCTCTTCGCGCAGAGGTAGCCCACAGTTAGCCCCCTCGCCGTAGACTGTTGCAGAGGAGGAGAACACAAAGTTCTTGATTCCAAACTCCTCCAGCAAACCCAGAAAGTCAACCAGCCCGCAGACGTTGTTGCTGTAATATCTCAAGGGCGTCCGGATGCTCTCTTCAACCGACTTGTACGCTGCGAAATGGATGACACCTGATATCCTGGACAGTCTCTCAACGACCGGTTCTTGCGCGTCGTCCATATCCATGTCGATACCAGAGTCTGTCCTTTGTAAAGTCGAGTATGGGAATCGTGTTGGCATAGGCACTGGCTTGCTTATGATCGAATACGATGAATAGCTGGCCAGTACAGTCTTCATCTGCGCACTTCTGTAATCCAGTTGGCGAAAGTGCAATGCTGGCATTCGTCGCCCATGCGCCGTGCAGAAGTCGATCGCAAGACTTCGCACTCTGCTCAGGACGCTTTCGTATGAGTTGCTCAAGTCGTCGATGACCAGCACGTTGTAGCCTTCTTTGAGCAACTCCAATACTGTATGGGAGCCGATGTATCCCAGACCACCGACGACCATGATGAAGCTGGACGTGAACCCATCGATGTTAAGAGGATCTGCTACTACATCGTCGTCGAATAGCACCGATCGTTGTGTTCCCGGTGTATTGATTACTTCCGGAGTTACGGAGGGCGATAGCGAGTATGTCGAAGAGGATGATGACATTTTGCGCAACTATGCTTGGCGCATGAACGAGTGTATCGAAGAAGAGCGAACGCGTTGATTGTTACGGCGCTACCTTTCTCGATACGTCCGAAATTCTTTATACGCGCCACAGCGTTCAACAACAGCCTCAAATCACGATCAATTAGGCAGAAGACATCGAAGTCAGACTTTTCCTGCGCCGTCAATATTGTTTACATGGCTTGGCATGATGCGGCCTCTTCATCCCGACTCATCAGTTTCGGAGTCTCCTCAGGTCTAGCACCCTCAGAATATACTCTCGCATCGCTAACGATCCCTGTCCAATTTGCATGGCCAAGTGCGCAAGACCTACCCGTGTGGTTGCATTGCCGCGTCCTCTAATCTCTCAAAATACCATCGCCTGGGCCGCAAGAGATTCAACGTGGGCATACGACGAGGCTTCGTTCGATGACCCGGTTCCGGTACTCATCAATGCTTTCTTGGTGCCCGAACACACCATTAAAATATCCATTACACACTTTCGTTTGTCAGTATCTGTAAGCTGTGTTTCTCAGGTCTTACTCTCCATCGCCTCATCTCCGTTTGGACAAGTCTCTCGTCACCGGCTCGTAGCCAGCCGCGCTCAAAGCAGAGTCATGGACGGGCCAAGCTCCGTAATTGTTCCGCTATACGTCTACCCCTCAGCAGGCGCATGGGATCCGTTTCACGATGTGTACGATACGGTGCCTCTACTATTGTTGCTACTCGTTATAGCGGGACTAACGATGTGTACTACTTCCAGAGCATCGTCGTTCCCTCGCATACACTTTACGGTTGTGATCAATGTGCATAACGGGCCTGGAGAGGGTGCACTACCGAACGCAGAATATACCGCAGCCATCGAGGCGCTCAACTCGCTCAGCAATGTACGCACTATCGGTTATGTGGCAACCACGTGGTGTACCAGGGACTTGAGTTCTGTACTGGATGATATCGCCGCCTTTTCATTTTGGGGAGAATATGATCCTTCACTGGCTTTGAGTGGTGTCTTTGTCGATGAGACGCCTACACAATACTCTACAGACTATGCAGTGTATCTCGATAGCATCACTCAAGCAGTTCAAGACAGCGCCGGACTAAAGGACAGCTTCATTGGTAAGCTCAGCCCGCCTTTCTATGTATCGATAGAGGACCGTTACGGCAGTCGGCTTTCGAGACCCCTGTTGTGTTGCCGTTCACTTTACCGTACCCTCTTGAATGGGTCTCTTTCTCTTGCAGGCGTCAAGAAACTCCATTTCTCAACTCCGGCAGTTGCATGAGCGTAAGGCTGACACTGCACTTTAGTTCACAACCCTGGGGCTCTTCCAGAGCCTGCTTACTTTGATGAGGCACTGTTCAATGCACCGGACTTAACCGTTATTTTCGAGAACTCATTTTCCAATTGGACGGTTGAGGGTGGCGAGCTTTTCAAGGTGACGGATTCATATGATCGCGAAAAGCTTGCACTGCTTGTGCATTCTACACCGGATCTGACAATTCTTGAGATGGCTAGTATGCTATTGCAGTTACTAGCCCTGGGCCGCAGCATCTGGATGACAGCTAGCTCGGATTATACCGATCTCGACGGTGTGCTGCCTGCGTTCATCGAAGGCGTGGCTGCGCTGCTGAGGTGAAGGTCACAGCCATGGAAGTGAGGGTGGTAGGTATCATGTCATCGATCGCTCAATCCACGCAAGCTACACACGTCTTTGACCGTTGTCCTCTCTATGGAGCTTCAACCAGTCCATCGTCTACAAACCCTTATGCGGCAAGCCTCGATCACTTGACTCCGCTGTCTCTAGCCTGGGGCTTGATGACTTTGATCTCTGGAAAGAAGCTGGCATGCAGAAGGAAAGGATCTTCTAGTCACAGCTGGTTTGTGCTACCGTGGCTTTCTCAACAGCGAGTCGGCTAATGCGCCGTGACGAGGCGTACCAAAGGCGGTCCGCCATGTAAGAAGTCCCTCCGTGACACAAGCGGTCCGTCACCCCGTCGGTTGAATCCGAGGAAAGCTTACGAGGAATTAGCCCAACTACACAATGCCGCCTCCAAACAAGCAACGATCATCACGAAACTTGACGTAGAAATTTGGACCACCAAATGTTTACATCCGGTTGGCTCTAATATTACCCCGAGAGCTCCCCTGTTTGCCGCTTTAGGCGGCAGATCTAGCTCACCCAACCCCTGCGCGTTTCCCCGGATCAAACAAACAAGCCTTTCGTCCTGCACTAAAGCTGCATACACACTCTATTTCAACCTTGGCCTTCATTTCGAAATTCAATCTCTGCTGCGTACCGCGTGGGCCCATGTCTACTTGTGCATCTTTCCAAGCGACGCTCCAGGCTTCGATATTGACACTTTCCTTGATGTATGTCATCCTTGGATGAGCACCGAGGCTACTCCGCGAGAGGAGGGATAACAAATACCGGCGGCTCTGCGAAGACATGCAGTGTACGTGCTGCATCAAGAGGTGCAGAGGGCCGAAGTCGTGCCGCCATGACTGCCACCTCGCGGACTGTCGCGCTTCTCCGCATCGCCTTTCTGGCCTTCGCTTATAGAATACTGTGCTAGTTTTTCCTCCCAGGTGGACTTCTCTAGCTGCATTCGAGGGATGCGTTCGTTGCGCTTCCGATCGGTCGGGTCCGAAAGCGAGAAGCCAACTTTCAGATCACACCACAAACAACACAAGGCCGGCGGAACGCAGGATCGCCTCAACCAGAAGAGCTCTTGTATGCATGGCTATTTACAGCCATCCGTTTTGCTAGTTCGCTGAGTTCTCACAGCTAGACGATAAAACACGAGGAGACAGCGCCATTACGCGTGATCAGCCTTGCTAAATGACGACATCAATATGCGGACTCACCTACCTCTATTGGCAAGATTTCTTGTAAACCACGCATGCTTGCTTGTAAGGATGTCGAGAATATACATCCGGTAGACAGCAAAGTCTACTCGCCTCTTGCTAATGTTTCAGTTACACAGAGTGGATCCCAATATATGTGGCAGGACCCGACTACCGAACACGGAAAGTGGAGTTGCGTGATCGCAACCACACAAAGACTTTTCGATACTCTCAAAAGCTCGTATCGCACGCCGATACGGTGGATGTACCGCCTATGTGGCTTGCATCTAGGGAAGGATTTGTGTGACGTACGTTCGGGTTCGCTGGTTGGAGTAGGTCTGCAACGAACCCGAATAACCTCGATGTCGATTCGCGTAACGCATCGAGATCCATGGTCAATCTAATTCGTCGTATCGTATGCGACATGTACATTCGTCCCGACCATACCGTGCATCTGGCCCTCAGCGGCGGTCTTCCCGCAGGCTAGGAACCTGCACACTTACCACTAACGTCGTAGTTCAGATCTAGAGACCAACGCATCATCCTCCATCGAGAACGGTCAACAAGATCGCGCTCTAGAATTAGATGACCACGCCATTCCCCGCCGACCAGTCAGCCTCACCCGGAAACTTGCTCGAATAAGCCAGTTCACCCGTTCGACCAGCAGTCTCACTATACCGACCGCAGGCAAAAGCATAAACAACATCAATATGCCGAGCATACCTACCGCAATCGATATATCCGCCCCAGACTTTCCACCTCACCTGCATCGGATATTGAATCGCATTCAACCGGCCGGTAGCTGCACCTTGGCAAACACGACCCGTACCGATATTAAATCCATACTATGCATACCTTTTGCTTGATGCATCAAACAAGCAAAAGATGGTAACGTCATATTCCACCAGTGAGCTGTTCAGCCTCAGACACACGCCACCGATGTCAGATACCCGGCCGTAGGACACCCTCACTTCGGTAGGAAGAGCCGGTGTAAGCAGGGTTTCTCCAGCTTTTACGACGGCTAAAGCCAAGTCGCATCACCCGAGGTTCATGCGTGCTGTGTGATATACGGTGTGCAAAAGGGAAGGGTATCGAGGCTGGGGTAGCGGAGATGTGGAAGAATGAAGTTGGGCGTTAGTGTTTTGCTTGCCGGAAATACTGGGAGGCATACCGCTTGGAAGTCTGACTGACTCGTTTGCTGCTGGTATAGTGTTGAATCGCGATTTGGAGATGTTGCTGCAGAAGGAATGCTGTGTCAGCAGACAGCATGAGCCAGGGGGTATAGACCCCGTCGCAGACATTGCAGCTATAGCAGCTACCGCATAATGCGATTCAAGCAGGCTGTACTCAGCGCAGACAACCACGATAACCTGGTTGTGTTGCAAAGCTTGGTACAGCGAAGCACGCTGGTCTAAGAACGATATCAGCCTCCTGAAAGCTTAAGCACAACGTCAAGGTCGGAAGTAGTGAGCAAGCTTCGATGACAACAGAATAATCATAAGCCATCCAACTACGTCCCTCCTATTTCCTACTCTACCCATGATTCCCCAGCCCCTCATCCACATCCGTAACCTCAACCCTCCTATCACAAAACTCAACCCACCCATCCAACTCCATCTTCTTCAGCACCGTACTAAACCCCTCACTCCCATCTCCCTTCCCCGTTCTACCACAATACCTCCCCACAATATCTTCTTTCAATCCTTGCTCCGCCCCCGCTCCATCCGGATACTCGATGTGGAACACGGGTTTCCCCGCTGCAATGAAGGGGGCGAAGGTGGCGCACTCACCGTACTTTGCACATTGCTCGTTCACGCTGAAGTGCACGATGGGGAGAACGGCTGGGATGATATCGCCGGCATTTTTAAGGCCGAGAGTGAGGTTTAGGGGGGTGGTTAAGGCGGAGAGGTAGGAGATGTAGGATATTGAGGAGGATTGGGTGAGGGAGAGGCCGTTGTTGTTTTGCTGGGGAGGTTTGTTAGTCAACATATAATTACACAGCGGCAAATGGCATAGAGGTAGATATACTCACATAACCATCAACATTATCAGGATCAACACCATCACACTCCTTCTCCTTCGCCAAATCTATCCTCTTCTTCATTATCCTCCTCACATTCTCACTACCCAGATCTAACCATTTCTCGCCCGGCCACCCATCTAGATCGCGCCCAAGATCCTCTTTCTTGAACTCCGACGCGTCAGGCCGCCAGTCCTCGTAGCTTCCTGCGCTGAAATAGCAGATCACTTTCTTGCCCATGGAATGTAGTTGGTTTATCGTCTCGGTGGGTGTGTCGAAGAGATCGATGTCGAAGATGCTGACGTTGGGCGTTGTGCTGGTGTCCGACGAGGATAGATCGGGTGGGTGAGAGAGGATGATTTGCCAGGTATCGGATACGGATGGTTTCCATGGTATTGTGGTGTTTGGTGTGGGGAGAGGTGTTAGGGTGGAGGCTGGTGGTGAGGTGTTGTCGTTGTCGTCGTTATCGCGTCCCAGCGTGAGGCCCAAACCTAAACCGAGGCCTAAGGCGAGGATTAGGATGAGGATGCCGACTGCAAGGAGAATCTTGCGCCGGAGAGACCATGGTTGTTGTGCTTTGGGTTTCGCGTACATCGTGCTTTTGTGCGACCGGTTGCTAGGCGGAGAAGATGAGGTTTGCCAACCTGCTGAATTTCCTCCACCGACGCCAAATTATCTATCACAGTCAAAGCACGAGGGTTTCAGTAACCGCAAACGTTCAGAATATACAACAACGGCCAAACCGACATGAAGGCGCTGAACAGCCACACCTGACACTCCTCAAACTCTCCAAAAAAAATCGATAGACTGGAAATATCACGAGGAGACGCGTCGCAAGCGGCGCAGTGACGTGCGCCACCTTGCATATGTAGGTAATATACAGCTGTTGTATGTAAGACGGATAGTAACTGTATCTGGTGTAGCGCACATGCAGTCATATTGCGGGTGAGGCGTGCCGAAGGAATACGCTCCCGGCTGGAAAGGTTGGCAGCTCAACACATTATCGATTGATGGGGGCGAAAGCACTAGTTCAGCTATTCGTAAAAGGCCATGGTACAGTTACACGACTGAGTCGATTTCGGCAGACGATATGACTACGTGGCCGGTGTAGTGAGCTGTTCGAAGCTGAGGTAGCGAAATGCGGCGCAGCTGTCCCTCCAACTCAGTTCTGGTATTCACCCATATTGGAGTTGTGGCTGTGCGATTGTGGGGTTAGCTCAGGGGTCAGAGATGACCGCCTAAACTCCGCAGCCATTCACTGGTCATGTTGGATGCAGGGTAAAAACCACAAAGACAATTTTGACTGAGCTTCAGCTAAAAGATATACATTGAAGATGGCGGTTGCGATAGTGACCGATGCCGTGTTTTCCTAGAGAATGCTTATGTCTACAGTGGGATAGCCTTTGAGAACTTGTATTGCCTGCTGGCGCCGCTCATAGACACCCAAAGCGTAAGCGGATCACTTCCCAACTGCTCTTTCGTCGCACCGGTCGTGCTTGCCACGGCGCCTGGGACAGTGATGGGTATAGTCGTGCCACATTTGTTTCCGCCTGCCGTGTACACGTTGACAGACTCGATGTTGGCGCCATTGGCGGATGTAGTCCAGGTCAAGCTGGGTCGGCATAGGTCGCGAGTTTGGCGGTTAATGAATTGCTGTGCGAGATCATCGTGCTTGAGGGTCTTGAAAGGCCAGGTGGTGCTGCAGTACGTTAGTAGGATGCTCCTCTGGCGAAGCAAGGGTACATACAGGCGCATCATTTCAGCTGAGATAACCTCAATCCATGTCATGAGTAGCGAGTACTGGCCACTCTTGCCGTTCACGGTGGTGGCTGGCACGTCGTTGACGCGCATGTTAGCCTGGTGGAACATGTATCTATACTCCATATTAGTAAGGATCAATGAGAAGGATGGAGCTGCACTTACGGGTCCCAATGTAGGCCGAAGAGATTGCGCATTGCAGTATCTCGAGAGTTGATCATGAGATCTTCAAATGTCCCTTTGCCTGCAGAAGTATCGATCCACTCTTGCAGTGTACAGGCGGGAAGATCGCAATTGTAGTAGATAAGCGTTGCCCAACGCGGCATGACGTTGAGTCCTGCATAACCGTTGTTCTGAACATTGGTGGTCAGTGGCCAGAAACTGTTCTGCTGATTGCGAAGAGGCGGGCGCGTGTTATCTCCTACGACATTGACGATGCCGTTATCCATCCAGCCTTTGATCGCATCTGCGTTGTGTAGACCAGTAATTGCAGGCGGAATGATGCCCTTCCCGCTCCAGCGTTTAGCAGCATCAAGTCCGACCTGCTTGAGCCAAGCTTGGTTGAACGAGATTTCTTTGGAGGCATCTGAGTACGTCGCGTTGGTTAGATCGGCGTGTGAACTGGTTCTGAGTCAGTAGTGCAAAGCATGGAGACATGGGAGACGTACAAAGTATGCGAGATGTGCGCAAAGGCATCGCGTTGTTCTTCATCAGCGAACCAATTTTGTAGTTCGTCGATTTCGGCACATTCAAGGCTCCAGGTATACTGAGAAGGCGTCGCAGGCCAGATGTTGGTACCAGTGCCGGGAGGCTTTTGGAATTCCGGGTTGCCATCCTTCTGATCGGCGTATTCGATTGCGTTTGTTGGGCTACAGACTCTCTCGCCTTGACTCGTGTCCGTGGACGCTTCTATATCGCCGTTACCGTTGTGACCGATTTCTATGAAGAACTCGGATCCTGCAGGCATATTGGCGTTCAGGTTGGCTTGCCATGTGACATGCAACGAGAGGTCATCGGGCTTGGCGCGATAGTTCACGCCCGCCGGTCGGTACATGGGCGTCTCCAAAAACATATCATCCACCTGTGTGCTGAAATAGATCCTTCTGAAGCCGACGAAAAGGCCTCTTGTCACCCATGTGATCCAAGCGTGTTGGAGGATGTTGCTTGAAGGCGCCCAGTCTAGGGCGAATGGCAAAAACCATACCATTTGTTGGCGAGTGCCTATCTGGTTGATGACCGCGGCGGTTCCGCTTGTTGAGAACTTGGCGACCTCCCATGCCATTGACGCGTTCACAATCGTTGCAGGAGAGTGGTATATGTTCGCAATACTCACGTCTACGTTGCTATTGGAATAGTCAGTTCTCTATCAAGTCGCAAAGAGTGTTGAGACTCACGTTTTCAGATTAGCCGCAGAGAATCCGGTGACATTCGTGAATGATACAGGCTCATCGTCCAAGTTACCGCCGTTGCTGGAAACCCCGAAGTCGGCGGTTGGGAAAACATCGAGACGAACCATGCGTACACCAAAGTTAGTCTGGTAAGCATATAGATCATTCCATTGCCGCCTGGTGAGTGCGCTGTAGTACTGGTCTCCATAGTTGTATCCCACTTCGCTCACGGTGACGATGCCACCGTAGTTGCCATGCGTTGCCGAGGAGTTGAGTAAAGGGAGGTTTGTGATTCCATCCTGAGGAACGGTGACGATCTCGTAGGGTATGCCATAACCTTGAAGGCCAAGTGTAGCGCTGTTAATGGCCGAAGTCGAGTCGCGTGCGATGACCAATATCGTACTTGATACTGTGGCGCTTCCCACATACGCGGAGACATGTGGTAGAAAGAGACAGAAGCAGGTGAGTGCGCATGCTCGCAGTAATGATAGAATAGAAGACGCCATCGTCAAACGCGAAGTGAACAACCTGCTAACGAGACTTTTTTTTGAGGAACCTGGACGAGTTAATAAAGAAGTCTCGGCAGATATCATCTCATAGGCCACGGGGAGGACAGTGGTCCAGATGCAGTAAACCATCAATGGACTATCGATTTTCTCCCTTCCTAGCCTCAGCAGTCGGCTTTCTACCTGGCTCTCGACTGGATGCAGAACGTGACGCGGCGAACAACTCGATCAGATGCTTCAAATACTCAGTGCCGTACCTCTACAAGGCCTTGCATACGTAAGATGCCGTTAAAGCCATATGGTCTACCAGGGTCTTGGCAAATGAGTGTACTTGTGAAGCCACCGCGTTATGACTTTTGCCACGGCAGCCCAATGTATTGCGAAGATCTCAGGGCATGGCTCAACTCGTGACTCTGGCCTACCGAGCCACTGGATGTTTCTAGAGCAGACCCAAGGAGCACAGTCGCTACATACTGAAAGAGCGCGGAGGCACCATCCACGGTGCAGGATTGCCATGGGGTTGCAAGAACACGATTGTGTGTAAGGATATTGTGAACGAAGCGCCGGGTGTCGTCTAGCCTGGCTCCACGAAAGCACGCGTATGCCCGCAGCCTGCCCATATTGCGCGAGCAATTACCGCTCCAGACTTCATCCGCGGTAGGTGCATTGCATTGCATTCGCCTCGGAGACAAGACCGACAAAGGTGCCGTGATAGATGAGGCTTGATATTAAATCCTCGTGTGGAGGATGTTAGGCTAAAAGCGGTGCCGGATGAACGTGATTGAAAGAGCGAGGATGCGCGTGCACGGACGTTTACTACCGAACCCCCAGCTTTCAGCCTCGTCACGTCTTCCCTCGTCCACCACTCTTGTCGCGTCATCACGACACCCTCCCACGCTGACATCGCCTCGTCGTTAAGACCTAAATCATGTTTGTTCTAGTCTCAATACAGTAACAGTCCGCTGTTCGGGGTAGATGGCACTAGTCCCCAGATATCGCCAGCGTTCCCTGGCATCGCTCTCGCCTATGCCCGGTCAGAAGGCTTCGCGCTGCAAGTCGCTCACTGATGATTGCCGCTCCAATGCCATTCGCAGCGGCCAAGAGTCGTATTGCAGGATTCTCGAAGGATGGATGTGCTCCGTCACTGCCGCTGGCCCTGCGGCGGTGGATTTCTCACACCGGCTAACCACCCACCGTGTCTGCTAACGCGATCCGCAGATCAACAGCTAACACATGACTGCACAAACATAGGCCATGGTGAAAATCTTAGTATCTGTCAAACTGGCTGTCGGTAGCCGATTAGCTTGCCCGTGAGCAAGTGAGCATTGTTCCACCCTATTCATACTGGCTGTTCCAGTAGGGTATCCTATCCATCTTACTACTACGGTCTCTGCTATGGATCTTGCTACCAGTTCTGTGTGTATTGCCCGCTAACTGGCCTATATCGGCGTATGGTAATACCTGTACTCTTGGGGGTTGGAGCACCACTTGAAGATACCTAGGCATTTGAGCTACACCAAAAGAATTAAGGCAGGAACGATGCCTTCGCCGGATATTCTAGGCGTTCAAGCCTTCGAGACTGGACCATTACTACAGGAGTGGTGGGAATGGACACTTGTTGCTATCATCAGTGCCAGTGGGCTTGTAGGAGTCATTTCTTTCCTTTGGTATTCATACCGTTCCCTACGGACATTATTGAAGGTACGTAAGGATACGTACCATATTTGCTCCTCAGGGCTTATGAACTCCATAGGGTGACGACAACGATCAGAGCCTACCACGATCGGTACAAGAACGAATCCACCTCCTGTCCAACAGTTCGAGCGTCGTCCGCAAAACCCATACCCTCCCCACAAAGCCCTCCACGTTTGGCGTTTACCTAGGCCTCCTCAATAACCCAATAACACAAGAGGAAGCGCAGATACTCTCGCAATGGGATATCTTGGTGTTGGACTATTGCGAGCCTGGAGTCTTGGAAGCTGTTGGCGACGATAGTGTTCCAATGGGGCCTCACATCATCGCACGACTTGATCTAGCCCAGATAATCACTTTCACGACAACGGACAGTGAACTGGACATGTCGCGAGCGGTATATGTTCTGGCGTGGACTATTCAACGTACTTTGCGACAGCCGGACCAGAGAAGATATTTCACAGGTGTCCTTGTCTCTGGCTGGCGA